GGAGTGGGCCTCGAGGCGGGGAAGGCTGTCGACCGTGGCGCCAGCCGGACTGCTGGAGCCAGGTTCAAGGAGAAACGAGATCTGGCAGCATGGAATGTGGATAGTTCCTGACAGCGTGCGTCCCGAGCAGCCCGACATAGGACAGAACACCATGTTCGTGGACGGAGACGGAGATGGAGACGGAGAGACCAGCCGAGGCAGCAGCAGGGCTTGCTGAAAATAGGCCCCCCCCACGAGTCATCGCCACGGAGCCGAAGCAGACGGCTTCGGGATTGAGACTGAGACTGGGACTGAGACAGCGGCGAGCATGCTGGTAGCTGATTGCAAGCTGTCAGCCGCGACTGTGGGCCTGTGGAAGTGTGTTTTTTTGCGCCGTGTCAGCGTGAGCGGGAAGTGTCGTCGTGTCGTCGCGTCGTCGCAGGGAACCGGTAGCGCCAGCTCGGGTTTTCCCTGGGTCGTTGGCTGAGGCTGCTGAATCAAAGACGGCCCTCTGATTGGCCGCTGGCGCGGCTCCCCACGCACGCCCCCCGATGACGACACTCCCTGCCCAAATGGACGGCCCGATGACGTAGGCGGAGGGGGAAGGAGCAGGGGCAGGAGCAGGGGTCCCGGGACGGCAGGGACAGCAGAGGCAGCAGAGGCAGGCGTGAGTGGTCGGGTCCAATGGGGAGCGCTCCACCGCCTGCAGTCCGACATCCACCCACGGTCCAACGCTCCCAGGTTCAGACCCCCCCCCCGTCGTGCATCCACCCAGCCATCATGCATCCACATCCTTTTTTCGCCCGGCAGCCCTCTCTCCTCATTCCGCATCGCCAAGACCGATGGCTGGAGGACCGCAAGGAGGAAGCCGTGAGTGCGTGGGGCAGCTAACAAAGCTAAATGAAAATAAGATGGCAAATCGTTGCGCGATGCGGCAACGCCCCAATCCGAAACGAGAAGTGCCATCGCAGCCCACGCCTGCGGGATCGTCAGGGTCCTGCTCGTCCTGGCACTTGCGGTTGCGGTTGCAGCAAGCCGTCCCAGCTTTCCGCAGTGCCAGCAGTGCCTGCAGTGCAAGCAGCCCGCGACTGTCGCGGAGCCGGGCATCTTGTCCTTTGCTCGCTTCCTCACTTATTCTTATCCTTATCCTTATCCACACTGCCATCCATGTACGCACATGCTATATTGTATGTATGTACGTGCTGCACTGGAGCCTTGTGTGTATCTACAGTACGTGCGTGCATCGCAGCCCGCAGAAAACCACAGCCTTCCCTCTTCCTTCCACGAAACAGTTACCAAAAAGCGAACAGAAATACCCAGGCTGACAGGCACACACCCAAAATTGCAGGATTCAGAGAGGAGCCGGCCGCAAGATTGCTTCTCAATGCGCCTTCCTGGCTCCTGGCCTTCGCAACACCAGGTGCGGACGGGGCAGCAGAGATGCGTTATTAAACCCCGATATGGGGACTCCACCACATATTCACCGAGCCCACCGCGACGAAATTGACGCAGTGTCATCAATTCTGCCACCCCGCGCGTATTTCCAAGTCCAATGACCTGATCCCGTCACCAATGTGACATCGTCATTGCAAAATCTCTGACTTCGCTGCGGGCAGGCTGGCTGATGATGCCCTCCTGTCATCTTGACCTCGCTGCCGCTGCTGCTGCGGTGGGTGTGTCGTTGAAATAACCCTTGCTGCACAATGACGCAGTTGGCGCCGTGGCCGTGCTCCGCCCTCGACGGCACCCTGCTCGCTTGCTCCACTTTTCCCGTCGCTGGCTTCAGACCCTCTGGCGCTAATGATCTTCGTACCTGTACATCTCATTTCGTTTCAATCGAGACCCCACTGCTCGGAGCCCCCCCCTTCTCTCCTGCCTGCCCCCCCTCCTCTAGCGGCAAGTACGCGTAAACCTGAGATCTGAAATCTGAGAAATACTGCCAGGCCCCGTTCGTGGAGTGGTCTTTCCGCACTCAATTAGACGGCCAAGACGGAGAATTCAATTCAAAGCACCCACTCAAATCCCGATCCCGTCGAATCCCTAGTGTCAAGTGATTTCACTCTTGCTCGTTTCGAGGCCACGTCTCATCTTGATTTGGGCCCGTTGCACATTCCAGCTTCAGATCCAGAATTGTAAAATTTCCCACTGGAGGAATTACACAAGACGGTACCACGGGCCACCAACTCTTTATTTCCTCCCCCTTCATCAATTCTGCACTAGGGCCCGTATGGGCGACCCAATCCAGGGTCCAAGCAACCTTGGGCTCTTTCTCTTACTTTCCCTTCCCTAGCGTCGCCGTCTCCCCGAACATGAAACGAACTGTTTGCGTCCTAGTTCCGCTCGTATGTGGATTCTCACTAACCCGCATCGACTTTCCCCGAGATTCCCATCCCTCCAGATCGTTCCTCTTGGGAAAATCCGCACCAGTGCCGTGGCAGGGCACGTCAAGGATTGTGCCTCCTCGGCCAATTCACACTTTTTTTTTTTGTCGCAGCATCATCGAGGTGCACCTTTCCTCTGCTTTGCCAACGCACTCTCTACGAGTGGCGACCAGGAGCAAAACGTCCTGCTTACCCTCTACGTCAAAAAAAGTCCGATTGGGCAAGCCTATTCCCAATTCCTCAATTCACCCACCCGCCTGCCCCCCCGTCTCAAATCCCTAAGACCCCCCACCCTGAAATACGCACCCCCAAGCACCAACCCCCCCTGCTGCTCCTGCCGCGAAGCTGCACAATGCACAATGCGTTACAGCATCTCAATCCGCCTCGCAGCAGCAATGGTCAGCCAGGGCACGTCCCGGGCACACCGCTATTCGTGCCGCCGTGCAGAATAATGGTATTTGGAAGAGCCCTGCCTGCGGTGTGACACTCACTCTGCACACACAGGCTGTGCTGCAACACCCCTCCCTCCCTTGCTGTGCTCCCTCCCCCCTTGACATATGTAACCCAACCCACCTACCCGTGCAGCGACAGGAATAGGGCTTATCACCTAATAAGGCTGGGTATTACTGCGTGAGTTTGTGTACAATTGAGACGAGCCGCGGCAGGATTGCATTACAGTAGGCTGGCACCTGGCTGGCAGGCTGACCACCGCGTCCGTCCCCTTGGCGCGCAGGGCGGGCGTCGGGTGGCGTTGGACCCCTTCAACCCCCCGGCCGCTTAGCTGTGACAGTTCTGACTGTTCTGTGTGTAGGCGCTATCCTACCCCAGACCACATACAGTGTTGTTCTTTGATCGTTTCCCCTGTCTACAATTTCGTTTTCGCCACTTCTTCAACGAAGCCGCTACAGTAAATCGCGGGAGGCGCTAGGCTGAATAGTATTTTGGCGCGGTTGTGGCTGTCAATGCTATTTCTGCCCCTTGCCCCTTCAGATGATGCTTGATGATGGGACTGGGGGGGCTTAGTTAGCTAGTTGGTTAGTTTGATGGATGCCGCGCCGCTTGTGTAACGTAACGTTGCTTGCCGCCGCTGGTCGAGCGGGTACAAGGAAGATTAGTTTCCCCCCTTGTTCGGGTCTTGGGTCACCACGTGACCTGGATGGCTGAATTTCTCGGTCTGGTGTTGGACTTGCGCCTGTTCAATATCGGATTGTTGGAAAATGTGGTTATGAGAGCTGATTGATCTCGCATGGCGTCAAAGTTGCAGGCGGGTGGAATTGGGTTTGCCTTGGGCTCACGTGCTGTTGTTCGTAGCTTGAGTACTTATATCTTGCTGCGTTCTTGCTGTGAACCACAAGAACCCGCAATCACTGGGTCTGGGTGTGCTGCGTATTGCATGTCATCAATTGGGCTCCTCTACCACAGGAAAGATGAGGGCGGATGTAGTCCGGTCATGTCTGTGGGGTGTCGTCCAATTTGAACGTATGAGTACGCCTCGCCATCATTTGAGATTGTCACTGCCAAATCCAGGAACTCGCCACCTGTCAGACGGGAGATCGTCACAGAAGAAAACCCTTAGACCTGTTCGTGCCTGACAAGCCGCGCCAGACACTCGGGTGGAAAGAAGCCATGTTGAAGTCCGGGGCGGCAGATCAACATTTCCAGCCACGCGTCGCCGGGTTGTTAAACTCAAGACGAACTCTGAGGTTTGCTTGCGTGTGCGTGCGTGGTTGTTGATCAAGTCGCCACCTGCAGGGCTGGGCTTTAGCTAATTACCGTCGAAGATCGGCAAACCTTGTGCGATGACATCTCATTTCGATCGCGTTCTGGCCGCTGTTTTGTTCAAATTGATTCGGCAATACATTGCTATGTCGTGTTTTATTTTCCAGGTTCTCAGTGGCGCTCGCGTCAACGCAAAGTTGAAGTGTTACTTGCAGGCATAGCGGGCTGACCAGTGCTGCTTGATACATCCATCTATTTACTACTGCTTTGACGGGTTCTCGGAGACAAGCCGTCGTGGCATGGCGCAAGGCCCTGTCACTCACCACTAGGAGCTCTGCTCAAGTTGAGCACAAGAGTGGACCCTGTTGGTGTATGATGGTTCCTTGCCCACCATGCGGCTCGTACAATCACATACCCGATGAGCCCGTCAGGGAGACTTCTTCAGTGACGGTTTTTCATTTTCCCATCACTTTATGTGCTACCAAGGTATTGTGCCCTGATGAACTACGTGGACGATCGCTTCTCAAAATTATCATTCCTCCCGGAAGTCGCCCAGTCTTCCCAGCCAGCCAAACATCCCATCGCGAGGCCGGCACAGCCTGGTGGAGATCGCATATGACCCTCGGACAGCCTCAGCTCTTCCCACATTGTCGGTGGGTTGTCTGTTGCAGGAGACATCTGGACGGACTGATGGTAATTCCTCAGAGTGATTTTACCGATTGAGCCTGTCGAGAAGAAAGCGAAATCATGCTGACCGCCCTTGGTCTCCATCGCAGAGTCCCGTATCTGAGAACCCGTCCACAACTCCCAGACTCCGCCTGCCCTTCACATGTCGAACCTGGCCATTATGAGTCTGGCATCACACCCAATCTAAGCGCCGCACAAAAGCAGCCGTGAGCTCCGCCGCGCAACCGTGAGCATTCACACCTTGGTCGAGCCACCACCACCCTCAGCCACCAGACCATGATCCAGGCCCAAGACAGCGAATACCTCCCAAGCGACGTGCTCATCGAGACCGCCCTTCACGAGAAGACGCAAGATCCGGCAGAACACCCCCGATGACTGCCAGTTCGACTGGATCCACCACTTCTCCGCCGCGCCCTGGATCTCGTCCCGCAGCTCGTCCGTGCCTGGGTCGGCGCCGTGCTCGAGGAGCAGGGTGACGAACGCCACGGCGGCGTCCTTGGTGGCCTCCATGCACGCGAGGCGCATGGCCGTCTTCATGGAGCCGGGCTCGTTGGCGTCGGTGCCGGCGCGGAGGAGGGCGACCACGATGGCGATGGAGAGTTGTTTGGTGTCTGGTGTGCTTGCGAGGTCCATTGCGTGCGAGAGGTCGCCCTGCTCGGCGGTGACGCCGTGCTCCAGCATGGCGACGAGGAAGGGGAGGCAGTGATCTCGCCTGTAGGCAGCGTTTTCCAGCAGTGTGTCGTGCATGGCACCGGCTACGGAGGGTTTGACGAAGATGGAATCGTCGACAAGGGGAGAAGGGGCTCTGAATCGGCGCAGATCGGCGAGCCCGCAGTCAAGTCCGCGGACATGAGGACGATCGTACATCCGCTCCCATCCAGCCCAATCGTCGTCGAGAAAGAACGTAAGAGCGTTCTCCTGGAGCGTGTCATCAATGGGTCCGCACGCCATCCAATTCGCCCCGTGCCGCCGGAGGAGGCTGATGAGGCGCATGGCGCAGTCTCTGTCGCCTTGGTCGCCGCAGTCGCATTTCCAGTTGCACCCCCAGGGGCGCCTCATGCACGTGCGAAGGATGAACCAAAGGTGGCGGCCATTCGGGGCGAGTGCCTCCAGGGTCACGCGTGGCAGGCGAGGCCCCGTGTGGCTCATGTAGGATGCCTGGCTGCTGCCCAAGGTGGCGTCCGTCAGAGCGTGGAGGAGTTTGCAACGGCAGTGGTTCCTCAAGCTGGCCGGGCCCCACATCAGGTAATCGTCTTCTGCGTTAATTCTTCCGTAATAGTCTCTGCCGCCCAAGACATGCATGACCAGCTCGTCGGCCTTGTCAGCTCCGCGTCGGAGGAGGTAGAGAATAACGGGAAGCTGCTCTGACTGGACTGCAAGCTGCAACGCAGTGGTTTTCCACGGTACCTTGGTGCCTGTCTTGTTGATGTCGGCGCCGCATTCGACTGCGCATCGCACCAGGTTGACGTTTCCCAGCTCAATGCTTCTGTAAAGGGTGTTTTGAGGACCGTACTTCTTGGAGTGCTCGGCGAGAAAGACATTGCAAAGTCTGGTGCTTGTGGAGGCAAGCGCGAGCATTGAATCGTCATACCTGAGACCATTGGAACGGAGCTTGAGACTGAGCTGTTCGTAACCATTCAAGACGTCCCAGGAAACAAAGATGTCATTGATGTCTGCTTGTCGCCGTCGACGCAATTCAGAGAAGCGGTGGATGTCGTCGCCCAATGCGGCAAGCAACTGTTGCGCTCCTGCGGTTTTGGCTGCACCAGGGACCATCAGGTAGTATCCGACCCTCAGCTTCAGCTCGTCAGGGAGACGCTCGAGGCGTGACATGCCCGGAGGGAAGGCCTGCGCTGCCATCACAGCTCGGTCGCTCATGGTGAAGGGACGGTAAGGGAGTGCGTCGTGCATACGGGTGTGGTTAAACAGAGGCAAGTCGCCAGTCAGCTGAAATAGAATAAAAGGAAACAGTCAAGCGATGTGCTCGAGAGGATGTTTTGGTTTGTGGGCAAGGTGATTGACAAGGTGGTGGTTGGCAAGAAGACGAGGTTTTGTTTTGCGGGCGAGCAGTGCAGGTACTTGAAGAAGCCCACCAACTTCCAGAAGTAAATTTGCAACAAAACTTTTGCAATGCATTTCACTTAACGCATTCACCTGACTACTAATGGAAGGTCGAAAGCGTTTGCGGAGGTCCCATCAGTCAACGGAGTGCAGGTGAGGGCTGCAAACAAGAGCCTGCTTACCTCCACTCAGTGACACCTCTCGCATGCCACGCATGCTTATGCATACAACGTGTGCAACAACATTAGAGACATCGAAACGGTTTACAAAAAACTGTTGCAATTTCTCAAGCAGCTCATTGAGTTGCACAAGATAGATGGTCTTTTTCGGCTTCACTCCTCGGAATCCACAGAAGCCGAAGTGCCGAGAATGCCCCGCCAGCCTCAAGGTCGATGACACAAGCCGGCACGTCTCTCGACTCGACTCGACGCTTCCTTCCACCAACAACCTGCTCAAAAGCCTCACCACATAAGCAGCATGATGGCCACTAAAAAACAGACCTTTGTCTACAAGACAGACCCGGTCCCTATCCAGCTCGACCTCTACCTGCCGTCAACCCCGCCCAGCGACGGCAAGGGACTGCCCCTCCTAGTCTGGTTCCACGGCGGCGGGCTCCTCCAGGGCAACCGTGACGGCGTGGCGCCTCACCACCTCAACGGCGTCACCAAGCACGGCTACGCCCTGGTCAGCGCCGACTACCGCCTCAGCCCCCAGGTCAGCGTCGGGGATGTGCTGGAAGACGTCAAGGACTGCCTGACTTGGAGCGCCACCGAGCTGCCCAAGCAGCTGGCAGCAGCCGGCAGCAACAATAGCGCCCTGCTGGACACGACGCGCATCGCCGTCTCAGGAAGCTCCGCCGGCGGATACCTGGCACTCCTGGCCGGCCTGTACGCCACGGGGCCGGGCAAGCCCAAGGTCGTGCTGCCGATATACCCCATCACCGACCCGCTGGGCACCTTCTTCACCACCCCGCAGCCCCACCCGGCGGGCCACATCGAGAAGGCCGCCCTGGAGCCGTACCTCGACCCCAAGGCGGTGGTGCAGACGCGCACGGCCTGGGAGGGCGACCCACGCGCCAAGTTCTACTTCTACATGCTGCAGGAGGCCAACCTGGCGAAGCTGCTGCACATCCAGGACGGGGACGACACGTTCATTGTGGCGCCGCAGATCCGGAGGCGGGGGAGCTTCCTGCCGACTTTTATCGTGCACGGGGACGCTGACAAGTTTGTTGGCGTGGAGCAGTCGGACGAGGTCGTGGATGCGCTGAGGGATGTCGGCGCGGTCGTGGAGTATGAGAGGCCCGAGGGGTTGGATCACGTCTTTGACCTCAACGAGGATGTTGAACTGGAAGGCTACTATACGTTCTTGAAGAAGCATATATAGCGCGTGCCCCGTCAAATAGACCAGTTACTAGCGGTCGCTGCTAATTTACACGTACTAGACATGTTGAAAGGATAGTCTGTCCGCAGCTGTGCCTGTTGGCTCCTCCCAGTGCTGGTTGGTGTACAAGCCTAAGGCGACTCGCGTCCCGGATCTCCAGGCCCGCTCAGTCGCAACACATGGCCGACATCCTCGGCGGGAGTCATCCGGCGACGCAAACCACTCCCCATCGCGGGCGCGGACGATATCACTCCCGACGCGGCCGGCCAAAGTTCTCACCCATCCACGTCATGTCGTGCTCCTGACGGCCGTCTGTCCCACTATGGAGACTGCTGCAACCTGTGACGATAGGCTCGAGCCCTCGTCGCCAAGCCCCAACATCCACATTCGACCAGCTGTCGGTATTCTTCCTGGCCATGGGGGCTGACATGGGAGCTAACCTGTGTATAGCGTGATAACTGCCGCGTTCGCAAGGTACGCAGAAAGCTCCCTCTGCCTAATCCACACCAAGACGCCGCCGTGGCCGCAAGATGAGACTTTGCTCAGGTATTCAGTGCTTACAAGGTGTCGTGTAGATCCGTTGTGATAGACTGTACCCATGTTCTCATTGTGTGAACGCCAAAGTCGATTGCACACTTGTCGACAAGAAGCCCAGAGAAAAACGCAGCCGGATCCTCGTGACCCCACAGTACTAGTAGTGCGTCCCTCTGCCCTCTTTGGTCGCTGCTATCTTTGCCCGAGCCCCTTTCCATCCCTATGACCAGACGACTGACAACATCGCATGGCATCCAGTGAGAAAAAGATCGACCAGCTTGACCGTCGTCTGGGGGAGGTTCTCGGGCTGCTTCGGGATCTAAAAAATGACCGACTTTCACAACCCAGTGCAAGTCCCCTCACTGTCTCGAGGACATCAGATGGGGCCCAGATATCGACAGAATCGCCGTCCCATTTCGACTCCGTCGAGCCACACCATCCAGCCTGCGTCTTCTGCCGTGCTGGGTGTTGCTGGGGACTCCTCGTTGGCCGCCCACTCGGCGTTTGCTAGTGACTTCATGCACCAAGTTGCGGGTGCCACTCCCCTCCAAAGCCCTGGGTCAGGGATGAGGGACACACTGGACGCACTTTCCCAAGTTGTCTCCACCTTGAGGGAGCAGACTGCCGCCAGTGAGATGGCATACCCTCACGCCCGACGGATCCAACGCCCCGGCCTATCAGTCTATGAGTTGCCCCCTATCAAAAAGGCTGCTGAGTTGATTCGCATTGCAAAAAAGTGAGTGCCGAGCTCCTCGTACTCTCTGGTGTCACTGTGGTTGGTGATGTGATAGAGTTCATGGACAGGTCGGCGCCTAGTAGGAACAGGCTTCACATACGAGTTCATATTGATGCGGGACTTCTCGGACGTATGCCTCCAGGTCTACTTCTCGGAGACTTTCTCCGAGATGGACTTCATCATCGTCAATGCTGGTCTTCATTCTCTCTTCGGGGACTACAGCCATCATGTCTCCGCAGAAGGAAAAGATACTTATCTAGGCCATGCCCACACGTGTAGCGAGAGCCTTGAGACGGCACTTTCCAATCTGCCACTGCATCTGCCGGCAACATTAGACGCAGCAACGGCTCTTCTGTTCGGTGTACGTTGACGTGAACTTGTGGCCAGTATCGGTTGTTGATCAATTTACAGGCCTGGCATGCAATCGAGCTCTCAAACCGGCACCTCTCCTGGGCACTGTCGAACAAGGCATCAGAGCTATGCCAGACACTGAATCATCACAGGATGCCCGATACCGATAATAGTGACGACGCCAAGTTCAAGAAATTTCTGTTTTTGTGGGAATAATGGGTGTCGTTTGTATGGAGGACTGTTTGGGACTAGGCAGCTTTGACCCGTTAGGATGCCCGGCAGGCAGCAGCCCTGGCGCTGCATACAAAATAGCTAGTATAATCAGGCCTTTTGCCTTCCTTTCTTCCATAGTTAATAACAATCAATCATTACACTAACTAAATGTTATATTGCAATATGTAACTTAGCTAATACTAATTAGTAGTTGCAAGGGCAACCATAAATTAGCAAGGCTTAAAGAAATAACCTTCCGGTTATGCTAATTAGCATTATTAACGTTGTAAATCTGCATAGCGTAATCTATAATAATGATAATACCTAATATATAAAGAGGTAGTTATTACAGCAAGAAACTACAACAAACTTCCCTACCCTTAATATATACGTATTTATTACGCCTTAAATAACCTTAATAACAACTTTTAAATTTAATAGCTATAATTAAAAGAACTAAATTAATATTTATTTTTATTAATAATATATTTACTTATATTTTATTATATAAATAAATATAAAGAAAGGAACCAATCTGCCTTTTAATAGCTAAGTTATAAAAGTAACCCTTAACTTCTTTATTTTCCTTTAATATTACCTATTTCCCCTTTTCATTATTTTCTTTCTTAAATTAAATATACCTTTATTATTACTTTATTAAAATAATAAGATAATAAATATAATAAGCAATGCTACTAGCTAAAATGGTTTATTAATATTAATTATAATGAATTATACTTTTATACTTAAAAGCATTGTTAAGATACTTAATCCCTTGGTATGGATAAATCCCCTGGGATTTTTTAGCAGTAAATAATATTTAAATATCTATGTTTAGGGCTGAATTTAAGCTATAGTATATATATTAAGTAATAAGGCATATAAGGCGTTTATTGAGGACTTTTATGGCTAAACTAAGCTAATATTTATGTAAGTTAATAAAGACTTGCTGCATATTATTAAGAAGACTTTTTAAGTTAAGGGTATTTATATTTAGGGAGTGAATACTTTAAGGGGATTTATATATATCCTTAAAGCATTAAACTATCTTAAATGGCTAGTAAATTAAAAGCAAGAATATTGCATTATATCTAAGATTAATTAAATTTAAGATTATAATTTAGGTATTTATATTATCCCTAACTTTGATTATATATTAATAGAAGATAAGGAACTACTCGCTAATAATGATTCTCTTAATTCTAAATTACTTAGATTGCTTAGCCTATTTAATGGTGGCGGCGAAGGCGGTAGTAGCCCTTTAAGACCTCCTAATCTATTAAGGGAAGGCAGCAACCTTCCTTTAGCTAATAACTTCCATATAGCATATAATTATTATACCCTCTTACCTTTAATAAAAATAAAGAATTTCCTACTTAACTTAAATATGGCAGCTAATTTAAGTAAATATTATTATAAAGATAAGATATTTATTAAAGAATTATATAATATTCTTAATAATAAAATCCTCTTTTTTTATAAGGCTTGCGGTAATTTATAAATTTAGCCTTAATAGTTTAAGGCAATTCTTTTATATATATTTAAGGGATTAGCAAAAATATATTATATTTAAGTTATTAACTAAAAGGACTTATTTACTTAAGCATATAAGAAACTTAAAAACCGCTTTAATATAAATAATAATCATTATAATTATTTTATAAATTAAAATATTTTAACTTTTTTTACTCTTTAATAGAGAAACCTAAATAAGAGTTACATAAATATTCTTTAAATACTTATTAATAAGATGCAGCTTTATTATAAAGCACTTAGGTATATTATTTATAGAAATAACTCTTTATAAGATATAATTTTGCAAGCGGTATAAGGCATTCCTAAATTTCATTATACTATCTTAATAGCGCTAGTGGATATTAAGTAACTTTACTTTATCTTATAATAATATATTAAGGCATTAAAGGCTTAAAACCTTATATTATAATATATAGTTATAGAAAATGATTAATAAGCTTATAAATAAGGCTATATTAATAATTATAATAATTAAAATAATAATGATTTAGTTATTATAAATATTAAAAAGCAATACTATCTTAATAGGCAGTATAATAATAATAATTAATATTTAAGGTATCTTTAATTTTCTTTTAAGGGTAACGGCTTTTAATTTAATTTTTATTTAAGCCAGCCCTATTAGTTTAAAGGCGGTAATTATAGTAAAGGACTTTATAAAGGTAGCTATAGTGGCGGATATTGGCTTAGTAAAGGTAATGGTGGTAATATATAACGCAGAAAGAAGAAGTATTTTATATGCTATAAAGAGGAATATTAGTTAATAAATTACTTACTTAAAGATTAATAATATGCTAAAGCTATATATATTTATATATATAAAGATATTAAATAATAAATTAATAATAATAAGTTTAATATATTCCTTATTAACTTTAAAGGTTTTAACTTTAAAGCTGCTAGCATTATAATAATTTTAATTGTTAATAATGGCAAGAAGGGGCGTATTTATTATACCTTTTTAATAAATTAAGCCTTTCTTTATAATTTCTTTAATAATATAGGTGGCTTTAATATTTATATTAACTTTAAAGATTGCTTAATAGCAGAGATATTTATTATTTAAGATTAATATTCTTATTAGCAATATTAAGGTATTATGCTAAATATAGGTACAGCAATGTTTTTAATAGTTGGATATAAGCAATTTTAAGCTTTGCAATATTAAATATCTTCTATATATTTAGATATTATATAAGCTAGTAAAGTATAAGTATAATTTAGCTTAGGCTTATTTATTAAGTTATTTAATGTAATATAAGTTAATACTTTAGCAGAACTATTAATATTTTATGTTATGGATAAGCCTATTTTCTTTTTTCTTTATATTTAGGATATAAATAAGAACTCTCTCTTTTTTTAGAATATTATTAATAAGGTGGTTTAATAGAAAGATGGTTACCTAAAAAAGACTTTCTTAATTACTTAAAAGTGAGAATATTTATGGATTTTCCTTAATATAGGAAGTAATAGTATGCTAGCAATGTTCCTAATAGAAATAAAGCTTTGGCGATTTTACCATAGGTTTAAATATCTTTTAGTTAATTGTTTTTCGCGCCTTTTTGTTAGTGCTAGTTATGGTAATATTAATCTTTTTATTTTAAAAGCAATTTTTAAATTTTGTTATTATTATTAACTTTATTTTATGGCATTATAATATTTTAAGTTTAACCTTTAGAATGATGTTAACTTTAACTATGAGATTATTATAAATATTATATATTTGCTTAGTTTGCCCGTTTTGCAAGTTATTAATTTAGCAACTTCTTTTTAAGCCAGGCGATTTCTTATCTTTCTTTTTATAAAGGATATATAAAAGGCTATTTAGTAGTGCTAAATAAATACCTATTTAAAACCTTTTAATTATATTGTTTATAATGCTAAAACTAACTTTGCCTTAGCAGAATTCCAAAGCATTGCATGAATTATAGGCATTACTTATAAGTAAGTGCTAATAGAGGTATATTGGTTTGTTGATAAGGTTGAAAGGTATTATGCTTTGCTTTAATAAGCTTTTAATATTCTTTATGCTAAACTCTTAGGGACTTATATTAAGGAAGCTATTTTATAAATAGCTATTAAGGTAGTAAATAATATAGTTAGCCCTAATGGTATTATTTTAATACTCTTTATCTTTAGCATATATTTAAGATTTATAAAAGACTTTGCATTAATTTTCTTAACTCTTAAGAGAGCAGCGGTTGTTTAAAAAGCTATAAGAGAGCTATATAAGGTTTGTATTAAACGGTAAGTTAATATAGCTTTAAATACTTATAATAACCTAAATATTATAAAAGTATTGGGTCTTTTACTATAAAGTAATGTGTAAGTATAGTAAGAGAAGCATGGTTGGCAAGGATTATATAAGTTGCTTAGCATTAATAAATATAACCTTATATTGGATTTTTTAAATAGCTTAATAATCTTTTAATTAATATTAGTTTAGCTATATTATTAGGATAAGAATGATAAAGATAATGTTTAGCTGGTTTTTAACTTAAATAATGCTTTTAATAAGCTTGTTTAATTTAAATTAAATTTAGTTCTGGTAATATTAAAACCATTATAACCTTAATAATATGGACGGCCTAAGGGATTAAAGAATAAGCTAAAAGAGATGTATTTTACTTAGCGAGAGGTTAAGAACTATAATTTCTCTTTAAAGCTTTAATATAATAATGTAATTAATATCCCAGGTAACCCGTTTAAGGAGTTTAATTATAAGAAAATTATGGAGTTAATTGATAACGGCGTTTTTTACTTTAAACGCTTTAATTTTAAGATATATAAAGGTATTTAGCTCTTTAAGTTATATATTGTTTGTAAAATTAAGGGCAAGATTGAAAAGCTATATAAGAAATTATGGCTTGTTATTGCTAAATGTAATGATAAGGATAAGTATAATATCTTTATATAGTTTTTAACTATTTAAAGAGCTAGCTAAAGGCTTTTAATTGCTTTAGCCTTATTCTTTTTAGCATAAGGCTTTTAATTAAAACTTTAAGATATTACTTAAGCATATTCTTAGTTAAAGTTTAAACTTAAGCAACCTATTTTATATTACTTACCCCTTAAGATTTAAGATAAATACCCTCTTAGGATTATTATGTAAGTTATTAAATTGCTTTATAATATTGCTAAATTTAATATATATTAATAGGCAACCTATTATAAGTTTTATTATAATAATTTGGGTATGATTGTTTTGGTATATAACCCATGCCTTTTAATTGCGGATTAGGGAAAGGATGTTTTTGCTGTTATTGCTATGTAGATTAATAATACTTTATTCCTTAATACTTTAGTATTTTTAAAGCTGGAAGAATAAAAGATTAAAGAGGTAAATATTTAATGCAAGCTAAAAGAGATATTTACCCCTAATAAGTTACTTGTTTTTAATAGCATAACTATAAGCATTTTTAATAAAGGTACTTTATATTTCCATTAAAAGGGCTAAGGTGAGAAGATTATGCCTATTGATAGCAAGGCTGATGATTATGCTTAACAATATATAGAGCAATGTATATAAGGAGTATATTTCGCTTTTATTTATTAACTTAAGGCAGCGTTTAACTTGTTAATGGTAGCTTAGATTTAGAAGCCTTTCCATAAGGATTGCGATAGGCTGAATTGCCGGCTGTAATGGCAAGCCGATAACCTGGAGCGTGGACTTTAATATGTACCCTTAAATTTATCTTAAGCTAAATTAATAGTCTTTGTTAATAGCTTGTTTGCTAATAATAAGGACCTTAGCTTATAAATTGGCTTTATTATTGCATTTATAAATGAAATATAAATTTAATAGGCTTTTAAGTGGAATATTAAAGGCAATATTATTTATTGGTTCTTAATAAAGTGCTAGAGAGTAACTTAAAGCGTTTTGGCTTTAAAGATTTATAGCATGGTTAATGGCTTTAATATGGCTATAGTGCTGGCGGCTACTTTATATTAAATTACTATATGTTTGGATATTATAATAATTCCTTTTATGGTATGTATTAACTTATACTCCTTATATAAGTATTTAATTAAGCTTGGCATAATAAAAGAGAAGCGCCTTATAATTAACGTTATGGCTCTTTAATAGTTATATAAGAAGCGTAAGATCTTTAAGATTTATTAAATTGCTAGGGATTGCAACCTAGCTAATGCTTTTATAAAGAGTGCCCTTAATAGCACTTTCTAGCGTTTTATAAGTATAAATAATATTATAATTAAGGTATAGGGCTATATAGATTGCGGTTAAGAAGATAAGGTAATTATTTAAATATAGTAAAAAGTTAAGAAAACCATAATATATTGGGGCTTAAACTTAAATCGCCAGAGCATGGTTTGATAACTTATTAGCAGATTGCGTTAATATAACCCTGGATATTATTATTACACTATATATTATGGGGTTGTTATATTAATATTAGCGCGATTAACTTAAGTATGCGTATTATGTAATTATAAAGATAAAAGATTGCTAAAGGTTTTTAATAAGGGATAATAAGATAACTTTTCTAATTAGAGGCAATGCATAGTAAAAGTATAAAAGTTTAGTTTATATTTATTAGTTATCTATGAATTACCTTATAATGCGATGCAGTTGGCTAACTTTAGATTATATTCCTCCCAAAGGGCAAACCTTGTATTTAAGATTTTTATAGTAGTGCTTATATATTAAGGGTTTAGGTAATAAGGGTTACCATTATCCCATGGGTATTTAAGTTGCCAGCTTATGTTTAATGGGCGTCCCTAGTTGAATTTCATGATTTAATACCTGCATATTAAAATTAAGAGTGTTGCTATTTATTAACTTAATTAATATTCTTTATCCTGCACCCCACTTTTCCTTTATTTAAACACCTTATTTGCTAATCCTTATAACTTATTAACCTTTATTTCAACCCATCCTTTAATTATACTTCTTGATTTCTTTATTTAATAAGCGGCATTAGGCATAGCAAAGCTTAGGCTAAGCTAAAACGGGGAAATTTTAATTATTTAAAAATTAAATAATTACGTTAGCAGTTTAAAGGTCCGGTTTAGTCCTTATTTAACTTAGGCGCCATAGATAATGAAAGCATGAGTTCATAAAATGCATTGTAAATGAAACGTTTATATGGCAATTGCAACCTTTTAAGCTTTTTAACTTTACATAATTAAGATATTTTAATATATATACATACTTAATTAATCTCTTTCTATTAATCACATACTTTAATGAACTAATTAACCTCCAATCCCTTAATGATAACCCAGGCCTTTTTATATACTTGCCTTTTATAATAATATAGCGCAGCAAAATAATAGTATACTTGCAATTTAACTTACATATGCAATTAATTAATTGCCTTTTAACCTTAAGTTTAATTTAACTTAATATCTTCCTTTCTTTTATACTTTTTAAAAGAGGTATGCACTTACAAAACAGAGACTGCTAGTGTGGGAATAATGAGTGTCGTTTGTATGGAGGATTGTTTGGGATTAGGCAGCTTTGACCCGTTAGGATGCCCGGCAGGCAGCAGCCCTAGCGCTGTATATAAAATAGCTAGCACAGTCAGGCCTTCTGCCTTCCTTCCTTCCATAGTCAACAACGATCAACCACTACACCAACCAAACGTCGTATTGCAATACGTGACCCAGCCAACAGTTTTGGACCAATTACTTCCTCGGCAAGAGTCTATCTCTCCGTCTTGGCCGGGCGTCCACGATTCCTGACTGGGACATCACAACGCATCGACCTTCAACCAACGACCCCTGCAAGGAGCCAGCCATGGCTTATTACGTGCTCTGGGCCGAATCTGCGCGTTGCCAAGGGAACATATATCAACTACTGTATAGCCCCGAAGCTGTCACCCAACCCGACCACGTCAGGCAAGCACGGGCTCAGTTCCTCGTAGACAACCTACGCACGTTGGAGGATGCCATAAAAGAGACTCACGTAGGTAGAAGGCCCAAGTCTCCATAGACCTCACTTGTCTGATTTATTTTCCTTCTAGAAAAAATGGATAAAGACCTCAAAAGAAAATGCCGGAAAGGATCTGATGGACTTCTTCGCCACCTCAGACGAGATCCTCCGGCTCTCGCTGCTTACTCTGGTCCTCCGAGCGGCTCCGCAACCGGCCGGTGCTCCGACAACATTCAGTCCCAGCTGCACTGAGGCCGCTAGGGCTACCCTACACAGACACCAGGACTGCATGACGATCATAGAAAAGAGCAGTTAAGACTTTCTACCAAACTATGTCCACTGGTATGTAACTCCAGCTCGACTAATCTCTGTACCTCGAAATGATGTTGACGGAACAGGACCCTCCTCTTCGCCCCGTTCATCCCCCTCATCGTGGTCTTCTGCCAAGTAATCGAAACCCAGGACAGAGCAGACCTCGACCGCATCGGGGCCTTTTTCACTTCCATCCAGCCCGCTGCCGCCTCTTCAGACGCCGCAGCCAAATTGCACCGCCTCTTCCAGGTCCTGCACGACGCCGCGGCCCGCTACGTCGAACTGTCCTCCGGGTACGGTGGCGGCCAGCCACGGGCCACCGAAGAGAGGGGCATGTACTTGAGACTATTGCGCGCGCAGTCCCCGGGGGAGAGCAGCGGCGGTGACCAACACAGGCAGGGACTCGCTCACGACCTGGGCGGGAACCTCGTGCAGGGCGTGGGTGTCGGAGGCGTCAGTGCTACTTCTGAGGAGCACGCGCCTCCGATGTTGATGAATCCCATGATGCGCATGAGCCACGGGGCGCGGCTGGAGGAGTGGTTCTACAGCAACCAGGCTCTGATGGAGTCGTTCCAGACGTTCTCTCATGACTTTCCTACCGAGGAGGAGCCGGCGACGTGATTCGCGGGGACCGGCATAAAGCATCTGCAGTAGAATATCAAGGTCATGCATGGCTTTCAAGCTGCATTCTGGGATAAAGAGGAAGACGATGACCTGGAGGACTGAAAGCATCCATTTTCATTGACATAGGCATCTATGAGGAAAGCGAAGGTATCTTGTCTAATCTAACGCGACACACACAACAAAAAAAAAAAAAAGGTTAAGAAGGATCAACCCTTCCGCACTGCCTCATAGATAGATGAGGTTTGCCCTCTAAACAGCATCGCAAGAGAACCCGGCCATCCACGACTTCCACTGGAGTATAGAAGCACCGCAACAAGAGCCGCCCCAACCGCCCCGAGTCCCCATAGAACCTTCCCGCCGCGGGGTTTCCCTACGGCACCAGCGTGTGGCAGAGTGACGCCGTGCCGGCTGGGCAGGGGCAGCCCCTCGACGACGGGGCCGGTCTCGGCATGCCTGACTGCGAGCCACATGATTACGCGGTCGCCGAAACCAGGCGAGCAGGCAGTGCACGAAGAGCCTGGAGGGGAGCGTGTCCCTCATGGAGACCGACGACGTCCGGCGGCCCTGCTCGAGGCTGCTCGCGGCGCGGGCGAAGCGGCGCGCCTGCACCTCGGCGAAGACGGCCCCGATGTCGTCCTCGTGCAGCGTGGGGCTCCGGTCCAGTCTCCGCACGAGGGCGTTCACGAGGACGGTTTGCGGTCTCTGTCGCGCCGTGGGCGGTGTTGGGGTGGACCTGTGCGCAACGTTGGTTTTCAACACTATGAGCCGAGGCTGGTATTGGGGCAGGGGGGCTGGCAGAAATACCTTGTGCGCAGCATCTCCAATGCAGATCGTTCTCCGGAGATGCCACCGCTGGAAGACATGCTCCTCGAGGGGGACGAGTGCGGTCTGCAGACGGTTCCTGTAGACGTCACCAAATGTTGTGGATTCGGTGACTTGATCACTAAAATGTCCCTTTGTGAGGATGGCCTCGTCATCCTTTGTGAACCTGGGAATATCACTGCCCGAGGCCAACCTCATGTCTTTGAATAGAAACCAGTACAGCCGGTTTTGTGGTGCCGAGAGCATCATGTAATTCCGGCCATCGAAGAATGCGTTGATCTGCAGAGCAGTCGTAGGAAGTGATTCGGGACGTTTGGATATGCCGAAGACGCATATTGAATCGGATGCCAGCCATGTAGAAGAAAAATCAGCAGCCATTTCATAGAAACGATTTCGGGATTATTACGAACCATCGTCCTTGCCGGCCTGAAATAGTTCAGGATCTGATTCGAGGCCATTCCGCCTCATTTCTTTTCTGACTGCGCTATGGACACCGTCGGCAGCAACAACGTCTCCTACGTATCTAGAGCCATCTTCGGTCTGAACGTGTACACAACCTTCGACTGTGTCCACACGGATAACGCGTTTACGTGTCAAGACTCTGTCTTTAAAATGGAGGTTGTCGTAGAGAACCTGCAGGAGCATCTGCCGGTCGATAAAGATCTGGGGATAGCCGGTTCTGCAACACCCGAATCAGCATATCCAAATTCGACCAGTGGCCCCTAATTCAAAAGCAGCCGTGGTTTACCTGTGCTCCAGCTGTGCGGAAAAGCTCACAGGCTTTTTTTCAATTCAGGATCCTCCCATCGAAGAGGCGAAGGCTTGGTTGGTAATAACAGTCCCCAGCCATTTCCCGGATTCGGTCATAACAGCCCAGCTGATCGAGAATGCGCAGGCCAAAGGGGAGGAGACCCATGCTCGCGCCGAGTTGGGGGGCGATCTCTGGGTGCGCCTCAAGAAGAACATACTCGATGTTGGACTTCTCAAGCATGTTGGCCAAGGACAGGCCCGATACGCTGCCCCCGACGATGACGACTTTGAATCCCATGTTGATTGTCCTTCACACCGGGGAAAGAAGGTTGGCGGGCAGTTGTGTGGTGCCCGGCCAATAAGATTGTATCGAAGGGAGTAGGGACATGTTTTGAAGGATGGAACGGGCCGGCTCAGAGCAGCGGAGCCGACAACTGGGCACTCCCGGATACGAGGCTGGAATTCCAGGGCCGCTATTTCTCGCCGGAAGAGTCATCGGCGTGTTGCGTGTTTTGATGATCAAATCAGTCGGGCCCACTGTCTCAACATTTGGCATCGACGTGGCCGGGGCGCGGGTCTCCGGGTCCCGAACGCTCATACCCTTTTTGGGGCTTCTTAAAGGAGGCTGCGTAGTTTTCATATTCCCGGGCCCGGAACTCCGGGGCCCGAATGCCTGACCACACCAAGTCTCCAGCATGCGGGTATTGCCTGTGTTGTGGGCTTTTCCTTCGGGCGCTGACATAGTTTGACATTCAGTTTTAAGAATCTGTTTCCATGTTCCTTAACGACCTCACTCTGTCTCCTGGGCTCTGTCGTGGCAAAAGGTGAGGGGCTGACTAGACAGATATAACACCCCTGGCGCCGACATGTGGCAGCACGTCCCAGGAAGAGCCCGAGGCTCCTGAATGGAACGCCTTGACCAATCCTTTGTCCACTGGGCAGTCCATGTTCGTGACCTCAGACAGTGGGAGAAAATGTGCGTTTGATCGATGTGACATGATGGCCTCGGGCTTATCTTCTTTTTGGTGTCCTAAACTTTCCTGACCTTGTAATGTATGAGTTACTAGTATAGACTATCTCGGAGTATCTTCCAACTGGTCCTTCACAAGACGAATCCTCAACATGACGTACGAATACGTGCACCAAAGCGAGGTCCCCTCCCCAGGTTTGATATTTGACGGCGAAACCTATAGCGTCGATTGCGATGGCGACGGGCCGGCGGATGAGCCCAACTCCAACGGTATCTCCAAAGCCACCGTATCAATTCCCACCAAAGAATACGCTATCCACTTAATCCATGTCGTCAAATTCCACTGCTGCCACCTCTTTCATCTATATGACGAACAGGAGTTTATGGGGTACTTGGATGCTTTCTACTCGCAATCACCACGAGCCACACCAAGCACGAGGAAGGAGAGGCTTTGGTACATTCAGTTCCTTCTCTTACTCGCTTTTGGGAAAGCATTTGTCTCAAGAAGGTGCCATGGTAGGCGACCGCCGGGTGTGGAGCTTTTCACCCGAGCCCTGGAGCTGCTGCCCAGCACAGTAACCTTGTCGAGAGAGCCCATGATGTCGGTGGAAATTCTAAGTTGTTTGGCGCTGTATATCCACTGTCTCGACTACAGGATCTCAGCATACAACTATGTGAGTCTCCGTCTTGTTTTGATGGTTGCAGGAGCTGACCCCGGTGGCAGATTGGCCAGGCCATAAGGCTGGCCATGTGCAATGGCATGCACGGGTATGTGGACCCCCACCAAGTCGGCCAAGACGTTGCTCAAAGATATCAAAAGATATGGGCGACCGTTTATGTTCTCGATTGCGAACTTGAAATGACGTCGTGGCAAGGACTGGCTCCGTCCGTCAATAGCGAGGACATCGGTACGCCCTTGCCGACATCTCTCGACGATCCTGGCCTCGCCAGCGCCCTTGCCATGCGTGTTAAATTATCCCGAGTCATTTCTCGTGTGAATAAATGTAGGCGGAGGCTCGTAATCTTGGCCTTTCTACTCATGACTGACGCGCCTCCTCCATAGCAATCTACGGTCCGGACGGGCGGCTGGATGGCAAGTTTCTTATGCGAACCAAGGAAGCATTGCCGGGAATTGCAGAGCTTACCGACACACTCCAGCGAGACTTTCCTCTTGTTCTCGACGATGCAGCTACAGGAATTTCTAGGAAATCTGCTCATATACATCTGCTCTATCACCAGGTACGTGCATTGACTTCGGGCCCATGTGTTCTTGTCCGTTACTGAGGTTCATTTCTGATACTCCTCAGTGCATCATCCTTGCCACGAGGCCTTTGTTGTTTTGTCTGCTGAAGCTTCGGTTGGATCGAGGGAAGTCCAGCGGGGACCTTTCTCCTCCGTCACCGACAGTCCAGGGGCTCGTACAGATGTGCCTGGACTCTTGTTTTCAAATCATTCGGATTCTAGAGTGCCTGCAACATCAAGAGCTTCTAGGTAAGGACTTCTACACAGGGACTAAATATGCTTACTGACCTACGGAAGAAACGTTCCTCATATTTGACCTCGAGGCACTCTCCATATCTACTACAAACATTTTGCTGGCGCCTGCGATCGCCACTGGGCCAGCGCCAAATCAAAATCTAATGCTACAAAAAGCATATTCCGTCTTTGACGAAATCGTCGCCAACGGCAACAGAATAGCGAAACTGATGCGCCCCGAGCTGCAACAGCTGGACCAGCTCCTCTCGGATGTCTCACAAGACAACCGGCCCACGTCGGGTGATAAGGCTGATACGCAGCCCCAAATTTGCGCCGAGGCATCCGCGGTGCATACTGCAATGCCACCTCTGGACCCGGCGTTGGCGCAGGGGGAGCTGGTTGACCCACTGCCTGGGATTGCTTTTGGAGGGGATGGATTTGGGGGCATTCTTTCCGCCGACCAAATCATGGACTTGGCAAATGCCATCAATATGGACCATGCAGAATGGATGTTACAGGCCACGAGGAGTCCAGACATGTAGACGATAAGCCAATGGGGGTTTCGTGCTTTGGATTGATAATCTACGTTAGTCACAGACTCCTGAGTTTGGTGATCGTATCTCGCGAAGGAGGATCTCAAGCATGTCCAAGAAGTCTGTGAACAACCTTGCCTAAGATACCAAGAGCCTGCATAAACATTACGTAGAAATGTTTATGATCCAGGATGATAAGATCGCATCTGTGCTATCTATAGGGTAAGCAGGTGACAAGCATGAATGGCTGATAGCAATTATCTACGCAGTTGTATAATGAATTCATCAAGCCTTTGCATTATCCTGATATGATAAGCATTGGGCAGCATATAATCAGATCAACACTGCGATGACGAAGCCCTGGCCACCTGCCAACCCTGCCTCCAACCCGACTGACTCGACTTGGGGCGTAACGTCTTGAGCTGACGTCGGGAACGGAGCCGTAGCGTCAAATCAACCCTGCCTCCAACCTGGACTGACTCAACATGAGGCATCATGTGACGTCGGGTGAGAGGCCGTAGCGTCAAATACATGCCGGCTTTGGTAGCCAAGGGCTGCGCCTTGTCAGCTCAATGTCCTCAATGCGCTCAATGCGCTCAATGCGCACCCTGCCCACTCCACACATAGCGGTGGAGCAACTGTCTTAATCCGTGGTACGGCTCCAGCTCCGATGGTTTTTTAACTGGGGTTCTACGTCATCAAACAGAGTTGGAGTTGTCTGCACAAGTCCAGGCCGCAGAGCCCCCGGACACCTTGTACGAGTCGATGATGCCGACAATCGACCCATAAGTCCCGGCAATCATCATGAACGTGCCGGAAACGATAACAAACCCGCTGAAAGCGACCATCGCCATCCACTTCCATGATCTCTCCCGCTTGCCCTCGCTCCAGTTATCATAGAGCCACATACACCCGTAGGGCTGGAAACACATGAGTGTTCCCAGTAAAGCACCGATAAGGGATACAAGGCCGCCGAATACTGGGATGCCGCTGGCAATAAGATAGGCAATAATGGTTATGCTGAAAGTGCAGCCCAACCAGGTTCCCCAGTGGACGAAGGTGTTTGCCGTAAGATGATGGGAGCCTCGGAGCACGCGGATGAAGATGTACTTTGCGGGTAACTTGATATCCGCGTTAGTACATTGTTGAGGAATAGAGATAAAATCTAACGGCTGGACTTACGTGAATAACAATAATAGTAGTAGCAAAAAGGCCGGGCAGAGCGAGACCGTAGCAGACCTTCTTCATCAACACGCCCGCAGACCCAAGTGCCGGCGAGGCAACATAGGAACCACAGAAGTAGTAAACTACGACGCCGATTGTGATGTAAAAGGCTGTGACGCTAGACTGACAGACCATTAATGACCGGTTGTAAAGTCTTGGGTCTCGCATTTCGGCAACGATGGAAAAGAAGGCGGGTGTGCCCGCGTAGGCGAAGATTAGGGATGATACGGCAGTAATAGCTTCGGTGAAGGAAGGACTCTTGAAGAGCTGATAGTCGGACTCCCAATGGCCGGTCTGAGGCGCTGCTGCTGGCCGTTCTTGGATGCCAACGGCAATGGTGACGGCGAGGACTAAAGTCATGGTCAGTGTCTGTTGCAATTTAGGGCGAAGAAATCGAAGGGGAGATGCTTACTAGAGGTGAGGATACAAGTCAAGCCGACCCAAGCAATCCAGCTAATCTTTCCTAGAGTCTGAATACTGGCGAGTGAGCCTCCAACAACGGCCGCAACAGCGACGAAGATGGCCGTGCAAGCTCCATGCGTCGAGACGGCGTTGAGGCCGATGGAGAGACTCAAAATGCCGGAACCCGCAACAAAGATGAAATCTGCGGGAATTTATCAGCATTTGAAAAAAGATGATGAGTTGACTCGGAGATGTGCTAACACAGGCAGAATGCGCCACCCATCAATTCACGCCCGAAACGGCCAAACAGTAACCCGCCAACGTCACCAATGCTGTATATTTCGGGATGTCGAATCTTGAAAACACCGACAATGTAGTCGGACCATGTTGTTATACCGGCGATGACCAAAAGGCAGATGACACCGGGGATGAGACCTAACGTATCGAATGCGGAGGGAATTGATAGGACGCCGAGACCAATCATGGTCTTCATCAAAAGGGCTACGGTCCCGATCCAGCCGACCTGCAAAGAAATCACCAGCGTCAGTACTGGTGTCATTACTGTGAGCAGCACGGTATACATACATCACGATAATTGGTATCGCCCTCGGCCACGTCGCCAAAGACCGCGTCGTGACCAGCCTCGACATGGTCCGAGACGCCGTTCCCATAGGACGTAGTATTGAAAAGATCCGAGGTTTCTTCTTTCTTCATGTTGTCCGAGTCTGAAGGAGTGACGGACTCGGGTTTCTCGTTGGGATACATGGTGGCAAGAGGGAATGGGGGAACTGAGCGGATTAAATGAGATGTGACATAGATATGGTACCGCAGAATCGGTGTCGCTTGTGTGAGGTTCTACAAGCTGATGAATGGGTCGAGGACAAGTGATGATGAGGCTTGAAGAACTCGAAAAAGACACTTGGAGGATTTCTAGGGGGCTTTTATCGTCGAGAAGCGAGACGCATCCTAGTCGATGTCACTCTGGAGTCGGACAGCTTCCGTCATCACCGGGCGCTCACCCGGCGCCCAGCCGGCCATTCCACCCCCGCAGGGATACGTCGTGCTACGCAACGGTCCCCGTTATTTTTGCCTCACCCAAATCAAGCACCTTTTCCCCCGTCCTGGGTCAAGCGGCATCCAATCTGGGGTAACTGTGGGGGGACCCACCCCCGGCATGCTGGCCATGAAACTCAAGCGACGGGCTGCCCGCACATGGATGATGCCAGTAACCGAGAGCTATTTTCATCCACTCCTGCCACATACTTGTTGAGTCCCGCCGAGATGCAGGTGTATTCTTGACAGTTTGTCAATAGCGCCAGCATGAATGGCAGCGGAAACCAGGCCGTGCCTGGCACTAAAAGTTTTGGTGTGTAGTAACAGCTTCTAGAACAACACCGGTTTGCAGATATAGCTTCTAGAACGACACTGGTTGCGGATGTAGATTGGATAGTTCTGTCTAATGCCTTTATATAGCGAAAACAACTTTGGCCGGCATATGCATTGTCCCTTGTCTAGTAGGATAGTATGTATTGGCGTTCCGGCTTAGCAGTGGAACTTCCAGAATACAGATAGTTTGTACATGGTTCGAAACATATTAACTGGTCTGCAAAATACTCGAGATAGAGCTCCGATCTGACTGTTTGATAGTATTTGAAACACAATTCAGCGAGATCCGAGCAGGCCCAGTCTACATCGACTAACGTTTAAATTCCACGGGGCAGTGTGCTGTTTGACGTCATTTTTCTCAACAGCTCGAACCACGTGTCAGGGCGGACCATCTCGAACTCAGGCCCCAGCTGCTCCACCATGCGACCAACATTTGCCGGCGCCATGTCAAAGGCAGCCAGAGCGCCCGCGACGAACAAGGGACCGCGTCCAGCCCAGTTATCCGAAATATCCCTCAGAGTCACGGCGCCACTTTTTTTCGTCCCCGATGCTCACCAGGTTTGTTACTGGGAGCCCTGCAGTCACGTTGACCTGGATGCCTCCCACTGTGGAGACGAAAGCCCCAAAGAAGATCCCACGAAGCCTGTCCTCCCCCACCGCGTCGCGAAAGGCAGCGATCATCCCCGGCGTTAGCGGGGTGTGTCGGTGGAGTTGACGCGATCGTACGCAAACAGCACCTTGTCTGTTTCTGTGGACCGCATGTACTCCCCGCTCTGGTTGAGGTAAAAGCACAGAGCTTCTCCGGGCCAGACCCCCCGGGCAGGTGTAGCCTGCGCCATCAGGCCCGGCGACGAGCAGGCCGTTGGAGGTGGACGTCTCCTGATAGTCTAGTACGAAAGGATGCCGGGCCCGATGTCGCGTAGGACTCGGAGTGCGCTGATGGTCCAGCCGAGCGGGACATCTCCCCTCGCGGCGTCGTTCCAATGTGTGAACATGCGCCGCTGGTTGTATTGGACGTTGTCGCCTTCGAGATAGACGAGAGACAGGAAGATTTTGGTGCTGTTCTTTGGGGGAGGGCGCGGTGATGACTCGGGTTTCGGAGGCTGTCGGTGCTGGTCCCCAGGTCTGAACCCACTGAATATGGTCGGGTTGGAGTAGAAGTCCGTAGCAGCGACGTATGCGCCGTTTCTTGCCAGCTGCGTGACACCGGCCATTTCGTCCCCATTAGGAAACCAGCCGAGGTTAGCTGTGTTGGGCTGGAAACGACGTAGAAGACTGTCAAGTAGTGCCGCCTCCCGCGGTCGATTGCTATCCAGCCAGACGCATGGAGCTGCTGTGCTGACGATATAGTCACGGAATATCGCGTTCACCTTGTGGTACCCAGGCGGTGATGCTGATGCAGATACTTTGAACTGGTTCCACATTGACAGAGTAATTGCCAACCGAGTGGCCTGGGGCGGATAGCCAAATTTGTAGACGATTGAAGATGTACCGTCTGCGAACCGCCACCCTCCAGGATAAGTTAGTAATCGGCCAAGTGTGAACCACCGTCATCGAAAAAGAAAGGATCTTCAGCATCAGTACCGGGCCGAAAGTCGGCTGTGGTCCCATTTCCATCCGCTGTAACGCTCGCATGATAGACTGATGGCCCGTAACCATCTGCGGGAAAAGCGTCCGAGATGTTGATATAGACGGTATTGCTGTGGACGATGAGTCGAGACAGATCCACTCTGTATGTGCCATTGTTGGAAGAGTCCGTGACGGACGAGTTCGCCTTCAAGAGTGCATCCCAAGTCCTGTTGGCATATAGAGTGGTCGAAACAGGCTTGATCGCCGTGATGAGGCGATCGGTGGCATTTGGCCACACGTTCCGGAATGCGTGCTCATACACCACATACTTGTCCCTGAAGAGACCTCTGAGATCCTCAAGGATGGGGATATCAAAGCGCAGCGCTAGATCTTCGGTCGCCAGAACGGCGTCGGACATGCCTGCCATTCAAGTTGTTGAAGCCAAGTTGATCGTGTCTGGGACTTTGACGTCGTAGACGATGGCTCCACGGATATCAGACTTGTACTTATCGATCAAGTCAAAAGGATTGCTCGTCACATCCACGCTTTGAACACCCTTGGCTTCGAGTTGCTCCAGCCAGGCTTGATTGACTACGTCGTCGGATTCTTCACCCACTTGCGGCCAATCTAGATATAGCCGTGGTTGCTGCCGATTGACCAACCCTTGCAGAGAAGTAAGGAGGAGCTGTTCATCACCGTACAGTGCGTTGAGCTTGGCATATTCGATTTCTTCCGCGATATCAGGGAATAGAGGGAACGCTCGGTCTGGTGGCCAGTCTAAACCAGAGGGAGTGAGTACGTGATGAAAAACAAATGGAAAGCAGTGCGGCGAGTATGATGGGAAGATACGGCATCTGAGATTTGCTTCTTGATGCCATAGAATTCTGTCAGTCTCGCGTCTCAATTATAACATGGTGAGTCCCCCTTTCCGATGGCAGACCACTGGTGTGCGGAAAGATTCCACTTCTTCAATAATATAGTCGAGAGGACCGGTTAAACGAGACACGCAGAGAAGGAGATTGAAACGAGGCTGACATTCGTATTGAACCTCCAACCTTGACTGTATTTCTCTCATCACAGCGATCTCGTCAAAGCTTATGGTCACCCTTAATTATGTTTCCCTGCTGGAGACCATTGGATGAACGAGGTGTGCAGAGCGGGGAACAGGCACAAGTCAGATTAGCCTTGAAGTGTTAACCTTAACTCTGCTCCTCGCAGCATGGCTAAAATTAACTCAGCAAATATCTCGGTGCGTGCAATCTTATTAGGTGCGCCGGCTAATTTACCTCGATCACAACTTGGTCCTGGCAACTGTGGCAAAGTTCGCCGCGGCAGTCCACTGTGCACAACGTAGCAAGAAACACTTGATTAACAGACGCATTTTCTGGTGAATTCGGCTCTGCCCCGTATTCCTCCGCCATCAAATCATTCGCCCGGAAAAGACTGCTCTGAAACTTGGGAGGGGCTTTCGGTGTTCAAGGTGGCGGGTCTTGGTCGAGGAAGTTGGTCGCGAGGGTGGCTACCACAGTTAGATGGTAAAGTGTTTTTGAAACTGTCAGATTCAAGTCACCACTTCTCCCTCGCGTGAAGGTCGTTTGTTTCATTCATTCACGCGTTGAGCTACAGGTCTTTCTACATATTTAGAACTGCAATTCGAAACGTTCAGCTCGCATTGCCAGGGACGGACTCAAAGATGTCAGTATGGAGGCCGTTTTACGGGCGTACAACGCGGATGGCGGCAGAGCTAGGCAATTGTCATCAAGCGCCCTCAGCCGCCAAGCCAATATTCTCCTTCTGCAAGCAGCTGAAACGCCTTGTAAGCAGCCCCCTACGAAGAGGCGCTTTCTGTTACACCGTATCTCCTGATGCAGAGGGTTAGCATTATTGGCCGAATTCACCTGAGTGGCATTTCAGGTGTGACATACTGCGTTAACCTACAACTCCGCCCGGGCGGTGCCCAGAATTTAGCTGGCCACAGATCCTTGAAAGATGTCAGGCGCATTGGAGCCGCAGATCCATCGCCAAACTTGGCAACCTTGGAAGAGTTGGAGGCAATCTTTCCGCAATCAGCCGACGAGTCACCGAGCTCAATATTGAAGAAGGACTCGTGTCGTTAATTGCAGGTCTATGTACGGGCCGCATTTCTCGCCACCATATTGCATTTTCCCATTAGCAGTATGTGTCCAGGCGATCATTATGGCATCTGTAGCCGCCGGGGTGGTTGTGGCTTGATCTAAAGATCTTTGGCATCTCGCTCACCTCCAGCTTCAATAGCTCACGGGGCGCCCCATAGTGCACAAACGAATAAACAACACGAAACCTTGGCTATACAGCTAAGCTATTCAAGATTGAATATTATCCGAATGTTTGCCGATCTTACATCTATACATATGGGCCTTCTGGCCCGCCTTCGAATAGCTAAATTAAAGCAAGTCTACAACTGGATACTTAGAAGCTTGCACCACTGCGGGCATGAACATACCCTTCGGACCCGGTTCTAAACAATACCATTTCTTTTAGTGACACTAATGCCACAGCAGAAAACGATATCGTATCAAAAAGAGAACACTAGCGACAGACACCAATCATGTCGAGCAGCAGCCTTGAAGCAGCAAGTATGGCCCGGGCCGTGGGACATGAATACAACAGGAGCAGAGTATGGGCAGCCACACCTTTGGAGGCAGACTATACGATTGACGCCAATAATACTGGCTGGGTAGGCGAAACCCTAGCAGAGCTGAGGTCCGATGCATTTGCCAGTGAGCACAAATTAAACGCCCGCACTAAAGTGACTGTCGAGCTGGCAGAAGGCACTTACATGGGAGGCGTGAAGGATGGAGTGGGAGGCCACCATCTTTTTCTCCTCAGTGACCCTGGAGAATCGCCAGAGACCAGACGGTGGCACCCGACAGAGTCTGTTGCCATAGCCGAGGATCCTAGTGGTACATGCCGTGTTACCCTGACGGCAGTCAAAAGCTCTCGTGGGACTTCAGCAAAGAGGGAGACTTTTTCTATGCGCCCGACGAGCTGCTACCTGTGCGACGAAAGGATTTCTGCCAAGTTACAGCAGTCTTCAGAGCACAGGTCAAGAAAAGTCCCTGGTTCAAGCGCGTGTGGACATGGCAAGAGGGGCTCCTTGCCAGAAGCAGCATGTTCGTAACGGGCAGCGACATCCTGGACGGTTGGCAGGTGGACAACATCCTCAAAGCCACCAGGCTCGCTCGGTGCAGTTACGTGAGTCACCTACCGGCCCTCCCTGCAAGCTCAAACATACAGTCGCTCAACTTAACTGCTTCGTCGGACACTCAACTGCTGTGCATGAGGACGACCAATGATGCCACTAGCAGGGAGCTAAGATGCCTATGGGGGCCTCCCGGAGATTCACTCTCATGAAGGCTGCTGTGGCAACACGCCGGCGCACTGCGAGTCGGAAGCTTGACGAGCTGTTCGGGTTACTGGGCATGGTGGAAGGCGGGGAGCGGATGACGGTGCGGGCCGGACATAAGATCGAGGGGAACAACAATGGCATGGCCGTCCTCACTGGAGCTCCAATGCCCAAGGGTTGCAAGTGGACGCGCGCCGATGGCAATGCCGATGCTGGATTCAAGCTGAAGTCAGAAGAAGGTCAAATCTTGGCTTCAAGCAACAATGTGGAGCTGACCAAACACCTGGAAAAACCAATGTTGGTCGTCCTCCTGGATGATGTTTTGTCCGGCGACTGTTATGGCACATTTGCGATGATGGAAGAAACCGATCAAATGACTATGCGCAGGATTACATCTAGTCGGTTACGGGTCGAGAGCGCAGGGTTATCTATGGAACAAGGAACATATGTGGTAGGCTAGATAGTGTAGACTGACTGTGTTACGTCGTGCCCTTAAAAACGTTACATTTAGGTTCAGGTGTTTTAACTACACTTTCAGCCGTTGTGCCGTCAATGAGCACACCAGCAAAGACTCGCCTAGCAAGCGCCAGGGTTAAAAAAAAAGGAGCAGAAGTTGCCAAGTCCAGGAATTGAACAAGGCACCTTCGAGGTGTCCCTACATACTATAGCCCAGACAGGATCATGCTAGGGGCCGCAGCCTGAAACAGTTGCACCATAGATACCTCAGCTCAAGAGGTGAAAACTGGACGGTTTTGCCTGTTTATAAGGACGGATACAGTCTTGGGGCCGGGGAGGGGATGGTCGGTTGGAGAGTTGGGAATCTCAGTGAATGAGGAAACCCCAAAGCAGGCCTGGTTGTAAGCGTAGACCAAGGTACGTACCCCACTTCAGAAAAGTGGCTCTACCGTCCATTAGCAAATCAACGTGCACAGACCACTACTACCTTATGTAAGCTGGCCTGACCTCTCCTCACTGCTGCCTTCTGCTCCCAACCACCAACCACCACACCACACCCTTGCATCACCATCATCATCTCCATCATGACCAACATCCTGACATCTTAATACTGCATTGCACTCTTAGCAGTACCGTCTCAGCTTCACTGTCGCGCACCCACTGCCACGCTACAGACTGCTCGAACCGTGGGTTGCGACTCTGGTTTCGGGCGCTGGGCTTTGGGGAGCAACGTGGTCGACTGCCTCCGTACGCGCTTGGCGAACTTCGTTGCGCGCGGCAGAGACGCTGAGAAGGAGAAGGAGGGCGAGTGTCGCTGTTGCTGTTGCTGTTGCTGTTGCTGTTCATTCACTCGCTTGGGTTGCAATGCAGTTGCAGTCACAGTCACAGCTCCACAGGGACTTCTCTCCCTTTGCCCCCGTTTCCCAATGCTGCCATAGCTGACCGGCATGATCAATCTTGTAGGGCCCATCGCGAAAGATCATGTCCATCTCGAACCAACCTTCAACCCAAGGTCTTGGCCTCCGTGGCCGTAACATCAACGGCTGCTCGATCAACATTGATCATCTCGACTCCCATCACTGCAATCATCAAGAGAACTCAAACGACGCCCTCCCACTTCCCGCCACCCTCAGCATCTTCTTCAACCCAGACAGAAACCTTGCGTTTTTCCGGCTGCGTGCTCAAATCAGCCTCGAAGTCGGCGCAGAGACACGTACAGTGCCCTTCTTCCTCCACATCCCGCCCGACAAGATCGACAACCTCAGCCTACACCAACATGCCAGAACCGCCGACACTACTGGCACCACTGGCTGTCCCAACACAATCCATCCCTCTATGAAGACATGCCTCCGTTTCCGCCTTGCTACAACAGGCTCCATCAGTATCGTTGCGCCCCAAAGCCTGCCGGCCGGCAACCTACGCGCCGCGAATCCCGCTGCTTGTAACACCCTTGATGCCCTGCGCTTGCTCGCTCAACAAGCCGCCATTTGTATATCCCTGCCGCCCGCCGCAGCCACAGTATCCGACCCAACACAGCTTACCGCCCTCTGCGAGGCCGTGTCGACAAGTGGTCGGCTGCATCCGGACCCCGTCCAGGCCAACCTGCGCTCACTGTACCGTGGGGAGGGCGGCCGGGTTGTCGAAGTCGACGAGTTGGTCCCCTTTTCGAACAACGACCGCCCACCTTTGTCGTTATTTGCTGGCCTCCCACCGGCTTACCCGGACGTTGCCGCCGACGCGCCTCCTCATCCCTCTCCTGGGTCTGGACCAAAGCGGCGGCAGCACAAAAGACCGCGCACGCGGTCGCCCTCGCCCACAGTTAGCAGCAGGAGCGAGGCCAGGAGCAGGAGCAGGAGCAGAAGTAGGAGCGGGAGCCGGAGCTCGAGCAGTTCGCCCAGGTACAATAAATGGCAACATCTAAATCTTGCGGTTGGCGAGCGGGAGAAAATCATGGCCGAGCTTTTGCGGCGCACAGAGAAAAAAGAAAAGGCTATAGAGGAACTTCTGCGGCGCGCAGATAAGAAAGAGGAGCGACTCGGTGCAATGCTGTGCGACATAGACGAGAAGCGCATGCGGGTAACTGACGAGACGCGCAAGCTGACGGCTCTAATCGCGTCCTCGGAGGACTGCCGCCGTCACCAGCAGCAGGAACAGCAGCTCGAGAAGGCTGACTCTGCTGAGCGCGCCGCGTCGCAAGTATCCACTGCCTCGCCTGCGCCCCCCGGGCCGCCGGCATCAGAAGGCCACGACTCGACGGCCTCCGTGTCTACCGATGTCTCAGACCGTGTGCAGGCGTACATCGCCACGCAGCTTGATGGCCTGCGTGATGAGATGCGTACGCTGCAGCAGTCGACGGCCAACGACATGGATGAGCTTATGGACCGGAGGCTGGAAGACTATGTGGAAGAGGAAGACATGTTTGATGCGATCCGAGGGGCAGTGGATGAGGCGGTCGCGGGTATCCGAGATAGGATATTGGATGCTTGGATATAGGAATATTGGGAGGAGCATGCTCCCTCAGCCATTTGAGCCTCTATTTCGAGGATATTTGCTATATAAGGGCTTCTTGTAGCTTCTCGCTCACTCCACGACCCAGCTCGTCTCCTCAACTCGCCCCTCGGAGAACAGACGCAGTGCCTCCCCGTACATGACCCCATGAACATAAGCCTCGCCCACAAGGCCCCACCGGCCTTCACCTTCACCAGCTCGCCGACGCAACACGTACGGCGTTGGGCAATAAAATGCCACAGCCAACGTGTCACCCGCCTTTGTGTGTGCGGGCCCCAGTCCTATCCGCCCGCCCTTCGTGGCGAAGAAACGCCGCCGCCGCGTGACCCTCCGTAGCGCCTCCGCGTACCTCTGAACGTCGGGGTCTAAAACCCCGGGGAAGGCCGTACCTGCCGCCTCCACAGCCTGCATATGCTGTCTCAGGCGGAGGTGGGGCGCCGCGCAGAGCTGCGGGTCGGCCGGGTCCCGGTCGTCGGCGATGAGCGTGCGCGCGAGGGCGTCGAAGCCGTCCGCGCCCCCCGGGGAGGGTCCGGCGCGCCAGGGCGAGGCACCGCTCGTGCCACGGGAGGGCCTGCTGGCTGCTGGCTGCTGCTGTCGCCGTCGACCACCTCGGCCACCTCGTCCGCCGCCAGCCCGCCGAGCCGGATCGCGTCCGTCCACTCGACGAGGTGGATCTGCCGCGGGTCGTCCGTGCTGTACAGGTTGCGCGCCGAGTCGCGGCCCCGCAGGATGGTGGCGAAGAGCTTGCCGTGGAAGAGCCTGCTGCGCGGTGTCGCCCGCCGGCCGGTCGTCATCGTACACGCTGACGGGTAGCAGCCGCCGCGAGGCCAGCGGGGCGGTCTCGGGCCGGGACGCGAAGTTGGGGCACCAGCCCGGCAGGCCGGGCATCATCTCGGCGGCGCGGGCGTGGTTGAGGAGGCACTCCCTGGGCTCCTGGCGGATGTAGTGCTTCCCGTAGCGCACGAAGCCGTCGCGCGCCGGCTGGGCCGACTGCAGGCCCAGCCTTCTTGATCATGCCCTTGTCCAGCAGCGCCGACTGGCCGATCACCATGTCGGCGGGGAGGGTGGCGCGGCGCCGGCGGGTGGCGAGGAGGAGGGCTGAGAGGGAGATGGCCCAGCCGGCGTTGCCTCGCCTGCAGGTGCGGATCTCCTCCAGGCTGGCGAAGGCGTGGCGGTGGTCAACCCCATCGTCGGACGGAGGCCCATTCATGGCGAGGAGCCATTCCTCGAGACCATTGGCTTGGATGACGGAGATCAGGTCCTCAAAGGTGTTCCATTGTGCCTGGCTTTCACCGCATATTATTGTTGCGTTGGGTGGCTTGTGGTCGACTTTCTTGTCAAATGACGGCTCGTTCGGGGCGACCACGACCTCTTGGAGTGTCCACAGCCGCGACCACCAGGGCCGGGCAATGATCGTGGACAGCGGCCGCCAGACTTCCTGAGAGGGGGCTGGGATACCAATTACTTCGAAGCTGTCTGGATTTGTTGGGTCGAGCTTGTGGCCCTCAGGCAGAGCGCGTAGATCCGAATTCAGTGTCGGCATGGCCAGAACGGTGCTCTCTTCCGCGGCAGCAGCCTCACCCAGCCAGACGTATACAAGTTCGGCCGCCTCGTATACGTACCGCATGAGTGTGATCTGATTGTCCTTGTCCTCCAGGCACCCCTGGTTGATACAGATCGCATCGATCCATATGAAGCGGTTGTACCGACGGCGCCGCAGCCTGCAGGAAGGCGTGCAGGTTCTTCTGGATGAGCAGCATGCCATCCCGATGTGGCTCGTAATTCGTCACGGCCCTTCCATCGCTTGATTTCTTATTGCTGATGGATGAGACGTACAGCGGGCGAGGCTCCCTTGGGTCTCCCTAGCAATAGGACAGGGCGTCGTAGCCCTTGCCGTCACTGAGCTCGTCAAAAGTATAGTACAGGTCCTCGCTGAAGGACTGATACCAGAGGCGTGGCGTAAATGTTAGCATATCCGAAGTCGATGTTGGTGATGGACAGCAGCTTGCCAGACAGCGGCTCGTCGGCCCCGTTCAGGTCGAGCTTGAAGAGCCGCATCAGGTGCGGGCGTGTTGTGTCGTAGGCATACGGCTGATCTGCCATTTTGCATTACTGGTAAATGAATGTGTTGTCTCTTCCCAATGCTATGTGGTATTGGTTCTTGAACAGCAAACAGGCAACATTAGCTTTAATATATAGCGCTATAGGCAACTGCCGAATTTCCATTATGGGGGCGACAGTGATCTCCTGCCGCATATAGAGATGCGGAACCCTAGGCGGCTGAAAATCGCAAATCTAGGGCCATCAGTCTAGACTTTTGATTGGATATCCAGTGGGAACTCGAAATTTCATGTCTTTGGAATAGAGCCTTTACTATCCAATGATCCGTCTGAATCAATGTCATGGAAACAGATAAAATACCCAATCGAGGCTCTGGCAGCAGCTCACATTGGCACACAGCCAAAGGTAAAAGATAGTCCACACAGCGTCTGGGTTGACCATTGCTTCCTGGCCTGACAGATAAACCCTTGGAATGCTGCCGAGAGTTCATGTATTACTAAGGACTGAAAAATTCTTATTCGGCAGGAACATGTATTTGAAAGACGTATTTGTACCGACAAATTCTCAGAAAACGGAAACAGGCAGCCGCATACTGGATGCTCGTCGATCAGGTTGGCCCGCTAGTGATAAAAGTGGCCGGCGTCCGGTGTCCGGCACATCGATCAGTGTCAAACTTTTGTGAATTGTCCATTGCACTGGCCCAAGATTGAAACAATTCACTTTAAAATTCTGGAATCAAAAATAGACGAAGGAATGGGGCAGTGCCGTCCCACTATGTTTGTGGCCGCAGAACTGTCGCCGGGTGACTCAGCATGGCTTAGCCTCCCTCAATGAACCTCTCCAGTGAGTTTGGCCTGCCTGAAGAAAGGCCATCGCATGTCCTGGGAACAAGAACTTTTTGAGGTTCAAGACACATTATTGATCTACACAATTCACCTTTGAAATACACTTTCGACGACTGAAGGCTTGAGCACCCCGCAAGACAGCTGGAGCAACCTCAACCTGGCCCCTGAATCAACACCAGTCGCAATTGGACATTTACCACGCATGAACATGGCTCCAGACGACGCCATCCACCTCGATGGCCGTACCGGCGAGGGCGGTGGCCAGTTAGTGAGAATCGCAATCGCGCTCGCCTCGGTCGCATGCAAGCCAGTCAAGATCACAGATGTGAGGGGCAACCGCCCAGGGCCACGAGGCGGAGGTAATTGCACAAATGGAACCCCAAACAGCTTCCTGCGTATCATGATCCGCTTCAGAGCTGACAGTCCCGCCCACCAGGCCTTAAGTCACAACACTTCACATCCATCGCCTGGCTCGCCAAGGCAACAGGTGCTGACGTCAAGGGCCTCCAAGTCGGCAGCAAGACGCTGGAGTTCCGGCCAACCCGCGGGCCCGGCGAGCTGTGGGAGAGAAATATCACGATCCGCGCCGAGTCTGCTGCTGCAAGCGCGCTGCTGGTCTTCCAGGCCGTGTTCCCGTTCCTCCTGTTCGCGGGGAACGAGAGCGGCGAGCCGGTTGAGCTGACCATCTCCGGCGGCACCAACGTCTCCTTCTCGCTCAGCTACGAGTACCTGGACCAGGTGCTGCTGCCGACGCTCGAGGATTGGTTCGGTGCCCGCGTGGATAGGCGGCTTGATGGCAGGGGGTGGAGCTTTGGCCCGGCATCGAGAGGGACACTGTGGTTCAGGGTACAACCCGTCTCGCTCGGGGAGACGCTGAAGCTCAGGGATGGGCTAGAGCTGGGGTCGCGGCCAGGAGGTTTCGACATCAAGACTATCGACGTGACCATCATCACACCAAGCACCATGCACGCGGAGCTCCAGGCCGCCCTGCGAGAGCGTCTGGAGAAGACATTCCCCGGGGTGGAGTACGATTTCCGCGCGCCCGAGGAGAGCAAGCACGAGTCGCGCATCTATGTCCTCCTGGTGGCCAAGTCAGTGACACTGCGGCGGGGACGGGATCTACTCTACAATGGAAGGCGCAAGGGTAAGACGACGGCGAAGATCAGCGACGAGGTGGCTAGGGCTGTCACCAAGTCGCTCGCCGAGGAGATCAGCACCGGAGGTGTTGTGGACGAGTTCCTGCAGGACCAGCTCGTCATCTTCCAGGCTCTGGCTGAAGGCAGGACAAGCTTCCCGAGGAGTAGGCCTGAGGGTCATGGAAACGTTGGGCAAACGGGGCAGGCGGCGGGTTCCATCGAGGACGAGCTGGACAGGCTTCACATCGGCGATCGGCTGAGGAAGGACAGAATTGACAAGCCATTTGGCGACCCTGAGACGGACAGCACCCACACCCAGACAGCTCGGTGGGTTACGGCGGAGCTTCTGGGGCCAAGGTTGACTTGGTATAACAAGGGCAGGCTATGTGAAGGAATTGGCTTGAAGTCAGGCATGAGCCAGTCCCTGTCATAGCTGGCATGCCGAAATAAGTAGCCCTATCCGCCAAAGTCTTTTGTTTGTGTGATCATACGTTCAGCAGTGGATGATGCGGTCCGGACTTAGCAAGAACTGGGAAAGACGCAATTACTAAATCTATGTAATTTTACCCAGAACTGTATGAGTCTCTACAAGATGAAATGTGATATCTCAAATCATTTATGCATCCCATCAGTTCAACCCTATTAATCAAGTTGCCCATGATCGGAGTGGGTAGGTCACAAATGGAGTTGTTTACTTCGTACCCTCCCTGAGGGTATTGAGTTTACGGCTGACAAGACTCAGCCGAATTCCTGAAGTCTTTTTGAGAATCAACACCACGCCACTTAGTTTGGGTCGTTCAGCGCCGGAGACACCAGTATTGCCAGTCAGCATTGCTTAATCTAATCACAGGGGAAGAATCCTCGAGAACGGAAGCAGACGCTCTGAGCGAAGATCCCAGCTACGTAGTGGAATCCGGGATTTACACATAAACGAAAACGAGGCTAAAGTCATCAAGTAAATATCCTTGGGAATATGGACATCTCTAGCTATCATGCGCAAATTATTAAGCGTAGCTGGGAGTGACCCGAGCTTGCGAGGGGCGCTCCCGGCTGTGGTTAAGTTCATTATGGTAAATCTGCAAAATGTTTCTCATGCGGGGATTGGTTAATTAATGTATCGCTTTATACCTATGGGGCAAGGGGGCTGTGCGCCCTCTGGCCCTTTGGCGCTCTATTCGCCCATTCGCCCATTCGCCCATTCGCCCTTTGGCCCTTTGGCCCTTTGCGCCCTATTCGCCCATTTACAGCCCTTTAGCCCTTTAGCCTTTTATTCGCTTAATTCGCCCATTTGCCCTTTGCGCCCTATTCGCCCTTTGGCGCTCTATTCGCCCTCTGGCGCTTTATTTGCCCTTTGGCGCTCTATTCGCCCTTTAGCGCTCTATTCGCCCTTTAATGCTCTATTTACCCATTCGCTGCCCTTTAGCCCTTTACGCCTTATTTACCCATTTGCAGCCCTTTGCCCTTTAGCGCCCATAGCTAAGCGCAGTAAAGGGGGGTCCAGGGGGTCCTCCCTAGGAATTAAAATAGCTTTTAGGGCTCCATAGCAACCATGAGCCGTCCCTTGCAATTGCCTTAGGTTTACTCCCAGCTACGCTTATCCCTGGTGCGATTCCTCTAAGCCCCCCGGCTAGCAATATAATCACAACCCCCCCAGCTGGCTTTCTAGAAGCCGGGCAAAATTGATGCTATCCCTATAGCCTTGCGGAGGGCCGTATAGTATCAATTTTGGGGAACCGCACCCGGCTTCTAGTTATCTCTCCCAAGCCGTCTCAACCAACCCATTGCCCGCGCAGACCGTAACAGATGTTCTGAGCACAAGACACTAAATGCTTCAGAGGATTGCCTTGCAGAAGGCTGGCCGGCCCCTCGCAGTTCTTTGGACATGGCCCTTCACTAAGGCGCCTTCGTCCAACAATAGACCCGGCAGTTCTAATTTTGGACGAAAGACATTGGAGCTTAACGACAGAGGTCGGGCACAACGAGTGGCTAAGTGGCGGAGACAGCTTTGATGTGGCAATTCTATCCAGAATGTTTCATCCGCGATGCTGTCTGCCAGCAGGGGTTGCCGTTTTGCTTGATCGTAGAGCTTATATAATGTTTCATCCGGGCGTCGGACCCGCCGTTTGTTTGGTGTTTCCAGCTTGCAGTGAGAGGCGTGACAGGCAAGTCGGTGCTCCCGAGGGGACGGTGGATCCGAACATGGTGTTTCTATATGTTGAGGGCATCCCTTGGTGACACAACACCGGGACAGATCAGTTTCATTATCATCCTCATTGCTTTGCACATCAAACAAGACTTTGCAAGTCACAGAACGTTAATTATTTGCATCAAGCAATTTTTCTATTCAAAGAATACCGGGTCCATCAAACTTAGACACAATGGCGTCTACCTCTGCATCACCACTGGGATCTCTCTCGCGATTCACTCTCGAGATCCGCCGCACTATCTACGACTTCACACTCGACCATTCAGAACGCGACTACCACTTCGAAGTCGAGGCCAACAAAGTCCTCCGCGTCCCAGAGGCCACCGTCTCCCTCCCCCGGCCAACCCCAGTCATGGCGCACGTCTGCGGAGAGATGAGGGACCACCTCCTCGAGAGCCACACCGAGGCCTCTTTCACATGCGTCGTATACAACAGGACCTGCACAGAGGGCGGCTGCTGGGAGGAGAAGGCCGACCCGCGAAACCCGCAGGTTGCCGCCAAGACCGGCTGGTTCAACCGCAAGTCTGACAGGGTGACATTCTCGCGGCACGAGCTCCCCGCGCCCCCGCGCCCGGAGTGCAGCGCCTCCCCGCTGTCGGACGACGAAGAAGAGGAGGAGGATCAATGCTACTCAGGGACATATGAGAAGCAGGGGCGTCAGCTGCTGCTGAGCGTCGAGCCATACCATGTGACGGACTTCGTCAAGCTTGTCGAGGCCGAGCGATCCACGTTGGTCCAGAAGAACCGGGACGAGGAGACTCGCGTATACCCGAGGGACTTCTACGACATCATCCACCAAGGGCCAGCGGTGCTGGTTCGCCGGAGCTGGTGTGCATAGATTCGATGCACTCGGATGAGGAGTGCGATGGCGATTGGCGAGAAGAGATAGTCGTGGAGTGATTTGTACATGTATGGTCGCCTCGGCGGCGACGTTGGGTTTGGGTACACATGTAGCTACTTGCACATGATCTAGACGAAATTGTAGATGGAACGCTTGTCAGAATTTTGAACCCTCTCACAGCATCTCTTTTCCCTGTCGATCCAACAATGGTGTGTTACTGTGACCAATCCGATGCTCGCGCTTAGGCACGACTTGATGACTGCATCATGCGGGTGATTCATCATTGAGATAGCGCCAGCATAGACGTCGGCGTAACAATTGGATCGCGAAGTCCATCTCGGACTCAATAGTCCGACAATTTCTGAATGTCTGTGCCTAACAGCCAACCCTTACGATTCTCACGAGTCATGCTCAATCGCATAGATGTGAATGGGTAGTCCTCGAAGTTGCTGAAACGGAGGGCGGAAGAACATGTATTCATGTATTGGCCGCCATGGTGGAGAAGCCAGGAGTCGACGATCACTTCAACGATCACACCTAGAACCGCATAGGTAGGTTGAGATGACTGATCATTACTTTACCACACCTGTGCCGATCTAGCATCGCTTACGTGTAAACTATGGGAGCGGACATGCATTGGCATAAAGCTATCGTCTGCGATCGCCCTCCCGGCACCGTCACTGCCATGGAACGACACGGAAACTCGCCACACTTATCACCTATCCTGATGGCGAACTTGCTGCGGATGGTCTGATATAATATTATAGCGCAGTGATACCCGCCTGGAAGCGGGAAACGGCATGAAAATGCTACGCGTCATGCAAAGGGCGCGTCCCATCACCCCGCCCTGCCCATGTTCGTCCAGTCTATTCGAGAAGATGTGCCGTGTTTCTGGAAATCGAGAAGACGCAACTGCCGCCGTCGGGGAAAACGGATGCAGTCCAAATGTTTGTTTGCCTGAAGTGTCGTCAGCACTTGATTCTTGTGAAGGCGAAATCAGCAATATGTATATCGCTTCCGCCTCGGTTCGCCATTTTTGAAGCACGCCAAGTGACCCGGGTCAAAGACAATCATCAGTTTCATTGCGAACCCAATTAGAAGCTCACGCCTAATTAAGAACGCCGCCCTGTTGAAGAGAAGAGGACAGGAAAGAAGATACGAAGAGATATTCTTATCACCTCTGCCGCAACTTTGGACCTAATAGACTTCCAACACCAGGCCCCGTATCTTACGAGAAAAGAGATACCCGCAATTAGTGAACAGTAACAATTCACTTGCGAAAACATTACTCCTCTGAACTCAACATCTTTTACATAGATCTCACTATTCGGGTCCACGAGGGCACACCGCGAACATGGAGCCACGCTGGTTTGTCCTCCTGGGCATTGCTCTGTCCGTGTTTTGCCGAGCCTTGTATCTTTGGCTTACTCGTCTGCCTCTTCCACCGGGCCCTCCTGCCCTCCCAATCCTAGGAAACATCCTATCGATGCCCAAAACCCACTCCTTCAAGCAGTTCCACGCCTGGAAGCAACAGTACGGCCCCATCTTCCGTCTCCTCGCAGGCAAGGACACCATTATCGTCCTGGGCGACCAAGCCACCGCCCACGAGCTCCTCAACAAGCGGAGCACAAACTACTCTGACCGCCCGCGCCTGCCAATGGCCTCGGAGCTGCTCTACAAGGGCGACCACATGCTCGTCCGCCGCTACGACGACAAGTACCGCGCCCACAGGCGCAACCTGGGCCAGCTGTTCACGCGTCGTGCGACCCAAGCCGTCACGCCCCTCGCGGACATGGAGAGCATCGCCTCGCTGCGGCAGCTGCTCAGCTTCGTCGAGGGCAGCCAGGAGGCCCGCCGCGCCGCCCGCGCGTACGTGCGGCACGTCCACGACCAGCGGCCGCTCTTCGACGCCTACTGCGCCCTCGTGATGGCGCTGCACCGCTTCACGGCGTCCATGTCGTACACGCTGCTGTACGGCTTCCGGGTCGAGACGGGCGAGGAGCCGGTGATGGCCGACGCCCAGGTCATCGAGGACCACTTCGCGCGCGCCATGAGGCCGGGCGTGTGGCCCTGCGACATGTTCCCCGCCCTCAACTACCTCCCCTCGTGGCTCGCGCCGTGGAAGCGCACGGCGGAGGAGTGGTACCGCTTCGAGCGGGAGCACCACATGCGCGGCAACGCGAGGGGCCGCGCCAGCCGCGCGTGGAACTGGACCAAGGCGCTGGCGGGAGCCAAGACCGCCGCGCGGCTGAACCCGGAGTCGCTCGCGTACGACGCCGGGATCCTCAACAACGCGGCGCTGGACACGACGACGCAGACGCTCGAGATGTTCGCCATGGCGGCGGTCGAGAACCAGGACAAGATGCGCATCGCGCGGGACGAGATCGACCGCGTCGTGGGCCGCGGGCGCCTGCCGTCGCCGGCGGACGAGGAGGACCTGCCCTACGTGCGCGCCGTCGTCGAGGAGACGCTACGCTGGCGGCCTATCATCATCGGCGGGGTGGCGCACGCCAGCATGCGCGAGGATGTTTATAACGGTTACAGGATCCCCGCGGGCTCTATTGTTATCCCGAACAATTGGTCTATCCACATGGATGAGAGCATATACAAAGACCCCCATCTCTTCCACCCGGAGCGCTGGCTCGAGGACCCGGGCCTCCCCGCGCCGGTGGGATTCGGGTTTGGCCGCCGCGTATGCATGGGCGAGCCGATTGCGCGCGGCTCGCTGTTTCTCATGGTTTCAAGGCTGCTGTGGGCATTTGAGTTTAGGAGGCAGCTGGACGAGGCGGGCGGCGAGATCGCAGTGGACACCATGGATGTGGCGGACTATTTCATCGTGAGGCCCAATCCGTTCCCTGTGAGAGTCACCTGCAGGCACGAGTCAGTACGAAAGGTCGTGGATGATGCTTGGAATGAGGTTGAGAAGGATCCCGATGCTATTATGGAGGAGATGGGGAAGCGCTTTGAGGGAAAAATGAGATGAGGAGTGGTTCATGTGTTGAGATGTACACACAAAGAATATGTGTCCGGCATCACTGCCAGCTCTTGTACGGTGGGTTCGCGCAGAGTTGAGCTTGTATACAATCAACTGGAATTGACATTAAACCCTGCCTGTGGTCGGATAGTTTAAATGCCATGAGGGACCTCTTCTTCTTCCATCCGTACTTGGGACGAATCGTTGTGGATATGATAGGAATGAAATGCTCATGCTAGTCAATACTCTGCCAATAAGCGATTTGATGAATACTTTGACTCATGGGCTACCCCGAAATAACATGATTCAGATGATTATCTCGGCTTCTTCCCAAAATCCATATGGAATCATTTGAGTGTAATATCGAATTCTGGTGCTTACTACTCCAATCACGTACTTGCCGATGCCACAATGCTTAACGAACACGACAAAGAGTTCTCGAGGGACCTTGTACTTTCCCCGCAAACGGAAAAGGAAATCCACTCGTACAGGCTGGATTGAATGTTGCTGTTTGCTGTTTCTTTGTTGTCGCTGCGGTTTGTAGACTGTACGGCCTTATGTTTAATGCTTGCTTATAGGACCATGCTGTGACCCTTGGGCCGAGCAAGGCTTCGCCGCAACTGCAGTTAACATTTTCACAATTTTCGCATCCTTTCAGTGCTGGAGCTTTCCACCCAAATTTCAAGATGGCTGAAGAAGGACAGGGGATTTCAAGGGAAACACGTTTCTACCTGCAACGCGGGATAGACTACTTCGACTTTTTCAGGCGCGGTGAAGTCAGACGTTGGAACGATGCTGCTCGTCAGCCGGTCTATATGCAATTTCCCACTCCGTTCAATCCAGCCTTTCAGCCCGATGCTGGTATTGTGGACCCGGCGCTACCGATCCCCGCCCGTCAATACCTACCTTTCAGTCAGGTTAAGAGAACAGATGATGGCGCAGGTCGCACAGTGCCGCAGAATATGAGAACAAATATAGAGTCACTCGGGTGGAGAATGGTCAAGATACTCGGTGCCGGGTCGCAAGGCTTAGCCGTACTATTTGAATCCGTAAACGACGGGAGTAAGGCTGTATTTAAATGGGGCAGCGATGTCTTTTCGATGGCTATCGAACTTTGGGCTATGAGGCAAATGGTGGGAGCGAGACATATCATCCAGGTGAGATTCCACACGGTCCAAGCTCCCCTCGCCCCTGACTTCCAGAAGAATGGCAGGTGGTCAGGCGTACTCTACTCACATAGCTCCATCATTATCATCTATTCACTCATCGGCCCCTTGGAAGTTTTGAACGCTAGTTATGATCGATGAAACAAACCAGCCTCCTAATAATTTGGCTACAATGGACTTTTCATTGTTGTAAATGCTAATCATTTTGTATGTAGCGTAAATATCCGCCTGGCGTTCCCGATTTCCGTATGGATCGTATATCAGAAGCATATATGAATCGGTGCCTGGCTCAGGACGTGCCATCCACTGCATTCATAACAACCCTCTTAGGCGGGGTTGATGGATTGCTATATGTGATGGAATACATGGAGCACGGAAATTTCAATGTAATTTCCTGACCTCCTTTTGTCTTTGGAAATATGAAAGGTCTATTCGAAAGGGAAATCCTCCCACCCCTAGAAAGCAAAACGAACCGTCTGGGCCGTTTAAACAATTCAGAGAATGCTAACGAGCACCAACACTTGTACACAGGGAGTTGCTCGTAGGTTGTCTTACGCCAACGTTTACCTCAAAAGTTCAGAGGTTTGGAGAGTGTTCTATTGCCTCTTCAGAGCTTGTGTTGGTTTGGCTTACCCGGGCCGATGGGACCAGGGCATTGACCCGACAACACAAGTGGTTCCGACACAGGAGGAATTTGTACCTTTGAGCGGAGGCCAGCCCGTGAGCACAGGAAACGGTCTCATAGACTTCGACATAAATGATCGTAACGTCATGGTCGGCGAAGACCGCTCGACACTCGCCGCAGGAGATCACCCGCACGATCAAAGCCCAATCTTCAAGATCGGCGATCTAGGCGATGTCAATGCTCTTAGGACTCCGGGGTACCGTAGGAGCTTGAAGGCTCATGCCATGTTCAGGGTATCCGGTAATCCGACTGTATGTTGTATGTTGCCGCTAGATCATGATCCGCATTGCTAACAAAAGTTTCAAAGTGTAATACTCCGGAGCAGTTTGCTCCCGGCTGGAATAACGTCTATGATGACGCGTCTCTGGCCCAGGAAGATACGGCTGGAAAGTTTGATTGGTGGACAAACCGTAAGCAAAGCCATATCTACGCCTGTCAAGATAAATATTGCAGAACATGTCCATCGGTAGCTGATTCTTCAAACAAAGTGTGGCAAATTGGGAGATTGATGACTATCCTTGTGAGCAACCCTCAAGCCCGTGCTTAGGCTCCCTACACCTATCCACTGACCCAGTCTTGGCCCTTGGTCGTTTTGATCCAAGTCGCGAGAATTGGATCGCAGGGAATGACTTGGGCCAAAAAAAAAGAAAGGACACAACTTTTGTTTGACTCGGAATTGAGTTCAGCTGACCCATCTACGCAGCTCACCCAACAACAGGCACAAGTCCCGCCTGATTGCGTGTGGACAGACGTGACAATAGCCAACGGCAACAAAAAAAGAATACCTACTTATGTTGCTCCTCTTGTGACCGATCCGGTCATGGCAGGATACGACCCATTAATTATCGACACGGTGGCTTGGTGCATGGCACACAAGCCTGGAGACCGGCCCACGATGGTGGAGCTGGAACAACGTCTTTCCTCAAATGTTATAGGCAGGGACTGGAGCGACGAGGAAGTGGAGGGAAGAATGACGATTAAAGAGTTACTGGCCATGCCTCCCCCACCGAGGCCGGCCTGAGGTGTAATTATGTATTAGGTAGGTACTGTTGCAGCAGAGCGGATAGTACAAAACAATGCTTCAGGGCAACGCTGTGACCCTCCTCTTCCAGGTCATCGCAGCTTATTGGGGTGAGGATAACATGTCGAATCTCTGTCAGCCACGGGATTGGACATGAGAGCCCAGAACGGACGTCAAGAGATATGACGTCTTTCAAGCAGCATCCGATTTGAGACATCAAGTCACTATTTCAAACTTCACCCGAGGGCCTATCATATCCCATTTACTTCTCATTTCGTGCCAGTGACCGACACAAACTGAGTTAAATACAACACAACTGGGCACGAAGACCTGTGATGATATCATAAACGACAAATTCAGAACCAAGACTTTTCTCCGATATTGGATTGCCCTGGAAACATGGGAATGAAGAAGAAACCTGGGTGTTCACCAACCATTTGGCGGCATGCTCCCCGATATAACTGTAGCATCGCTCGCAGATGGGAATTGGCAATCGAGCCAAAGTAATGATATGTCTCGCCTGGAGGAAATTAGTGAAGTTTTAATTGTCTGCAAACCTGGTCGAAAAGTATGAGAGGCACAAAAGTATGAGAGGCACAAAAGTATGAGAGGCACAAAAGTATGAGAGGCACAAAAGTATGAGAGGCACTCAAAGACAAGTCGTCTCAGCGGCATTCGCTATAGGCTGATTTGAGATGCAAATGATGTGGAGATCAACATCTTCAACACATGGCCTGGAAACCGAGACGCCAATGCCGGTGGAGACGTGCACGAGCCCAGGTGGGTTGTGAAGATGCCTGCCAAGGTAGGCGAGTCAGGAGAGGATTAGCCTGCCGCCGAAAAAACATTAGCGCCACGATAAGGAATTTGACCTGCCCGATAAGCGACTCGCCTCTCCAATTCTGCAGCTTTTTTGCCAGGGTGCATTTTCAGGGCAACGACAGCACTTGGTTGCGACTGCGATTCACCTCGACCTTACCTTGCCTCTCCGCCTCTCGCCCATCGCTCCATCGCATCACAGGACGTTGCGAAGCTTGGTTGTCCGCCGACCGCTCCTCCAAACTCGAAAAGTCAAACCTTCTCCAGTACTACAAGTCCCTTCCGAGGGCGCCGGACAACGCCATGGTAAGGATGCCTGTCTCGCCCACCCAGGCGGTCCAGGAGAGGATGTGTTAGCAGCGAGACAGACGCTGACCACGGTCGCAACTACAGCCTCAGAATGAGTATATGGAACGCCACACCAAGCTCCATGGTCGCCGCCTCGACCATGAGGAGCGGACCCGGAAGCGAGCCGCCCGCGAGGGCCACGACGCCTCCGAGAAGGCCCAGAACCTGCGCGGCTTGCGCGCAAAGATGTACGCCGAGAAGCGCCACAAGGAGAAGATCCAGATGCGCAAGCAGATCAAGGCCCACGAGGAGCGCAACGTCAAGTCCGCCGCCCCGGAGAACGACCCCTCCAACCCCGTGCCCGCCTACCTGCTCGACCGCAACAACCCCACCTCGGCCAAGGCCCTCAGCTCCTCCATCAAGAACAAGCGGTCCGAGAAGGCCGCGCGCTTCGCTGTGCCCCTGCCAAAGGTCCGCGGTATCTCCGAGGAGGAGATGTTCAAGGTCATCAACACCGGCAAGAAGACGCAGAAGAAGGGCTGGAAGCGGATGGTCACCAAGCCCACCTTTGTTGGGCCTGACTTCACCCGAAGGCCTGTCAAGTCAGTACAACTCATCTCCTACCATGGCCCCCAGACCCTTGTGCTTGTGAATGCTCCAGCACTTTAGGACCCGCAGCAAGTTATTAACACATAGCAGGTACGAGCGCTTCATCCGTCCTATGGGTCTGCGGTACAAGAAGGCCAACGTCACGTAAGTAGCACGATTCCTCTTTTACAGTCCCCATATTACAGAATGCATCTTTTTAGGACCCGTAACAAGTGATTAACAAGTACTAGGCATCCCGAACTTGGTGTAACGTAAGCAGCTCCAAGAAATCACCGCCTCACCGGAAACAACCTCATCCATCCCAAAGCTGCTTCAGTGCCTTTTGGCTGACTAGGATCTGCAGTGTTCAGCTACCCATTATTTCCGTTAAGAAGAACCCCCAAAATCCGTTGTACACACAACTTGGCGTTCTGAGCAAGGGCACCGTTCTGGTAAGGCTCTGCTGAATCTTCACTTCATTGTCCACCGCTGTACTAACAGATATCTGCAGGAAATTAACGTGTCTGAGCTCGGAATCACCACTACGACGGGTAAGGTGGTTTGGGGAAGGTATGCACAGGTCACTAACAACCCCGAGAACGACGGTTGCGTCAATGCAATTTTATTGGTTTGAGGCGGTTTAGTGGGCTTAGACTTGAGCAGAGAAGCCGGTCGAGAGAATTACAGGCGTTGGGGGCGTTAAGGGACTCAAAAGGACATGCCTTTCCCTGACTGGAGGTCACTGAGGAGGCACCGACTCGAGTTGATATTCGTGCCACCCCCGAAGGCAGGCAGAGGCCAGGGTGGATGGGTCCTGCGGTGATACCCGAGACGGGACATTTACTGTCACGAGCGACATAGACACGGGTACATGGCTTGGACAGAATCGAAGGCTCTGCAACATCACGGCACTTCATTACGTACAAAATCCTACCAATTAGCAGTCCCATACGGCGGCTACGACACCAGAGATTCCAGGCCAAATCTTCATTGACGCTAGCCTCGAACTCTGCACCTGCGGCCAAGGAGAACAGCATTGCACTTCACGTGCTGAGATTTCCATAGAAAGTATTCAGCGTGCGACAATTTAGATACACTACTTATTATCTTGAACACCACTACCGTTGCTGGATCTTCGCGTGGCTTGGTTGAAATAAAGGAATCATCCAGACCTGTTTATCATCCATCGCCATACTCCCATCTAGAAAAAGGCTAGCCGTTTACTCTTTGTTATTTACTGGTGTTTCAACAGATACCACCTCCCTACTCGTATCCTCAGTGCCGCTCAGGGAAGTGGCTAGGTCCCTCTGCTGACGCTTTTTCTCCCTATTGACAAGATCAGTCACGTCTAGTTCACGTTCGATGCAGATGTTACAACTCACCCCTGTCTGTGGAGCAGCAAGGCCGTGATGAAACCAGCCCACAGCAGGAAGTAGAACACAAAGGTCACCGGCCAGCCGTGCTGCCATCTCGGTGCGCCGTATGGCCCCGCGGTGGGGAATATGAGCAGAGGAACCCAGATTTGGAAGGAGTAGCCAAAGGTCATCATAGATCCCTACATATGCCCGGTCAGGCATCACTTTTCTAGAAAAAGAGGGGATCGAGGCTGGACCCTGGATAACACTGACCATGATGATGGCTCGTTCCTCGGAATCATCCCTCACGATGGAGTTGACGGTGGAGTATAGGATCGGACTGGCACAGCCGGACACGCCGAATAAGTACCAAGCAAAGAATCTAGTCCCAGGGTCAGCGGTGGACAAGCCGAGCGTTCGAGCGCGAATTATAGGGGCTCACTTCAAAGGCTTCGGGATATTCCAGACGATCATGCATATGGTAGAAAAGAGAACGCATGTGGTCTCAATGCTGTAGATGGCCCAGGACGGGTAGATAGCTGCCAGAGTCGCGCCGAGCCAGGACGCAACGGCGGTGATGGCATACGTCCCGGTGGGCAGTTCGTTGACTTTCACCGTGCTGTAGCCCTCGGCTTTCAACCACAGGTTCATGTACTGCGAAGGGTATGATGATATGATCATGCAGCTGGAGTCACCCTGTCAGTGATCTGGCGTCTCCCAGAGGCTGGAGATGGCATGGTTAAGAGCTCCTCACATGTAGCAGAACACGAATATCCAGATGTGCCAGCGGCTCAGCGTCCGCTTGAATGTGTCCAGGTTCAGCTTCCCAGGCCTTCGGATCCGGAACTTCTCCAGGCGGCTCTTGGCAAGCCTCGTGTCGTCCTCGGTGAGGTAGAACGGCCTCGGCGAGTCCGGGATCCCGGGGAAGACGACATAGCCCAGCAGCGCAACGGGGATCGTGAAGATGCCGTCAATGATAAACAGCCACCTCCACCCCGCCATGCCCCCGACGCCAGAGAGGTTCTTGTACGCCGCGGCCTGCAGGTACCCGCTGATCATGGACCCGAGCGGGTTGCAGATGAACCAGGTGCCCGCGCGCCGGAACAGCTCGGGCCCGCTGTACCAGGACCCGAGGATGAAGTGCGTCCCTGCGAAGACGGGGGCCTCGAACATGCCGACCAGGAACCGCAGCGCGTACAGCTGGTGGACGTTTGTCACGCGGCTCTGGGCGAAGGTTATGATGCCCCAGAGGATCTCGAGCGTCGGGAGCAGCCACCGGGCCAGCTTCGGCCGCGACATGAGCAGCATGCCGGGTACCTGGAATACCACATATGCTGTTGTGTAGCAGACGTTGAAGTAATTGAGTTCATTTCCGTTGAGGTTGAAGTCCTCTTTCAGCCCGCTCACGTAGGCATTGCTGATGTTTGTTTGGTCTTTTGGGTGTTAGTTCTGACGGGGTGGTATCAACTGACTTCTGGGACTTTACCTAGATATTTGACAAAGACTATGGATGAGCAGTCAGTATCAAGTATTCTCTCGGAGCTTTTTGATGAAGACTTACAGCACAAGCAGGCAAACACGAGGATGGAAATGTCGAGCTTGAGGAGAAGTCTGTCCGAGTTTGAATATTTTGTTTTGTTCCAGCATGATCTTTCATCGAGACTCACTTTTTCTCTTCCACTGGGTACTCAGACGGGTACCAGTTGAATACTTCTTTGAACACACCAATCAATGATGACCTGGACCGTTGTGAGCTTGTGGCCTTCGTCTCCTCTGGGGTCGACATTGTCTAGAAACTTGACAGCAACCTTGGGTAGACGGCCAGTCTCAGAGAATGGCACGGCAGTAACAACTAGAAGAACACATTACAATTTTACGCAGGGACAAGGTCATCAAAATCTCACGCACGAGCCATAAGCCTGCAGCTCAAGCGTGATCGGCCCACATGCTTCCACCATAGATACAGGCAATGCTGCAGCCGGAGAGATCAGCAACGTCAAGGCGACGGCATCCGTTCACCGGGGCTATACATTCTTCCACTATAGCTCACAACTACAGCAAAAGCCCATAAATCCATACGCATCGTCACAATCAATCTGGAGCTAAAGTGGTGCTTGGCAGGGCCTGAATGGCGTGCTGCCGAGGATGTGCCCATTCGTCAATACTGAGGCGTGGACAGCCCCGGATCCTTGGGGATGGATGCAACATGAGCAACGCGATATCCGAGAGACACACACCACGACTTCCGAAGTCGCGTTTGTGTCACTTCGTTTACCTCTATTGGATAACTTCTAATGGCTCAACCTCCTACAGGATATCCTTCTACGGGATAACCTACCACGGGATCCTTTGCTGCGAGAGAACCTTCTATAGAATAGTCTCCAACCAAATCATATTCTACAGGCTTAGACTTTCGGCTGGGTGGCCCTTCGGGTGGCCCTTCCCCAATGTATCTGGCATATCGCATTCCTAGAGAGAGATTATCGTCAAGTTTCTGGTCGGTGGTCGGATTCCACACTCCGCCTAGTGGCGGCAAGATGATGTGCTCCACGAAGCTATTGCGTGCTCACATCTCCGCACTCCTTCACTTTGTCCGGCTGTGGAGGAGGACGCATCTGAGGGAACCCCGCGGGCAGGACTCCCAATCGAGTCTGTTGCATATGCAGCCTGTGATGATGAATGGGCGCTGATATGGATTTATGTTGGTCATCATTGGCGGCGGATGCGGGTAGGGCAGAAGGTGGATGCACTTGGACGGAGCCAGCCACGTTTTGAATAGAAATGCATTTGTAAGAAAGGTGTGATAAGCTCGTATGGCGTGCTTCGTTGGCAGAAGATGCCGCATTAAATGTCCGATGTCGTCGCGGCGGCAACTTGAACGCACCTTGGACTTCTCTTCTTGTTGCCTCGTAACTGGCGTCTCCCTGCAAAGACATCAGTCTCCTTACATCTCCGTGACTTGACAATTGTACGTCCTGAAGTTGCCCTGCCTTCAAAGACACATACCGAAGACTGTTTTTGATTTGGATTACACAAGATGCCTGGAAGAATTATTGAGAGGTACGAGCAGGTCCCAGTGACCAAGGAGGACCGTGAGTAAACCCCAGCGAGATCAACTATACGTCCACATCATCGCCTACTTGGCAATGCTGACCATAACCAGTTGATTGGGCGGAGCTGGTGACTATCGACCTGAGCAAGTTCGATGCGCCCGGCGGCAAGGAAGAGCTCGTCAAGGAGCTCGAGTATGCCGTCACCAAAGTTGGTAAGCATGAAGATGGGACCAAGCTTCCAGGTACAAGAGAATTATCAACTAAAAGTTCTCTAGGCTTCTTCTACGTGAAGAACTTCAACATCAGCCAAGAAGAGGTTGACAGGCAATTTGCTCTTGGAAGAGAGTTCTACAATCTTCCACTGGAGGAAAAGTTGAAGTACCACAACAGTGACGATCTCGTCCGCGGTGAATATAATGGATATCGTCCTGCCGGTCACAGAATGTGAGATCTTCAGGCACCCCTGGCTCAACACAACTCTAACCACATGTCATTAGCCTTGGCAATGGGATCAAGGACAACGTCCAAGTCTACAACATTCCCAAGTTTGACGGATTTCACAAGCGGCAACAGCCACCGGTTCTCGAGGATAACATTAAAGAGATCGAGGCATTCTCGCGAGTAAGTCTCTCAGCAGATGTGCATATGACTTATCGTCAACCTGCTTCTAATACTTTCAATGCAGAAATGCCACGAGGAAGTGGTAGTGAAGCTACTCAAGCTCTTCGCACTCTTCCTCGAGCTTCCCGACGAAGACCAGCTGGTCCGGGAGCACCAGTACGACGTCAAGGGAGAAGACCACCTGCGGTACATGCACTATGCGGCCCGCTCGCAGGAGGACAACAAGAAGGTGGGCGAGCTCTACTCACCAGGGCACACGGACCTGGGCAGCATCACGCTGCTGTTCCGGCAGCCCGTGTGCGGCCTGCAGATCCTCAACAACGCGGGCCAGTGGAAGTGGGTCAAGCCCGTGGACGGCACCATCACCATCAACACGTGCGACGCCCTGACGGCGCTGACGGGCGGCCTCATCAAGTCGTCCATCCACCGCGTGCACGCCCCGCCCCAGGACCAGGCGTCGATCGACCGCCTGGGGGTCCTGTACTTTGCCCGCCCCAACAACCACGTCGTCCTCGACCCGCTGCAGGACAGCCCGCTGCTGGCCCGCCTGGGCAAGACGTCCAACGTCTTCACCGAGCTGGGCAAGCACCTCACCACCGAGGAGTGGGTCAAGATCCGCCAGACGCAGCAGCAGCGGAAGACGCCTGGCGCCAAGATCACCGAGGATGGCAAGTATGTGCACAAGCCTGAGGACCTGCAGATCCTGCCTGGGCTCCATGCTACGGTTCATAACTAGGGATTTGGGCAGATATGTGGGGATAAATAGCCAAAAGAACTCAAAAGATTGTGAATGCAACCCTTGGTCATGATTGTGCGAGATTTCCTATCGTTGATCGTGTGAAATAACACTCCGTCATACTTTGTACTAACGAGCCATGATTATTACTCCACTAATGCTTGTAAACAGCTGTAGAGTGATTATTCAGTCACAGCGAACTCGCCTGCTTTTAGGATAATCTCACGTAGAACACCCGAACATGGGGTAACCTATAATGGGATAGCCTGCAGTAGGATAACCTACAGTGAGACAACCTGATCGGAAATTACCTGTGTATGTTGTGTCGGAGAATAGTCTATAGATAGCCTCTTGTTGGTGACATCATTTATTGTTCACACTCCTAGCCTCATGGACCAGGGTACAAGTAATTGATTGGGAACTGAGTAATTATGTCGAGACTACGGCGCCCTCAATTGTCCATATCTATTCAAATGCCTCCAAAATCGCGATGTCTAACGTTCTTCGCTCCAAGACCTTCCAGTGGTGGCGGGTCCGGCTTTGTGGTCCGAAGAAACCACTCAAGTAACTCCGAGATTATACCTCCCAAAAGTCCTTGCATCACTGGCTTCAAACTACAGAATTTAAGTTTAAGTATTATCTGACTAGTTGGCAGATCGACAGCTCTAGACTACGTCTAATGTACTACATAGGCTCCATCGTAAGGCAATTTTGTCACCCACCTCATGTTTTCCCGGGATATTATTTGGTGCTAAGATTCAGGAAGGAAGCTTGAAGATGCCCTTATCACCCTGAAAGTTCATTGCATGCTCATTCTCTTCCTTACATAAGCTTGAACCTTAGTTCCCAAAGACGTGGCCTCTTAAGACGCGGAGCCCTTCCAGATGTCCTCTGCGGCAACCTCTAGGGCGTCCAAGTAAGCCGTAGCCAGAGCAACGCGCTCTTCAGGATCCATTGAATCGCCGGCAATACCGTCAAGACGTTATTTTGGCGCCAATTCCCTCGAAACGGGTAAGAAGTTTGGTGGCTGTGGGTAAAACAGCCACGTTGCCTTCGAGATTAACAGCAGGTGCTCCAATCATTTCAATCAGCATGTCCTCGTCAGCAAAGTCTGACCGGAAACTTGTTACTCGAAGTCGGCCTTCAGGGTGGTGTCGATAAGAATTTTGAGAACGCTCGTTCCGCTGAGACTTTGCAGTAGCTGGCGAGGGCGGCCTCGACCTCCGCTGTGGTTGATTTAATGGCCGAGGATTACTTGTCGTGCCCATAGTATGTGAATACATTCTATTGGGGCCTATGTTCTGGCTGTAGAAACATGATAGTGGTGGAAAGCTCTGCGAAGTAATTTTGAAAGACATTATGGAAGGGGGCGACAGGTCGTCGACGACAGACGTCGATTTCGTGGCACCACAGGGTTCCATACTATCAGGCGGGCACTTTTCTAGTTTCGACATAAAGTTGCCTTGATCTGCCACCCCCCCCCCCTCGAAGAAACTTTCATAGAAGAGTAACACGGGCGCTATGTCAATCTAAACCCGAACGCCTATAACCATCAAGGGCCTCTAGTTAGCCACCGGCCGAAGTCCAGTAGCGATCGAGATAGACCAGCCCAAGAGAAAGTCTGTTGGACTAGACCATTCATCTCATCTATGCATGCGATCTTGGGTGACTTTTGGCCATGACTCCCCGTGTAGCCACAACGGATACTTTGTGGCAAAAGCTTACAATCTGCCAAGTCGCTTGCACGATATCTCTTGGCCAACCCTGTCAGCCTGCCAGCACGCATGGTTCGACACGTGTTTTATCAAGCTCGCCCATAATCTCCGGGCGCTGATCCCCTTGCAGAAGGTGTACCAATGCCCAGGCGCCAAGCTCGATGATCATTAGTCGAATTAGACATGGCCCCTGCGTTTGACTCAGCTGTGAGGAAATTGGAACAAATGAGGATATTGGAATAAAAATGCCATGCAGAACCCATCGAAGTCAATGTAACCTTTCCGTGTCTTCCGTCCTACACAACGCACTGTGACGAGGCTCTGGTGACGATGTCTTCAATCAGAAAGCTCCTGTCTGCTCTGTTGCTTGTCCCTGCGGCCTTTGCAGAGGATGTTCTCATCAGCCGGCGCCATGACTTGCACCAGAAGAGGAGCGGCTATGGTAACTTCGAAATTTCGATTTACCACATCAACGATGTCCACGCCCACCTCGACCAATTCTCATCGTCAGGGACTGACTGCACACGGCCGGAAAGGGGCTGCTTTGGCGGTTACTCACGTGTCAAGACGGTTCTGAACTCGACCCGGCCGTCTAAGGAGAACAGCCTGTTCCTGAACGCGGGAGACGAATTCCAAGGCACGCTATTCTACAACTTCTACAAGGGCTGGAGGACCGCAGACACCCTCAACCAACTTGGAGTGAACGCAATGACCTTGGGCAACCACGAGTTTGACGGTGGCGACGATGAGCTGGCCGCTTTCATCAACAACATCACGTTTCCCATCCTGGCGGCAAATCTCAAGAGCACCAACCCAACTCTGAACAGCTCCGTAAAGCCATATGTCATCTTCGAGCAATATGACATGGCTGTGATCGGAGTCATCACCCCCGAGACAAGCCGCCTCAGCAACCCCGGAAATGGCACGACATTCACCGACCCGGTTGTCGCTGTGCAAGCCGCCGTTGACGAGATCAAGGCCACGACAGACATCAACAGGATCGTTGCTCTGACACACATTGGCTACACTGAGGACATCAAGCTTGCAGAGCAGACCACCGGCCTCTCCCTCATCATCGGCGGGCACTCCCACACCCCACTGGGCAACATCACCGGCAGCCAGGGGTCCTACCCAACGATAGCGAACAACACGGCCGGCGAGGAGGTCTTCATCGTGACCGCCTACCGCTGGGGCGAGTACCTCGGGTACATCGACCTGGTGTACGACACGGCCGGGCGCGTCCTCGAGTACCGCGGCGCGCCGATCCACCTGACGAACCAGACGAGGCAGGACCCGGCCCTGCAGGCGCAGGTTGACGCGTGGCGCGAGCCGTTCCAGGAGTTCGCCAACGAGGTCGTCGGCGAGTCGGCCGTCGAGCTGGTGCAGGAGACGTGCCAGGCCGAGGAGTGCACGCTCGGCGACCTCATGGCGGACGCCATCGTCGCGTACCGGCCAGAGGCCGACCTTGCCATCATCAACGCGGGCGGGGTCCGGGCTTCCATCGACGTTGGCCCTATCACGCGGGGCGAGATCCTGACGTCCTTCCCGTTCGGCAACGCGATCGTCGAGCTCACGCTCTCCGGCCAGCAGGTCTGGGACGTGCTGGAGGGCACCGTGTCGCATGTCAACCAGGCCAGCGGCCGGGCGGTGACGAGCTTCTTGCAGATTAGCAGTGGCCTCCGGATCGTGTACGACCCCGCGGGTCAGGTTGGGAGCAGGCTTGCGAACGTGACGGTTAAGGATGCGCCTATCGACTTGGCTGGGAGTTATCAGGTAGCCACGCTGGATTATCTGGCTGGCGGAGGTGATAACTTCTTCGAGGCGACTACGGATTACATCACGCTTGACTTGCAGGCGGACGTCCTGCTTGCATACCTGGCGAGTGTTAACCCAGTCGAGATTGCACTGGATGGGAGGATTTCCACTGTGCAGCCGAGCACCCGGGTGAGGAGGAGGATGCTCAGCGGGCTCCTCGTCTTTAGGGTTGCCGTACAAGTGGCCGGAGTGTCTGACACATGAACAATGATAGCAATAAACATACAATTTTGCCAGGCACTTTAAATTTGATGGCCTTTACAGTTTAGCCCCAAGACTGATACCAGTCTGCATTTTTCGCATTTCCTGGCGTAACAGTCCCTCGGCTTTACTAACTCTGCTAACCATCACTTATCTAGGGCTGGCTCGCTTTATGGCTGCTTCCCGAGTTGTGAGAGGTGCGATGTGCTTGTAGCCGACATTGGCTTTTGCTACTTCCTTTGGGAGGACCAGAATTATCTATGCTATACTCTCACTCTCGCCAGTCTTCTTATCTGCCTTGTTATTCATTTCTTTTCCTTTTCAGTTTTTCCTCCTTTGAACCTGCAGACTTATATATATATATATATATATGAAATCGCACTCAATTGACACAAATGGTAATTGAAACTGATGTGCATCCCGACACTACATTGAGGCCGGCAAATTGTTCCCCCGCCGAGCATTTGTGCTTTGTCCCCATCCTCCAACTTACTCCCGTGTGACCAGCCCCTAAGCCCCCGTCAGAGATTCATGTGCCTGGATAGCAAAATAGATACTTGTCTTGGACGATAGCAAGCGGGGTAGTCCAGCACCAGTCGGTATCCGATGCTTGAGACTCGGATGCCCATTGGTGAGGAGACGCCTTGTACCACCGTGATCCCCAAAGATCTCCAATACTAATGTACACAGTCAGCTATGCCCAGGCGACCCAAGCCGTCGGCAATCGTAACATACTGTCGTGGACGCATTTGGTCTCCTAATCTTTATGACGTCGGACAATGGGGCTTCTCTTCTTCTCCTTGTGAGACCTCGTGAACCTTCAACGTTCCCACAGGTGCAGTCGCCGCAGCTGAGAAGACATGGCTGAAACAGTCGCAGATGAAAAAGCCATTGCAGGCCTTGAAGCCCCGGAAACCGTCCATGACGAGTATACCCCTCAGGATGGAAGAACGGAACAGGAACGGCGGAGAAGCGAGAAAGCACTTGTCCGCAAGCTTGACTGTTTTATCGCGCCTGTCATGATGTTGTTGATGCTCATCAGCTATCTCGACCGCGGTAACATCGGATTTGCAGCGACCCAGGGCATGTCGGCGGACATTGGCCTTAAGGGGTCTGAATTAAATGTATGTGTACCTGGGGCGGTTTCACTGTGCTGGGATCACGTTTGTTGACATCGCACTAGACCGCAGTTTCTGTATTCTACATCTTCTACATCCTCGCGGAATTCCCTACATCGATCTTGGTCAAGCGGCTCCAGTTCAATCGAGTCATTCCCACTATTACGTTTTGCTGGGGTATAGTATGCCTCTGTACGGGATTTGTTCATTCATTTGGCTCCCTTGTGGTATGCCGTATCTTGTTGGGATTCTTCGAGGGCTGTCTTTTCCCTGCCATGACCTTGTTCCTTTGCAACTGGTACAAGCGCGAGGAGTTAGCGGTCCGCATCTCATTCCTCTTCAGTAAGCTCTCGTCCGAAATGTGCAAGAAATAAATCTGTGATTGACAATGTCTGACGGTTTTCGCAGTCGCGTCAGCTCTTTCAGGGGCTTTCGGAGGTCTGCTGGCCTGGGCCATGCTGAGCATGAATGGCGTGGCTAATATGCCGGGGTGGCGATGGTTTGTCCCCTCTGCCATTTCAAAAGGAGAGAGCCAGCTATGTTCCAGTTCGAGACTGAATCGCAGACTTCTTCAGGCTTTACATCATCGAAGGCATAATCACAGTCGCATGGGCTGCATGCTGCGTCTTCGTCGTACCGAAGAACTTTGAGACAGCGTATTTCTTGAATGCAGAGGACAAGCTGCTCATGAGGACGCGTGCCGAGGAAATGGAGGCTTATAGTGGAGGATCGGGCCACTACGGCAAAGAAGACATCATGGAAGCTGCCAAGGACGTGAAGAGTTGGGTGCATGGAGTGATACAGATCGCCGTGGTAACTATTCTATACGGTGAGTTGAATGGCTTAGTCCTGAACGATTTGACCACGGATGCACACAAGGCATTACATGAGGGCTGACCGCTTTTTTCCAGGCTTTGGCACATTCCTCCCCATCATCATCAGAGAAGGCTTCCGCTACTCACTGGTACAAGCCCAGTATCTAGTCATTCCCGTCAACCTCTGGGGAGCGCTCGTCTATGCTATAGGCGCGGTACTCTCAGACAAGTACAACAAGCGTTTCCTCCCGCTCATCATCTGCGCACCTTTTGGAATTGCCGGCTACGCGATCCTCCTCTGTAAAGTGTCACCCGCGGTGCAATACTTTGCCACTTATCTCATCGCCACGGCTTGTTTTCTGTGTACCGGAGGTAACATGTATGAACTTCCCTTGAAGCTTCCAGTCACCGCCAAAGCAGAAAACAGAAACAAGTAGCTGACAGCTTGATTGGTTCAACATAGTGCGTGGTTATCCGGTAATTGCGCTCCCGATGGGAAACGGGCTGCCAGCTTGGGCATCCTGTTGACCTTGACCAACATCGGCGGCGTCGTTTCAGGGCAGATATACCAGACCAATGCAGCCCCTGCTTTTACTCTGGGCCATGCGTGGTCCTTGGGATGCCTGGCATTTGCATGGCTCGGATGGTGGGTGGTTCGGTGGATTTATCTCAGGCGTCAGGCCGGTAAAGATAAAGCCGCAGTCGGCGCAGGTGGTGTACTCACAGAGAAGTATACAGACCGTGCACACGATTTTAGGTATCAGATATAGATGTGCTGGTTGAGGAATGCAAGAGAAAACATTTTCCTTCGATTGAGCCTTCTGGCACGGAGCAATCGCAATACTGCGGCCATAGCTTCCGAGGTTCTACATAATCCATTAGTCTACCGTTGATGTTACGAGTGCCAGCAACGTGATGGACATCCAAGTGATGTAGATAAACTTCAAATCAGCAACATCGAACACAAAGTCTTAGAAAATCGATTCCATTGAAAGTACTTGCTTTTACGCATATCCTTCCATTTTGCATAGCGTCGCACGCACTGGCTCTCTAAAATCCCGCAGCTGTTATTCAAGGAGACACACGGTTGCATGTATATCCGCTTGCATTATTTCTTTTCTTAATTTTCACCGCGATGAGAATATCGCTCTCTTCGTGGGTGACAGCAGCTTTTGCTGGTCCGCCTGACCCAGTGTAGTCATTGTTTTGGCCAGGATTTACGTTGTGCGGCGAGTCTGCCTTCGCAACTTTGGTTCGCACAGGACGCCCAGGTGTGGATAGGAGAATCCGATAAGAAAAGAGACAATGAAATCTGACTTGTGACATACGGAACGACGGAAAGAACAAGGACGCGGCCAAAATTAGACCAAGACCACCAGCAACAGCTGCGCTCAGGTTTTGAAGTCCAAGAAAAGGTAATGAGAGTGAGCCAAATTGCCAGAACGTGAACCGAGATGATCCTCCAAACTGAGGGAGTTCTTCCACTAGTGGGAAAGAGAGTGTTAGGCTTCGGAGCCTTTGACGAGCTAATCCTGATCTCCCTGTGCTCGCTTGAGAACCCCTGAAAGCAGCTCGCACAGCTCCTTTGCATCAACCCGGTCCTCCACTTCAATTCTGAGTAGGTTCAACTCGATAATTTCAAGCACTTCCACGAATGCTGTATCCTTGTCGCTTTGGGCCACACTTCTCAGACTAGCGATGTTATCGACTACTGCAGGGTGGACCTCAGTGCTGTCTTTGGCCTTGGTGGCTTTCATCTGATAAAAGTGAGCCTTGTCATGCCCCACCGATGTGGGCTTCCGGGCACTGCCGAAGTTCTCAACAGCCTCCCAGTCACGCACAAACCAGATGGTAAACTCCAGGAATATGCACCCAAGAGACCAAATATCGAACTTGCGGGAACGTGGTCTGTCAGTGTATATGGCTTCCGGCGCCTCATAGGAAGGTGTTGTTGCTCGGGTGGTTGTCGCTATTCCCTGCCTCTGCAAGGTTGCGACGTCGTGGATGCGAGATATGCCAAAGTCGGCGATCTTCAGGATACCATACGGCCCTCCGGTGAGGAAGTGCAGGATATTGCCAGGTTTCAAGTCACCGTGACGGAAGTTAGCCCGCTCTCCAATCTGGTTGTGGAGAAACTCAAGCGCTTCCGCAAGACCAAGCATCTGTTGCAGACACCAGAGGGCCAGCTGAGGCGATCGAATCTTCGTGTCCTCATCCTTCCAGAAGTTGTCGAGGTCTCCTCCCTCAGCCCAGGGAAACATGATGTAAGTCTTGTTCCCCTGGGAGAATGTCTCAAAGTTCTGTATGATATGCTTATTCAAACTCAGCCCACGAATCCTGTTGAGATTATTTCGCTCTTTTTCGAAGTCTTCTTTGAACTTGAATTCCTTGAGCGCAACCACGAGGCTAGGTGCTTCGACCTTTCTTAGGGTTAGTTGAATCCTCAACCGGCAAAAACAAGATCAAGTGAATGGTGCTCACCTCGAACCCTTCGTGGTGACTTGAATCAACCAAAACCTTATACACAACATTACGCTGGCCATTTTGTGCCTCAACCACTGTCACAAAAGGAAGCGGGCATTCTGGAGCAAGCGTCCTGTGCGCTCCTCCAGTACAAAAGACTGGCGCCAGAACTAGCCACTGCTTTTCGACGAAGTCGTCCAGTTTTTCCAGCCCCCATTCGGAAGGCCACTTGAAGCTTCGCGCAGGATCCACGGACGAATACAAGTGGTTACCGCGTTTGGACAGTGGCAGGTCTTCGTCTGTCAGGCCAGCGTCGAGGAGGTTCTTGACGCCCCAGGACAACGTCAGATTCACCAAAATCACAAACAACTTCTGTCCAGACTCCAGGATCCTGGTGGCAAGATTTGTCGAGTTCTGTCGAATTCGCTTTAACGACCATCTTTTCTGGTGCTCATGGAGCTCAGTTATGATGTTGTCCGTTGCTACAATCTTACGCAACTCGCTGTTCGGAATGTATTTTCGACGGCTTAGATCATCTGAAAGGCGAGAGTTGAATAGTTGTCTGTATAGAGAATCCTCGGTGGCCATCTGATCATCCGTACTGGTCCTATGCTTGTTGGTTCCTTTTTTTGAAGACAGTCGGCGGTCTAAAATGAGATTTGTCAGGATACCACACACCCTAGGTGGTATGTACCGGTTGCACTGGGTCAATGGGGAATTTACTGAGAACCGGGAAAGTCCTTCTTCTAGTTCCAATCAACATAGGTGATATAGTCGTCTTCAGCTCCGAGAAATCACGAATCCCCCACACACTCTGTGGGATTCATCGCTTGGTTTTGCGATTTGGCCAGCACGGAAGCCTTGTTGACCAAGTTTTGCTCGCAGAAAGAGTGATACGAGAAAAGCGGGGTTTCTGGAATCGGTCGTCATCCCGATAATCACCTGGAAAGAGCCGCAAAGCCAGAGCCTGATGAAGATAGGTGTGGAAGAACAACGAGGCTCGGACCCTTGCCCCACTAGTTAGAGCGAGAATACCCGACAGTAAGAGAGATAGGCCCTCACACCAGGCGCCAAGACGTGTTAGCAGACTGATCACTCTAGGACGGCATTCGTGGTGGCTGCATTGTGCATGGTCAACCGCACACTCGTCCTGGGTGTGTGCAATGAGAGGTGCCGTCGGCTGACCGGCAGGCTGCACCATGCAGCCACTTGAGCTGGTTGGCATCCTGCGCGGAGGGGTCGGTATCTGAAGCTATACAATTGGCTTCGCATTCTGCCATGCGAGAACTGGCAGTTCGGCATGTGAAGTCACATACCTGTCCTCTCAGACTTAAGGGCGTGATAGGCTGCTCGGATGGCCGTGCCGGCCTCGTCCTCACCGAGCCTCCTGCAGCGTGATCATGAGTGCTTCGCAATGCTGCCACCTTCTGGGGTGTATTCAGTGGTCGACGTCCCCAGGTCGAACTACATCAAGTTGCCGAAAGCTCTCTCGAAGGAGAGATCCTGTGAATACCCAACCATCAATCGAAGAAAAGCCAGATCCCAACCAACTCAGCCAGCTGGACAGTCAATCCACTTTCAAGAGCTCACTCCGGCGAAGAGTAGAGTCTTTTCCACTATCGATCAGCCGTTCTAATACCGACAGTATGGCGCAAGAGAAGTCACTGAAAAAGCTGCTGGCGGAGAGGAGAGTCGACATGACGTATGATAAGGAGGGGATGTCCCAGGCTTGGTTGCCTTTCGATGCAATCGAGGACATCCTTGGGTCTGATAAGGGCCAGAACTCACTCCGCACTAGTTCAGGGGACAATGACAAGCTACGGGCATTCGTCACCAAGTCAAAGCGTCTCTGGGCCCTTCTTGTCCATGTCAATCGCTTGGGGTGGCTCGAGTCCTTCTGCGATGCAGACTTTGGAGACAGCTTCTTTCCAATCAAGCGAAGTGGAAATTGGAATCTACGGTCGCGTAGCAGCAACAAGCTTGTGGTCATGCCTGGCAAATCTGATGACGACGAGACGGCCTTTGATTCTATCGAAGACCAACAGTGGCAGTTCTTTGTGCCAATCTTCGGGCCGAAAAGCTTCGCTTGCGCATTCGACTATCATTGCAGAATGCCCTTTATCAGAGAGTTTCGTACAGAGGACACAAACTTCAGCGCTGTCACGGAGTTCGTGATACATCGAAATCACTTGGACTTCCGATCCAATGGCCAAATCGTAAGAGACAGACCCTGCCGCAACTTGCAGCGGAAATGGATGCTAATAGTCTGTTGCATTGGAGGGAGCCGTGGTTGACGAGGATGGAAACCCTCACGTTGCTGTGAAGGAGTTGACGTCAGCCAAATCTCTCGATTGGAATAACTTTAAGAAGCTTGTTGAGAACGAGGCATCGGTACTGCTCCACTTTGGCAAACAGGACCACCCGCATTTCATCCAAACAATTGCGAGGTATACGCAAGGAACTAGACACTTCTTCGTTTTTCCTTGGGCGAAGGGCGGCAACCTGCGCAACTTCTGGAAAGAACAGCCGAGCCTGAGCACTGCATCGCTCAACTTCAGTCAGACCTTCTGTGTCGATTACATTAAATGGTTCTTTGAACAACTTCTTGGTCTCTCAGGAGCCATCGAGAAGCTTCATAACCCGCCCAACCAACCAGGTGGTTCCTGCCGGCATGGCGATCTCAAGCCAGAGAACATACTCTGCTTCTGCAGCGTCGTCCCCAAAGCAGGAGATTTACCGACAGATATCAAGCTCGTGATCGCGGACGCAGGGCATGCAAGGATTCACGAAAAGGCGACAGATCTCCGTGGGGAGAGGACCACCACCCAAGCTGGCACGCAGACTTACACACCGCCAGAGGTTACAGTGCAAAGCGACAAGGCCAGGTCTCGGCGATATGACATTTGGTCCATCGGATGTCTGTACCTTGAATTTCTCATCTGGATACTGTACGGAAGCGACGGGCTCGAAGCGTTCCACAACGATGTCAAACGGGCCCAACCATACACATTGTACCGGCTCAACCCAGACGTGTCCCTCAAGCCCGAAGTCCAAGGGTGGACCGAGAACATTAAAAAGGATCCCAGATGCGCACCTATCACGTCGACAGCCGTTGGTCGCTTGATCGATCTCATCGAGAAGAGGTTGCTGGTTGTGAATATCGGGATTCAACCTGCCAAGGCTACTCGACCTTTTTCAGCAAGCGAGAAAGAACCAATGACACCGCCTGAGCCGGTGGCAATATCTGTTCGAGCGCCTACATTCGATTTAAACCAGATGCTTCATACTCAACGGGCTGATGCCCGCGAGATGTTGGAGGAAATGGAAAAGATTGTGAAGTCTGCTCTTGCCCATGGTCCGCGATCCCTGGCGTGGATCAATTGGGACGGCATGGCGCAAGCAGAGCAGCGCGGAATACCGAGACTTACAGATACTCTATCTTCTACTGGACATGCCAGACTTAGAGTTCCAAGAGGGAGGGTTGGAGCATCAGCTGTGAGTCTGGATGTTTTATCCCTTCACAGCTATAATTATGATTGTTCATTAACGAATACATGCCATGAATCAGATAAGCGAGGTATATTCACATGCCTTTTTCCTCTTGAGTAAGAAGACTAATACGTGTTCACTGACGCATAAGGCGGTTTGAAATTCAGAGAGTACGTTTTTCCACGCATTTCTAATTCCCTTACTACCAAACCAGTATTTCTTTTGTTTAATTACTTGCTGCTGATCTAACTGTTGAGTTTAGTACGTACGTAACGCTGCTTCATGAGCTGAGAGGATATCCGGATTTCTAATCTGTTTCCGTAGATGGTAATGCTCGATTCCTCATTACATCCGCCACAAGCTATGCTAACTACCAATTCTGTCATCGTGATGTAGTTTGTGAGTTGGCATTCATTCTCCACAAGCCCCAATCTACTAATAATCATATCTTTGAGACAGACTGTAAGTCAACTAGTGAAATACTCGTTGAATTCCGAGAAAGCAGTCTTACTTCTGACATTTTTTGCGTTTCTTTATCCGTAGCCTGTAAGTTAAAAAGGCACTTGACGCTCGTCTTCCACCGCGTTATAGATATCTGGGGATTTCTGACTTTTCAGCTCGACAACAATTGGAAGTACGATGCCGATGAAAAGACTGCTCGAAAGGTAGTGCTCCAGAGTCCAGAGAGGAAAGACAAGGAGCATCGCAACTCGAAGCTTTGCCAACGCTGCCAAGAGCTCAGAATACTGTCACCCAACGGCGGATTTTCCGATGACCTGGCCAGTTTGAAGAAGAGATCTCAGTTCTGTGATCTTTGCAGTTTGGTCTATGAAAAGATGGTGCACCTTGCAGTTCGAAGTCAAGAGACTGTTAGGTTGGTTAGATCTGGGTCTGGCCTGTCTATAGTGTCTGGTGAAAACCAATGGGGCCCGATATTTTCTCTGTGTACCACCTCCGGTACGTGGACCGTCTCGAAACCATGTGGTATCTATGGGAGAAATTGATGATGATTTCGCGTGCTGATTAACTAGCAGAGTCCAAGCTACTGAGATCGAACGGGATCCAACCGGGCTTTCCATACCGACTGGCCGCAGGGAGCACCACGCACATCAAGGTGATATCTGAGTGGATTGGTCATTGCGACCAGACTGATCATTGCAGAGATGAGAAAAGTTTCAATCCTACCAGACTGTTGTCTGTTGGCGATACGGATTGCAGGATGGTCAGACTCGTGACTAACTTCGAGCCTCAGAAACCCGTCCAGTACGCCGCCTTGTCCCATCGATGGGGCTCGCCAGACCACAAGCCGCCCGCAACAGTCGACTTTGCGGCAACGACATGGGATAATTTGCATATCCTCCAGGACGGTAACGGAATCAAAGACGGCGCTCTTCCCAAGACGTTCCAGGACGCTATCACAGTCACCCGGAAACTCAGGATACCATACCTTTGGATTGACTCCTTGTGCATTCTTCAGAAGACTGGAAAAGGGGATGACAGAGAGCACAAAAAGGACTGGGAAAAAGAATCACTACTCATGGAGAAGGTCTTCAGCTCCGCCTACTTGACCATCGCGGCCAGCTGTGCGGAGCACAGGTTCGATGGGTTTCTCAAGAAACGGCAGCAGAGAGACTTCTCAACCATGACTGCCAGCGATGGAGCACAATTCCATGTCTGCCAGGTCATTGATGACTTTGATCATGACGTAGAGCAGGGCGAATTGAACAAGAGAGGGTGGGTCTTGCAGGAGCGTGCTCTTTCATGCCGGACAATACACTTTACTGGGACGCAGACGTACTGGGAATGCGGGAAAGGCATCAAATGCGAGACTTTCACAAAAGCAGAGAAGTAAGTGGTATATCACAACGTTCGAATGTCCATTTTCAGACAAATGGCGCGGTGATTCAGAACTAACAGCCTGTGCAGCCGCAAAGCAGCCTTCCTTGGAGACTCAAACTTCCCGCATTCTGTCGAGGCCTTCAAACATGGCCGGCAGATTCAGCATTATCAAGGCCTATACGAGCGATACTCTTCACTCGGTCTCTCGAACCAAGAAGACAGGCCCGTCGCTATCGCAGGCCTTGAACAGAGATTGATGGCTGCCCTCAAGTCGACCGGTGGTTTTGGCATTTTCCAATCAAACTTTCACAGAGACCTGCTTTGGCACCGCCAACATGGACGTCCCACCTTGGAGCGAATCAAATTTGGTCAATCGGTCCAAGTCCCCTCATGGTCATGGATGGCTTTTGGAGGAGAGATAAGATACATGAACGCCCCTTTGGGAGGTGTCGAATGGAACCGCAAGGTCATCTCGCCGTTCAAGGTGCCCGATGAGGGCAACTCAAGCACGTTCAGGGCCCAACATCCCATCGATTTCCAGGCACCAGTGCTCAGACTGAAGGGTGAGAGGCCGAAGTTGCTGTTGCAAGATGAGCCGAGTCGGGAGCTGGACCACCCTCTCAAATGCGTTGTCATTGGAAGCAACAAGGACGGCAATAGCAGGTCTCGTCAACACTACGCCATCATTCTTTCGTCAATTCGGAAGAACGGTTTTCATCAATTTTACGAGAGGATCGGGGTTGCATACCTGACTGAAGAGGAGTTGAGCAACGTGGAAAATGAACAGGAGACTGAACTTGGGACCATTCGCTAGGCGTTCTGTTAACTATACTTTGGTCTCGGCAACGGGAATCATCTAACACCCCGTCGCTGCCTGTCTGTCTCGCGCAGCCCTGGCTTTCAACAAGTCATTGAACAGGCGTTGATATATTTCATTTCTTGGGCGAGATCTTCGCTACCCGACTCTTTACATAGTCTTAACACCGACCTTTACAAGTTTGAAAATATCGACTTCCAACCAGATTGAGCTTCTGGTGGGGGGGGGGGGGGGAAGAATTCCTTGTTCTAGCTTTTTCCTGAACACCAAGTAACTTGATTTGGGCTTTGGGCAATGCTTTCAGTTACTTGAATTCCAAAATGCAATCCAAGCAATTGAAACAGGACACGTGCACATGCTCTGGAAGGTAAATTGAGAATAGAAAGGAGTGACATAGATTCAAAATATGATGACGAAATGCAATATCTATCACGCGATCTTCGATGCATATGTTAACAGAGTGCACCATAGTAGTCTGTACAGCACGATCATCGGCAGCTCCGCAATGGTGGTATGGATGCCTCTTCGTAAGGGATGAAGTAGCATCATTGATGCCAGAGAGCCTTCAAACTTTGAGTGTTTCCCAGCCTTGGACACCTGGTGATCTTCGTAAAGAGAGCCGGGAGATGGAGCCGGTCGGAAGGTGGTGGAGTATAGCGGAAGTGGTCGGAGGTGAGGTCGGAGGTCTGCCAAGATCTACAATTGTGCTCACCTCGTGACTTGTTCTGCCTTCCGGTAGCCGAGCCGAGCACTCCAGGTCGCCGAGACGACGGAGCAGCACAGAATTAAGCGTCCCAAATTCGACGTGGCCTTTTCGTTCCAGTCACGAACTGGAGGATCCAGGTAAATATGTACTGAAACTAGGCCGTTGCTGGCATAGCATGGAGGTCTCTGCGCATGCCGTCGAAGCCTGCCAAGCGCCGCCAAATTCCCTGTTCTGGCGGAAGAAATGCCAGGGAAGCTCGGGCTGAACTCGCCCGATTGAGGGTCCCCCAGGCGCTAACGTCGCCAAATTCATTACGCTCGCCAATCACACACAGCGCAGGAATTGACTCAGCAGCGAGGTCTGAGGACTGGGAAGACTTTGCGCTCCACCATCGGTGCGATTTCGACATTGCTCATGTGGGTCGGGACCTTGATGGAGAGATGGAGGGGGAGGGGCAGCAGAATTATGGGACCAGGGCCATGCCGTCATGCGTGCCCCTCCTTGAGTTATAAAATTGTTTCCCTTCTTGAGCGAAAGCAAACAGAGGGGCCATTTTTCCCGAATCTCCTGATTCTCGTCCCATCCTACACCGGTTCACAACAAGTCTGCCCTCCTCACCTCTCCGATACCAAAACAAACACGTCAGATTCCAGTCCTCCATCATGTCTTTCGGTACCAAGGCCAAGCTTCTGTCCGGCGATGAGATCCCGTGAGTTGTACCCCTCCAATCAAGACCAGTCCCCTGATCGACGACGCCACCTGTCTCACATGGACCAGAAGGCCCATGTCTGTGAAGTGCTCCTCACTGACACACCATCTTCGCGCGCAACAGCACTCTCGGCTATGGCACATGGCAGTCCAAGCCCGGTGAGGTGTCGGTCGGTATCTACGAGGCCCTGAAGGCCGGCTACCGCCACCTCGACCTGGCCAAGATCTACGAGAACCAGAAGGAGGTGGCCGAGGGTCTGCACAAGGGCATCAAGGACTTTGGCATCAAGCGTGAGGACCTCTTCATCACCTCCAAGCTGTGGAACAACGCCCACCGCCCCGAGCACGTCGAGAAGGCCCTCGACGACACGCTCGCCGAGCTGCAGCTCGACTACCTCGACCTCTACCTGATCCACTGGCCCGTCGCCTTCCCCCTGGAGGGCGCCATCGGCGAGGTGCTCTTCCCCAAGCACAAGGAGAAGTCGGGCGAGGTCGCCCTCGACAACGGCGTCTCCCTGGTCGACACGTGGAAGGCCCTGATCGCCCTCCCCAAGAGCAAGGTCAGGAACATCGGCGTCTCCAACTTCACCGTCGAGCACCTCGAGCAGGTCTCCAAGGCCACCGGCGTGGTCCCCTCGGTCAACCAGGTCGAGCGCCACCCGCGCCTGAACCAGAACGACACCCTGATCCCCTACGCCAAGGAGAAGGGCATCCACATCACCGCCTACTCGGCCTTTGGCAACAACAGCTTCGGCCTGCCCCTGCTCATCACCCACCCGGCCGTCGAGGCCATCGCCAAGAAGCACAACGCCACCGGCGCCCAGGTCGTCCTCGCCTGGTCCCAGGTCGGCGGCCACAGCGTCATCCCCAAGTCCGTCACCCCCAGCCGCATCGCCGCCAACTTCCAGGAGATCAAGCTCAACGACGACGACGTCAAGGCCATCAACGAGATTGGCACCAAGGAGTACCAGCGCTTCAACGTCCCAGCCACCTGTAAGTTGAACACAGTCTTCCCCGAGATGGTGACACAACATACTGACTGTCATTTGTACAGACAACCCCAAGTGGGACATCAACATCTGGGACGACGAGAAGGAGAAGTCCACCACCAACAAGGTTGTCGTGGTCTAAGATGTTTGCAATTGGGATTGGATTGGCGCACCCTGATGGTAGATACCTCCGCATAGAATTGCAATGAAAGAAAAGAGTAAAATGTGAACCAACAATATCCAAGCGCATTCTTCAATTGGTGATTTCAGTACAGGAAGGGGTGGAACTCGAGCGCGCTTGGCATCCTCATGCCGCCCTGGAAGAGTCTGCACTTATAAGCAGCATTCGAGACGCCTTCGGGTAGCCCTCCGTCATGAAAACGTATTGTGATGGATCGCCGGGTAGAGGTTCAATATTGGTATTAAATTAACACACAGAGCAGAGCGCTGGAACTCTCCCGAACGCACAGCCATCCTCAGTCCTTAGACGCCACCATAACATCATCCACCATCTCGGTGCTATGCCTCTTAAACGTGGCAAGCCGGAACTCGCTCTGGTCCCAGGGGCTCTTCTTGCCCTCCATGAACGTGCTCCCCGCGGGCGTCGACGCAACGGCAGTGAGCGTCGACTTCCCGCTGCGCCCGCTGCGCCCGCTGCTGCCGCCGCCGCCGTCCCCGCCCTCGACGTCGAAGTTGGCGTAGCTGCGCTTCCGGAGCCTCCTCTGCCTGCGCTCGCCCTGCGCCGACGGCCTGCTCGGGTGGCCCGACTCGTCTGCGCTGCTGCCCATGCCCATGCAGCGCGGCGCGTAGCGGACGATCAGGATGCGGATGGATGGCAGGCAGGTGCAGACTACGCCTATGTCGATCTCGATCCCGGACCAGATGCCTACTTCGACAAAGTCCCCTATATATATCCAGTTAGCGGGTGTCGCTCTCTAGAAGCCAAGGTGGAAATTAGCCACTCACTGCTAGGGTTTATGGTTGTTGTGAAATTGTTGATCGTCTTGAGCCTCACAAGGCTGATGATGAAGAACCTATGGCCAAAGTCGTCAGCTGACACGTATTCAACGGAATCTCAAGTCCACCTCTCACGGGTGCACTCACGCAAGACCAACAGTCAGCATGATCCCCGCAAACATCTTCCTCCTCCAGCTCAGGTTAAGCTTCCAGATCGCAGGCCAAGGCAGCGCAATGAGCCACAGGTCCAGCGCAATCCCAGCCGCGGCCGCCGCCCACGCCAGCGCGTTCGCGTTGCCGCACTTCCCCTGCACGGGCCCTTGCTTGTCCCACTGGTACCAGAAGAAGCGCGTGGGCTGACACTGCAGTATTACGGCGAGGGTGAAGCTCGTGATGTGCACGGCGTTGAGGACGTTTGTCCAGTGGACCAGGCGGTAGGTCGTGTAGTTTGAGGTGCGCGGGAAGATGCGCAGGTAGAAGAAGATGATGGAGGCGCGGATGAGCCCCCGCGTCACGGCGTACAGGCCCATGTTGACCCAGAAGATGAGAAGGAGCCACGTTATGTGGTCGAAGGGCACGTCCCACACGTCGGTGCCCATCCCGAGGGCCGCGGCCCGGATGTTTGTTGCTGCGAAGGCGGCGCAGCCCGACTGTTTGGGGTGGAAAAGATCAGCATGCTTTGCTTTTTCCTGGTTTCGTCTGTATATATATTGTGGGGGGGCTGAGGAGTGGGAAAGGGGCGCGGCGCTTACAAAGGCCAGGAAGATGAAGAGATCATCCCACCAGAAGTAACACAGTGTTACGTATCTGGCAATTAATCTCAGAAAGACGGCAATACCGGCAAGAGCAAGAAAGCCTGAGAAGACGGGGACAAGGCTTTCGTCTCGGGGGGCTTTATTGTCGCATAGTGTCTCCGTGATGTTCTTCGCTCCTAGATAATTCGGCGTGTCAGTACAGGATACTATACGAAATGTAACAAAAGGCTGTGTTTTGCTCACTCAATCCGTCCTTGGTGGAGCATTTGACAAGACCGCATTCTTGCGCCTCAGCATTGAGCTTCGCGTTCGAGCATGTGCAGTGCAAATCGGTCAGTTTGCATGGCGAATTCGACGTGGCCGTGATTAGGCAGGTCAGCTAGATAGATACTATGTCAGCATGAACAGGAATTGCAGCACCTCAGAAGAGAGAGATCCAACTCACAGCGCAGCTAGGGATTTCTGTAACTGCTGCGGCAAGTGATGACTGTGCCGCCACGCCTGCGATCAGGAGGTGGAGGAGGATAAGGATCAAGTTTCCCGTCTTCATTTCCAACCTTCGCATAGGCACCTTGTGCCACCGTGGGGATAAGGTGTGCGAAGAAGCGAAGAACGCCTCATGGTCTCATGTGGAAGGCTCCCGAGGATATGGGAAGTGAAAGGGCTAGGTTTAATAGCTGGAAGGGCTCCGTGTGGTAGTTCAAGGTAGTATCGGCTACCCAGACGACTGGTCCGGCATGATCCCCGGTGTTGGTACGGATTTGGACCTAGCGTCCATTGATGAGGACGAACCACACAGGAACAGTGTGTTACCACAGTTCGGTCAAGTAGAAATGTTTCAGGCTATGCCCCCAACGGATTATCAGATGCTAACATCAGTACAGACGGGAAAGGGGCTAAGATCAGTTCTACTAGAGGCAACCCGTGCGCGGCACGCCGTCGGGATCGAAGGCTGGCCTGCACGAAGGGGCACACTTCGCGTTGGGTTCCCCAATTACACGCGACACACGCGTGCTGTCAGACATTAGACGGGAGTTTATTTCACGGCGAATAAGGTTGACTTAAGGAGAAATTCATGGTGAAACATCGCGGGGGCTTCTTCTCTCTCGTCGAAAACATTGAATTTATCCTATTTACCCTGACAATGAAGCGGAGAAGTCTTGGGGGCCTCAGGGAAAAAAAGCAACTTGCAGGGCAAGACGTGATGGCCCGCGTAGCATTCCTGCAGGGGCGTGCAGGGCCAGCTCTCTGATCCCACGTATCAAGGTTCTACTTTCCCGAGACTGACTTCCTGTCAAACGTCAATGAGTCCGGAGGTCTGGTTTTCCCAGGCACGCCTAGAACCGCCCAGTGAATGCCACAATGCCACTCCATCCCACATGGAACGAGAGGCGTTTTTAGACGGGAGGTGGAACTGCATGACGAGGCAGCTATCCTCGCCAGAGTGCATCCTTCCATTGGCGTGCCCCTGTGATGACCATGTCTGATTAAGCATCTCCGTTCCCTGCAGCTGCAGCTAGGGGCAAGTCCCGGGTGGCTAGTAGGGTCCAGCTTGGGTGCGACCGGACAGCCTTCTCGAATCACTGTTGTCTTTACCGTGGTCACAGCATTAGTCTCAGTCTAGCCAAGCCGTTAGGGTCCCAAGGCCCCGAATTGCTTGTGTTAGATTGATCGTCACCCACTCTCTCCCCTGAAAGTTCTCTAGCCTCAGCCCGCTCCAATGAAAACATGGGATGGAGAGCTTCTGGGCATGTGTAGTGAGCGTGAGCAGTAGTATCGAGTTGCGAAGCGGCTCTTCACAAATTCTGAGGACCCAAATTCCATGAAAATTTGATGGACAGGCCGGTGCTGGGTATTTCCACAACCGTCCAATGGTCGCTCATGTTCCAAGTGGTATGTGTGGAAACTAGATCCTGCCTCTCAAGCCATCAGACTTAGATTTAGCATGCCTTGGCACTCAGCCATCGACGTCTTCCGTCTTCACCAGAGTACTTTACTCATAGTTCATCACTGGGCTGACCCAAGACCTTGACACGCTGACGTGCGGCCCGGGCTGCACAGACCACATAGCACACGTTCTTATAGGGTAAAAGTCAAGTCTAGACAAGTCAACTCTGCAACGGAATTCCCCAGATGTGGAAGTATAGGTGTGTGTAATTGTGCCGCATTAGCGGCGTCGCTTTTGTTCAACACCAGAAGGTTGAACAAGTAGCCATGACTGTGGAAACCCTCCGCACGGCCTCCAAAGAAGGCAGGCGAGCCATCCGAGTGCCACCACTGACATCACATCTCCTGTCCCGTGGCAGATGCAAGGCGCCATCCAACTGAACGCTCTCGAACTCAGGAAGCCTTATCAAGTCATACCTGCCCCGCTGGTTCTCGTGTGCCCAGCTGGGGCACAACGTGCGCTACATGCCGCGTGGGTGAGCGACGACCCCGGCCGACGGCGTGGGGCCCAGTCCGTGCGAACCACTCGCAGAAGAACGTCGGTTCCAAGCCCCAAAGAAGCCGTCCTTGCGCGGACGACTCTATCTTGCCCCGTTTGAGCTACAACGTGGCGGATCCTATGATGTTCAGGGCACCATCTGGTCGGTCCAAGCACATGGGAACGAGGTCACAAGGCTGTTCGTGCTGGTCAAAACACAGGACCATTACCGTGGTTCACAAAAAGATCTTCTATGTGTTCTGCCGTTTGCTGCCCCTCGCCACCGGACCGCAATCAGTCATCATTGATTGGGTACTGCGCGCTCAGGCCCGCCGTGGCTGAGGTCGTGGTTCTAGCTGACTACTTAGGCTGACGACATTCACCGTGCTTGGTGGCCGTGGAAACCGGCCACATGCCGGTCTCCTCTCGATACCCATCCAGTGGGATGACCCCTAGTGGGATAACCTCCAGTGGGATAGCCTCCAGTGGCACAATGTCGTGTTGGATAATTCTCAGCGGGATGGCCTCCAGAAATAGGAAGTCTCATAAGATAGCCCGTCTTGGGTCGAGCATTATATAGTACGATATAATCCACCATCACCCGCCCGCACTCAAGTAACCTATCTCTGTTATCTCTGTCATTACTTTACCAACTACGCAATTCAAATCTCGAGGATAGTAAGAAGTGGATGGGATCAAAAATAAGGTCGCAACGGGTCACTCGTGGAAAGAGCAGTCGTGATTCTCCAGGGGTGGATGGAAGGCATCCCGAGCTAATCCGGCCGCAGTGGTGATTTCTTTGTGCCTATATTCCGATTGGGATGAAGGGAAAGTCGAAACCAAACTGCAGCAGCGCACAGAATGTGGCGCATAAAGTCTGAGTGCTGAGGATGTTCGTCTTTGTTCCGTCCTGGAGAACCAAGACGCCAAGCCGCTGGCAACAGACGAAAAATACGGTGACTGGATGATTCGTCCCGTCCAGGTGAAAGACGACATAGCGCAAAGTTAGTAAACTCAGGAAGTTGATCTCCGCTTCGCCTGAGATGCGGACCTTGCTGCTCCACGTGATCCATCGCATCACAGTGGCCGCCGTGTCTAGTGTGCACGCGTTGAACAGAGTGCACGCGCTCAGCCGAGCCCAATACTCACATGGCCCAAGTCTGCTACCGAGTGGGCAACTCATAACGCCATTACGACGCATGCTAGCTGGGTACTTCACAAGGTATGGAGCCGCTCTGAGTGAAGCTATCGCCAAGATGGCTATCGGTGAAAGCCTCCTTTTGCTCCTTTTGGAAGAGGTCGGGTCTCCGTGGGGTTATAGCATCACCGTGTCCTGACATCCTTCTACGCCACAAAATGTCGTACCAGTTGTGGCGTTGAAGAGGAATCTGGGAAGACCCTCGTACGAACAACCATTTCTCAAGCCTTACAGATCCCGAAACTGAAACCACATATTAGATTTTGGCCTATTCGATCTAAATGGGATGGGGGTATTATTCCTCGTGCATTGAATGTGCGCTCTGAAAGATGGCCATTACGAAAGAAATGGCGAAGTGCGCGCCGGCCCGCATGATCAACACGACTTGAAACTGCTCGTCTTTGGCTCAGTGAACTTGATATGCAACAATACCAAGAAGATTACCAAGAAGAAAGAAGATTATACCAGAAATGGTAGTAAGAATAGAGAACTCGTCCGCCTCCCCCCCCCCCCCCATTTATGAGATGCGTGCACAATGCCTAGCCAATGGATATGTTGAAAATGAGCTCAACACAGGGAAGGGCAGCCCACGGAATCAAGAACCAAAGGCCTGGATCAAATAATACCTCCCATGGTCACGTGTTGAGCGTGACCACCCAGAATAATGCTAGCAGACTCCCGTGTATGCAAACAGTGAGGAAGTTTGGCTTAGCCGTTACCTTGCCGATAGCCTGCACTGAGCTCCTGATGGTGAGAATTGGTACTGTGATCATGAGCTGTTTTGTTGTGAGAATGGTGCAAAGCCATCAGGGCCACCATTAGACAGTTGAGCCTCCTCGTCGTCCTCGTAACTGCCTCGCATCTTCAAATTCATTGGATGGGGCCGACGCAGCGGTAGTTTGCGTTGATTTGCCTCAGTCTTTCGGATTGAATGTACCGGACGCAACCTCAGTCCATCCTGGGCACATCATCCCGGTTGCTGGAGATCATCATAGATTGGAGCTCGAGCACTCAGGTCAATTTGAGAAGGACGTCGCAGGAATGTTGCTGCCTGCCCCAACGAACCTAAGGATGTGGCGCGAAGCATATCAACTAGTTCCACGACTTGCACAGGGGCATCAGGCACCTCTGCTGTCCCGTTTCTGTCTTGATACGCGGCAGAAATTAAGGATAACTATCTTGCAATCCACTGATGTTAGGCGACATTGGACGAAGAGAAAGCACGGTATTTGAATGTAGCGTCACTCGGCTCCTCAGTCACTTAACCTGCAATTTGCATTTTCCTTTCTCGGACCAGTGTTCACCGTGGCAATCTTGGCTCTTACGTGCGGGCAAGTTCATGTGCGGCCGACTGGGTGATAAGCCCACAAGATCTGACAAAGACGGGATGTGGGTTTGGACTTCACTCCGAATCCCGTCTCACTCCTCTAAAAGAGAGAAGAAATAAGAAGAGGATTCCATGATTCAGAAAGAGGAGTACAACGGCAACACCCATCTCAAAGAACCGACGCGACTAGGAACCGAGGTCAATCCTGAAATACAGAATGAAGCTTGTTGTTGTAGGCGGAACCGGCCTGGTGGCTACGGAAATCATCAGACAGAGCCTAAGGGTGCCCGAGATCACCTCTCTTGTCGCACTGGCTCGGCGACCAGTACAGCTCGATGCTGATACTTCTGATGCGTCCAAGTTCGAAAGCCTTGTCGTCCGCGACTACGCTCATTATGCAGATTCGGTCAAGGCGGCGCTAGCTGGAGCAGATGCCTGTATTTGGTATGTCACATCTACCTCGAGAAACCGGTCACGCAGCTGACGTAGCAAAATACACAGGACAGTGGGAATCACACTGGGCCGGTCCAACACCTACGACTTTGCCGAGGTCAAGCACGTGTGTCAGGACTGTACTATGGCAGGACTTGAGGCGCTGAGAGAGGCGAACTCTGCCGCACCGAAGCCTGTCAAGTTTGTCTATTTAAGCGGACATGGGATCTCGCAGGATTTCACTACAAAACCTTTCATAATGGGCGAATACCGTACCATGCGCGTAAGTCGAACATACCCGTCAAGGCGATTACAGACCTCTTCAGGGCGAGGCTTGGAGCACTAACGTATCTTATTCATCAACAGGGCCAAACAGAGAAAATGGTGCAAGATTTCGGCCGAGACCACAAGGAAGTTGAAGTCCAAATAGTCCGCCCCGGGATGGTGCTGTCCTACATAAACGTATGGAGGACCCTGCAGGCGAGCATGGTTCGGGCCAGCAACTACGTCACAAGCTCCGTCGCTAATGTTGGTCGGGCGGAGCTGTCTGCCGCATTGCTGGACCAGGTGATGCATGGTTTCGAGAAAGAAATATTGTCAAATGCAGATTTGGTCCGGATTGGGGGTTCGTCCATGACTAAAGAGGCATGAAGGGAGCGTACTGACATAGTGGTAGAGGCTATTGTGGACCTTTTTAGATGATTTGTATTTGACGACCTTTGACTCCACTGTTCTGGTGTTGTTCTTGCGGGTGAGAGGGGATGTACTTGCGAATTGGCCGTGTCACTGGTTAACGATTTGGAAGTGGCGCCTCTGGTGTGAACAAAAAAGTTGAGCTTGCAATGTAAGGAAGTACGTTACTGTAATATGACAAAGTCAATGCACAAGTGTTTATCTAGTAGGTTGTCCCTAGGAGGCTATCCCATAAGAGGTTATTCAATAAGAGATTATCCTATAGGAGGTTATCCTAGACGAGGCTATCCCATAGGAAATTATCCCATAAGAAAGTATCCCATAGAATGTTATCCTATAAGAGGTTATTTTATGTGTGAAATTTACAGCCTCAGTGGCTGTTCATCAAGAAAACCACAGGATTCACATCCGCCTTGACTAGATATAGCTTCTCTATTTCAACAGTCCTTTGATTTCGAAAGAACTCAGTCATGGATTACGAAGTAAGCGGATGGTTTGCATTCCCACATGCATCAAATAATGCCATGAGTGTTGGATCGGTTCAGGAAACTCCCCTCTGAGTCCCTCATGGGGCATTTCGGCCCTGATTAGAGGAGGACACTCAGTGACACTTGGGCGTGCAGCCCTGATCTTCCCAGGGTCGTATTACAAGCTCTATAAATCCGCAACTATCTTGATCTTACAACATCCTCGGACTTATAAGATGTTTAGACTCGTCATCCCATGATATATGCCCTCTATCAACCTCTCACTTTTGTTTCCTCATTTGGCAAAGCGGTTCATGTCTCGGGAGGCGGGTCCCACTTGAAAACGAACTATACGAACTTGTGCGGAGAAGGCGGCTCTTTGATTTGAACAGCATCCCGGTCAATCATGACAGGCTAACCAGCGCTAATTCACGTCGAAGAATCCGAGTCATGCCCGTCTCCAAAACATGGTCCTCAAAGGCCTTATCTCTTTCGTGACAACTTCAGTGTTCAGATTTCTGGGTCCAGCGATCTGGAAGACATATACAAACAGCAGGATCCCATACGCGGTGCTCGTTTCAGCGTTCCGTCGTCCGATTTCGTGTGGTCTTCAGTTCGGTCAGTGACTAGTACTGGGTCTGCCGAGAGACTCAACCTTCTTCTCTCCCTGCACCAGACGGCGAAGACATTCAACAGTCATCCTTAAGCCAAGAATGGCCGCCCGCCACCCATTCCTGAGTCTGCAACCAGACGAGATTCAATCCACCAGCGACTCGATTCATGCCAAGCATCCCGGAAAGGAACTTCTCATACGGGTCGTCGGCCTCAAAGAGCCGCCCAAGGCAGAATGTGTTGCCTTCATTCAAGGGAGAGGCCCAGCCCCGGCGCGGCGCACATATGTGTCCTACCAGATCAAGGGGGAGGCGACCGTCTTCGAGGACATAGTCGAGCTATCGAGCGGCGAGACCGTCAAGGCTCGCAACATGGGCACAGCGTGCTACCCACCAGCCACCAACATCGACATGCACCGCCTGGAGGACATCGTCATGAGCGACCCTCTCGTACAGGCTGAGATCGCCAGGCTTAAGCTCCCAGAGGGTACTGTTGTCCAGCCTGAGCCATGGCCTTATGGGACAGAGTCTGCGACGCCCGAGAGGCGCCAGTACCAGGTCTGGATGTTTTTGAAGCCGGTGGATCCCAAGGCGCGAGAACACCCATCCGGCAACCATTTCGCCCATCCCCTGGACTTCTCAGCAGTAGTGGACGACCTAACCATGAAGGTCACACGTATCGACAGACTACCCATGAAGCCGGACGAGATATTTGTCGACAACGAGGCAGCCGAGAATAGGCCGTGGCAGCCGAACCCCGACGCGGAGTATGCCTCGGAGCTTCAGCCGAAACTGCGCGACGACCTCAAGCCTATCAACATCAGCCAGCCCGAGGGCGTCAGCTTCCGCGTATCGGAGGACGAGGTGGTCGAGTGGCAGAAGTGGCGATTCCACCTCGACTTCAACTGGCGCGAGGGCGTCGTCCTCCGGGATGTCACCTACGACGGCAGGCCGGTGTTCTACCGACTCTCTCTTGCGGAGATGACTGTGCCATACGGCGACCCACGGGTCCCGTATCATCGCAAGAGCGCGTATGACCTCGGCGAGGGCGGCGCAGGGTGCACAGCAAACAACTTGGAGCTGGGGTGCGACTGTCTTGGTGCTATCAGGTACTTCGACCGGTGGATGAATGACCACGAGGGAAAACCGATGGCACTCAAGAATGCAATCTGCATGCATGAAGTGGACAATGGCATTGGATGGAAGCACACGAACTACCGCACAGGGCGGGCGGAGGTGACTCGTAACCGTGAACTTGTCATCCAGACTGTGAGCTCGTGAGATACCACAGCCACCGGGTTTGAGAGACTGACTGGGCTTTTAGATCATGACCATATCCAACTACGAGTACATCCTCCAGTGGGTCTTTGACACAGCCGCCAACATCCACTATGAAGTCCGGGCCACAGGCATCATGTCACTTGTGCCAGCCGATCAGAACGCAGACCAGGACGGGATTAGCTACGGCATCATGGTGTCCCCAGGCGTCATGGCTCCCATCCATCAGCACATTTTCTGTCTGCGTCTCGACCCAGCGATCGACTCCTACAGTGAAGGCGCAATAGTGTACGAGGACGTCAAACGCCTGGGCTGGAACGCTGCGACGAACCCTTACGGCGTGGCCTTCGGCGTTGAGTCCACGCCCGTGGAGAAGGAGTCGCACCTAGACCTCGACGCGAATCTCAACCGCGCAGTCAAGATGATCAACCCCACTCGGAAGAATGGGGCATCGCACAAGCCCCCCGGGTACAAGGTCATGATCCCCCCGACCCAGCTGCAGCTGGCCGAACCGGGGTCGCTGCACGGCATGAGGGCCGAGTTTGCAGACCACCACTTCTACTTCACTAAGCAGGATGAGGATGAGCTGTACCCAGCAGGTGATTTCCCATGGCAAAGCGTGGGTGGCACCGGCCTGCGCACGTGGGCGTCGCGGAAGGGCGATATCAAGGCTGGCGAGGGTGTGGTCTGGTGCACGTTCGGGTTCACTCACGTCCCGCGGCCGGAGGACTGGCCGGTGATGCCGGTGGAGGTCTTCCGGGTTGGACTGAAGCCTGTGAACTTCTTCGAGAAGAACCCAGCCTTGGATGTGCCGCCCAGCAAGCAGGCCGTCAACAAGAGCGTTGAGGTTGCCAGGTCACAGAGAGAACTGCAGTTGAGATCGGCTGACTGCTGCGGACGATCTTGATAGGACTGTTGAGTATGTATGTGTGTAGAGGTCAGCGAACGATCAACGGGTTGATGAAGCAACTGTATGGCAAGGGTCCCCCTCATTCTCTCGTGAATGTTCCAATCAATTAATGCTCTTAGTGATGGCTGAACTTCTCAAATCGTACAGAATGCCAATTCCAACATCCCAAGAGAACATTGAAATAGGTACCCAGGGTTCGATAGAGAGAGAATTATGGAGATTACTGCTTGAATGGCATGGGAGACTCGTGAGACGTACGGCGTAGGGCTTCAATTCCTTGACAGGCTAGAAGCTCCTTATTTTAGGACCAATTTACTTGTTCCCAATATGAGTTTCGCAGTCTCTCCCAAGCTTTCGGTGCTCCTGGATGGCATCACTGGCTTTAGTCTGCCTTCGAGTTCTTTTTTGGATGTTGAGTGGCTTCGGCCAGTGCCTGAGGTGAGCCCACAGTAAGTCCCTTATCAGATGTCAATAGGTAACTTTTCTGAACAAAATACAGGCCGAGACAACCTGACATTGGCTGCGACCATGTCCTGGTCCATGCCACGGGTGTTTTTGCGACTCCGGACCTCGATTCTCAGAAACCTAGCGGCCAGATGTGGATGGAGAGTTGATAGCCAAGATCAACACCCTGAAGTACCACACGAGCCCCTTTTCGGTAGTGAGAGGGATATATACACTCTCCAAATGATGGCAAGTTCAGCACACTGTGAATTAAATTCGGTTCAAAGGGCAAATACTAACTTGATTAAGAAGACAGCAACCAACGTGGTGGATCAAGCAGAGCTCGGGCAGGAGGACTTCGACTCATATTACTACTAGTATCGTCAAAACAACCCCTCCCCCCCCCCCCAGTAAAAAAAAACAGGGAGGGAGAGAGAGGGAGGGAGAGAGACAATTATTTGACTCATAACTGCTAATGAATGGTGGAGAGCATTCATCGATTGGTCACAGTTAATCAGCTGTAGGATAACCCCTGAGAGGAGAACCTTCCGTAGGTCGACTTCCTGTAGGATAACCTCCTATGCGATAATCTCTCATGGGATAACCTCCTGTGAGACAACCGCCTGCTAGTACCCCAGCACGAAATGATTTTGCTAGCACAAGCATAGGTCCAAAAGAGAAAGCCATGGCTTCGGCCACGCCCGGGCCCCGTTCACAGGCGCTTTTGTGAGGCCGAGCCTCGTTGGAACTGGGACACGTCCTGGCCCAAGTGCAACAACCTGATTGACGGGCGCGTTTGGACAACTCGTGCTCCCAGGCAAGATCCTGAGCAGGTAATGGTTCTACGTGTTCTCTGGAATTAGGAAAGTCTTCGCAGAGAATACTTCTGACATTAGCAGGCAAGACGGTACTCGACTTAGCAGAGTGAGATTCAAGATCTTTCAGGATTGATTCAACGGTCTCCATGAATGCAAAGCCATAGTCAACTTGAAAAATGACTTAGGCCACCATGGGCCTAGACCAAGCTTGACTAAAGGTCAATAATTGAAACCGGAGCATACCCCCCGCCCCTCGCCCCGCTTCCTTTCCTTTCCCTTTTCCCTTTTCCCTTCTGCCCTTGTTGTATAACCGATTAAGCATTGCTTCACCACTGTCACACCAAGCTGAGTTGATATCTCTTGCGAATTTTCTTTTTCAAAAAATACTAGCCGCAACCGCAGGCTCAAGGTCTTTGACTCTGGATTTTGTTTCGTTGTGCACCAACTCGGTGACGCCAGCCGTATCTACACGGTAAGGTTTGACTGGCCTATCATGGTGTTAGAATGTTGACTTTCAGCACGCGCTTTCTACGTTGTGACCAGATGGACTCACGATTGGTCGTAGAGGCTCCAGATGACCGTTTCCGGCTGCCCAATCCAGTCAAGCTGCGTCTTGATGAACTCTGCTGCCGAGCCGTCGTACGGTCGTCCGTCCAGGTTCGCCCGTCCCGCGACGGCGAGAATGGCGACATCCGGCTTGGGCTCCATGGCCTTGAGCACTCCCTCGTAGCCTCCCAGATGGCCATTCCAAAAGAGTGTTTTCCCTGGGCCGATGAGGAAATTGTAGGAGAGCTGCCCACCATCAAACTCGGAGAACACATGCCGTTTCCTGTCGCTCGTGTAGTCGATCATTGACTGGATCCCCGCGTCTCTCATATCCTTTGGAACGAGATCGCCAAGCCGCAAGAGAGCATGCTTCATCCCATTGGTGATGTCAAGCGTGCAGGTGTAAGGGCCGGCTCCTCCGGTATACCTGGTCCGCGTATCAATCACATCTGGAAGCTGTCCGGGTGGGCCGGGCATGAAGCAGTGCAACGCGGGCCACACGTGTACTGCCATGGCGGCAAAGCCATCGTGAGGCCGTGGGGGGGCACCCGGCGGACCGGGTGCGACGTCAATTGCCCCTGCTGAGGCTTTCTCGCGGTCAGTCTTGCGGAACAGCGGGATCCTCTCACCACCAGCGACCGGCATGAGCTGCGCATCCGGAACGCCCGCGCCTCGGAGGAGGTTGATGGCTTCGCCGTTGGCGATCACGATGGCGCCTGTCTTCTTGGCGATGCGATCAGAACCTGGCAGGCTGTCATTGATCTTCACTGTTAGCTGGTGCCCCCGGCACCGAAAGGAGTGAGAGTAGGTGGACTGGGTCGAGGCATACTGGTCAAAGTGGGCGTGTGAAATAAATATGTAGTCCGCCTCGTCGACATCATCCACATCTAGGTATTTGGGCAGGACCGACGGTCTCTCCAGCCAGGTGTCAAGCCAAATGACCAGTCCGTTGGTTTTGAGCCGGTACGTTGTCGCACCTGATGTTTAGCGGATTAGGTGTTAGCATTCCTCTCGAGTTCATCTAGGCCGGCTAGAAGTGCTCTGCATGTCTAATCTAGACTTACCAAACCACTCGATAGAGGCAGACATGTCGAAAATAGGATTGGAAGTCAAATTACAGGTGTGAAAAGCCGTATTTGGGTCTACAGGACGCCTTTATGAGTCTGTCCTCTCTGCCGGCACGATATATGTCTGTGCTTGGTCGGGCTCGGTTGCACTGAGTTTTCCGAGCGTCCTAACGTCTGGCCTGTTTAACGTTTACGCCAGTGGCTTGGGAACGCTCGTGGTTGACAAAACAATAGCCTTGCTCGAAACTGCGGGGCCGAACGCCACGTCGGCCCCTCAGTGTTGGTTCTCCAATTTCACTTGCTGTATGCCATCCTTGGCAACTTCCCGGGAAGCAACTCCGATGTGGGGTGGGTGCAAAGTTTCCCCGGACCCCGTGATATTTGTTCGGGATAGCGCCTTGCTTGCACGAATGAGTCATCGACAGAATGCTAGATCAGGGAGCCCAACTTCTGTTTAGATCATAAAGACAAATTAGCGGCTCCTCAATATGTGGAACACATGACCAATTGTCTCTGCATTTCACAGAAGCAACACCGTCCAAATCAATTCAGACAACTGGCCTTTAAACTCTACTCCACCAGACGGGCTTGGACCCACCCTGAGATAAGTCGACCATGGCACGCTTCAAAGTCATAATTGTTGGCGGAGGTCTCGCAGGCTCCCTGCTGGCCAACGGCCTGGTGAACAATGGCGTGGACGTCATTGTTTACGAGCGTGACGCCGCTGATTCCAAACGGGAAGGGTATCAGATCCGCCTCGGCGGGCCCGCATATACTGGGTTTGAGGCGTGCCTGGCCGACGACCACCGCGCCGCCGTCCTCTCCAAGCTTGGCCAGACTTCGGGCGAGGTAAACACGGCACCTTCTATCGTCAACTCCCGCTTCGAGACGATACTGGACATGTCCCAGTTCCCCAGCTATTCAAAATCAGCCGCCATCAACCGTGTCGTGCTACGGAACACCCTGCTTGATCCCATCATCGCGCTTGGACGTGTGCGATTTGGCAAGAAGCTCGTCAGTTATGAAATTGTTGCTGATAAAAAAGGCAATGAGCATGTTGAGGTGCACTTTTCCGACGGCTCTGTAGACAACTGCGATGTTCTCGTTGGTGCTGATGGCAGTGGTTCCAAAGTGAGTGAACCCGTAATTAGTCGGTCGAATCAGTGTGGATTGGCTCACCTCTTCTTCAGATAAACCATCAGCTTGGACTCAGGAACCTTGTGGAAATCGACACAGAAGTCGGGCTCCTGCACAAGGGCGATTTGACAAGCAGTGTCATCAAGAAACTCCCAGCGCAGCTTCAGGACGGACCAGTCATAGTCTTCACAAAGAATTTGAGGCTTTACTACTCTCGCATGTCCTATCTTTTAGCACGCCAGTCAAGTGCACGAAAAGCTGACTGTCCTTGCAGTGTATCTCCCGGCTGCCGCGAACCAGGCACCCGAAAACGCCAATGGGACCCGCTACGACCTGGAAAATGGATCTTTTTTCTGGGGCATGGGGTTGAGCCGCAGCCTTGTCCCATACGAGAATCTATCCGATATCCCAGACAAGATGAAATTCATACTGGGGCTTGTCAAAGACTGGGCGCCTGAGTTGTAAGAATGGTTCTAGTTAGGTCTAGCGGTGAAAATTCAGAGCTGATACCATACAGCCACACGATGCTGTCCGCGGGGACAGGAACCAACGAGCCGGATAACGTCGCTTGCATTCCATTCCGCGCCAGCACAAAGCCATCGAAGCAGTGGCGGGAGAAATTGAGAAAGAAGAGTCCAGAAAATCCGAACATAGGCCACCCAAGAGTCTGGCTGCTGGGAGACGCCATGCATGCAATGCAACCAACCAGGTTTGTATAGGTCCTTAAGCAGCCGAGCAATGATTTCTCGCCACTGACGTCTGTACAGAGGGATGGGAGGCAACCAGGCGTTGCTTGACTGCGCCGATATCTTGCCCGAGTTGCGGAGTCTAAACGATTCTGCCAAGCTAGGTGGTCCCGTCTCTTCCGAGCAGGTCAAATCTGCGCTCAGTCGATACGAAGAAAAAATGGTCGGGCGTGCCTTCACGTGGGTGGCGAAAAGTGGTGGGACTTGGGTTCCTGTAAGACGAATCGTTTGCACCAGTGTGTCAGTCATGACTTCAGGAGTCACAAAGGCTAACCTTTGGTAGGACTTTGATTTTGATGGGTTCTTGGGAAAGATTATAAGAATTGTGGGCGGTCTTGTATTGACGTTTCTGTTTCTGTTTAAAAAGACTAAAGTGAACAGGCCGAAGCAGTCGTGAAATGGGTAGTGCGTGGCAGACTGTGACTAGTTGAACAATTGTCCACTTTCCAATGATTTGCGGGATCTATACCACGGAGGCTTCTTCTAGCTCTCAAAGGGGCAAAAATGTTGAGCCAGGAGGAATCAGAACAAGTCACATCTGAACAGTCTACAGTCATCATAATACATAACTTGAAGAGTTTTATTTCAATACCGAGGTATATATTTCTGGCGCCAAACACTTTTCACAGGCTCTCCACTACAATAGAACTCGTCCCCAGGCTGCTCGTCATATCGACTGCCCATGACCAGAATCTCGGCGCGTTCTTTCAGTATTTGTTCTTTTTTGAGTATGCGGCCCCAATAGCCTCGCCCGTCCATAGCCCACAATGTCCATTTCTCAGGGAGTGTAATGCAAGCATAGAAGCCTTTCAGGCCTTCTTCGCCCAGCCCGGCTAGCGGGCCCAGTATTCGAGTGTACGCTCGCTGGATCTCACGGGCCTGGGGCTCGGTCATATCCTGGAGCTCGCCTATCGCACCAAGGTCTTTTGCGTGATACATGGTTAGCCGCAGGGTAAGGCCGTCCAAATTCATCTTCTGCTTGATGAGGCCGACCGTCTCACCCCAGTCGCTCAATGCACGACACCCGTCTTGTGGCCACGCGTCATGGTTGTACGGCGGAAAGGTCACCTCTAGCGAGCCTATCTCTGCGAGACCGGTGACCGGTACAACATCCGTCAAAAACTCGCTCACAGCAAGTCGCTCGTTCGGGTAGGATCCCAAGCCATACTCATTCCAAGGGGCGCAGGGATTGTAATCATGGACAACGAAGCGATTTCCAGAGAAAAAGACCACCTGTGCATCTTTGCGCAAGGCGTGGCAGACGAGGAAGAGGTCAGTCGGTGGGCTCCAGCACCGACAGTTGAACGAGAACGCTGCGTGGCGAATACGGCAGAAACATCCGACCGGGGGCCGGGGGTCTAGATGTACATACTCGGGAGGCAAGGAGCCAATCCAGCACTTTCGAAACTGGCATCCATGGTGCAGCTCAGCTGGACAGTCTTGCCAATAACAACTCACGAGACTGGGTTGATATCCTGTATGTTGCCGACTCCACCTGACCTCTTTCCAAGGTGTTATGAGGTCAGTGTACTCGAGAATACGGAAGCGTATCTCTCTAGGAAGGCGCAACAACATGGAACCTGAGCCTGCAGTCATATTCCTCAAATTGTAAGTTGGCTCGTCATCGTTGATAATCCCACAAGCTCGAAGGACCGAATTTCGAGCAATCTGCTCCAGCCCGCCATGAGGTGTTCTGCAGAGCCTGACATGGCAGTCTTTCAGCGGCGCCAGGTTGATGAGTGGCGCTACTGTAAGCCTGGCGGCAGATGAAGTCCTGGGATCTCGCGGGTCGAAGTCGCATACCAGAGACATGTTGAGCTTTCCCGGGTTGACGCGAGACCGGATGTAAGCAGCCGTTGAGCTCCAGTCCCCAAGCAGGTTGTTCGCTGAGTGATCCGAAGGCCGCAGTGCCTGATCATGCCAACCCATGTGCCCTGCCTCTGAGATTCCTTGCATACATGTTAACCAACTGCAAGGCACTTCGTTGAGAACGATCTTGAGATGCGTCAGCGAGGCAAGGGACGCATCGCTCAAGTTTCGTATTCGTCGGAGAGACCTCGCGTCCTCGTACTTGGTCTCAAAGTAGTTGGTAGAGTAAAGCACTTCAGAAACTTCGTCGTAGATTGTGCGGCACGAGAGTTGTAGGGCGCGGATCCCGAGGGCTCTCCTGCTGCTCAGACCATGCAGGTCGAAAGCGTACGGCATGCGCCACAGGGCGCTGTGGAAGTGGGAGTAGATTTGACGCCGCAGAGCGGGGGTAAGGCGAAGGATTGGCGAGCCATGAACAGATGGCGGGCTCTGCACAGGATTCATTGTCCTGTCACAAATGTTTGAGTCTGCAGATTTCAGGATCGACACGTACATCAGATGATACGTGATGCGCGGCTTCAAGTAGATATTTCCACGGCTGCTGCCTGCGCTTACTAACAACGGCGTCTTGGCGACATTTACGTGCAGACGACTGCGGAAGTCGCAATGTTGATACTGATGATGAAGTGACAAAGGATTATGAGTTATTCTTTTCCCACGCCCTTCCTTCTTTCTGCTTTCATCCCCCCCCCCCTACCTCTCGTTTTAATCATCGTCTTTTTCTCTCACTCCCCGGACTTCTGTTTTTTTATGGCCTTTTTTTCGCTACGTCCTAGAGACTCTTTTACTTCATTTACTATGTATTGTAGCACAAGCGGGACGAGAATTGAGTGATACGAAAAAAGGTGCAGGGGGGGCAATTACTTCATGTGACTCACCTAGGAGGCAGCGTATATATGAAGAAATTGTCCTCTATTGCAATCTTACCGCCTAACTTTATAGCAAATGCTTAAAAAAGATTAGAAAAGTCGCTAACCCATCCCGTATCTCTGGTCGAACGGGGCTTAATAGTCCAAAGCACGCCTTATAACTTCCCACGCATGTTTTATTCTCTCATCAGGCGTATTTTCGACACCCTTCACCCGGGGGTTAAAATCCTCCCATAACAGCGACGGGTGGATGTATCGGTAGTCGCCCGCCTTCTTGCTCATTTGATGTAGCAATGCAGCCATGTTTTCGGTCTTGAGAATCAGATTCTTCCCGCCGAATTTCAATTCCACATCCTCCCGCTGCTTCTTACATTTTCTCTGAAACACAAAGGCGAGAACTAAAGCTGCCATCGCTGTGGCCACCGGAGTGGCAAAGGATGTTCCCCCAGCGATCCGGAATTCGCCCCCTTTAGACTCGGGCCAGTGCGTGATGATGCCTTCGCCCACGGCCATGAAATTGTCCGAGTTTCGGACTGCTGGGGGCGTGAAGCTCGACCGGTCCATCCCAAGGTCATCCCTGCACGAGTGAATCCCGATCGTCAGCGACGGCTTTCTCGCCGGCCACGCTGCAACACGCTGCAAATTATTGCCAGCATTGCACATGGCTGCGAAAGTGACAATCTTGGCGTTTTTGGCTCTTTCCAGCGCGTCTTCCACATCCTGGTGAGAGGACAAGAAACCGCAGGACATGTTGATGAGATGCACGCGTTGCTCAATAGCCCAGTCTACTGCATCAGCAATCGCTTTCGGTCGTATACCTCTGAGGATTTCGGTTGTCTCGGGCCCTCTAGCCGAAATGCCTCTGTTCCTGTCCCCCTCGCACACTCGGGCGACGTAAATCTCTGCTCTGGGGGCCAATCGAAGTATGATACCGGCAACTTGAGTTCCATGTCCATCGAGGTCCATCACATCCCTCGCGGTCTCAGGCCTCTCGGGGTTGCAGAAATTCTTGAAGTCCTTGATTCTGGTCCATTGAGAAGGCTCGTTCTGTTGGTGAATAGGCTTTCCGTCCTCGTCGAATCTCACTATTCTCGCTTGCTGCCAGTCACGGTGCGTAAGGTCAATCCCGGTATCTAGGATGGCAATCTTGACTCTTTCATCCTCTTCCTTGAATTGGAAATTGTCTGGTGACTGCAAGGTCAATATAAGCCTGTCGAGTGCCTTAGAGCGTCCAATCGGGGAGCTACGTAGACAAATATCAGCGACTGTCGGGATGTTTCTCATCGTCCGGGTACATAGCACACTTGCCCTGCATCTGATAATGAGAAATTGTATCCATCAATTGCTCCGTAGACATCCATGCAACTTGATGGAGGGTCTTTCTCGGAGTCTGCGCTTTCCTGGGCCTCCTTTGGTGATCCAGATCGCTGAGAGAGAACCTCATTTTCTCCCCTAGTGTCTTGGCTCTCTCTCAGCACGGGACGGTTATCCACCGGGCCTGAGTTGGATGTTTTCCCACCAGGCTGTTCGCCTTCTGAACCATTAGACAGCACACTCCCGAAATCGTCAGGGATTGCTGACTCCTGACGATGGCATTGCAGTGGGACGTTCGGGGCCTCGTGATGCCCGTCTTCCTTCGCGAGCTGAACTGCAGTTTCTCCTGCACGTGTCTTCGCAGAACTATCCGCATTGCACTCCAGCAGTGCCTTCGCTGAGCTTTGTTGACCATATGCTTCCGCCAGTAGCAGTGGAGTCCATCTGTGAACGGCGGTCCTGGCTTCAGTATGATCTCTCCTTTGAATGAGTTTCTTCACTACCGCAACCTGACCCACCCTAGCTGCATGATGCAATGCCGTCCAGCCTTTGTGGTCGTCAAATTCTAGCAAACTACCGATTGACGGCGATACCTTGCACAACTGGAGAACATATTCCACGACATTTAGTTTGCCCCTGCTCGAGGCCCAGAGGAGCATTTCCACAAAGTCGAACCCTTGTCCATCAGCTGTCAGTAGATACAGATCTTCTTGGAAGACCCCGTTTTTAGGCTCCAATGTATTTGTAGGAGGCCATTTGGCCAACCTAGGATCCATGTCTTCCTGAGATAAGTTTGAAGAGTCGGTCCGCTGGAGATATCGATAATCCCACGAGCTGGCTCCGAATGCCCTCAGAGTGATGGCACTGTCTAAGGCTGGGCGGCCGAGTGCCCAATCCATGGGTAGCTTTCGAGATTTGGACACCAAGTCTACGTTTGCACCGTTGACGATCAAGAGCAGCACGAAGTCAACTGGAGCCATACCTGCAGCGAACTGTAGGGGTGTGAGGTTCTGATGGGTATCGTTAGCCAATTGTGGATGTTCATTCAGCAATCGGTGGGCCGAGTCGAAATTCCTGGTGATGATGGCCCGATATAGCTCAAGGACCTCAAAACGCTGCCCGTCTCCCGTGACTTTCCCTTGTATCAAGACTTCGAAGTACGAGACAGGCACAAAACCTCGGGCTTCGGGCAGAGTGTGACTATATCCTTCATACCATTCAATGCCTTCTTTCATGTCGGTGACGTAGAAGAGTTCGCCGCGTGAAAAGCTGAGTTCCTTTCTTGATTGGGCCTCGTAGCTGCAGGAGGCTCGGATAACCTGGAAAATTCCGGTTGAAGGTGTTTGGTCTTGGCCCCATCTGGGATCTCTATCATCCCCGTCGCTGTCACTCTGGCCTTTATAAACGCACAATCCTCCTGAGCACATGGACTCCATGAAAGACAGACTTGATGGCCCGGGCCTGGTGCTGGATTGAGACGTAGGAGTACCCCTGCCACTACCGCCTTTGCCCTCTCTGCCGCCATTTCTGCCTCTACGCCCTCCACGTGGGTGCTCAGGGCAGCGGTAGGGGTACGGACTTTCTTCTCCTCGGACAGCTTCCCTCGTGCAATCGCGCCCTCTACATCTCCCGTGTGTGGGGCAATACCTCTTTCCTGGGTTTCGAGGGATATCGCAAAAGCCTGTACCTTTCTCCCGCGGAGCTTGGCAGGTGTGTTCCTGGCAGTATGGCGACCAAACCAGTTTCCCACCGTGTGATGATAGTTTGTCATGGACGATTCGCTCTTGACACCATTTGACCATGCAAGGTGACGGAGAGGATTCTGGTCGCGTAGATGTAAACCTGTAGACGGACCTGGGCCACTCGACTCGTTGAGCTGGTCCCTGAGAGAGGGATTCACGTCGTCGGGGAAAGATTCGTATTCTTCAGATTGTTCAATCTTGGCCCGATGTCTGGGGATTTCGTAGAACTGTAGGTCAGCGACAACAGCGTGGACGCCTGGACGGTTGATCATATCGGAATTGTCAATAAGCACGTCAAGGCTACACCTTGGATTCTTTGTCGCGGAGCTTTGATCAAGCTGTAATGTGCCTCGGCGGCGGAAGCTTTCTGTCACTTTCCTCAAGTTGAACTTCGGCGGGAGATATCTGAAGGCTGAATGAGTCAAGACCTTGATGGGGCAAAGAATCAGGTAGATGGACGATCAGAGGGCGGGATATTCGGAAGCACACAAAGCGCACAGTGACAGTGGAATGCGATGGGTCAAGAAGCTCGGAGGCAAATGATCACAGGAGATTCGAGGTGGGAGTGCCCAGAGGCTGGCAGCAAAGCCGCCATCACCTCGTCAGCAGGCATGAGATGTATGGGGGCTATGCAAGCCACTCCGAATCGTCTTTACCAGCTGACTTGCATTTTTCAGCTCCTTCATGCTTGTGTGGCTTTTCGAACAGGCAATTCAAGGACCCCGCACTTTCGGTCAGAAAGGTTTAGTGCAAAAGATCTTGTTCAAAGCTCTCTTCCTCCCGACCTCTCTCGCCCGAGAGAGAAGGTCAAAGTCGCTCAAGAGACGCACCCGATTTATACCTTGATAATTCCTGGACATTTTGTGTTCGAGCCTTGCCTATCTAGGTACAAAGATGGCCATATCGTCCGGTCACATCGCGGGCGACATGAAGTGGTTCGTGCATCGCTACCCGCAGAAACACAACACTCTCATGGTGCTTGGAAGCATTCTCACCCAGCCCGACGATCTGGAATCTACTCTCAACTATGAAAAGGGGATCAGTCCTTTTCCGGTCGATGGAAAATTGGACCAGACGGTCGCCGTTCAACAACTTATCAAAGCTGAGCTGTCCGAGGATCTTGGAGGACGGTTAAAGGCTCTCCTACCAGCTAAACACCGGTGGAGGTGTTGAGGGAAAGTTCTCAGATACTTGTGAGGCTACTATTAATGCCCTAGATATCCGCGCAGAGGTCGTCAAACGGGGCGCCGCCGGCGAGTATATCAACGAAGCACTGCAAATCCCCGAGGTATCTCAATACGTCAGAAAAGGCTTATATGCCAAGTCATTGTACATGATCATCGGCGTCGCGACATGCAAGAAACTCTCTATGAGCCATGCGAGAACCCGGGAGACCATGTTCTCCGCTGACCTGGACGCCAATCTCGCCGTTTTGGGACCCGAGGCTGGAGCCGGCTTGTCAATTGGAAACAAAGCCTCATCGGCGGTGGAGTTGGAGATCCAGGAGGAGTGTGACTTCTCATGCAGGGTGGGAAAGTTCCAGTACTCGCGGCGTCGGAGGATAATCAGAGAGGCAAAGGACTTCACAGACGGTGCGCTTTTCGATCGAGAGAGTGGCACGAACGACGTTCCACTCACAGACACAGAAGCCGAGGCTATTTACAGTGACGAGCCCGTGTTTGACGAGTTCGAGAGCGAGGATGAGGCCGTGTATTCATCTGACGGTGTGGTGATTCACGCTTTCGGCTAAGCTTTGGGCAGATGCGTATTGGCACTTTCTAGATCCTCTCAAATGACTACAGAAAATTTACAATGTAGTCTGACTAGATATCTCCTAGCATTAGACGCTCAGCTTCCCTCGAGTAATGCCCTGGAGCTATTGAGAGTACGAGTCAACACGGAATCTCATACGCGGCAGATACAAAGACGACACTAAAACCCTCGAGTTTCTTATCAGTAGCCTTTGCGGGAGCTCGACCCACTGTTGATGCAAAAGGCTATGTTGAGTTGGCTAGGGTGTCGTGGACGTAGACTGCGGATGTCGTGCTCAAATTCTTACAGACTTTGGTTTGATGGATAATAAACATTGTTGGGAAGGAAATTCAGCCAATCATATATTTCTCCCTCGTCTAAAATAATGTGCCTAGGACCACTGTGTCCGTGAACATAGTATGGCCACATGCGAGCTGGTTTATCTCAGTTTCTTTTTTTTTTTTCCTTCTTTTTTTTTCATAAAAAGACAGCAGATTTCAGAGCTAAGCGTGCCTACTATTCTAAGTATAAACCGGCACAGAAGAGATGGAATTGAATGATTAGGTAATGGTCGCTTGACACTGAAGAAAGGCTTTCTCCTTTACATTTTAGGCAACATAAAACCATGTTGCTACAACCTGCCATAAGATGGCCTACTATAGGCGGGTAATGTGCTATAAATTAGCCTTGAGAACTGAACACCTCAGCCTCAGGCTTGCACCCCCAGAGCGTAATCTTCTCCCACCTCGAAATCTGCCATCAACCCATAATGATCAGTGACAAAATCCAGCCTTCCTTCCTCAGCAAGCTTCGCGCTGATAGATTCATCTCCGATCTTGACTCCGACACCAATCTTCTCCAGGCTCTTCAGCTCCAGAAGCTTCTGGTCCCCATCGCTCCCACTTGGCTGCCAGAAACAGACCTTGTCCATTCTTTTATGTGGAAATCTCGAACTCCTGCTCTGGGGGCCCCAGGTATGTCCCTCCGGATCACTGTCTTTGCCTCCCATCTCGAGGTAGGCATCCTTAAATCCATTCACCTCAGGCTGAGTCAAGTCATAGTCCTGGTTCGCGTTGCAATCCCCCGCGAGGATGCCACTCACGACCCCATCCGATTCGTCTTGCAAATATTTCGCACAGGCCTTCCATTGGATTGGGCGCATAGGTGGCTTCCCCGCCATGGAGTCCAGGTGAACGTTACACAGCCGCAGAATCGACCGACTGCTCCCCGTTTGTCCCTCGGTCTGCCCTCCCGAGGGCGTCACTGCAATGTCGACAAGCAGAGCTTCCCGCTTGTACTCGCTCACAAATGGCATCCGGGATACTGCCGCGATACCGAGACGCCTGTCCACGAGCGTGACACTGTTGTATCCGCACCGCCAATGATCCGTTGTCAGATCGGTGACGAGGAATCTCTCTTGGATCCAGGCCGCCGAAGCGATCTGGCGCAGGTCATCCGCAATCTGCGGGTCAAAGCTCTTCTCCAGCCGGTCGAAGTTGATAGGCATGTCTTGCCGTAGCTCCTGAAGGCAGATGACCACCGCCGTGGATGCGGGGATGTCCTCTGCCACAGTCTGTAGGTATGCGAGAGCCGAGGCCATGCGGGCTTGGGGAAACGGCGCCATGAAGTCGATGTTCCACGTTAAAAGGCGGAGGTTCGAGATCCTCGCCTTCTCATCCGCGCCCGGCGCCTCCTGGGCTGTTGGCGGCCTGCCACGCTGCCATTTTGAGCCGGAGAAGCTGTAGTATGGCTGAGACTTGGGCGTGTACTCCTCCAGCTGCTTCTGGGTAAGCTTGGTGACCAGTGAGGGTGATACCATAGGATCTGGTATATCCCGGGGCGTGGACTTCGACGGAAAGAGGTTTTTGAGAAAGCGGCGGCTCATTTTGATCGAAGCAAGTCTTGGTGGAGTTGAGATGGATCCAGTTTGGCAGCCTGTTGGTGACGGCAGGTGGGGTGCCTCACTCGGTCAGCTTCAGCTGTGGCACAGCGTGGTCGATGGCTGCCTGGAGCTGTCTGAAACAACTTGTACTCGTCTGTCGAGAGATCCGATATGCTGCAATCCGTCTACGAAGCTGGAAATCAAACACACGAGAAAGTCAGAGCGGTATACGAACAGTTCTGGCTCAGTTCACCCGTTTATGGCATAGTATGGAATGTTGATTTGTCGCCGGCGGCAACCGGAATTCCCGGCTCAGCCCCCGGATGCACTTCACGATCGACAAATCACCTTTCTACCTAGCGCGTGATTCCAAGATGAACCAACGCTTATTAGTTAGACAGTTGTGCCAAGTTGCTTCCAAAAATGCCTTTCCTTTGTCCATTACTTCGAAAGGGCAAGCGTTTAATGTTTACTGAGAGACCACATCCCCCCGTTAGGACCTAAACTTTGTGGAGACTGGCGGCAAAATAGGTCATAGCTGGGCTTCCGGATACTCAGGCAAGAACTAAGGCGCCTGCTGTGCCGCAGCCTGCATTAAGGTTCTAGACTACCTACCAACCAATCCGTTCTGGCAAGCATTGCTGTTGGCTGCCAGCCAACATGCTCGCCAGTGAAGTGGGTCCGATCCTTCCGGCCTCATGAAAAGTTCGCGAAATAGAATCGGCAAGATCTCTCTTTCTTTTCAATTATTCTCCTTGAGATTGGTGAACGCAGAATCGTCGCACACCCGCGAAGTCTGCCAGCTTTGCGCTCCGAAATTATGCCCACCACTCCGCCATTCAAGATCCTTGGCTACGGCCACACAGGAATTACTGTCCGCTCTAGTAAGAATGAGAACCAAAATATTCTGCCGATCGTTAGAGTCTAGAATGAGGCAGCAGACTTAGGCCCTCCTTCAATGAATCGTACTGAAGCCCGAGGTGCCTGTCGAGATGGAGTACTCACACTGCATCGTGCGCAGTGTCAGACAGTCTTCGATTCTGGGGGGACATCATCGGTCTCCCCATATTTTGGGAGCAAACTGTTCCTGGCGGCGTTATCCCCGGCGATCCAACCAACATAATCACAGGCGCCTCGGCGGGCACAACCATGCACGCAACCTGGCTCGGAGTCCCACAGACTCCTCACGCCGGTGGAAGCAGCGAGCCCGCTCACATCTCCACGCTCGAAATAATCGAGTATGAGCTGCCGGCCGACATTGCTGAGGGGCAGAGGAGCCGCAGGCTCAACCCAAGGAGCTGGGACGTGGGTGCGGCTCATGTTCATCTGATCTTGCAGGGGCTCGATGAGATCGTGGAAAGGGTCAAGGCGGAGGGTTGGAATCTGTACGGTGGTGTATTTACGGTTCCGCAGGAGACACCGGGAGTGAAGGCAAGAGGACAGAGGGTGTGCTATCTGAGACGGCGAGATTGTCGAGCTGACGGAGCCCTCCAAGGGGGGTTAATGGTAATAATGGCGGAGGATACATGTATGGGCTGTGGCTTTGGTCGGTGATTTTTTACGGGCAATGAGGGGTGGTCGGTTCATAGTGTCAACAAGGACAAAATCCATGAGCACGCAGTGTTTACCTGCTCGTTTTGAGTCGAATAATTCAGTAGTTCCCACATAAGACGCCTATCCTTTGCTTTGAAGAAAATTGTTCCGTTGAGTTTACCATACGTTTGTACCATGCAGGGTGAGATAGCTTTTCGTGAGGAGTGGAGGAGCTACACATGGGTAGTCTTGGGGCCCCACGCGTACAAGGCAAAATGGCATTTCACGCACCCAATCCCAGCGTGTCTCAAGCTTCGCTACAGAAAAGGTTAGTTCGAGGGATTCAACCCTGCAGCAGCCCTGCAGCAGAAGGTCCAGTCACAGGCACCAGCTTTCTCCCTATCCTGGCTGACCTGCATACTCCAGCCGCCACATAGGGGCCGGAGTGACGTGAGAACGAGGCCCTTTCCGGTCCTCCATGCATCGTATAAAATGCAGCACACTCATCCGCTAGGTGACCTGATTCACACAGAAAGGTGGCTTCTCCATTGCACGTTAAGAAATGGCTCTCCCTGCTCAAATTTGATATATTATTGTTTGAAAGAAAACTGTTTGAACGAAATCTTCCGATGGGGTTCAGGAGAATCTGCAGATAAGCCTGTACCATAATTACTGTCTTTCTCGGCCGCCTATCCATATCGACAGACGTTGGACTTGCTTTTGCTTTCGTTGCGCCTTGATACTGTCCCAGTCGACACCATGACAACGTTCCAGGTGACAAACAGTCACCAGCTAGCCATTGTTGTTGCACCACTGATTGGGGTCACACTGGCTACCACATGTGTGGCTTTAAGATTTCGCGCCAGACGACTACGGGAGCAGGCTATGCTGTTTGATGACTGGCTTTGCCTTGGTGCACTCGTCAGTCTTCCTTGCCGGCCAATTCTTGCTGGTCTCTCAGGGCCCCAAGAGCTAATGAGCCTGGCGCCAGATCTTGACATGGGCGTTCCAAGCGATCAACATGGCTGCGGTCTTCAAAGGAGGGGCAGGTCTTTCAATCGTGACTGTCATGGAGATTGATCCGAATGCTGTTGTCACTTACTTCAAGGTGAGCTTATGGGTTCTCCGGTCTGTGGCACGTGAAGCCCTAACAAGACCGTTAGATCATGTTTGCCAACTCGGTTCTCTGGTTCAGTACAGTGATTGTCGTTCAACTTTCCATCATCTTCTTCTACATGCGGATATTCGGAGTGTCCATCATTTTTAAGTGGGTATGCTACATTTTGATCGCCATGATCACTATGTTCTGGGTCTCGGGCTTCTTCTCTCTGATCTTCAGCTGCACACCCATAAGCAGGTCTTGGAATAGCTCAGAGACGGGGACTTGCTTGCCGTACCAACCTTACTGCGTCTCGGTCGGCGTTCTACATGTCCTTTTCGACCTTGCGATTGTGGCTCTTCCTATGCCGATGATTTGGCACTTGCGGGCAGATTGCCGAACGAAGATCGTCTTGTCCGGTCTGTTGTGTCTCGGCCTGATGTAAGTCGCCTACTCACCTGTTCTCCTCCCAACACCCTTGCAGAGGAACCCGTATTGACCGTGTCAAAGCGCAACTGTCATATCATTCCTTGGGATCGCTTGTATTGTTGATCTTACCGGAATCTCGCAATCGGATGTAACCGACTACTTGTGGCTCTCGATTCTTCTCCAAACCTTGGAACTTCCGATAGGAATCATTTGTTGCTGCGCTCCCAACCTTAAGCCCGCCGCTGCCGAGATTTTAGACGCCTTCAGTTTCGTCATCGATCGCCTGTTTTGTTCTTCCCGACGCATGCGGGCGTCCAAAGATCATCCGAACGGACCAATTCCGCATCAATCGTCTGAGAATGTTTCCAATGCTCAGTTTGTGCGTCTAGATGACAGATCGATCAGAGTGGACAGATTGATCAGGGTGGAGACGGGTCGTCTGGCAGGAGGGGTTCTTGGCCAAGAAGATGGCATAGAGTTAAGATTTAAAGAGAGCGAGTCGATGATTGTATAAGGTCCGTGAGTGAGGGCAAGATATGGATGTCAAGTGAGGGAAGTATGGTGGGCATGAATGTACATGCCCCTATATATTTTCAATCAAGAGCGTGTAATCACTCTCAACCGAGCAGTACCACCGTTGCCTGAGCCTAGGTACTCTCATTATGTAGTCTGAAACCGTTATGGTACACAGAGGGCAAGGCCAGGCCTATGCTGACTCTGGTACCTCCTGTGGAGGGTGGTTGAGGATATCGAACTGTGGAGTGAAGCATTGGTTGCACCCGCCACAGTAACAACAGCTATCATTATAGGAAACAATTACAGCAAAGAGGTCCCACGCAGCTTCTTTGAAAACCTCTTTGTTAAATCGAGGAGGAAAAACTGCCGGCCATAAAGAGTCACACGTGTGGAGTCACTGGCGATGCTTTGTTCTTCAAAAAGAATGCCTTGTACTTCGGGTGCTATTTCTGGATTAATCAACCACTTGTCAAGTGGATTCCACAAGGAATTTCCGCCATTATATAAGATCGGCAGGACCAGACAAACGGCCAGGCCCGTGGAGTTACATGGCTCTATACACGATCCCTCCATCCCACCACAGCGCACGAGACACTTGAGCATATTCACCAATACTCGAAAGTAAAGTTTACTATTAAACAAAACCTGAATATTCAAGCAAGGATGGCCTCAAAAAAAGAAGAGGAGCCTGTTTTTGGTGCTTATTTCAGCGCGGAAGCGCTCGCCGCACATGTTAGACACGAGGACGACGATGAACAAAGCAGCGAAGAACGCAGCAGCCATGAGAGTGACAGTGACGAAGAACTCGTTAGGAAGATAAAGAAGAAGCACGTCGTCAGAAATGTGGAGCCGGTCTCAGTCGTCAAACCTGAGGTGGAGTACCAGACCAAGGTCCCATCTAGGTCGACAATCATAGCGAATATCAGCCAGAGAAGGATGGATCGTGTACCAGTGAACGAGGCGGAGCGCACAGACATATGTCTGCCCTGCGGGCTGGATACCATCTCATATCCGGACTTGTCCCTCCAAGAGCTCCCATGCGGGCATCGGTGGTGTAAGAGGTGCCTGGCAAGAACCTTCAAGTTCGCCACCGCCAATAACACGTTCCACAGGTTTCAATGTTGCACTGAGGAACAGATCCCGCTGAAATATTTCAAGGCAATCCTTGAGAAGAAACCTCATCCGAAGCCAGAATTTGAGCCGGGCTACGAGCCGGGTTCACGCATGGTGATCGTCCTGCCTGAGGAGCAAGAAGCCCCCGCATTTGCTGAAAGTCGAGACTTCAACCCACTTCGAGTTTCCGAGTCCGTACGGAAGGAGGCAGAAGTGTTTATCAACAAGAGCGACTGGAACACGTACTTGGAAAAGCTGGAAGAGTTCGAGACACGGCCCAGAGACAAGCTGTACTGTTACCGAAAGCTATGTGGCAGCTTCATCCCGATGGGAGACCGGACCAAGACCAAAGGCACTTGCCCGCAATGCCAGCGGGTAACATGTTGTCGATGCCGTAAAGGTTGGCACACACACCAGAGCAAAGATGGAAAATGTGATGCTGGCAAGGACAGGATGACGGTGGTTGCCAACGACCGCAAGCTAATCGTCATGGCTAGGAGGAAAGGTTGGAAGCGCTGTCCTCGCTGCAGGATGTTCGTGGAGAAGGCCAGGGGAGGGTGCTCCAGTGTTTATTGTCGCTGTGGCAGACACTTTTTCTATGGCTAGATGAATAGCCTCGAGAGTGATACTAACAACAGGAAATTTTGCGGGTGTCGGAAGAACATGTTTATAGATCAATTTTAAGAGACAAAGCCTGGTGCTTAAATCCGTGCACACTCACCGGAATCAGTGCATGTTCTATTCTTGCCTATACAGGTAACATCGTCATTTTCAATGATCCATGTTTGCGGCAATAGACTTTCAATGAAATACTTCGCGTAATTGCTTACTGAGGCGTGTGTACGGCCTGTGCTGAATTAGAAGCCCGAGTAACTACTATTCTGCCTAATTTTTAGACCAGGAGGCTAAATCAAATCGACATACTGCAAGTCCGTTGTGCGTTCTTGCAGCACCTCGGGTGACAGGGTCAACATTGCCTCAGGCTCCACAGCCAGTCGCCGCCGAAATTCATCGAGATCGACCCCGAGACTTTCAAGACGCGGGTCCTCCTAGAATATCCCCCCAGAACGCAGATCCCTAAACCGCCGCGACCACCCAAGCCTGGCAGTGCCCTCGATCATGCTGAAGCCTATGTGGTCAGGAAGACTTCCAACGAGAGGCTCAGCGCGAGCATGGTCGAGGGAAGCGCGACACCTACGTATCCACCTGTGCCAAGAATAAAATTGTTGCCACCTGAGCCCCAATCCATTCTCTTCAAGAATCTCTGCGCATCACTTCCCATCTTGTAATCGTCCTCAACGAGGTCGCCTCCTGACACGAATCTATTCACTTCTGCTTCTGCAATTTGCGAGGTGGGATAGTTGCCGTCTTGGACATGCACAAATTCCGAGATAGCGCCGCAGAGCACAGTCCTGGCAATAGCGCGCAATAGAGATCCCCCAGGCGGATATTTCGCCGTCGCGCTCTGCGGCGGAGTAACGCGTCTCAGGAACTCAACGCCTTCGCTCCAGTCGCGGTAACAAAACTTGGGTGCTGACTGTATCTCCGTCACCACTGTTCGTGATACACCGAGGACTCGCAGTGTCCCGATCTCTGGGAACGCGGAGAACCCCTGTATCTGCGAGGAGGCGAATGTGTCTTTGCCCCAGTGAAAGCTTGCTCTGGTTGACCAGTCAGGCACCCAAGACGGTCCTGACCAGCGGTTTGGAATTTGAGACAGTTCGCAATGGCGCAGGATTGTGAGCCCGTTGGGGTTCCCCATGATAAAGTTGCGCGTAAACTCCGAGTATAAGTCGACAGTTGGCCTGGTATAATCCGGTTGTCCGCACAACCTCTGTTGGTCCTCCAAAAGTAGGGACTTGATGCCGTATATACGATCCCTGGGGTCAGAACAAATAGCGTTGTCGAATATGTTTCGTGTTGACAGGACATCGGTCCGTCGCAATTGGAAAACGAAGCCTCCGATGACCCTGAGGCGTTTCTGCAAGAGGTAGACCACACTGTCCGGTTCGGACCGCCTCGAGTAGAACAAACGGAGGGCTTTCCTAAAAACAGACCAAGGCATTTGGTGCGGCCCACAACACACGAAGGCCTTGTCTTAAGCCACTAGAATCTCTTGCCGGATCCAAAGCCTGTCGAACCAGCCTCTGTTGAGGAGGCTGACTACAGCAGCTGACTGCTCGGCATCCATAGGAAGATCAGAGTTTGCATCAGCGATGCTGCGGTCGGCATGCTCGAGTTTTTCAGTAGGCATGATTCGATGCATGCCGCCCCAGTCAACATCGACTTGCGAGCCAATGTGCTCAAGTCGCTCCATCGCCAGGCCACTTCCGTTGGCTTCCGGGCCAAGCCAGACCACGACGTGTGCCGCGCAGGCGAACAGCTCGCCCATCCTAGCCACTTCTGCGCCTTTCTCAACGTCATCGGACTGATTGATGCACAGGGCGTCGACCCACATGACGCGTTCCTGATCGGGGTGCCGGAGATGCTGCAGGGCCGTCTTGAGGTTCCTTGTGACCTGGAGCGTGGCCCTGTCGGAATCCCCAATGTAGATAAATTGAGGCGCCTCCGTGGAGCCCCAAACGTAGGATAGAGCTTCGTACCTGGGTGGGCTGTGTATCATGAAGCTCTCGACGTGCAGATCGATGGCTACATCGTCATCGCCGACTCCAGGCTGTAATGTTGCGAGTCTGATCGACTTTGCGCCGGGAATCCTAGGCAGAGGCTTGTATCTGTAACCTGCCATTCTGCTGGGCTACGACGTCGGAAGTAGGAAATCTTATTCGAAAAAGGTTCTCAAGGCCCCTCGAAAGTAGTTGAATCAGGATTTACAACTAGACTCCTCGGGACTCTGGGCGCGGTGATTCAGCTGAGCGGGGCTGTGGTGACAGGGCCCAATTTGCATCTACGCATAGATGCGACATGCATATAGTAGAGGTCCGGTTTCTGGATCATGTATCAGAATAGTTGGTTCAATTCATGTGAGGATCCAGTTTGACCATTATCTCCGGTGAGTCCACCACCTCATAGTAGGTAGAATAAGTGATCGAACGAGGACTCCCATCAACACACACATCATCACAGAAGTGGTTAGGCCGGCCCAGGTAGAACCTCTCGTAATGGTCAGGCCTACGAGATGTTGTGCAATAATGTTATAAGAAACACCAGTCAAGAACTTTGGCCAAGAGATCATTTATCAGGCTCACCGACGCGTGGTGGCGTTCTGCCGCCTCACTTCCACTCCGTGCTAACGCCATTTGGCAGGTGTGCCAGTTGGTTGGTGAGCTGGATCGACAGCTTGCAGGCGCACAGCCGACAGTGTAGATGACAAGTTACGAGAGCTCCGCCCCCGACTGGTAAACATTTGACCGCTGGATGCGGGACAAGCTTAACATGAATTCCGGGAGGGAATGGAGAGGGCCCGCAGCCACTGCACTTCGCGCGCTTGGAGATGCATGTGACCCTCCGGTACCTGCCTTCCCATCTGAGGCGGGCAACGGTATCAGCAACCAGTGTGCAGTGCAGCCCTCATTCCACTGACCGATAATGGCCTTTTTCAGCCGCATGTAGGCAGCCAAGTGGGCGAGTCATAACACACGACCTCCTTTAAAAACGGGCGTGAAACCTGTCACACCTTTGCATGGCGTTCATTCGTCTTAGTTTACCTACAATCGAAGCAGCTCTTCCAATTATCCAGGACTTCTCCGTGGCCTGTGTGCCAGGGGCCCCTGGCACTACTATGTTGTCTCGAGCAGTGCTGGGGGTTGTTGTCATCCTCGGCTGCCTGGCCACTACCATCCTGGCCCAGTCGCCCAACAAGACTGTCGAAGACTTCTTTTCTGCCGTTATTGACAACAAAGCGCATACACCAAAGAAGTGGAAAACCTCCATTGGTGGACAGAACTTCACCTGGTGTTGCATCCAGGCCGTGATCGAGTCCCTGGCCGTCGACGAGAACGACCACCTGGTGTCCGTTGACAACCCTCCCATCACCGACCTGAACATAACCGAGCTTCTCAGAGCCCGAGACGAGAACCAATTCCCATGCACCGCCCAGTACGATCCAGATAAACCCAACGGCGCCCCAGAGATTAACGTACCATACTCGTGGTTCGCCGAAACTTGCCCCGGGTGGGCACTCAGTAGCGGCAGCAACCTGAATGGCTGGCTTCAACCTTTGTCCGGCTTCCTCCTGCCGGCCGTCGTCTTTTGTCTCTCGGTACCACGTCGCCGAAAGATCCACGTCTTCCGCGAGTTCTTTGTTGCAGACCTTGCAGGGATCAAGAGCTACATTCCCGCATCCTTCGGCGCGATTGGTGCGATGATTATCGTGGCGCTCGATACGATCCTCTGGCTGTCAATATGTTGGGGTCTGTCGGCGCCGATGATCTTGAGTGGGTTGTACGAGGCTATGCTGGATAGCCGCGTGGTTGACTTTGTGCGAGAGAAGATGAAGAGCAGGAATTTGACATTGGACATGCGTTGTCGGCTGTTGATGCTGGTTCTCATCGGAAATCTTGACCTGGCTCTTGAAGACGACCCTTACTCAGTCGCCCCAGCTCAAGAACGTCGGCCGTCTCCCAGCAATATCGTTATCCAAGGAACAAGTCCTAATTCAGGTCGCAGTCTGAGTCGTACGAGGAGCGCCACACTTGACAGCTACGCGGTGCAGCAGCAGCCTCTAGAAAAGCCCGATACTCCCGACCTCGGAGTCCCTCTCCATCGGCTGTCCAGCGGCAAGGGATCAGAAGGGGACATCGCGGAGATACAGCAACGAACTTCTTCTGCCCATGCTGATCAACTGGGAACATCATCCTGTGACAGCACCACGAGAGCTAATAGTACCTCAAGACGATCCGTTGCCGGTATTCCAGCTTCAACAAACCTCGGCATCAACAGCCCAGACATGCGCACCGCACATCCTGAAAATGCAGTCATACAGCGAAGGTCTACTGCTCACCTGAAAGCCTCACCGTGGCGTCATATGGAGGAGCTGCTCTATCCGATCCGGCTATACAACGACGAAGATACCGAGAGGCACCTTTCACCACGGCAGTACGCCAAACGCAGCCATTGCCACGACTTCTGCTTCGACCGCCGGTGCACAAACTACACACACTTCGTGAACGAGAAACCGCATATGCGAACCCCCAAGATTGAGAAGCAGATCCGCAAGACCAAGACACGTCTTCGGACCATGGTCAACTGCCAATACTCCTTCGGCTCGATGGTAGGCGCGCCGGTGGTCTTCTTCCTGGGCGGGTTTGTGTTTGCCCTCGTCCAGAGCGTCCAAGAACTCGGGAACGAGGACATTGCCCTGGCCCTCGCGTTCGGCCAGTGGTACATGACGATCCCTCACATTGCCATCATATCGGGCCTGCTACTTGCCGGCAACAATCCCAACATCCTCGAGGGCGTCTTCGCAACCCAGCGCCAGGATGAGCTTGACCAGGTGAAGTTCCTGGGGCTCAACTTCGGCCTGGCGTATCCAAGCTGCTACAAAGTTGCCTGGCAGTGGCACAGGGGCTACAATAAGCTGTGTTGGATTCGTACACTGCTCGACACATATGGCCGTCCCAGTAATGCTGTCCTGGACCGCGTTGGACAGGACGAGCAGGAGGACAACATGCAGGATCTGGAGGATCTCCGCGACAAGACGACGCTGTCCCCAGTCGACTGGTTCCTGGTCCTTTTTATGGCGGCTTTCCTGCTCGGGGTCCCTTTTGTCCTGGCCTTCCTCACGGCGTTTTTCACACCGGCGGTGGGCCTTTCCTGCAGATCATTGACCTTCACCGTCTACGCCTGTGCGCAGTTCGCACAGGTCCTCCTTTGGATTTGGGCATATGCTGGGGCCCCGGGCAGGATGAAGCAGCCCAATACGTCCGCGAACAATAACGGGCCATTGGATTTCTTTTGGCGTGCAGGCTGGCTGGACAATCATGGATTTTACGACCCAACGAACACGGATCACTTCCTGGATCCAAAGGAGCCGAAGAGCCCTCGCACGATCTGGCGACGGATGAAGTCTCGAGACTTCAGAGATGTCCGCTCCGTATGGACATGTCTCTGGTATTCCCTCTACATCTTCTTCGGTGTGATTGCCGGTGTAGCTGCCTTGGGCGGGACCTTGATGCAGCTGCTTGGTGTGTACACGGCCAATATCTGCCAGGTCTCCGCGTACGACTGGCTTGACCCGTACAGGCCTGATGTCACCGCGATGATCTCCGTCAACACCAAAGAGATGATCGACGACGCTCAGATATACTGGGAGCCCTGTGGTATCACCGCCATCGCCTTCATGACTTTTGTGTCGTTCGTCGGCTGGTGGTATCAGCGGCGGATGAAGGATCTCTTCACCACCCTCGTGAGCGAGGTCGATCTGGACAAGTATGCTCGCTCGGTGGGTTGATGTCTCGCTTTGTCTCCCAATCAGCATTTCTAGGACGTGCGGGAAGGGAAAAAAGGCTTTACCGCACCACCTTTAATCCGAAACGAGCCAATCTAGAGAGCGTTACTAATAAGTTCTACGTATAGGACACAAGGGCTGCAAAAAGATCGTCGATATCAGCCGGCGGTGTGATCGCCGGGGAGGAACGACATTTATGGGAGAGTCCGGTAATGTAGAGCTCTAGCGTGCCTGTATTATGGCCAACAACTGTGTGTATATACTTGAATATAATCTTTCCGTACTCGATCGGACCAGGAACCTGGACTTTACCACATGCTACACCACCCAAGCAGGTCTTCAGCTGAGCGGCAATAGCAGATAACATGATGACTTGCAGGCAGCTCTTGTCAATGTCATGATCATCATATAGGCACTTACATCGATAAAACATCACGCTTCTTATGTATGCGCGCCGAGAGCTTACTTTCCTTGGTCATTCATGTGCGTCCCCAACAGCCGGACATGTGGGGATCAGGCTATCGTTCTCGCTCTGGTGAACAAAGCATGGTGTGCTCTGGGCTGACCTAATACCTCTCCTCGGCATGCTCCGGGTATTTCAGAGGATGAAGGGCCAGTACCAGAAATCGCAGGAGCAGTGTTCATCCCGACTGTGGCTGGGTGAGACTCCAGTTACACTACAGCTTGCCTACTGGGGAATGGAGGGGTTGCTAAGCCTTACGCAGATACCGACAAATGAAAGAGATCATGGTTCGACTGCGTATACGGGTTTGCCATGTATTGCTGCACGGATTAGCCTGATATGCCACCAAAAGTCATCCTATATGACCCTATGCTATAGGGAATCGTTCCATGGTAAGAATGGCTGATTAAGTTGTACGCTGCCGTTTGAGATCCCTGTGGAGTGGAGGGTCCCCCCTGGACGATCAGCGGCCCGCTAGCAGCTGCCATTCAAGCACATGTTTACAGTCATCCGAGGTTTTTCATTCTCTGGAAGAAACAATTTCAATTCGCTTTGCAAGGATTTATATACATCCTAAGTGAGGGCTAAGTAGGTACATGAAAAGTGAACAGATCACTTTAATGCCGGTGATCAAGGACATCTGTCCTGATTCCCCCCTTCTGCCAAGTGACGTGCAGCACTTTAGGCGGCGGAGACGGTGATGTCAGCGGATCCGCTGCTCTTGTAGCCCTCGACGGCGAGGATCTGGTAGTCGTGCGAGCCCAGGGTCAGGCCGGCCTTCGCCCATGCGTCGAAGTGGTTCTTGACGGTGACGGTGCCGCCGACGCGGTGGTTGCGGCGGACGGACCAGTACTGGTCGAAGGTGGCGGTGCCCTGGATGCTGGGCTGGTTGACGCGCTGGGTCTTGTAGATGTCGTATGTGTCGCCGTCGGTTGTGACCGAGGAGATCTTGGAGGCTGTTCCGTATTTGTTAGTTTACTGCCCGCGTTGTAGCATGTCGCAAATCGTATTTTCAAACTCACCTCCCGAGCTGGGGTTGTAGTCGCCGAAGCTCTCGACGATGTAGTACTCGACGAGGGGGCTCGTCGTCCAGCCGTAGACGGAGACGTAGCTGTTGACCTTGGCGGCGTTCCATGTGCCGCTGTACTTGATGGACCGGTCACTGCCGGTTTGCCAGCCCTTGCCTGCGACGAAGTTGTCGCAGTTTGACCAGTCCACGCTGAACTCGCCAGCGGCCTTGTTGTTGTATGTCACGGTGCTGTCGGCGCCGGAGTTGTAGAAGGAGTAGAAAAAGCCGTTGTTCGTGCCGGTGCCGGTAGGGGTTGAGCGGTCCACGAGCTGCTGGAACGAGGATGCGCCGTCAACAGCAGGCGCAGCGATGGCGCCCGTGGCGGCCACAAGGGCGAGGAATGATTTGACGAGCATCTTGAATGGTAAATGAGTGTGTTGGATGCTTTGTGTTGATGAGAGCTGGAGAATTAGTTGTCGATCACGGCCAAAGATTGCAGGGAAACAATGCCTCTTATATTCTACCCAGCATCTGCGGTGAACGTCCGGCCCATGAATAATACCCATCACCCTCCATCAATTTAAAGTTAGACCCCGGACGCAGAACGTCGCTTTGATCCAGAGCCTTGGTCCGAAGGGGGCTGCGAGTGGATCTTGCCCCGGCCGCTCCGGGTCACTATTGGCAGAGCAGCCGCGTCAGAGGGTGGGTGACTTACGGAGAAACTCGCCCAGGCACTTTCATTTACTGCAGTGGCAGCCAGATGGTCGCGTGCAACACTGCCAGGCGTGTCCCAGCAACAGGGCGTCGGATAAATTACCGTACAGCGGAGATCACTGATTTAACCGGACGCATAGGGCATGCGGGGCCGTCAAGGGGTGGGCCGTCGTGCGGCTTAACTGGCTGACTGGGTACCAAGCTCCATAAGTGCTCAGGGGTGCGTCCAAATACCGGCTGCTGAAACAGGAGGGCGGCTCAAATTAGATGGGAAAGGCTTGTGCTTGTTTGCCTCGGATATAGATCCGCTCCGGTCGCTGAGGAGCTACCCACCCAGCAATAAATCGTTCGTTCACTGGCCCGATGATGTTTACATTCCCAGAACATTGTTTCCTACATCATGCCTGAATGATGCCAGTGAGGATCATCCGGCTAAAATCGAGGATCATGCACTGGCAGTGAATGGCCAGGGTCTCGTATAATTACCAAACATTGAACGCAATTGGAAAACCACTTCTCGTCACCGTCCATCCTATTTTCTTGAAACAATTGCCCAGCCCCTGGCTTGCTCGTGGCATCAGCCATCGCACGAGGGCAAAACAGCCTCAACCAAACATTCGTGCTGGAGATGCTACGATACTCAAGGATCGTTGAACCACTTCACAAATATTGCACTAATCTGCGGCATACCTAGGCAGTCCTACTGCTCAGATATGAGATGTGGTCTCTTGCATTGCTGTGCAGCCAGGCTTCCGTATGCTTCGCATTTGGATAATCATGCATAATTTCACCGACTCTGATTACGGAGAATCAACCTTCAAACGCATGCTCCCTGGTGGTGGTTAGTCTCAGTCATTATCAGAAATTCGTATGAGAGAGACTGCAGATTTTCTCTTGGCAAACTTGAATGGTAGTTGCAGATGCTTGAGCCTGACGGCTACTTTCCTTGTAGCCAGCTCGCTGCAGCAAGTCAGTGAAAAACGCAAACATTGCTCTATTCAATATTGCTGGCTTCTGCAAGTTTAAGCCTTAGTCAGCTCCTTTAGGTATTAGTCCCTGAGATAGCGTCTGGCATATGAATAGGCTAGACCTGGGATGTTTAATCCTCGTGGTTAAGCACTTACCTTTACCTGAAATGATATGTTTAGCGCATCCTTAATTAAGCCGAGGCTTTGTATAGCGAAGGCAAAGTTGATGTATTAGCGTTAATGACCTCTCTTTAGATTTTAGGACCATTGACAAGACTGAGGACAGAGACCACACCATTCTTGAATGAGATGAATATATTTTGGTTTACAAAAACCACTTCATTTAAGCGCGGCGAGCTTGTGTTTTAACTTCGCTTGAGGGTCCTGCTTTTCCTTATCCTTGTCTGAGTCTTTTAACTTGATAGACTGGGCCTCCTCTTCGCCCTAGTCGGATGGTGGATGGGTTGGTTTTCCTTCTTGGGCTGCCTCCAAGTCTTCGCCAGAGACCACTGCCAAGTTATTATCTGAGTCCGAAGCCATTCTCTCCTCTCATGTGCCCTCAAACCTAGGGACTTTGTCCCAGGCGAAGCATCAATCAATCAGTAAAAGTGAAATACAGCATCCCTTATAATGATATTACCGCACACATTTGATTGGTTCACAACCTATCCAAGACAGCTCCTACCAGTATAATGACCTTTGATAGGTGAAACATAGGGGGCCAAGCTTTTGCAATGGGCTGGCCTCCTTATCTAAGACAACCTTTCACTTCCTGTAACCATGTCAGCAGACTGGCTTTCTCATCACCTGAAAATCACCTTCACCTCAACGATTCTCGTAGAAGCTGAAAACAGATCTTCATTATCGGGAGTATGTTTATTGCCTTGTGAAGTCTCTACCTCTGATCAAAGACTACATAGATGTCCAACTCTGGAATCCTCATATAATTAACAATCAGTATATGTCAGGCTGATGTGAAGGAGGGTCAAACTTTATTCACTGTGTCCTATGGCAATAGTCCCTTGTCATGGTTCTTCAACCACCAGAACGTGCAGCTTGACATCTGTATGTGGACCTAATATTTAGCCTCATCTGAGGATATCGAGGTCACAAAGCTTCACCCCCGGGGTACCCAGCTTCGGGGTTGTCGCCGGCGTCCCGGGGTTATTAGTGGCACATCTTGTGTGATAGGCAGCCGCGCGGGAGGTATCCATCCTGATATTGTAGGCCCTGGGTCTACAGAAATCCGTCAACTGATTTGGATTCACTTTTTGTTTCCCCACCTGCAGAATACTGCAGCAGTGGCCCAGCTTCTCATTCATCAAGCTCCACGTCTCGAGGCATCGTAGTGGGCGTAAGCTTTTCAGCAAGCCTCTGCCCTGCGGTTCAAGATTCGACCTCGTTGGAGCTGGCATTGCCCATTCCACTCGAGCGAAATCAACACGGTATGTTTCCGTTTCCTCACAAACCGCATGTCGACGCGCGGTGTTACAGTTGACTCGTCCTCTCTCAGGATCCGTGCCATTCCTCAGATCAGTCATCGACCAACATCGGGTCTTCATGACTTGGATCACTGCACGAACCAGGCAGCTACTGACAGAATGGCGGCTGATCCGACTATAACCCTGCAGATGGACTTCCCCGTTGTCGAGCCGCGGTTCGACACTATGCCATACGAGCTTCTCGAGGAGGTTGCAAGATTCCTAGCGCCCGACAATACCCTCGACCACGCTGACGCCAATTGCCGGGCTGCTTACAAGAAGGGAATGAGCGATTTACTCAACTTGTGCTTGGTCTCGAAGATGCTGGAAGCTGTGGTTCGGCCCGCGATATTCCGCAACATTATCATTTGGCGGTCGACCGAGCTCATCCTCCTCTATCGCACTTTGACTGAGAACCACGGGGTCGGCGGATACATAAAGACACTTGTATTATCCACCGCATTCCTCCGATGTAAAAAGCACCATGAGATGCTTGACCTTCAACTTCTGGGAACAATTGATTCCGATTTCGACTTGGTCCGGCGTCACGGATCGCTCGGGATGACAAGTCGACAAGAGAATGAGCTGCGGAGCAACCTGTATCTCAAGGTTCTCGAGAAAGCTCCGAGTGTCAAGGAAGTCACACTGAACACTCCAAGATGGGCTGTCCGTGGTCTTGATGATGGGCAGTTACCTGAGTTCGGGATCGCCAGTGCCATGGCGAACAGTCCTGTGGTGACGGCCCAGAACTCGTCATTTCGACTACCACAAGCTCTACACACCTTGACGATCGAGGGACAGTATCAAGGGCTGGTGGAGGGACTTCCCGGACAGTTCCACAAGCTTTGGTCTCAGAAATTGAATGGTCTGTCCAATCTGAAGACGATGGTCTGGCTCAGGGACGACACGACTTGGTTCGACAGCTTGCCCGGTCGACAGTGGGCGACCAATGGTATGTCACCGCTCTCATTGCTTCCCAGACACGTGTTCAACCCACGCTCGTGACGTTCAGCAAGCAATTTGCTGACGTATCTAAACAGGCTTTAAGGGAACGTTGCAGAGTCTGACGGCCCTGAAACTCATCGATAGTTCCTGCCGCTTCTTTGATATCGCCATCGTATGCGATTCTTTCCCTTCCTTGAAGTCGCTGGATATATCATCGAATTTCCTGCGAGACAACCCTAGGATGCTCGAAGGAGACAGCCTTTCGCCGGGCACGGCACAAATATCTTTGACGCGCAGCATTGCGAAGCTGCAGCACCTCGAGTACCTTAGCCTGGATCTCCTCTCCGTGCCTGACAACAGCAAACTGCTGGGAGACGACGGAGTACTCGACCTTTCCTCACTCCCTACCCTCTTTGCGGCGGCCATATCTTTCAGACTCTTCGTGTCCCATGAGACATTGACCAGCACCGGCAGCAGAGTTGACCCGTCACTGGTTCTGCCCAGGTGCTTGGCATTACTGGTCATCACTGTACGCGGCTTTAGTAGTGAGGCCGGTAGCAATCTCATGGAGTTTCTAGGAAGGCTGCGTGAAGCCTGCAGCAACGACTTTCCGAGCCTGGGATGGGTCAAATACAGGTACGCCGCCGGAATTCCACCTCTGAGTCCCAGCCGCACTTGTCTTTGCGCTCGCGTCCCTCACGAGGATTTCTGCACCTATGACCACACATCAGGTCTGTTGTACACATATAGGCCGTGGGTTCCCGCCGAGAAGTTCGAAGACCTCGTCGCAGGGTTCGGCCAGCGAGGTATCGAGCTCACGAAGGCAACGGCTGAGACATACGCCTCGATTGGTGTGTAGTCATGACCGCATTTTTCCGAGCATTGGAAAACGGAACACATAGCTCCTGAGGTCGCACATGATTCGAGAACCAGATAGACTAGGTAGTTAATCAAGCGTTGTCTACCCACAGGACGGCTTTGACTGGGATCACCTGATGTGTCTCATTATGTTATGCGCAAAGGAAAAGTTGAGTGAGAACTTGGTCTTATACCATTGTCATACATTGTGCGATGCCCATATTCTGCTAAGCGGTATCCAGGCAAGTCCCCTATCTCAAAACTTCACTGGTTCTCTGTAGAAAGCATGACTTGCCAATCACTGAGTATTGGGCACATGACACAATACCTAACCAGACCGGATGAGAGGATCAGAGGAAACATCGACAAGAAGAGACGAAGACTGACAAGTATCAAGTCCAAATGGGCCTAACATTGAAGGCTGTGGCTCAAGGCAAGGCTGTGGCTTAATGCACGGCTGAGTTGAAGTCATAGCCTGTGTGCAGGCGGACGAATACTATATCCACCTGGTACAGCACAGTAACCGGGAGCCAGCACATTTACAGTATAACGTGTGGTATGTGGGTCCGAATTTGTTGAATATTAATAGTTCATCGAAGTGTCTCATGACTATGGATGGCTCCACTGAATACAGTGTAAGAGATTGAGAAGAGGTTGGTCTTGGTATACATTTGTGCAGGTTGTTGCTTCAGATCAAGTCATGAAGTGATTGTCTATTTGTGAGCCGTGGCACCTGAGTACCTAGTGCTGTGGAATATCTGACTGACTCCTACGGGACCCGTAAGAAATGTTCCTTCTGTCCCAAAAGACTCCGTGCTCTCCATCAGCCGCCATGAGCTTACGAACAGTCTTTGTTCTTCTGCGGGTCAGCCTTCAGCCAGCCACGACCTATGATATCACCGTCTCCAGCTACGAAGTTCAGGCTCCAGCGGCCACCATGACTACAATCCCCACGGGCTGCGGCGAGTAGGTCGGTAATCCTCGCTGGGCTCATGTCGCCTGAGTTGCCCACATCAACACCAATCTCGTAGACGAAGCAGTGGTCGCCAACCCTGATGTTCTCGTTCACCTGTAACAGACTCGTTAAACATGCACCTACGGGTGCTGAGGCGCGAAACTCACGTGATAGCCTCCAGGGATATAAACGACCCTGACGATTCCGCTGTTTTGCAAGGCCCAGCTGATCGTCTCCCAAGTTCCCAGTTGGTCCCATGTCTCACCATCGCAGTAGCATGGGCTGCAGTTCCTGGTGTCTTTTGGGTTGGGGGTGGGATTGACGATGATGCTGGCTGTGGTGGAGGCGGTGATCGAGGTGGTGGTCGAGGCCGTAGTGCTGGCACTACCGCCGGTGAGGGTCAAGGTAGAGGCGGCGGTATTGTCGGCGATGGTGGCACTGGCGTTGATGGTGGCACTGGCGCCGACGAGGCTCAAGATAGCCATAAGGATGGCGGCCATGAAGATCTGTATGGACTGCATTTTGACTGTCGGAACTTGATGGCACTGAAGAGATGATGGTGGCGATGTTTTTGAAGGAGGTTGAAGAAAAGACAGGAGAGCTGGGCTTGATGCCAGATCTTTTAAATGGTATGTGTATATGGTGAATTACAACGGACAGCGATGGTGCTAGCGGTCCAGCGCCCCCGTGGACATTCAATGTTGGTACTCGACACCTACTCCATTCCTCCTAATATATGTTAATACTCACCTGAAGCTAATCAATTCACTAGGCAACCGGATTGTTATGTCGTGTGCGGACGCCAGCCGTTCCTGAGCTGTCTGGCCATGCAATCCCATCTGGGCTACTGGCGGATGCTCTCCAGGGCTGAGAGCCCAGTCCCAGTGCCAGGTCCAAGACATAACATCAGATGCGACACGGGTATATATATTCTACGTGGCACACGGCAAATTCAAATACCTGAGAAATACCGTAGAGAATAGAGCTCTGATACGTGCAATTGTGTGGGCAGTGAGGCGCAGGCTTGATTCTTATACTACCTGCAGGCTCTGGTATATAGTATGATTACTCTAACTTTACCGCACGCACAGTTATCTCGCTCGTACCTCAAAGGAAAGGAAAGGTCCGTTCCCTTCTCTCTTTCTGAAAAGAAAAGGCACATGTCTAACGCGTGCAAGGCCATACTCCAACCCGAGGCGATGATCCCTACTCTTAGGGCGTTCCCCTCTACATAGACCAAGACAAGTCTGCCGAAAAGCCCAAAACATCGTGTCGATTGGGCATACAGATACATATGACCTACTACCAGACTGCATTATCTGCCGGCATCATGCCCCGAGAGATATGGCAGGCGGGACAAACAGTACTCCTCGATATTGAAATTGTGGATATCGTAACAGTGGGTAATGTAACGCGGTACTACGTATCAGAAATGAACAATATCTTCCTGATGGACAGAGCCATGAAAGGCGTTGAGGTCACGCAGGACGGCCCACCCCTCGCGGGCACATTCATGAACACGGAGGTGGACGTCATCAACGACCTGAGGGAGATGGATAGGATCAGAGGCAAGCGCAGAGGGCGGGGGTTACAAGGACCAATTGCTAGAGAATGACCTGAACGGCGTTGTCTCCAAGAAAAAGGTTTAGGAACTCAGCCAGCCCTGGAGTTTTCACTAATGGCCGTTGCCCTGAGAACTTGCCAATGGCCGACTTGCCCATCAAAAGGTGTCTTCCGCAGGTAGAGTCAACTTGTATTTTCAGGACAGAATTGGTAGAACCGGGGCGGATCCCGTTTCAAAGGCTTGAATTGTCAAGTCCTCCATTGCTCTCCCCGGATGCGCGAGGGGAGAGAGCGTCCCCATAGACCGTTTGACGCACGAGACAACTAGCCTCTTCACGAATAATAGCCCCAAATGTTGATTGGAAACGAAGGGCCAGGCTGTACTAGTCTTGCAACAGCTCGATCACATCATTTCGGCATGTCCTTTCGCAACTTCAATCAGGTCGATGTTGGGCCAGGTGACACGCGTTCGTCTTTCCGAGCTTCGAGGAGGGTGGGAGTAACCCTTGTTGCTCCTCAGCTCCTCGAGACACGATGTCAGCTTTGCTGCTTTCCTGGGCATTCAGCTTCGATGGAGATAGATGTGACAACGCAAAGTTGATTCTACCCCGGGACACCACAAAATAATACAATCCAATAACTGAGAGAAAACACTCTTAACTCCGTGCTGCGAGAATGATATGCCCTAGGGTACAAAAATGCGTGTATTAGACAAGCGTAGACCCATTAAGAAAAAAAGGGGTAAAGCAAGCCGTGAGGGTCTGGATTACTTGTCTATCCCGCCCGCCATGCTTTTATCTGACCGCCTGACATTCCCGAGCGCCGTTGCCAACTAACAGAAAATGAAGAAAAAATAAGCCAAGGATCGCACAAATTTGAACCTTGAACTTAGGCTGCTGGTGGTCGAACCTCACAGCATGGAGCGCTACTAACACCTATAATGTTTGCGTCTCCGGCGTACGGCTGGGCTGAAATTGGGTCGAGGAGTAAGCGCATGCTAATGGTCACTCTTGACACCAGTGTTGCCAAATCCGCTGAGATTCCAACCCTGGTAACGGACTGCCGGCGTCGACACAACGCTTGGTGGTGGCTGAGGCGGCAGGCCATTGGCTGGAGGAGGAGGCAATGAGGATTTGGTGCTTGGGGTCGGGGTTTTATCGTCCGCAGCCGTGCCGTTCGAGGCTGACTTGGCCTCCATCAAGCCCTTCTCCTTGAGGTAGGCGAGGGTCTTGATAATTGTCAGATCCTCTTGATCCTTGTCATTGAGCGTCAGCCGCTGCTGAAGCGTCATCCGTCCCCCGTTCATCTCCCGCTCTTTCAACGCAGCTTCTCTTACGGCTGGATCATGGACAAAGCGACACTTGCCCTTCTTGCCACATGTGCCTCCCGTTGAATAGTACTTGCAGTGCTTGGTGGGGTCGGCCTTCTTAGGAGGCGGGGGAAGGTTAGCATTGGGATCCTGCTTGACAGATGCCACCTCAGGCTTGTCGTCCTCGGACTTAATCGAGGGTGACTTGGAGGTACTAGCAGCAACTCCGCGCATGTCGTCGCCAGCGTCTTGCTGCTCGCGCTTCCTCTTCAGGCTGGACTCGACTCTCTCCAGCTCACGACGGAGCTTGTCGGCCTTGGCCTGTTCCTTCTCGAGAGCTAACGCACGCTCGTCCTTGGCATCTCCGTTCTTGCTCGTGCTGCCTGTGGCCAACTTGGCCTTGACGCGATTCTGTGTAGGAAAGTTGCGCTTGCGTTCTTCGATCCACGCGGTGATATCTGAGAGTCTGGGCGGGTCCGTTAGTATGAAGGTCATTCACTAGCAAATACAAAGAAACATACTGGGGAACCTCGCTGCCGATTAGCTCGCTGAGCTTGGCCTCTTCGTCAAGGTCGTCCTCGGACTCGTCACCCGGCGTGAGACCGAGAGTATTGGTCTTGCGCTTCTTCTTTTTCCCAGCCGAAGCGGCATCAGGCTTCTGATGGTGCGCCTGCGGAGCTGAAGGAGGACCACCTGACTTCTTGTTGTTATTATTGTGATGGTGATGACGGCCCTTGTTATCATTGAACCCGGGGCGCTGTCTGAAGTTGTTGCTGTGGTTATTGAACCCTCCTCGACCATGATGGCGGCCATTCTGTTGAAATCCACCGCCGTGTTGGTGTGGGGGACCAGTAACAGGGGGCGCAGCAGGCGGGGGAGGATAGCCTTGATAAGGCGCAGGAGGATATGGGCTTTGGCCCTGAGGGGGTCCGTAGGGCTGCGGCGGGTACCCAGTGTTCACTGGAGCATTGGGGTCCCGAGGAGGTCCATTGTCAAAGCCCATCCGGATGGGTGGCCCCATTGGCTGCGCTTTAGACGAGTTGTGATGTCCTCCACGGCCACGGCCACCTCCGTATTGCTGGTGATGGGGCTGGTTCGGGGGGGAGTGCGACGGCGCGGGAGCTGGAGCACCCCACTGCTGAGGAGGACCACTTGGCGGTTGCGGGGCAGCATACGGCTGGCCGTACGGTTGTGGCGGAGGGGCTCCATATGCCGGCTGCTGCTGCTGCTGCTGCTGTGGTGGCTGCTGCTGACCATAGGCCTGCTGCTGCTGCTGCTGTTGATGATAGAGGTGCTGGGCGTAGTTGGGATGGTAATTCTGAGGCGGCAAAGCGTTAGGACCAGGGGCATGATGCTGGTGTCCCTGGTCCGGCCACTGCTGCGGTGGCTGCTGAGGGGCTTGGGGATATCCGCTAGGACCTGTCTGCGGATGCTGGGCAGGGTATTGCCCTGGGTGTTGCGGACCGTATGGCTGTGGTTGGTGTTGAGGAGGTTGTTGCGGGTTGTATCCGTATGGGCTGGGAGCCTGGTAGTCGGGTCTACCACCTGCCTGGGAGTGGTGATTGCCCCTGCCTCCTCTTCCTGAATGCCCACCACGGCCACCTTGGCTTTGATACGGAGGATATTGCGGATAGCCACCAGCCGCGGGAGGGGCAGGGGGAGGAGCGGGCGGAGGAGGACCGTAATTATAGGCCATGATGGCTCGCCGTCTTGTTTGGTCTCGTCGGTGTTGTCTCGTCAAACGGTCGGTCACTTGGGAAACGGACAATTAAGAAGCACAAGTCTTGCCGATTGGAGGCCCAAAATGGTCTCTGCTAGACGGTGATGGACGGGGCTTGGGATGGGTCTGGAGGAAGCCAGCGATGCCTGACGAAAGCAGAACCTGCGAAACAAAGAAAAGAAACCTCAGATTGTATGGCTTCGTGAGGTGTCTTGGATACAGCCTCCCGGGGAATAACACTTGTCGTGATGATGGCAGACGAGATCAGATGGATGCTAGGGAAGCTGTGTCGTTGAGGCCTGATGGCGTTTGGTGGGCGGTGGGCGGTGGGAAAGAGTTCAGATTTGGATTGTTGATGGCTTGGAGATTGGATTTCAGCCCAGGCAGCTCGGCTCACAGATGCACAGGTGCATTTGGACAGACAAGGCCCCCTTGTTAGCGCCGATCAGGTGTGGGGGCACTTTCTGATCCGTGCATGGACCGCCGAAAGACAAGAAGCCTAGGAAGAGTACTGTATTTCCAACCTCTAACTAGGAGTGTGTGAGACGGGGACAGATTCCAGCCAATTTTACTTTGCAGTCACCTACCCAGATGTTGTGTCCGAAATCCTGATGTTCTTTGTCCACTGGAAGATCTGCGTCTCAGTGGTGAATTTTCATGGTGCTAACATGGCCCTGTGACTCGTCGCCGACCCCAGCTAAATCACACTAACCCTCACCTTGCAATCATTCAAGGGTTGAACTCACAAGCCTGTGTGTGATCCAGTCCAGCTACAGCAGACTCACTGATACGCCTCACCTTGGGCCCAAGGAGAAGGACTGCCTCCTCAACTAGATCACAATGTTCATCCTGGTAAATAACAAGTCTCCAACGCAGAATTTAAGAACATGGCAGTCTGATTTGCTTTCAAGACAAAAATTGCGGACCTGGTCCAGATCACACCCGAAGACTTCCACAAGAAAAGCAGCGATGCTATTGAGGACAACATTAATGCCAAATACGCCAACAAGGCAGGTCTCATGCTCAGTTTGGATTTGGCGACACACATGCTGACTGTCACAACACAACAGGTGATCCAAAAGATCGGCCTCTGTATCTGCCTATACGACCTCTTGTGGGCATCAGAAGGCTTGGTCCGGCAGGGGACAGGAAACGCCAACGTGAACGGTACTGTTGTCACCCCTCAGAGGAACGGAAAAATTACAATGCCAATCAACTGACAACCCTCCGTTAGCCGAGTTCCGCCTCGTTGTCTTCCGCCCCTTCAAAGGCGAGGTCATCATGGCCAAGATCTCCAAGTGCACACCAGAAGGCATCCACGGTAGGCCTTTCCACGCAGCCGTCTCCCTGACTGCTCACGGACAGCTGCGACTGACAGATGCATATCCATACAGTGCGCACGGAGTTCTTCAGCGACATCTTCGTCGAGGCTGAGGAGCTGCCGGACGGGTGCCAGTTCGACCACAACGAGCAGCTCTGGGTCTGGAACAACGACGAGACGGGCCCAATGTGGTGGGACGTCCACGAGACGGTCCGCCTTGCTGTCATCGGCGAGGAGTGGCACGACCAGACGCCCACCAAGCCCACCGTCGCACCCGGCGAGGACCAGCCCGAAGAGCAGAGGAAGCCGCCATATGTCATCAAGGGGAGCATGAAGAACCCGGGTCTGGGATGCACGCTCTGGTGGGAGTTCTGAGAAGACTGTTTTGGTTTTGGTTTGTGGTCATTCTGCCGGCATTTCGAACGGCATATATATCTACACATCTAGATACCCCAGCACTCACCCATCCATCCTGCTACGATCGCACCCCAAGCGGCTCCGTCTACACCTTGATACTCTCAAGAAGCCGGTCCTCCACACTGTCGAGGACAGAGTAGTGCTCGATGACAGCTAGGTTTTCCGCCTCGCCGAGGAACTGCTTGTTCGGGTCGACACCGGGGCCGAACATCTGCTGGCCCTGTTGGGGACCCATCTGGCCCATCTGTTGGGCCATCTGGTTCGCGGCTAAGGAAAGAGGACGGTCAGCTAGGAGAGCAAGGCATATGTGATTTGGAGAGGGCACGTACCGTTGTCACTACCGAGGATGAAGTTGAAGACGGGCTGCAGTCCAAAGATACACAAGAAGTACCATGAAATACTAGACATCCACCTGGGGTCCATGTCCTTGGTGGCCACGCCAGCCTGAAGCATGCTCTTGAACTTGATGGTCAAGGGGAACGGCAATTTCACTGCGTGGTCATTATCGTCAGCAGGCCCTTCGCATAAAAATACCAATGCTAAAACCCCGAAGTCTTGACGTACTGATGACATATCCCGAGAAGAAGGCGTTAATCCAGCTCATGATCATGGTGTTGGGGATAATCATGGCCATCTGGCCCTTCATGGCGCCCATCATGCCCTCCATGGCGTTGGGGTCGGTCATCGGGTTGGGCGGCGCCTGGCCCTTGTTCTCGGGGGCCTTGAGATAGGCGCCGGACTCGTACGCGGCGGTCAGCGCATCGCGCCGGACGTTGAAGGACCGCCGCGACAGCACGTGGAAGTTGGACCGGACCTGGATGCCGTGCCCCAGCGAGCGCTGCTCTCTGATCGCCCTGAGCTCCTGGGCCTTGGGGGTCGTCGCTAGCAGGACGGTCGCGTAGTGTCGTAGGATGCCGGTCAGGACCTGGAGAGGGCAGGCTTGGTTAGTTGATGCTTGGGTAGTTTACCGGGTGGGAGACGAGAAGGGGCATCATACCATGACCACCGTAATGGGAAACAGAATCCAGTAACTGCGAGCGATGTCAGCCAGGCGGCACGAAACTTGGAGGTCGTCTCCGATTCAAGGTGTCTTACAAGAGCTGGGGATCCCTATGGATCGTCTGCACCGGTACCTGAGCCATGGCGACAACTTCTGATTGTGGTATATGTCGGTGGTTGAGCTGCAGAGTGTCGAACCTGGAGCTGTGCCTACTGCTAGAAGCTTTGGAGGAACCGGGCGGGTGTGGTTGCGGGTTGCGGCTCTGATGGAAACCCCCCCGGCCAAATTGGGGAAGGAAGCTTACTGCCAAAGCTTGGACCTCTTGCCTGACACCCCTGTTCGAGCTCCCCCAAGAAGGACACCTTTGTAGATCACCACCATCCCCGAGTCCAACACCACCTGTCCACTTGGATCTCACTCCAAGACATTTTGTCTCGTACTCACAAACGGAAAGCCAGCTCGTGGCAGCAGAAGTACCAGCACCAGCAGCCAGAACACAAAATGGCAGTCTCCGCCGAAAAGATCACGCTCTACAACCTCGCAGACTTGAAGAACACCTCGGACGATGCGCTCCCCAACTACCTCAACAGCCTGGGCCTGAAGCAGTCGCACACCCTTACTGACGTGCGACTCGGCCTGGGATACTCTGCATTCTTCGTGGCAGCGGCCTGTTTCCTCTGGGACTACAAGCTCGGTTTCGAGAGCACAAAGTACTACACAGCCGGCGCGGTCGCCGTCTACTCGCTGCTCAACACGGCCCTCACACTGTGGATATGGCTCAAGGAGAAGGGCATCGTATACGTGGGCACCGCGCCGAAAGGAGAGACGGTATGTGTCTACCCCTGCTGAAAATGGAGCGAGGAAAGCAGAGGACAGCATGGCTGACAGAACTCCCGGAACGAACAGGTCACGATCGCAACGCACACCAAGAAGAACGTCCCCATCTACAACCTGACCATCACCATCGCGCCCAAGACCGGCAGCCCAACCACCATCAACCTGTCCCGCTCCTTCACCGAGTGGTTCGACGCCGCCGGCCGCTTCGTCGCGACCCCCTTCCAGACCATGCTCGCCTCCACGGTCCCCGTCATCGGCACCCTGGACCCCAAGAGGGCCAACGCCCCGGCCACTCAGTCAGCGCCCCCTCAGTACAGCGAAGAGGAGTTGAGCGCCATTTTGGCTGCTGCCGGGGCGTCGCCCGACGACACGGCTGAGGCTACGGGGTCGAGCGCCAAGAAGGGAGGCAAGAGGAGGAAGGCGTAGAGCGAGGAAGGGATTCGAGGGGGGCGCTTGGGCGTGAAAAAGTCTGGCGATCTTCCACAGGATCTGTAAAGTTATCACATTTAGCTGCGTCGGATCGCTTAATGGGACAGTGTCATTGATAATAGATGATGTACTGGGCATTACAGTGCGCCGAGTCTGATCCTGCGCCGTGATCCTCTTTTCCTCGAACTGGGCTCTACCCACCAGGAGAAGGTGTGACTTCTGCCGCCCTCCTATTCCACGGCTCAGGGGGTGCTGAAGCTTAGCACCAGACCCGTCAATGCTCTGCAGCGACGACCAAGAATGCTTGCCCGAGAATGGGAACTTTACGAGTTATAGGTCATCCGGCTTGCAAGGTAACTTGGGATACCAGGGCCTGCCCTCCCACGCGGCGAGAACAGCACCCAGTTCCTCACGGACACGCTTCAGGGCACACTCTGAAGATTCAGACCTCTAGACGTTGGCCACGTCAACAGTGGGACTTAATAGACCACTCACTAAAGGCACGGTAGTCCACAAGTCACCCGGCAGGCTGAAGGTCCACTAACTTCATTCAAAGATGACACTTAACACTGACAGTATCACTGTGATCATGAAAGAGAAATTGTTTGTCCCAAGATTTCCGTTATCTCGGACATTCGTGTGCTGTACGTTGCCGTACGTAGCTCAGGGGGTATCTACTCTAACATCCAATGCAAACCACCGAGCCGCATTCAGGCCCTATCACCTAGAATAATCCGACCCTAATCGGAAAAATCGACTGGCTCATTTGGCCCCAGTCGAGGTCCCAGACCAAAAGCACGCCAGCTCCATCTGGCTCAAGTGGAGATCTTGGACCAAGCGGACTGCGCAGCCTCAGCAGCGCGACGGACGTCCCTCACCCGGTCGCCCAGAGCAACAGACAGATGTACCCGCACCTCATCGGCATACGCTCGCAGGTCATTCTCATCTAGCTGCGACGGGAGCACCTCGAGGGTCCTCAGGGCCATCCTGCGGATCTTCTCCCTGTCGCCCGCGTACTTGAACCGACCGCCCTGCGCGTACTCTTCCTTGTCGACAGGCCACTCCTTGTCGTCATGCGCCGTCAGCGCCCGGTCGTAGACAACCGGGACAGGCAGTACACGGCCGTACACGCTCTTCGCCGCCTTGACGAGCGAGGCTACGTGCGACCGGAACAGGGCGGGTTCGCCGGCAAGGATCTGGAGTGCGATGCCGCACGCAGCCTCGATGTCGTAGCTGTTGGTGGCCTTCTGCATGGCGGCGAGGACGATGCGGACGACCGTCGGCGCGTCGTCGGCGTAGTGGCCCAGGGCCAGGCTTTTGACGGCGTGGAGCACATATATCGAATAGACAACGCTAGCGTCCTCGCGGGACAGCGGATACGCCAGGTTCAGGACCGGCTGGACGCACTGCTGGTAGGTCCACTGCAGGTATAGCGGCTTCTGAATGGTGTGGTTCGCCGGGTCGAGCAGGCCCTTCTTTGAGGTCGAAAAGAGCTGTGACAGGATGCGCGCGACGTACGGCCCCATCTCCATGCCCGCTTTGGCTGCTGCGTGGCTAACAGTCGAGGAGAGCGCTGCCGCAGGGAGGTCGCGGTGGGCAAAAGCTCCTGCGAGGATGGCTGCGAAACGGCATACCTCTCTCAATTCCAAGAATTCGGGCTGCTTGAAACCTTGCTCAATCCTCTTAAGAACCGTGGTCCAAATTGCTTGGACTTCTATCTGACGGGGTCCACCGGCTCGAGTATTGAACTTGTTGGCGAGTAGGAAGGCAATATAATCCTGGATAGCCTCTATCCGGGGGCTGGTTCGAGTCGGGAGATCGAGGTTACCGGTGAGAAGGTTGTGGAAATTAAAGTCCGTCTGGCAGTAAGGCAATGTCAGGAAATCGCACGTCATGAGGCGGATCGGTTTGAATATCCAGAATCATTTTCACTTACCAGCATCATCACGGTCGAAGAGTGCATCGCCTGGACGATGCCTCCAGATAGCGCGTAAAGCTCCGAATCACTGAACAATGCCAAGGGCGTCGTGTTGCTCTGCCAACGCAGTCCAGTATTGAAGCAACCAGCAACTACATTGTCCAGGTCCAAAGATACTTGCGCAATACTGTCGAGCTCTCGCAGGACGAGGCAAGCAGCCCGTCCCAGCTCGCCGAGATACGCGGCAAGGTTGCCACTTGCACGCGGGTTGTCTCCATCAATGTTGTCAGCGGAACGAAGTGCGTCGCTGAGCCGTAGCTGTGGTATGTTACTGTCTGCGGACATCGATACAGTGGTAGCGTGTTGATACAGCTCAGACACGACGTACACTCCCACGAGTTGAAAGCTCGTGAAAACAGAATGCTTAGCAGCCTTGATAACCTTCGTTGACGGAATGGGGTCGTAGAGATTGGCCTGCTTGTAACGCAGTTTCGGAAAGTCCGGTACCTCAGCGTGTAGCATGGGCTCGAGGTCGCTGAACTTCCAGTCTCTTGTGACAGCCTCAGTCTGCTTAAGGCCCTTGTCCTCGACTGCCTTTATAAAGTATGCCATCCCCGTGGCTAGAGCGTCAGCGGCAACCGCACAGAATTTGATGTTCGCTTCGGCATTGAACAGAACACTCAGAATGTTAAGCATCGTGCCTGCAAACGACGCGAAGTTGATGATCGGCGTCTCGGATTTGGGTATGTCAGCGCAGCCAATGTATGCTACGCGCTGGCACACGCTGTGCAGATCGTCGAACGTGCGATCTGATGCCGTGCCTTTCCAGGTTCGTTTCTCAACCTCGCTGACCAGGTTGGAGAGGACCCTGGCATACCCCTCTGGAAACACCTTGACCACTGTCTTGAGGGCCGCAACAGCAGAAACGTCGATGTTATATAGCTCTGCAGACGCTGTTGGCGAGACGTTAAACGAGTTTGTGGCGCGGTAAGATAGAGCTGTGCAGATCTCCTTCAATGTGTCTTGCTCGTAAGCTGCCGTCGTCGTGAAGTCAGCCCTAAGTCGCTGCACATCAACCGCCAGAGAAAGGCCGTTGATTGCTTCCTTGGTGATTTCGACTTGATCTTTGCTGGGATTGTCGACGGTATTTTCCCGGAAAAGCTTGAAATAAATGTCGTCAATAACGGCCACCGGGATCTCAAAACCGTCGGCATTGAATGCCCGCTTATCATGCTCGGACCACTCGTTCACCTTGGCTGCCAGCTGCCTTTGAGTTCGAACCAGATTGTTGAGAAGCACAAGAAGGTTCTTGGAATGAGCTGGCGACTTTGGCTGGCCGATATTCTGCCTGACAGCGTCGAGAAGACGCGGGTTCGTGCGGCAAAAGGCGAGCACGCTACCGCCCGCTACACTGATCAGGATTGAACCAGCCTGCTCGGTGTACGTCGGGTTCTCCAGGTCCTCGGCAGTGTCTTTCCAGGTTTGCGACAGGAATTCGGTCAGAGCTGGCTCGGCATTGTCGGACTTGGCGAGTCGGCTCGTCAGGCACTCAAAAATGGAGAGGGTTTCCTGGATTGCCTCCGGTACCTCTCCGTTTCGGACCTCGTACTTGAGGGAAGACCACAGTTTCGTGATATAAGGCACGACACTGGTTTCAACGGGCTCGTAGCCAACCATACAGGCCTTGATCGTTCGGAGGATATCGAGCTACTTCCGTCAGTTTACTTTCTCTTGACAGGGTGTAGGCTGGAAAATCAAAGCAAGGAGAGAATAGGGCAGGAACATGCAATTGGCGGGCAACTCTCACCTTGGCTGATGCGGTCAGACTTCCGCCGTCGTCGAGCTTCTCCAGCAAAAATGAAAATGTATGCTCTGCCAAAAGTCCATTGGCCGCAAAACAAGCCCTCAGAGCCTCCTTCAACTCGTCCTCTGTTACCTCTGGTCCACCAGCCGTGGATTTACGAATGGAGATAGGGAAGAATGGGGAGATCGATTCGAAGGCGGCGAGTGAAACCTCGGGAGAAGTTGTGATTTTCTTCAACACTCTCTCTAACGTCTGGAACCACTCTAGTAGGTTGACGGGATCTCTTTCTCTCTTGGCGAGGGCCAAAATAGGCAACAAGAATGCGCCACCTTCATAGCGTTTCTGGAGAACTCGCGCGCTCTTGTCGTTCACGAGCAAGGTTCGAATGATCTGGAGGACTTGCAGTCGAGTCTTCGCGAGCTGTTTTGTGTAATTATCGGGATCCATTTTCCCAAGACTTGCAAGAATATCGTCCGCAGCTGAGGGCGGGAAGTTGTTCATGGTGGTTAAGACAAGCAGAGCATCCGTTGCTGCTGCAAGGCCCGCTGGATCCTGCTGCTGGAAAATGGAGCCGAAGAAACTCGCGAGCATTTTGACTGTATGATCTGCTCAGGACCTATAATTGCAGCTGGAAATTCACGGTAGAGCATGCTTACTGTAAGTTGACTGCAAGAATTCTTTGGGCAGAGCAGTCAAGGTCATGACCAAGTATTTCAGACCTGTGAATTGGTCAGTATCCATGACGCGTGGGAAAAGTCGGGTCAAAGTAGAGAGAGCTCAACGTACCTCTCGCATTCTTCTCCCTGTTCCTTTCTGCGAACTCTGAGGGCTGCTCGCCGTCTCCAGAGGAGATCCAGCGATGTATTGACTTGACCAAGGTGAGCACAGTTTGATCCCGAGGATAGCCATGCTTTGCGGGGTCCAGGACATCTAATACAACGGTCAATTCATATTTCGCGGTAACAGTGGTGGATGGGGTGCTCTTCGCGCGGGTGCTCGAACTCACAGTCAGCCGCATCGGCAGCGATCTTCTGCTGGTCCTCAAGCGAGAGGCCATCGCGCTCGACGAAGCGCACGGCGAGCTCCTCCAGGTAGGTCGACATGGTGAATCTCGTCTTGTCGCCCTGCAAGAGCTGCTAAGGAAGGACCCCTCGGATGACCGTGCGCGATGCAGAAGCTGTTTGGGACACATACGATGGCCAGCTATCAACAGCCAAGGCAAGCGGTCGGATCGGTCACCGGGTTGCACTGGTGACTTCTAAGCTGTTCGGCCGATGCGGAAAATACTGCCGGCTGGGGAAGTGGGATGGCGACTTTCTGCAGGCAGCTGGGAGGGGCAGAAGCCCAATACCGCAGGCGGTGGGCTGCCCTCCACGGCGCACCCCCTGTCGTTTGCGCTGCCGGGCCGTCGCCATACTCGTTCAGGTAAGAGGGGCAGTGCTCAGGGCCTGCAATTTCTGCTATGGCTCCTGTTATCGGAGAAACGATAAGGGGCCAGCCCCTCTAGGGCCCCGTCAGTGCAGAGTCATGGTGAAGAATTTGGCCTCGTGGAGTTTTTGGCGCCAGCATGGCTCCAGGCACGGATCTTCTTCCCCATCGTCCTCGATTGTTCTGGTGTGGTCAACTGGCTGACTACGCATGCGCCTCCCCCTGATCCAGCCGACCACTTAACCAATTTGTCACTCTCCTTGCGAAGGTGGTCAGTTCAGCCACCGGCCGAGTCCACGACGAGGGACCCGAAAGCATCTGTGCTGCTCTCCGATCGAGTACATATAACTCCCAGCCAGGCCTCGTCACCCGCGTCCCGCTCCGCTCCGGGTTGTGTAAGTGAATCCACTTCACCCGTCTCAAATTCGACACTGGTGGAGGCAAGTGCATTGCCCTGTACCCAGCATGGCATGTGTCATACCATATCAACCCGTATATGAACCACGTCTCCCACGGGCAGCCATGGCCGTGGCCATTCCACCCTCCAATCACTTCACGATGACATCGACAGCCACTCTCTGTTGCTCTCAACTACTGACCCACTCCTGTCCCCAGAGCATGGCGGCACCACCAAAGACCTGCAAGGTCATTCTTGCAGACACCATAGCAAAGAAGCTGCTCCAAGAGGTCCAGGAGACCCTCGCATCTATTGGCAACGGCAAGCCCCGCCTTGTTGCCTTCCTGGCCAACGACGATGAAGCGGCAGTGAAGTATGCGGAATACTCACAAAAGACTTGTGAGGAAAAGTGAGTGCTGCTCTTGACGGCCATCTTCTCCGAACTGGGACTCGTCTCCGGAGCAGACGGCCAGGTGGCTGTCCACCAGGGGGTCGCACAGCTGCTGACTCGATCACAACAGCGGTTTCACCTTCGACCTGCGACGCATCGACAAAGAAGCCCTGGAGCAGGAGGTCCGCACCGCCAATGAGGACGACAAGGTCAACGGCATCCTGGTCTACTACCCGATATGGCCCGACAACGTTGCCAAGGACAATTATATCAAAGAGTCCGTGGCACTCGAGAAGGATGTGGAGGGCCTCTGCTTCAAGCACCTGAGTAACATGTACCACAACGTGCGGTACCTGGACCCCCCGACGAATCTGAAGAAGTCCATCCTTCCCTGCACGCCGCTCGCCGTCCTCAAGATCCTGGAACACCTGCACATCTACAACCCGATCCTCGCCGAAGGCAACAGGTTGTATGGCAAGACCATCACGGTGATCAACCGCTCGGAGGTCAATGGCCGGCCACTCGCTGCGCTGCTAGCAAATGATGGCGCGCAGGTATACTCGGTCGACATCACCGGGGTGCAGCTGTTCACGCGCGGCCAGGGCATCAAGAGCCACCGCCATCAGGTCGAGGACAAGGAGGGCTGGGATGTGAAGAATACACTTCCCATCAGCGACGTGGTGATCGGGGGAGTGCCTGTTGAGAGCTACAAGCTGCCGATCGACTTGATCCGGGATGGTGCCGTGTGCATCAACTTCTCGTCCTTCCGTAACTTCGACGGTCCAGCTGTCAAGGAGAAGGCGTCCATCTATGTTCCCTCCGTGGGCAAGGTGACGATCGCATGTTTGTTGCGGAACTTGGTGGTATGTATTCAGCTGATTGCCTTGGCGTTTTCTCGGACGGACGGAACTCGTGGGGGAATCTGTTGGCTGACCGTTGAATGCTCCAGCGCCTGATTGCGAATCACCCAGACAAGACCCATCAGCAGGCTCGAAACGAGGCGTTTGTCGATGGTTAGGCTCCGCGAGAGCGACGCTGCAGCTACACACCCACCAGCACGCCCGAAACAACACCCGGATTGATGGTGAGAGTCCGTCGGCCAATGAGATGCTGAGACTCGTGAGCTGTGGGCCGTATGGCTGCCATTTGGTGATTGCCACCACAACGAATGCTCTCAGCCTGGAGCGAATAGAGAAGATACCCGGGGCTCGTAGGCATATGAGCCCAGCTGCATTGCATGTAACAGGATAGAGGGATCGTTTTGAATTGTTCGAACTGCTGGTAAATGTCCTGCCGGTTGAAGTTGGAAACGCACAGGTTCTCGTTGCTGTAGGTAAGCGGGGAAAACAATATAACCCGTTGTGTGTTCTGAGTGTGCAACCAGCGAACAGGTGGTTCAGCCAACAAAATACAGTCGAGGACGAAGAGCTGAGAGGGGTCATCCCCTCTAGGGGATGTGAAGGACAGGGTTGCATTCGCAAAAAGCACTGCCGAGACCCGAGCTGTCAGCACATCACCACTTGCTTCTTTCTCCAGTCCGTTTCGACTTGATTGGCTGGCGGTCGCAGCATCGATCGCTGTCCCACGCTAGCCCAGCAGCACCGATCTGGCAGGTGACCCCTAGACGAAGACGATGAATCAAGAATGCAACTTCACTTCGACGGAGCCAAAGTGAATCTTTCAGCAGCAGCAAGGGCACAATCAAGGGCGCCCATCGCTCAGCTCAGACTACGCTCGACTGGGAACGATGGGCGCCCATCGCTCAGCTCAGACTACGCTCGACTGGGAACGATGGGCGCCCTACCCACGATCACTTCTCCTTCCACTTGGGTTCCCGCCATCCTGCGCGTATCCGCGTCATTGTCTCACACGCCAGCCCAGGGCTGGTTCTGCTTCTGCAGCTGCACTGGTCTTCTTCTTTTCGAGTCTGCCGTTTGCTCCGACCGCCCTCAATTTGGGATACATCTATTCTGCTTCCTTTTCCTGCGTCCAACAGCTCAGCTTGTGTTGGCCAGGCCGGGCTTCCCCCCTCCTATTCGCCCGTCGTATCTGCAGGCCCTGGGGCCACAACAGCTTGCATGGTCCAACTGTCTTATTGCGATCTCGGACGGGTCATACCAACAACCAAACAGCCCATGACCTCTTGTGGACGAACAGAAAAGCTCTCGTTTTCCCGCCATCAGTGTTCCGGCTGAGTGCCGTGACACACAAATACCCACACCCACGTGCTTGTCAGTTGCTTCCACAGCCCTCGCACTTGTGAGCTCTCACATCTACCTACTCGGGTGAACTACCCGATACCACGCCATGGCAAACGGAACGTTCTTCGTCTCCTGGGAGCTATGGCAGCAAATGACCTTCGTCCTGGCCATGGGCATCGCCTTCGTATTCCTGGTCGGTCTGATGAAGCTGTGGTGGATGAACCGCCACATGAAGAAGATCGAGGAGCTCGATGCCGAGAAGCAGGTACGCACGGCGCAGATGCGCAGGTCCGGGCTCTCCACCAACAACCGCAGGTCCCGACTGGGGAGCGAGATCCCGTTTGGCGTCAAGGCCCTCGAGTCCGGAGTCGAGGTGGACGGCGTCTGGGTCGCGAGGATGGCGTCCTTGGCGTCCCGGCCGCCAGGCAGGAAGTGGACCTCGAAGAGAAAGATTAAAACTCCGGCTTTGAATGTTGATGATGCGAGTTCTAGCAGGGGGTCCGGTAGGGGATCTGTCCGGGCTGGCAGGATTACCAGGAGGGAAATTGTCAAACCCTCGACACAGACAGGAAGGAAGCTTGAGAGTCTGCCGCTTCCGGAAGAGGGTTTTCTATTGAATGGCTCCGGCGCAAACCATCGGCAATCGATCAATCATACGGATCATGGGGAGGGCAGGAGTCCCACGCAGGAGGGCATTGGTGGCCAATCTGGACACTTAGGACCTTTGGGCCGTATACAGAGGTCTCTCAAGAAGATGACCTCGTCCGAGTCATGGGATGAGCAGCAAAAGAAGCAGCTTGGTGGACAAGAAGCCATAGAGTTCCGCATCAATGCCCAGGCGAGGAAACCTCAACGGTTCTACCCACAAGGTGCCACACCAACCGCTCCTGTACGGGGTATGCCCAGCCAACAATCGATCCCGCAGCGAAAGTCCAGTCTTCACAGCAACTCGGATCGTAGCCCAGCAGAAGCAGCAACATCTGGGCCGGGTGGAGTCAGCAGCACACAGCCAACACGCCAACCGACCACCGCACCTCGAAGCCACGAACCACGGCACCAAACATCGCGGCCCTCAAGCATCTCATCAGGGGAGTCCTTCGTGACCAGCATCGAGGAGCTCAAGGAGTTCGCACCCCACTCCCGGCCGCCCCCGCTCGAGCACCACCCGGTCTTCTCCAGCAGCGATCTCACTCAAGCCTCCGGCGAGGAGCTGACCTTCGGCCGCAGGCGCTCCCGGCGCTCCTCGCAGCGGGGACACGCTCGGCACTCGTCGTCTGAGGACCGGAGCACCATCCACGATCAACAGCAGCACGACGCTGCGTCGCAGCCGGCACCGGCCACGGCGCTGCGGTACCCTCCGAATAGCAGCCGGAGCGCCGCTTACATCCAGCAGCCTCGGCCCCAGTCATTCACTTCCGATCAGCAGCCGAAAACCATCGGCGGTAATTCCTCCGCCGCGCAGCCCAGCCCTACTTTCGGCCCGAGTGATTCGTGAGCAATGACCTTCCCCTTGATTTTGAGCGAGCAGGGGCTGACAGACACGAACTGTAGGTACGTCAACACCAGCACGAGGAAGGTGAACTCGAACTTCGAGGTCCTCCCAGCTGGCACCTTTGGACAACCTGAGCAGCAAGCCGCCGAGGAGCCTGCCGGTACAGCCGCCAGCGTCCGGTCGTCCTTCGAATCCCAACGGAGCGGTAGGAGGAAGCTGCAGAAGAAGAGGACCAGCAGCTGCTACAGCAAGTAAGGGCTCGTCCTGTCAGGTTTCTTGTTCGGGGGTCGCGTCTGGGTGATGGTAGGGGGATATTCCCAACTGTCCGTCCTGGGTTGGATTAATTGCTGCTTTGAAGATACAGCGTGCGATGCCATTTTGAGGACAGGTAGTATCATCCGAGTCGGTACATACTGCGATACAGAAAGCCCATGCCGAATATATACTTACTCGTTGGCATCTTGCCGAAGCCCAAAAATGTGTCGCTTTTCGGGTCCATATTTGTCAACGGTCCCAAGTCCATCTTGACAATGGAGATGCCCCCGTGATCGTGACCATGGGCACTGTGTGTGCTACGGCCAACATCCCGAATGTTCACCTCGTGACCATCGCACTCGGCCTCATTTTCATTCCCCAGGCGCAGTGGGATCTCTCGAACCAGCTCGGCCTCTTCAGATGTGATGCCTCCATCGACAATGTCAAGTCCAAGTGCGGCAAACACGGAAGGTTGAGTGAAGCAGGAAAAAAGGGGTAGTCCTAACCCTTTGAGTAACAAGCTGTGGGGGGCTTCGCTTGGCCTGAAGATCATCATCCGGGCTTCTCGGGGCTGTGCTCAGGGCGCGGTTGACGTCACATAAAATTTGTTGACTTCTCGGCATTCTTGTTGATTTCGGGGCTCTTTTCACTACATCTCACTCTCAAATATCACTGTGGCGCGCCTCCGAGGCACCAGGAACAAGAGCAATGGATTGCTTACCCCTACCGGTGGTCTGCATTCAGTGCGGGCCGGGAGTGAACAACGCATGCCACTTCAAATTCATCGGTGAGCGCCAGACCTGCATGCCGGAGGGGAGTTCAGTCCGCGTGTGATTCTAACCTTTCTACCTGTGTCTATCGCAGGACCCACGATCGGATTCGTCATGGCCGTTTTCCTGGCAATCATCTGCTGGCCCCTCGCCCTCTTCTTCTGCTGCTGTGCAACCGACGCTGGCAAGAAGTGAGTCGTGCTGCTGGGCCGTGGCATCCTGTGTCGGGGCGGCCGCCCGACGTATCACCCATTCACATGTTTTTGGTGGCTGACTTCGTGACTAGACTACTGGCATTTCCGGCAGACACGTCAGCCACAATATCGGATTGTTTCCCCATATGACGACTAGAGCCGTGGATGGCTTTTTTCAAGCAAATGGGACGGAGTTTCTGGTTTTAATCGCAATATCGCAGCAAATTCTCGTTGCCCAACATTGTGTCAAGATCCTGCAGATGATCTTCTAGCCATATTCCTCGTAATGCCGGGGCTAGTGAATATATTCGTCAAGGCGGTGTCTATCTGTACCAGGCAGGCGATATCCAGTCTGAAGGGCACCTTATCATGTCCTAGCGAACATCCCAAATCATAAGACTTATGCGATTTTTCCGAAAACCTTAAAATCCGAGCAGTCGGGGTTAGGAATGATACGCTTCTCTCATGTTATTGGGCTATTAGGGGAACACAACCGCCAAATGCTACCGACATCACTACCGCCATGATATCTGTCAACTAAAGGCGCGCACCTCTCACCGCTCTGGCCAAAGTCTTCTCCACTTTCGGAAGTAATGAATACTAACCGTCCGACTTTCTGAACCAGGGGCCTTAGTTCCACTACATGTACAAGGAAGCTCCATGAGCTCTCAAATTGTAATGCCTGTGATGCGGCCCACGCTGTCGCTTTTGTGATTAACTATGTCAGCCGCGCCGCACTAGCAACCTCGTAGATCCTAAGAGGTACCTAGCCGACAGCACCGCAATGGTGAGCTGGGCGCCTTCGTGCGTGCTAGAGATGGCTGGGGTTAGCCAGAGGCAGCCACGACGTCGCGATGCGATGCGATGCAATACTGGTATGCGGCATCCGCATAGGTGGCTGCATCTGCGCGGTGACTAGTTTTGGAAACGTCGTTGAGACCAGCCATGGATTCGGTAGATGGTGCCAAATCTAGCAAATGAAGTCTCGTTACACGGCTTTAAATTTCAATGTCCGGTTGATAACTACCTAGGTATTTAGGACCTAGGTAAGTGCTTAGTGAGCTTTTGACTTTGATTTGGACAGCCTGGTCATACTCTTAGTCCGTCGCTAAGTGACTCAAGGTGCACACCATCTCGTGTACCTAGGCACTCTTATCTATATAAGGAGGGCCTTCCAAAAAGAAAAAAAATCCGATTGCGCAAAATCTTCTTCCCTCTCAAAAAGCAAAGCAAAAAGCAGACGCCATATGCCCACGCTTTCTCTGAACCACTGCTCTCATTGAGAGTAAGGCGGTTTAGGAGGCGTAGAAGGGCATGTTTATATCGTGTGCTCAACTGTTCTTTACAATTCTGGTCAATGATGAGGGCTCTCATTTTGAGAGAAGACTGAGATCAAGTTCTGAGCCTGCTGATGCAGATAGCGACACCAGCTCTACCGGATCCTATTGTTTTCAAGTGAACTCAGATCTCGGAGATGACGTGTGTAAGTACGTTCATTCTTTGTTTTTATCAAAGTCCTACAAGCGTTGAATATCTCCTGACGAATTCGTCGTCACTCTCCCACGCATTCAAATGTTCCAGCCATACAAGAAGGCCACAGCCCATGAATAACCTCCACCCCAAACAAGAAACCTGCCCAGTATCTCCCACCTCCGTTAATTGTTCCGTCCCCTGTTTGTCTGAACAATGCGACTCAGATCAAGCCAAGTCGCTGCTAGGAAGAAAGACAGCTCTGAAAGCTTGAGCCAAACTGTGCCTGGGTTTCCTGTCTTATAAACGTTTAGATCAGTCAAAGGGTGGCGCCGGCTGCGATTTCGAGAAGGAATGTTGTTTCGAGAATCGATTCGATCGTCTACAGGCCAGTTACGAGGTCGAAACTCGTGTGGACCGTAATCGAAGGCAACGTGTGGATGTGAAAGTCGGGGGTCAATGTCTGGATCGTGGTTGACCACAGGTGTTGAGATGTGATGCTACCGAGGTGGAACTAGAGTGCACCGACACGGTAATGGCCAGTTCTTGTGCGCGTCAGCTAGGCCGACGACTTATGCTGTTCTCTAAGACTGTTCTTTACATGTAATCAACTTGCCCGCTGGGGAAAAAAAACAAAGGGCTAAGAAAACAACGCAAAAAAAAGCAACGCAAAAAAATCAACGCTATGGCAGTCATAATGATGTTTTTTTACAGGGAGAACACGCACCGTGGGGTATAGAGCCTAGACGCCATTAGCAACCTCTGAATATGTCCGAATGACTGCCTCAGACATGTCGCTGAGATGGTTGATGGATCAGGAGACGTGGGTGGAAAAATGGATGGAATGGCGAGTGCCTGTTAACTGGTCCGGATGTCAGAGATCTGGGTGAACGAGGGGAAGGCTGGTGAGGAAATGGATGGAACGGAGAGTGCTCGTATGGATGTCAGAGGTCTGTGTGAACGACAGAAAGACTGAAATCCATCACCAAGTGCGTGAGCAGTGGCGGGAACTGGCAATATGAAAAAGGGGTGCTTCACAGCATGAGGGTATGTGGGTAGCTAGCCAGAGGATCAGGGGCTGGAGGGAGACGAAGAAAGTTGTTGTTGAAGATGTTGTCAAGTTGGAGGAGAGAATTCAGGAGACAAGTCGTCTGTTTACGTGCAGGTCCTCAAGAAATGTTATTCCACCCAGTTCGATCATGTTCAACTAGGTAGGTGCCAGTGGTTATCAAATAGCAGGAGCACTTCACTTTGTTCGTTCCCACTGACGTACTAACAATCGCTCATCTGTGCGTTCTTACCCCTGAGCCAAGTCTTCTAAAGCGTTGGGAAGGCACACATGCTGGAAAATGGAACAGACGGTGCACGTATTTTGTATTCTGACCCCAGCCAACGAGGTGATAGTCTGCACTGTAGTTGAGTGGCAATAGTATCCATACGATAACTTGCTTCCTGGTTGAGATATGCGCGTAGGCTAGAGAGAGAATAGGGAACTGATTTCCATGGTGCTGCTCTGCGCCTCTGTTGATTTATCTTTGGATCAGCTTATATGTTCATGCGAGGCAGGACCGACTCAAACTCCATTGACTGAATGAGGGCAGCTTCCTTTGTCTCTGGGCCACTATCGTGATCAGGATCAATGCTGTACGATAGTTGTTACCACGGATAGATTGTGGCATAGGCACTTTGAGTCTGGGTTCTGCAAATTATGACGATGTATTGACGTCGAACAGGTGATAGCCTCTGACAGTAGGTGCTTCCTTCAGGACGGGTTTTAGTCGTCTTCAGGAAAGAATTAAGGATGGCGACCAATTCAAGTAAGTGCGCCCTGGAAGCACAATACATATCGTCATTGCTGCACCTGCTGCGCCAGCAATGCAACATGGATGTCAGGATTCAGGCAAGTTGTTGTACTTGAGTATTGAAGTCTTGTTCTAGTACATTCAAGAGCGTTGAGAAGGTATTGGGATGGGGATGTTTGGTTATTGGCAATGGCTGCAGTCCACAACTCAGAACTAACATTTGACAGGCCAGCAAGAGTTCCTCCCCGGAAACGGCTGCCCTTAAGGCAAATAAATCGCGGCCTGGCTATCCTGCCAGGCTTCAGATATCGCGTCTGTACCTCAGTGCTGCGCAGGGTATCTTATAGGAAGGCACGCCAGCAGATGATGACATCCTGACCCATTGGAAGTAAGGAAAGGCGGGAGAAGCTGACGACGAACCTAATATGTGGAGTAGCCATCTGGTTTACAAGCAGAGAACAATCTTCTCCATAGAAACAAAAATTAGTGGTTCGAAATGTTTTTCTTCATAAATCATCCCGAAGGAAGATCTCCGTACAAGAGGCGATGTGAAGATACTTTAGGCCCGTTACTGCAGCCGGTTCCGGGTGCATTCCTCTGCAGGCGCTTACCTACCGGACAACACACCTAAAACTTGCTCACGACCCTTAATGTTGTAATCTGAAGTGTCCCTAGGTACCTAGTGCTTACACGTGTATCGAGGCACATCAAACCATGCCAACAAGGTTCGTGTAAAGCTAAAATCCCCAACCACATGGTTGCTAGAAGCACGCCAAGGTCAGTAGCTCCGGCCTTCAAGTTGAACCGCCTACACCAAGGATCCATCGCTTCAATGTCAGCTTACACGAATAGTACCAGCTGTGCCATTCGAGTTCAGGATTTAACCCCTCTCAGTCTCATACTAGTACGGGCCTGTGAACATATAAGGAGCCTGTGGCCTGTGGGACAATTTCATTGTCTTCTCCCCGTTCACCTTCTGCCGAGTATTCCGAGCACCGATAACAATCCTCTAACACCAGGGAATACACACTGAAAGACCAAGATGGCTCAGGCTGAAACCGTCCTCCTAACGGGTGGCAATGGCTTCGTGGGAAGTGCCGTACTCGTAGCCCTTTGCGAGGCCGGGTATAACGTGCGCGCAGTTGTCCGCAGGCAAGACGCTATCGACAAAACATCAGCCCACCCCTCGATCAAGCGGTTCTCCGATAAGATCCAATGGAGCATCATACCGGATATCTCCAAGCCGGACGCGTTCCTCGAGGTTGTGAAGGGCTGCCACCACATCATCCACGTGGCATCGCCCATTCCTCCTATTCCCCCACGCCCGATGGACATGCGCACACCGGCACTGGATGGCACAAAAGCCATCCTCAACGCCGCCGAGAGCGAGCCGCTCGTAAAGAGGGTGGTGATCACCGGCTCTGTCGCCTCGCTCATGAAGCCGGAGCATATGCGTTGGGACCACCCCGACTACGAAACTGGCCTGCCGTTCATGTCCGGAGACACGTACTACCCGACACCGACTGAGAGGCCAGACGACGCCACCTCCCCGGTGTTTCATCGCTACACCGACTCCAAGATCGCCAGTGGAAACCTAGTGAGGGACTACGCCGCGGCGCACCGCGACTCGCACTTCCAGATGGTGGTGCTGTGTCCCGGGTGGGTCGTGGGGCCCGGCCTGTTCATCACGAACAAGGCGGAGGCCCTGGGCACCGCCAACCTCACGCTGGCCTGGGTCATGGCGGACCTGCGCGGAGTCCTCAACCCGATCCTGGACCTCCCCGTGGACGACCCCACGCCCTTCCGCAGCGAGTTCGTCTACGTCGACGACGTCGCCCTGGGCCACGTCAGGGGCCTCAGCGTGCCGCTGCCGTCCAAGAAGAACCTCGAGATCTGGGTCCTGGCTGTTGACGCGCCGGCGGGGCCGCGTCAAGAGGACGCCGAGGAGATCCTGAAGCGGAGGTCGCCCGAGCTCGCCAAGCACTTGAGCTTCGCCGGCAAGGTCAAGACTCTGCCAGTCAATTTCGATGGTGCGAGAACACAGGAGGAGCTGCTGGGCAAAAGCTACGTGTCGTTCGAGGACCAGGTTGTGAGAGCTGTGGAGTGGATGGCCAGTCTGCCTGATGGTGAGCCTTTGCCTGCTTGAAGGGCAGATAGTATTTGATCAGTGTTCGAGGAATACGTACAGCAGGATATCACACGCTAGGGTAATGAGGATCGTCCACATACAAGTCCCTTTTGGGTTCGATACCATATAACTCAACTTAAATATGACCTTGGTGAAATCTGTATTTATACGTCCCAGTCTGATCATAGTACGACGAGAACACCACAGAATCCAGAATCAGATTGAGAAATGCAAGTTGCTTACACGTGCCGGAAGCCCGTCGTACTCAGTCCCTGGGGATTGGTTTGCTTGATTTGAAGTGTGGAACCTGTCCAACAGAAAGCCTTCTGAATCGATGATCCCGGCTTTCTATCTGCAGCCACCATGCAGGAGTTCATGCATGTTCCACAGCATAGCTGCTTCAATGTGATTAGCTCTTTATTCTCGTGCTGGTCGCCGACTTGCCATAAGCATGCCGTACTAGGAGCAGGAGGGATGTTTGACCGGTCTTCTATTAAAGACAGAGATTTAAATTGAGGGGTTTCCTCTTTCGTTCCACCCGTCTCTGACGAACTACATTTGATCACAGTCCCAAACTTTTCGACGACGTTCTAAACACAATGACTACCTTGCCCACTCCCTCTCTGGTCGAGCAAGCAAACGCTATCCTGCAAGCCGCAACCCAGCTTCAGCAGCAGCTCGATGATCATGGCCTGCAACAGCCCTCCCTCGAAGTCGGAGGCCGCAAGGACTGGCACGACGCAGCTGGTATCCCGGAAATCCTCAAGACGAGATCGCTTCTCATGAACGCAAGTCAAGCAATGCTGAGCCTTGCATACGGTCCGGTAGACGCCATGAGCGCTCTCACCGGGCCAGAGGTGTGCAAGCTCGAGGTGATGCGGACACTGGATGCCCTCGGCGTGCCCCAGGCGGTGCCCTTGCGCGCAGACATACGCGTGGAAGAGCTGGCAGCCACGCTCGGAGTCAACGAGTCGCTCTTGTACCGACATCTCCAGTTTGCGTTCTTACTCGGCATGTTCTACGAGCCCAGAGAGGGTTTCGTCGCCCATACCAATCTTTCCACAGCTTTGGTGGACTTCTCTCCTTACATCAAGATGAGGTTATCTCCGCTATTCATCAAAGGGGTAGACAAGGTCCCCGAGGCCCTCAAGCTGTCCAGAACGGAATCTGGTATTGTGCCTTGTGAGCTTGCCGATTCTCGCCATCGGAACATGTGGCAGATGCTGGAGGAGGACTACCCGGAAGGCCAGGGCATGAAGCTCTTCAGCGCAGCCATGGAAACCACTCTGTTGTATTCCATGGGGCCCACGTTGAGTCCATATGTCCACGGATTCGAATGGGGGTCTTTTGGTACGGGCACGGTCATCGACGTAGGCGGAGGGAGCGGCCTTGTCGAGGTCAACCTGGTGAAGAAATTCCCCGATCTTGACTTCGTCATCCAAGACCTACCAACGAACGCTGAGCCCGCTCAAACCTTGATCGCCCAGCACGAAGCACAGGATCGAATCAGGTTCCAGGCGCACGATTTCTTTCAGCCTCAACCCCCTCAACGAACACTACCAAAGGCGTACCTGCTCAGTCGAGTCTTGCACGACTGGCAGGATGATGACTGCATCAAGATTCTTAGGAACCTGCTCCCTGCAATGGAAACTCACGGAACCAAGCTCTTGGTTTGCGAGCGCATGCTCCCTGATCGAGCAGGCGAGATCTTCAATCACATTGAGCAGCTACTAAGAACACGGGACATGATCATGTTCACGCTATACGGAGGCGGAGAAAGGAGGCTGAGGGACTGGGTGGAGCTTTTCAGGAAAGCAGATGCAAGGCTGACAGTGGAGAGTGTTAAGCAACCGTTAAACTCGGTTGCTTCTTTCTTGACCTTGGGCATCAGGACGGACCAGTAGCTGTCCTCAAAAATCGGTTCTGTTGGATCGCTGTGGTATCGGTGAATAGCCCTGGAACGTTTTGAAAGATTGAGGCAATGGGAGATTCTAGCAATGCAAGGGGGGGCCTATAGTGACAGTACCCATTGTTATGGCCCACCATATAAGCACTACTGCATCGTTAATACCGCAGGACCTTGTGACGTTTCCTTATTCTCAGAACAAGAACCGTGCTACACTTGACAGGCGGCAGCAAAGAGCCAGACAGCCTGACACTGGAAGACTCACGCTGGCTGGCTGGCTGGCTGGCTGGCTGGCTGGCTGGTCGACAGGCCCAAGGTTGCGGCTCCATCTGAAACCGGTCTAATCTCACTACCTGCTTTAGGCAGAGATATTGCGAAATCTCATGGGGCTGTGAAGACGCTCTGGCCCCCATAAGGAGTCGGAACCTGGAGCTGAATCCGCGGTGTAACCCTCTTCATGGACCTTTTTTCGCCCATAGATAACAAGCATGGTAATCTTTCCTCCACCTCTTGGTTCCTCATTCAGTCGGGGGATCACGCACCTTTCCGACGCATGTCCTTTGTCACACCGCTCTCAAAATGACGAACCTTGGTCCCTTGACCGCGACATTCACGGCTACCGGCTTGGATTGTCAATCCTCGTATCTGGCTGCAAACAACGATAATCAATGGATGCAACATGGTCAACCAGACACGACACAATGCGTGCCTGCAAGCTTTACGCCATTCCAGAAATACTATTACTCTCCAGGCATATGCCCTTCGGGATACTATTACGCATGTGAGGCTGGCGTAGGAACAAGTAGTACACAGGCAACATGTTGTCCACTGTTAGTGATTCCTGCTTGTGAACCGAGAAAGGCTGATTAAAGTGCCACGGAGCACCTGGGAAGTTGGCGAAGAGAGTATGCTGATTTTATATGAAGTGGTTTTACCTGTCGCACCGGCGTAAATCGTGCCACCGACCCATTCGCGTGCGCGTCAACGTACACGAGCGACACTTACGTCTCGGTGATGTTTTACAAGTTTACCTCCGCATCTGGCTTACCGGACTCCGTCAACACCAGCTCGACGACGACGACGTTCATGGTCCAGGGGACCGAGGGATATTATATCGAGGCCAACGGCCCTGTGGTCCGAAGATCAGACGGGGACCCGGAGTGGAGCACCACGAGTTTGACAACCACCGATACGAGGAGCATCAACGGGCAGACCGGCACCGGCACTTCCAACCTTCCCACCTCGACCTCCGAGCCCGCGAGCCCTGGCGGCGGCCTCAGCGTCGGCGCAAGTGCGGGAATTGGCGTGGGCGTGGCCATCGGGTGCATCATCTTCATTTCCTGCATCGTCGCGGCGTACATAATAGGCAAGCGGAGGAGGAAAGCCGCGGCGCAGGGCCCAGACGGCCCGAAAAGTCCTCCATACAGGGACGGCATACCGGTGCAGGGTCAGTCAACGGAACTGACTGGTTCAGAGTATAAACCACGGGAGCTACCGGGCGGCGGCCATCAGCAGGTCCCGGAGATGGACGGCCACGGGCATAGGAGTGAGATGGACGCGAACAACCATCCGATCGAGCTTCAGGCGTCTGAAGGCCACGGCCTATGCAGATGAGCTCGACAGAAATCGTCAAATACCACGTCAAGGAGGGAATGACTACGCTCATCTCGAATTAATACCCTAATAACGCACCAGATGATTACCATTTATGCAAGGAGCGTATGAACTCTGCCAAAACTGCAATCTCAAGTCCACTTGCATCTTTCGCCGCCGCCATCTCTAAAGAATTACACATAGGTAGTAATGCGTCCTCAAACGCCGCCGGGCATAGAAATGGCTTTTTCTAGAGAACGGGAGTCTCGAATTCCGAAGCAAGCCTTTTGGAAAGAAAGGAGCGGCTGGGAGAAGGCTGTACGAAAAGACGGCCGGTCACCATCCAAACCCTGTGGGCATCATTCCCCATCACACCGAAGCACATCCGGAATGCACTCAACGCAGCTGATTACGGCCACGAGACGCAAAGGGGATGATGAACCCCCTTGAGCGAGCCGCCGAGTTCCCTGGATCGCAGGCTCTGAAGAAGATTCAGGCCCTCTTCTTCCCTTTCGCAACTATGCTCGTGCTCTTCAGCCCAACCCCCGTGAGGAAGGCCAGCCTCACAGCGAGGATGACAGCCATGAATGTCAAGTTGCCCCAGTCCCCAGACCTCCACAAGGTCGGGTCCAGGCGGCCCTGCTTCCCCATGAAATGCCATGTCGAGTAACAGATCTCAAAGTCATACAGGATGATGCCAAATTGGACGATCTTCCACACGCCCAGGTCACTCGTGTAGCGCAGCAGGACCGCGCTCATGACGGCAATGGTCGTGAAGCTACCCGCGAGGTGGAAGAAGAGCATGTCGTGGTCCGGGTTGCGCACCGACATGGACTTGGGGATGTAGGTGTCCAGGATGAAGTCCGGGGCCGCGAAGTGAGCCCATATCGAGGGGATGCTGATGGCGGGGTCGATCCACGTGAAGAAGACGCGGTAGAACAATGGTATGCGGGCTTGCCTGAGTGATGACATGCTGACGTTGGGGAAAGGTCGGCTCGATTTGCTGGCCTTGGTAGTTTGTAGGCGTCCCGGATGGCAAGGAGCGGTGGGAATGAAGGTACGTTGGTGCTTTGCATACGCCGCCCAAGCCCGTCAGCAATTAGCATGTTTTGCGGCCCGAGGGGTCCCGTACATGTTGGTTGCTTTGTCTACGTTGGTGCATTGAAGGAAAAGGGTTAGTGCTTTTCGTTGGATCCCTCAAATTCAGGGGTTCGAGGATGTGCGAGTGCATTCAAAGCATATATGCTGTTGGATGACCAGGTAATTAAAACATCTCAATCCCATATGTCCTTATTTTGTGGTAACGAAATACTACATGCTTTTGTGAGACTCGTAGCGCACTTCCGCCTTCGCCGAACAAGGTTTGGGTGTCGTGGGGCCCTTTGGAGGGTTTCATGGACTCTACCATGATGCTTCTGATTGTGATTTTCCCGGCGAATCATCCCCCACCAACCATTTGCCCGAGTACGCCTCACTACCGCGCTTTCCATGGTGTATTAAGTCCTTGCACCTCGAGTGGCTCAGTGTACGCCGAAAAATGTCCCTGGTCAAACAAACTCAGCTGGCTGAGCCTTGCTCCTCGACCGAGACCTCAAGACTTACACTCTTGGAGATCGAGGCGTACCGCTCTCGATTATCCTGCCACTCATCCCCAGACTTCTCGTACACCTCGTCGATGAGGTCGGAAAACTTGCTCTCTGTCTGTCTCCGCATGACATTTCCCTTCAATGTGCGGATGAGGCTGCCAGCCGGCAGCACCAGAATGTGCGAGTATGCGACCCTCCCGTGGACCGGAACAGAAGAGTTTGCGCCTTCAATGCGGGTCGCCCAAAGCTTGCGTTTCTCCTCCTCGGCATCGAATTCGCCCTCCTTCGCATGAAGCTCGACCAAGAGTACCGGTTGGCGGTGACCCCTCCCCAGAATCAGGACCTCCGTAACAGCATCCTCGCTCTTGATCGATTTCTCCATCGGTCCGGGGTGGTAGTTTACACCAGAGGTGAATGTGATGATATCGTCTGCTCTTCCAACGAATCTCCAGGCATACTGGGACTTGGCTGGGTCTGGATGCGGAGTCCAGATGTCACCTATCCTCAGCTCAGGATACGTCCTATTCGCCACCTCCGATGCGATCCCCTCGCTCGATGCAATCGCCTCGATGTCTACTCCAGAGTTTGCGTGCCAGCTCGCCACGTGGGCCATCTTAGGGTAGACTGTAAAAACCATTTCGTACAGTGGGATTTCGGTACCATCATCTACCGTGTACGTAGTCTCAACGTCACGAAAATGGATGCCTGAATAGATCGGGTCGAAAAAGACGTATTCATGGTCTTCATTGTCACCGACAAGTTGAGGCGGTGCAAGCGTTTCCGTTGCGCCCCAGGCTGATTGGAAGGTAGTCCACTGGGCCCAGATACGCGCGGTAGTGTCCGAGATGTTGGCTCCACAATACATAGCTGAGTCGAAGGGCTCGATATACGACTGAGCGTTGGGCTGCCTGGCGATTTGATCCATCATCCATGGCGTGAAAAGAGCCCGTGTCACATTCGCGTAGTCAAGAATATCGCATATCTCCTCGGGGCGGACAGCACGGTGTGCGAAGCCTGACATTCGACGGGTCATCAGCCGTGAAACAATTCGCGGACAAACTCATGCAATGGACGCAACTTACCTGGCACAAAAACGCCTCCTCCAAATACTGTCATTATCATGGCGAAACCAGCAGATAGGGCGTGAAAGGGCAAAGTGACCATTATGAATCGAACGCCTTTCCCTGGTTTTTGAAGTGCCTGGAGACGTTTCCTGCCGCAGACATCCGGGAGCAGCTCTTGAGCATCTTGGGTCGAAATCATAGCATGGGTGTACCTGTAAGTGGTGTTGGCAATCAATTTAACGCGTACGTCGATAGAGCATGCACCATGACTAACACGATAGGCTTGGGGTCTCCTGTTGAGCCACTGGTATGAAGAATCATGTCTTGATAAACCAGGTCAGTGTTGTTCCATGCAAATAATGGATGCCCGAATCTCCCGGTCACGTACAAGGATCGTGGGCTGCCTCCTCGAAGGTTTTGGTATACGGATAATGAGGAACCTTGTCTTCTAAATCTATGAGGTTGTCGAGTTCGGGGACGATAAATGCGTCCATGGGCCGATCTTTTAGTATGTCTGAGACGTTGACTCCAATTGCCGAGAACATATACTTGCAATCGGTCTTTTCCATGAGCGACAGGTGGACGGCGAGGCTGTTGAGTTGAGATGAGTAAAGCACTTTGTGGCCAGTCTTGCATACTGCCATTTGCATCTGTATATCCATTCGTCAGCGTCGAATTATTTGGCACCCTCACAGAGTGTGTCCGGAAGATCAACAAGGCGGATGTCACCGACCATGTGATATCGCACATCAGGGGTTCCCAGATATGCGATAGTCTCAAAAGAAGAATCCGAACGCCCAATGGACTTCTCCACCATCCATGCCAACTTATTGATCGCATTAGCGAGAGCGGCGTAGGATATGTCTGCGTAGCCCTGCGAGAGATCATAGTCATCCCGCGGGACGGACCCCCACGGCCGGTCGGGATCTTCGTGAGCGAGCTGGTCGATAATGACGGGAAGCAATCGCTTGCCGCATTCGCCCGGCGAGACAGGCATGACCATCTTGGTAGGTCCAGGTACTGGATGGTTCAAATGCGCTGCCGAGTCTAGGAACGCGTCGAGAAAGAAGGAGGTCAGACTCTACATGCCCCCGCTTCGCAGATCCTCTTCAACGCGTGAGACACTTTTATAGACACGAGCACCACTCGGCCCGGAAGAATTGATTCGGTATGAGCTGCTGCGCCACCAACCTACATGCTGTGGTGCAAGTTGAGATGTGACCATATTCAGTACGTGGGGCGCGACTTGCACCCTTGCTCTCCCCGAAGGCCTTCTTTTCCAGTTGAAGACTAGGGCATGCAGGAGTCACCTCGGTCAGCCCATTAAAACGTATATCCCAAAAGTACCTATCGGCTCTGTGCCGAGGCAGGATCCGACCGGTCCGCAGTCCCCTTGTAAAACTGTCCTTTCCTGTGTTTCGATCACTGCAGTCGTCCTTTGGCAGTCCAAATCATGCAGATCTGGGTGGCCGACGACAAGCATATGAGTGGGCACAAGCATGCATGTTCCCACAATGCAGTCATAGATATATTTCTTAGCGAGGCGCCCCTGCAGCGCAAGATGGTTCGGAGAACGTCCTCGGAAGTAATGTAATACACGCACAGTTATTCTAGGACTAGCCAACTTCAGTGAAGCTCACCTACTAGTAGGTACCTGGATCCCCAAATCACGCAGTACTTTTGGACAGATTGCCTGCACAGGGTTGCTGATCGAGACATGAGCGGATTGATGCGCAAAAATGGATACTGTCAAGCGAGCAGTAATAAAAGTACATTGAAGTGACGGACCCTTCTGGGCCAATATTAGACATGAGTTGCGCAGTCGTGTAGGCACTGGGTGGGCAGCGTTTTTATCAATCCATGAGGTGAAAATGCAAGCATCCGAAAGTGTATAGCATCTATTGATCTAGTTGTCTGGAAAATCCAGTTAGTACATGAAAGTTGAACAAGCCATTTGAGATAAGAGGACTGACGAAACCTTCAATGCAAAAGCAGAAATCCCGCTAGGCTCATATCCAGTGCATTAGATGAAAGAAAAACCATTGACAATGATTCTTGGCTCGGCACTCGCAGCGAGGTCGACAGCAGGAAAGTCATCATCTGTCTACATTATCCTTTCACCCCAGGCTAACCATGATCTTGCCGCAGACGAAGCGAGACCCATCTGACGGAGAACTAAGTAATCCGCGTCGATGTTCATGGCTGCTGAGGCCTTGGTCCAACAGCCAATCCACACAATCGACCTCTGCCCCGAATTCGGATTAAGAAGATGAAGCAGCATTGGCTATGTTTTAAAGGTCCCGAACTCTTTCCGGCTGAGGTGAAGGTGACTGCGACCAAGCCCTCCTTGACAGGCCCATCTCGGCCCAGATCCTGTGAACCTCATCGTCGACAGTCACCTCACTTGCTCTTGGATTCGCCTCCGTGGTACTCCCTGGCTCATGTGCTGCCCTCGGCTGACTGACCGGCCTTTCGGCCTCGGACGACTTGAAGGCTTTGCCTTCTTCGGAGGTGGCGGCTACGATCCTCCCACTCGGTAACTGTACAAGTTCGACGCTGGCGCGAGCTTCTTGTGTGTTATCGATTCCAGTTCCTGGCGACTTGCCTTTGTCTGAAGGACTGTTCGGGCCGATGGCAGGTCTTGATCGGGCTGATGCTGGGCTACTTGATCTCCCCTGAAGCATAACCCGGATCAACGGCATTGTTTGTGCCGCTATATAGATGGTGATCTCGGCCTGCATTAATGCATAGCACGCCACTGAGCCATCTGGAGGAGGTCAGCTATACACACATTAGGATGAAGGCTGTTGAATGGCACTTACAAGTCCAATCCTTGCCCTGTCGCTCCAACTCCATTCCGAGGCTACTGACGACCGTCCTGCATGATAGCGATCAGGCTGTCATCTCGGAACCAGCGAATGGAATAAAAGAAGAGAACATAGAATAATACTCACCTCACGATACATACCACAGCAGAAAGACCCACGAGACTCATTGACGTAGCAACGGCCCATTTCTCGTTCTGTGGAATGTATATTTTGTTGACAATTCTCCAGGGCACATATGCCAGGACAACATCCGTGCAAATGGTGGCGATGGCGTTTCCCACGTGGATCCATATAAGAGTGTCCGCCGACACGCAGATGGTCGGTATGACATGGTCGATTTGTCTTCCGCACGGGGTGAGCCAGCTCGTGACTGTGATCGTGATTCCGAAAGCGCAAGCGACCGCAATGATAGACCAAAGCAGCGCGGTGGTTCTGCCACTCGAGACACGGAGGAGTGTCGCAGTGAAAGCCGTCTTGCCCAGCGCTATTGCCGGGTAGAAGAAGGTCAAGGATACGAAAGCGAGTGTCCAGCCGTGAGATGTGCCGTCGCGGACGTTATACCCGTATGCCGGCGAAGCAGCCGCCACTCCGTTTCCGCACAACTGGAATACCCATGCTGCAATAACTGCCGGTTTTCCAGCGTAAGTATTGCATTGTACAGTGCGTATTTCTGATAGGAGTTTCATCCGGATGATGTGTACATACGAAGGTAATCGTCCCACCACAGGCCCTTTGCTTGAGTTTTCCGAGCCCATAGCCGAATGGACAGGAACACAGTGGATATGGCCGCACAAGCTGAATGCACCGCCTTCGCCATCTCGGCATAGTCAGACCGGAGCATGAAGGAGTCGCTCATATTGGCAATGTGATCCGGACCTGGGACTGGTGAGACCACAGCGATGTGAGCTCAAGCAGGAAGAGAAAAGAATGTCGAGATGGTGCGGACGCTGGGCTCTGCGCGGATTTAACGAGGAAATATTAGCTGCACAGACTCACTGAGGCAGAGACGCATGAAGAACTTGGGTGAGGCCCACTATATTGGGCGCACAAGGCCAGATGTAGTGAGTGTCCGAACCAACGTGCATATGTCCAAGATCTGACATGTAATAAATCCATTCGGTATGGAGCATTCGCAGTGACAGTTGGACCAACATGCGAGATCGACATCTATCCATCAGAACCTGCGGGTCTTCCTCAGACCTGTCACAAAACGGTTGCGCTCAAGTCGGGCACGAAAGCTGCTGCATTGAGATCATCACAGTATGTGTGAGGAATCATATTTCGAGATTCTCAAAGACCCATCAGAAGTCTTTCGCGATTGCCAGTTCTTAGACATACTCAAGTATGTATCTGTCAAAGCCACTCAATGAGGGCCGTAACATCAGTTGCGACGTGGTGTAGCAACGCAGTATGTGCTTCTAGTATTCTCATTTCATCAATATGATTCCTACATAGGATTTCCGGAGGACAATCGCTAGGCCTGATTTTCGAATATGTGTGGCTAGACATATTTCTCCCTTTGACTACAAGGAACAGGCTGAGAATATTCTGGACTACACAGGATTGGAAACACGACGCTTCTATTCGACATTCCGCCAGTCGTTCATTTGAAAAGGAAATGATACAGATGTGACTTGAGAATAAAAGTCCAGCCTCGTGTCATGTTTACCCTAGTGGGGATGCGGCAGTCTGATTCTAGCGGAGATAGATAATGGACTAATAATTACCTGAGCATTCTCGACACTCGTTTTTCAATGCACACAGAAGTGCGCGGGCGCAACGTCCTGGATACCGAGTGCCCTGCTCATGTTTCGGAACGGAAAGATACAATCGTCAGTTTACATCGAATCACGCTAACGAATGCAACATCAAATCGGAGTGAGCTTCAACCATGGCCTTTGCCTGGCTGTGAGATGCGTGTGGAAGTGTTTGACTTGCTACAATATTACAAACTCTTCTCGAATGGCCGGCGTCGCAGATTCTTACGCACCACCCTTGACCCGGTTCTCACAAGGCTTGTACTCCCCAAACACCTTGGCAAACTCTGCCGTCGCCGCAATCCCCTTGAGGTACTCGATCGTTGCCGGCGCAGTCTTCCTCATCTCGGCATCCAGCAGGAAGCCGCTTGCAAAGAACAGCGCGGCCGCGACCATCAGGTCAGCCAGCGTCAGCTGCTCCCCGACCAGGTACTTCTTGCCGCCCTTGACCGCGGCCTCGACCTTCTGCAGCGCGCGCTCGAACGCGGCGGCGGAAAAGTTGTACCGCGTCTCGTCGAAGGGCAGGAACTTGAGCATCATGATCAGAGGTGGTGTGGCGTTGTTGACGAGCTCCGAGTCGGTGTAGAGCGTCCACTCGGCGATCTTGGCCTTGGTCTTAACGTCGGAGCCGAGGAGCTGCTCGGCCCGGGGCCCGCTGCCGGCAAGGTATGTGGCGATCGCCGCGCCCTCGGACAAGGTGAAGCCATCTGCGCCCTCGAACGCGGGCACCTTGCCGAGGGGAAACTTGGCTAGGAACTCGGGTGTCTTGTTTGCCTGGCCAAACTGGAACTCGGGAACCTCGATCTCAAGGCCATTCAGGGCGGCGATGACTTGAGCCTGGAAGATGTCAGAGATGAGTCTTGCGGGTATTGTAACAAGAGTGCAGCATGTGCTTTGCAGGAACTTACACGCTGCACCCGAAAGTTGCCCGGATAGGAGTATATTTTGCCGAAGGAACCCATCTTGATCGCGTTCTGGGTTGTGGTATTGAGGATGGTTTAGTCTATGTATGTCGAAACTCAAAGTGGCGATATTGCGATTTTGGACTCGTCAGATTGGTCGCTGAGTCTTTATTTATGTTGTCATCTCGGAACAGCTGTTCTCTCCGCACCCGCTGTATTGGTCATTTGTAAGATACCCCTTAGCGCCAAGACTTGTTATGTATGCGACGTTGAGAAGTTGTGGAAATGGTTCCAGAGCCCTGTTCGTATGCCGTGCTGTGGTCCAATGGTTCCGTGGTTGTGAAGACACAAGTGGGCCATGTGAGGTCGGTAGAAGCTTCCTGAAGAGGTTCTGCTTATCAAAGCCCTGCTGTGCGACTCGGTGATAGTGTATCATTCGTCCACAGGCAGAAGGACCCACTAAAGAGCGCGCGCTGTGTTCCATACCACAACCAACACTTGTGGAATGTATGTGTCCCGGTTGGAAGTTAGCTCCTCTGGGCTCGGAAAGCAATCCTTGAAACCCCGGGGCCGAGACGGCAAATTGACGATCAAAAAGCCTCAACACTCCCAAACCGGCCGTGCGTGTGATTTTGCCCAGTTGTATTGACAATGCTACCATCATTCGCGACTCTCGCTCAATGCCTCCTGCCGAACATGACACGTTACACCGCATCTTCGAATTCACCACGCTTCTAGGTGAATTGCCGCTTTGAGCAGCCCTTCCCCGGGGACCGGGTATAAAATACGAGGTTGTCTTGAAGGCATGGCTGTCTGGCGGGTCATGAACACGGTCTGCAGTGGTCTTTGGTACGTGTAGCACATCACAGCTGTCGGCCAAGGGATACTCACCAAGTTGTTTGTGCCTACTGGGTGCTGTTTTTGTGCAACAAACCGTTACCTGGATCGCCTGAATCAGGGATGGCCGGAACACCGGAGTCTGCAAGATCAATTACAGTGAGTTGTGACTCGTATATACAATCAGCATGTGCAAAGGGTCGTTGAGCATATACTGTGGATCAAATTGTCTGTCAATGTAAGCCACTCTTGAAGCACTATGTTGTTTAGTTATTATCGGATTAAGACAATGCTTTTCGACGAACAAATATATTCATCCAAGAATTCGAGGGATAGTTCTTTCTTTCAAAGTACCAGGATGCTGGAGGCTCCAGGGGAAACAATCAGGGGGGCACAGTGGTGAAATTAGATGCAAATATACACCGGTGAAGGAACGTGTCAGATGAAAATTTAAGCAGCAGCGTTATATCGTTTACATGCTGATATTCCTCTCGTATTTACTTGCTCTCAATCAATAGAGTTTCATCTCGCAGCTTGCAAAATACAGTTCGTCTGATAAATCGGCAACTTGAATGGGATTCATTTCTTCCTGTACACAAAAACCTTGATGCCGACTCGAATGGTGGAATTCTAGCTACTCATCAATGGCGAAGGAGACGTAGGGAAGAATTCAGCTCGCTACGATCGCCTGTTGTCCACCCAGAGAGCCACCTTCCCGACTGCCGCACCCACACAAGAAGAGTGAACGACCTCGTTGGGACGATAAGAAGCGCTGTTCAAGGGATGAGGACATTGAAGAGATGTGTAAAGGCGTCTGGATAACCAATTCCCACATTGAGCAACCAATGCGTGAATCAAAAGAACGGGTAAGAATGGAAAGATTAGACAGATCATCAGCATGGAGGATTTATGCGTGTCAACGTTTAAATCCGGTCCCTCTGCTCCACCGACCTCCGCCCTGCTTACACGCAATCCTGTACAGTTGCTTTCACCCATACCGGACGGTCAAAGTGAAAAAATCCATAAAGAATTTGTTGAGCCTTATTTCCATCGTGACCTTTTGCCAGAATCTGGACGAAATGTAGACAAGTTTCTGGTCCATATTTCCCGGATCTGCCTACCTAGGCACGTGGCACTCTATGTGGTGCAGGTGGAACAGAATCGACACTTGCAGCCCAACCAACAACTTTTGACACATTGGAATTACTGAAGTAATATGCGTGGGTCCCAAATGTGAGCGTACACGCCATTTCTGAATCGCTGACTTGGACAGTTTTCACTCAATTAGTCCTCGCGTGAGAAATCTTGCTGGTCGTGGTGATGACATCTCTACTCAAAGAGAGGAAGTCAAATAGCGCCACAATATCTTTGCGATCGGTCAATCCCATGTTTCTCCCTGGAAAAGCTTCACTAGCTTCCTGAATGTATTTCTTCAGTACTTGAAACGCAAGCTATACAACACATCGAAGGTTCTGTCCCATTTCTATAGTGGCGTCTAAAGCGTGATATGAATCAGCGTAGACTCCATGAGCAATGGCTGTGGGGATAAATGTCTAGTATCGGTGTCACGGGTCAGTTGTTATACAGAATCAGCAGATCCTATCATTGAGGCGGGCCTCAGCGATCTGAGAAGTGGACATGCGGCGCGCTCACGACCAAGAAGGAGCTGTCGAGAGCCGCCTGCGCATACCTAGGTCGGCCAGCATCCGCGTGGCAGACGCTAGTGATTTCTTTCTTGGACTATTTGGCTATTTCGAGATCTCAGATTACTCCGTGGCAAAAAAGCCGCCGATCTGATAAAGGCGGGCTGGGCCAGACCTTTGAGTGGAGGTGGGTACTTAGCTGTGAGCACCGGGAATTTCCAAATACCCACAGTTATCGGAGATCACAATCTCCATTTAAATGGTTCAAAGCGATTTTAAGCAATTATAGACTCATCCCTGCCCGGGTTTTAAACGCCCGGACCTGATTATCCAGGTGGGAGCCAATATGTGAATTTGCAAGCCCGCAGTGCTACAGTGATGTGCTGTGGAAACGCTTGAACAACTCCCACAATGTATTCGCATATGGCATATCTCTGGTCTCATATACTCAGTTAATATTCAATATTTGCAACCCCAAATGAATACACGGAAGTGTACGTTGCAGAAGAGATAAGTTAATGATACATGCTTAACCATTAACTATGTTCACGGCAAGGCAAACACGGAATGCCACACAGGCATTTCATTGCAACCCAAGAACAAATATACCTAAGTTTATATCAAACCACAGCCTATGCCAACCTTAATAACGCCTGAACCTAGACAAACGCGCAAGCCCCCAGCAGATAGGATGCCGGTATCCGGCATTGATCGATCTCTTTTCATGAGTGAAGCAGTCAGTAGGGCTTTGGACTGCACCAGCTGGGTTTGCCATAACTATCGCGCCCCTCGAACCAGAGCAGTGCGGCCCCGTGTGTGTGACTGCCGGGATATCCCGTACGTCCATGCGCAGAATGTTTCAATAACCTTAAAAAGTGCGTGGACCTCGGGGTGATATTCCTTTGATAACGTAACAGTTCCAAAGATACCGCTATGTTTCAACAACGGCACCCATTCTAGATTGCCAGTCCCCGGGCATGGCACCCCGGCATGTTCCTAAAAAAAACTCCCGGACCGGGGTCCAGCAGCCGCATAAACGTCCACAGGAGCACTGAAAGATAATTCAGGCAGGGAAATCAGCCTTCATGGGCCCACAGTGGTGATCCTGATTGGTCCCGCGGGGGTTCTGTCGGTGCGTTACTTATTCAGCCTCTTTCTCCTGCGTCGTAAGCCTAGTCCACTTGGCGCGGTCCGTTGTGATAACCTTCAAGGAAAAGGCCAAGCCTATCCAGTGGTCCTCATGCCGGGCCCGAAGGCCATGCCACAGCAGAAGAGAGGCCCCACTGGTTGACGAGGCTTTTTATTCCCTTCACATGGTGACATCCAACTCCACCGGCCTGCATCCCAGGACCGTAATTCAGTACTGGGATGCTGTACCATGGCTCATTGTGGAGGCTCCATCACGTCAAGGTTGGGACGAAGTTATCAGATGAATATAAGTATGGGTCTGCCCAGCTTGTAAGTTCTCGAGATGTGTCTTGGCATCACTCGCTGTTAGGACATTCCTTCGCGCACACATTCTTTTCAACTTGGGGGCTTCAGTCACCATGAAGGTCTCCAACGGGCTCAGTGCTCTTTCACTCGTTTCTGGTGGACTGGCAGCATCCACCAACTCATCCTCATCTGACGTCGCAGCCTTGCTGGCGAACGGAGATCGTGAGTGCATATCATCACATCCGTGAGAACAACTCCAATACTGACTATACCTCTTCTCACTGTACCAGTCGACCTCGGAATCACGGCAGAAGCCTACGAGAAGGCCGTTGCCTTCGTCTCGACCCTCACCAATGCTCAAAATGTCTCCATCATCACCGGCACCGACATCTCCGACTCAAACGTGACATGGACGGCCTACACCTCAGCCGACGGGGGCTCCGGCGTGAAACAAGCAGTTCTATGTCTCGGGATTCTCTGCCCCAGCCGCACTGACCATGACGTGGGACCGCCAGCTTATAGCAGAGCAGTTCAAGGCCATCGGAGAGGAGTTCTATGGGGTAAGCACTACTCAGAGGGAACAACAATTCCCACATGCCGTGACCACAGCCGAGGAGATGAAACTAACCATGAAAACCGTCTCGCAGATGGGCTACAGCCTCGTCGACGGCCCCGTAGCAAGCCCGGCAGGACGCGTCCCCGAAGGTGGCCGCAACGCAGAGGGCTTCTCCTTCGACGCGTACCTGAGCGGGATAGCCATGGGCCAGGCCGTGACGGGCATGAACTCGGCGGGTGTGATCACGGCGGGGCGTCACTTCCTCTTCAACGAGCAGGAGACGAACCGCATGACAGGCGAGCGGTACTCGTCCAACGTCGACGAGAAGACCGCGCAGGAGGTCTACCTCTGGCCCTTCGCCGACGGGGTCAAGGCGGGCATGACGGCCGTCATGTGCGCCATGAACCGCGCCAACGGAAGCATGACCCAGGCCCGCCTCGACGACATGGCCATCCGCATCGTCCTGCCATTCTATTTCGCGGGGCACTGATGATACCTACCAGGGCCATCTGGCGACGGCGGGTGGATCTGGCCAGGCATCATTCCCATACCTGATCACGCCGCAGATGGCGCTCACGCTCCGCCAGTCCCAGAACGGGGGCATGATCTGGTGGATTCTGAACAACACTTACACATCCACTTCCACGGGAGGCTTTGACGGCGGTGGGATGGGTGATGGCGGTGGGTTCGGGAGCGGCAACGACACTGGCTCATTCCCTGGTGGTGGTGGTGATGGTGGAAACAGCAGCACGACAATGCCAGGCGGTGGAGGCATCGCGGGCATCGGCGGCGGAACGGGCATGGATCAGTCCATCCCAGACTACGCCGCGAACTCGGCCGTGTGCCTGGTCTTCATCAACGCCGACTCGGGCGAGGGAGCCGACCGCACAGAGCTATACGACACGAAGCAGGACACCCTCGTCACCACGGTTGCGGAAAACTGCAACAACACGGTAGTTGTGATCAACACCGTTGGGCCGCGGCTTATTGATGCCTGGGTCGAGCATGAGAATATCACCGCAATTGTCTACGGCGGACTCCTCGGCCAGGAGAGCGTCAATGCAATTGCTGACGTCCTCTACGGCGACGTGAACCCCTCCGGGAAGCTGACTTACTCCATTGCAAAGAACGAATCGGACTATGCGAACGGGATCTGCACCTCGACGGACTACGCGTGCGACTTCACCGAGGGCGTGTACGTCGATTACCGCTGGTTCGATGCCAAGAACATCACGCCACGGTACGAGTTCGGATACGGACTGAGTTACACCACCTTCGACCACGGAAAAGTCGATGTCAAGACCACCAACGCGTCAGCCTTGACCTCCAAGTACGCCACTGGCGTATTGGGGCTGGGTGGGCAGACGGATCTGTGGGACGATGTCATCCAGGTCACCACGAGTGTGAGCAACACGGGTGCCGTCGAGGGTGCTGAGGTCGCTCAGTTGTACGTGACTTTCCCGGAAGAGGCCGGACAGCCTGTCCGGGTCCTCTGCGGCTTCGAGAAGGTAAACGTCAAGCCAGGCCAGAGCGCTCCCGTCACATTCAGCTTGAGGAGACGGGACGTAAGCTACTACGACACTGCCGCTGGGAAATGGGCTGTTGCCAGCGGAGACTACACATTCGCCGTCGGTTCCAGTTCAAGAGACATCAAGGCTAGCACAAATCTGACCCTCTAAGGTTCACCCACAATTAAGCAACTGGCTGTTGCTTGTGGCAGAACCTAGTCTCCTTGTACATAACACTTGTGAAGCCCGCTGGGTGTTTCGCTTTCTCATAGAACTTCTACTTGCATTTTCCCCGTGGGAAAAGTTCAAACGTCAAATACATAGATTTCACTTGAAGCCAGAGCCATTGCGACACAAGCTGTGAGCACAGCACAGTTGGTCTACTTGGAGACAACAGAAAGCAAGAACTAAAGGCAACAGACTTGTTGCGAAATGAGATGAGACCTACCTGGGATAATTATATTGGTTGAGACAGACAGCCCTGAATTTTGGCCACTGCCACCTAGAAACACGGTTAGCAATCACCGGGGGAGGGGAGTACTTACCTGACCACCGTTCCCGGTCGTCACCGTCGATTTGTCGTCTGAAGTAGGCTTCTGTTCGTTGTTAGCCAAACGAGTGAAATTTGCACGAAATGCGAAATGAATGTGGCGCCAACAATGTGACACAAAGCAGATACAGGAGACCAAGCGAAGAAACCAGAAGAAGCAGAGCCCAAGAAGTGAAGGGGCTGAACCAAGTACAGGAGACCAATAGCCAAAAACCAGAAGAAGCAGAGAAGAAGCTGAAGCGGGAAGGGGGAAAGGGGAAGGGAAACGAGCGAGGGACAGAAGAGAGAAAGAAAAATAAGCCCAATGCCGAAAGAGTGTGACGCCTAGAGAGAAGAAGAGATTCCAAACCAAAACCAATGTTGCCAAGTCTATAGAAATGTTAGCAGCTTAAAACAGATAACGAGAGACAGCCAGGCCGAGAGCAAAAGCCCCGGCGGCGATACCTGCCACGGCCTTCCAAGAGACCGAGGACGAGGTCGATGAACGAGTGACTGGGGTAGGCTCTAAATGAAGGTTAGTGGGGATGTCAGTAGGGAATGCTCCCGGCATAGCCGGAAGAACAACGGGGAAAGAAGGTAGAGACTCTGGAAGAGTCGGGGCAAAATGAAAGACTGGGGTAGGGGGCTCAAAGCGAATGACAGCCGGGCGGGTGGGGCGAGGAGGTGGCGAAGCATCTTGAGGAAGCTTGCGCTTGAGTGAACGAGCGGGAGGTGAAGGAGGATCTAAAAGAGTGTCAACCGTAGCAGCAACGGGAGAAGGATAGGGAGCGGTGGGAGAAACTAAATGAGCGTTACTTGAGGCAACAACTGGAGATGGAGATGGAGATGGGGTGGGAGAGGGTGAAGGGGAACGAGTGACAGGAGAAGGAGGGCCAGCCTCGACGAGTGCCTTGAGCGTCGCAAGAGCGTCATTCAAGGTGGGAGGAGAACGAGAGACGGGGGATGGCGAAAGAGCGACGGGGGATGGCGAAAGAGCGACAGGAGACGGAGGACCGGCCTCAACAAGAGCCTTGAGCTTCGCAAGAGCGTCAGTCAAGGTGGGGGGGTTGGGGGACTTAACGACAGGAGAAGAAGTTTGTTCTGAACGAATGGAAGCCGCCGATGACCGGCGAGGAGAGGGCGAAGCCGCCGATGACCGGCGAGGAGAGGGCGAAGCCGCCGACGACGAGCGAGAAAGAAAAGCGAGTGAGTCCGAGGAGTCTGACGAAGAGCGATCAAGAAAAGCGAGTGAATCCGAGGAGTGCGATGGCGATGGCGATGGCGACATGGGCGAAGAGGGCAAACGAGTGGAAGCCTGTGCGGCGAGAGATGGGGAAGAAAGCAGAGGGCTGAAGAGGGAGGGAGAAAGAGAGGGACTTGGGTGAGGCTGGACGGGACAAGGAGCGTCGAGAGTTGGGATGTCGGCAATCCACTTGTGGAGGGATGCGGTCCTTGCGACGTTGTCGGGGGTCTGCAAAAGATTGTGGGGGTCGTCCCTGTGGAGGGCGTTGAGGTAGGCTTCCTTGTCGGCTGAAGAAAACCTCCAGACGCGCTTGCCAACGAGCGCTCCGAGAAGGGTGTGATCGCGTTGGAGAACTGGGAGTCTGTAAGCGAGGGGAGATCCCGAACTCACCGTTGCGATGCTGGTAGAACGAGAGGACCAGGAATCAGTGACCGATGAAGCCAAAGGGCTCACAACGGCTGATTCACATGAAAAAGGAGAGTGAGAGGCGAAAACCCAACCGCCAACAGCCGCCTGCTTCGTAGTGTGCCGTTCAACAAACTCGTCGAAGTCGATGAGCTCCGAACGGTCAGAGCAAAGATCGTCTGGAAGTTGGTTAGCGAGGGGAGTGGATCGCGAAGATCCTGAAAACACTAAAGGAGAGTAGGGAGCCAAATCGGCGTGAGGAGAACTGGGGACGGAAGAAGCAGAAGTGCAAGGTGAACGAGGGGAAGCCGCCATGCGGCGATACAACGCAGCAAACTGAAGACGAGAAGTCAACGGTGAAAGAATGACTGGAGGTCGGACCCAATCTTGGGTGACGAAAGCAGCAAAACGAGGGTGAGACGGTCCCTGACGACGAAGGGGCGCGTCGGGCGCGATTGGTGAAGGAGTGACTGGGAGATGATTAGCAGATGCAGAAGACAGAAAAGAGCGTGTGGGAGTAGAAATAGCGTTGTTGGCCATCTGTGGGCGCATATGTGGCGAAGTCGTAGATTCGGAGGAAGATGGACGAGCAAAGAAAAAACGAGTGTGGTTATTTTTTGGTGATTGTTTTCTGTTTTGAATTGTTTTTGGTGTTTTCATAAGGGATGCTGGTATATGGGGGGATAAGGATGGGCGGAAAGAAGAAAAGGTCTGGTGACGAGACATAGAGGAAGCCAGGACATGAACCTGGGACTCAAGAGAGCCGACGCATGAGTGTTTGACGGGTGTTGATGGCGACATTGTGAGAAGCTGATGAATGGCGGTTTGAAGAGAAGCGGAGGAGGGTGGGTGGAAAGAAGAGAGAAGGGAAGGAAAGTTCAGGATCTCAGGTCGGGGGGCGAGGTCTTAAGTAGTCGGACAGTCAAAGGGAGCCAGGCCCTCCCTCACTCGACGCGTGAAAGGTGCTGTTGACGCGTGGAGGGGCGTGTTGTTGTGCAGTGACGACGACGTCGAGTGTGCGTGCGGGTCGTCGAGGCTGAATCGGGTATGGAGGTGAGGCCATCCACGAGCCAGCGGCCAACTAGGCCGGTGCAGCCTCGAAGCTCGGACGGGGCTGTGGGTCCAGGCTTGATTGTTTGCCAGACCAGAGGGGACTTGTCAGCCCAGGCGGGAGCACGAGATCGAACTAGTCGCAGAGATACGCGTCTATGGCCTGATGTGATGTTCGTGTCTGACATGTGTCAATGTTCGAAGGGTCGAAGGGTGCAGACGGAGCTCGAGGAGGGATTCGGGCGGTTCAGGGGACTCGGGTGGTTCGGGGGAGCGTGGGTGGTGGTGGTCGACGATGGAGCTGTGGGCAGGGCACGGCGGCAGAGGGGTTGCGGTCGAAGGCGAGGACGAGGACGTGCTGTGGCAGGTGAGAGACGCAGAAGTAATTTCTTGTCCATTGGTATCGAGCGTCGTTAAGATACATGGCAGTCATCACATGGTGGGCATGCTGGCCGTTGAGTGATGGGCTGTTTGACCTGCGAGATGGGGAGGCACTCGTTGAGTCTGACGGCCATCGAACACAGAGAGCTCAATCCATAAGTCAATAGACCGGAGAATGGTATCTTGAGGACACCACCGCGAACTGGCGCCGTCAGCCAGCCGGAAGCACGGGAGAGAATAGTGCGTGGACATCTGGGTGTCGGGAGACTCTGGCAGCGATGAAGTGAATACGTGATTTCTCGTCTTGTGGGGAAACAAGAGACAGATTCCTGAGTTCTTTCAGGCAGGCCGTAGAACACTCTCGAGACAGTTCCAAAGGGCACCAGGCCTTGATCTCACAGTTCGGAGACAGGGAATGTGGACGTGAACGTTCCTGCCCCATGTTGTTGCAGCTTGCGCGTGCTCGCGACGGTGACTGCTCCTTCTCTTCCAGCTCAAAGCATGCCCAGTAGCGAGGAAGGTGCTCGCATCACCAATTCCAACCATCAGCTGGTTGACAGGCCACCTCCAAGCTTCCAAGGTTGTTTCTCCGAACTATGCCAGTATTCATTGAGGAAGCGCTGACTCTGAAGTGTTGGAACGCTCTGAGACACAAGCCTCGAAGTGGTTTTTGTCACTGGGAGCATCAACTCATCCCCATCAGGACGATGCATCATCATCAAATTCATTTCGTTGATACAGCCTCGCGTCGTGGTCTCCGAGATGGCTTGCGATGTCCTCGTCAATTTCCGATAACACTCTTGAGAATTCGTCCACCAAACACGTCCTCGGTTTCCAAACCAGAGTCCCCGGTTCCACCTGACTACGAATTGTCTACACGTACCTCAAGCTTATTCGACCCGTGTACAATCACTTCCCATATCCCATCTGCCTGTCACGAGATCGACTTCGCAGTCGGAGACACAATCGGATCTACCTCTAAATGAGCGAGCTACGAAGAGCGACTACTCCTGTCCTATGCTACGAGAAAACCACTTCGATGAAGATTCTACAACTCAATAGGGGAAATAATGTACAGACCTTTGGCTCAATCCCACGGCTCGTCGCTTCCTACAACCTCTCAAATTATTTGGCTATGTAACGCACACTTCCCGCGCCAGGATAGGGACATAGGTTCCATTAAAGCTCGTCCGCGCACAGCAATCTTGGGAAGGCTGATGTGTGAATTGTGCGGTCCATTGTCTGCTCTGTGTCCATTTCGGTTGATTACCTAGGTATTGCCTTTGACACTTGTGCTAGCAAGAAGCAGGACAGCCCTTGGAGCCACTGCCCACGAGGTTGGAACAAGTGCAGACGTGGTTCAGTATCTCAATGGACAGCAGATTTGGCCCCCGTCGTCATGAAAATAGAATGATTGAATCAAGGCCTGCTGACGATCTTGTCTTGACTTCACAGGGACACTCAACGCGCCTCCCTCGTGAACAAGGCCTGACATACTTCCTCCGTCGCCTACGTTTCCATACCGAACCCGAGACAGGACACAAAACCAGAGACGTTTTCGCAGAATTCAATACCGGATATAAAATGCTATAGATTGTGGAGGGGAGGCAAGAGGTGGAAAATACAAACACGTGAGGTGGAAAATGTGATTTGTCGGCTGCGAGCCGCTTCCCAAGTCCTATCTATACGTTGGCTGCCGGAATCCCGTTTCCGACCGACCTTGTTAAGTCCACCGTACCACACAGCCTTGAGTATGGCATGGCTACTTGGATCCTCTCGGTCTCGGGCTGTGAAACAAGACTTTCGGGTTCTCGGCTCCAGAGACCGAAGTTTTGTTGAGTCAGGCCTCACCGGAACCAACACCAGCGAGTGCGACTGCCTCAAAACATTCTACAAATGTGACTCCGAGCATTCCGCGATACTTTGGAGTGGTGGAGAGGCTTCACCAATCGCAATACTATAATTCCATCACTAAAACTCGTGGATATGGCTTGGCATGGCCAAGGGGCGAGAGCGCGCGGTGGACCACTTCCAGCCCGAGCACATTTTGCCAGCACCACAATGCGGATTCCGATCTGGACCGCTTTACAAGCTCGGGGCCAAGTCCATAAGTAACCCATCGAAACAAGTGGTGTGCTTTCCCGTTGAATTGGGCTCGATAAACAGAAGCGGGACGCAATCAGAATATCGGATGAATGGTGTTTCTTCGGGAGAAGTGCAACATCCCGAAGTTTGTTTCCCATCTGAGCCACAACACCATGAGATGGTCGAGCCTATCGCCAAGATCGACAACGGACATCAAATTTGACTTCGCGATGTGTTGCAGCGCCCATCCAGCGGCCCAAGCGAGGTTTGCGATGGTCTGCTGCCCGGAACTATGTGGGCTCTCGCAGGACTATTAAAACTCTCTTGCCCTCGACCTTCCATCCTGATAAGTTCAGCTCCGTTCCACAGCAGTATTATCAACTCTCCTTTTATTGGAAAACATACTGCTCCAACAATGGCCCGATTTCACAGCTTCCAGACGGCTCTCGCCGCCTTCGTCGCCTTCGCCGGAGTTGCTCGATCTCAGGCGCCCATCACTTCTTGTCCCACCCAGGTCAGAACATCTACCGCCTCTAGCGGGAAATCGTACTCTGTCTGTGCAAGCACGGACTTTCGCGGCCCATCCGATCAAGTCCTCCAGGGCGTTGGCTCTGTCCAAGCATGCATACAAATGTGCGACGCCCAAGGCGGGCAATGTGTCCGCGCCGTGTACGACAATGAAAACGCAATCTGTCACTTCAAATCCAACCAAGCCGGCGCCCTCACATGGGTCCAAGACACCCAGTTCAGCGCAATTGTGAGCAGCACCTCTAGGACCGGAGCTGGACAGGGCGCGCCTCCTCCCGCCAATCCCGGGACCGGCGCTTCGGGCGCTGCTCTCGCTCAGTGTCCAAATGGGGATCAAGCCCTCAACACAGTTACCGGAGCCCAATTCTTGATCTGTGAGAATACCGACTTCCGAGGCGATAGTGCCTCCGTCACGAGTGCCGCGAGCACTGAGTCCTGTGCGGAGCTGTGTTCCCAGACGGCAACATGCACGAACGCTGTGTTCGACAAGGTCAATTCTCAGTGCCACGTCAAGGGCGATCCGACGACTACAAGCCTGACCTGGGTACGAGACCAGCAATTTGATGTCATTCGGTTGAACATGGGAGGGCTTGGAGCAGGAGCAGGAGCAGGAGCAGGAGCAGGAGCAGGAGCAGGAGCAGGAGCAGGAGCAGGAGCAGGCACAGGCGGTGGATTTGCTCCTCCACCAGCGACTGCACCGGCGACTGCACCGGCGATTGCGCCAAGGCCAGCGCCAGCGGCTCCACAGAAGCAAGATCCTGGTCCGGATGTCGACCCAGCCTTGATCGGGTTCGAACTTGGAGGTCTGGGGGCACCACCGCCGCCTCAACAAGCCCCTCCACCAGGCTTTGGTGCGCCACCACCGACTACTGCACCACCACCAGGCTTCGGCGCGCCGCCACCGACTGCTCCTCCACCAGGCTTCTTCGGCATACCATTCGTCAAGCGGGAAGATCCTGGTAGTTCTGATGCCAAGACCTTGAGGAAGAGGAAGGTAGCTCGCAAGTTCGTGGCCTAGGACACAGCATGTGGTGGTGAGAGCTTCAGTGTAGTAATTCCTCATGCAACGTAGTTAAATACTTAATACACATAATGCCACAAAGATGAACCCTGACCCGGTTAAATACTGGGATTACCTTTTCGTGCGGGTTACATTGGCATGAAACATGCCTGGATATCTCGCTCACCCCAAAGTTTAATTTATGCTTCTTTTGGTTGCCGTTGGTGGTACCCAAACAAAGACTCTTGGCATCAGAAAAGTCATCTATTCGCCACACGCACCTGGACTATAATTCAGAGTCTCGGTTGTCGACGCTGCCAATGTTGCGAGACGAAGTCAAAGGAAAACCTGTTTTTGCTTCACTTGGGTCGAGACTAATCCAGCCGGCTCCCCAAAGTCTCCCGATGTTGGCACACTGGACAACGGCGACTTCGACGTCACTCTGCATCTCTGACTGGCCCGAGATTAGGCGTGTTTCCAGGCGCCCGGTTGAAGTCTATTGCGGCCCCTCGTTGTCCCATCTGTGCTGCGAAACCGTCGCGTAACCCCCCTGGTAGAGAGGTTGTGCTGGGTGGTTTGACCCACCGCCCATTCGCGCGGGTGCACTTCGGGATCGCCCATTCGGAGCCGAATTGCTGGGTAGATGTGCAACACTGTCCTGTTTGTTCCGAAAGCATATACCTCCTGATCACCTGGTCCTCTTCTGACTTGTGCTCGCTGCAACCATCCGCCGCGCAAATCGTCCGCTGTGGAGTTGCACGCTCGCTGCTTCCTCTCTCCGTCGCCTGTGCGGCTGATGGTGCTGTAACCTCCTACGAGGATCCCTGGTGCAAAATTCCTCAAACTTTGGGAAAATGTTTATACATGCGATGCGTAGCTTTGTGGGTTGGGTCGTAATTATCCGGCGGAAGTTGTGCCCTTGCCCGTCGGCCGAGTCTCGTCGCCTACAAGGTTGAGCTCGGGCAGTGATATGCCTCCGAGGTTTGAGCCTGATTCGTGGCGACTACAAGAGTTGTCTTCTATCGATCAGACTCACCTTTGTATTTTTCTTTTCTCGATTCACATACTGGGCGAAGAGAGTGTTTGATCCGATTGTCTTGGGACTGCCAAGGAGATTTGGCCTCTTGATTGAACTGTGGACTTGCTCGCTCAGACCGTCGGCGGTCTCGCAAACCGTTGGCCTTGCAAATTTTCAATTGTGACTGGTCGCTATGGGAATTCCCTTCAAGTGGGGCCTCGTACCTACCTGGGTAGGTAGAGGTGCAGCGAGGTGCCTGCCACACACTGGAGAACCACCACCTGGGATCCAGCAGGCTGGCCGCGGATGTGGGCAGCGCATTCACTCAGACATGGAAGCCACGGCTACTGGCAGTTTTCCCAGCCGCCTAATCGGTGCTTGTGAGTACCTCATTGTCGTCAGAATTTGGGGAAGCGGCGACTGCTCCTTGCCGAGGAACAATGTCGGCCGCGGCGAGGATGTCAGACCAAGTGATTCAACATCAGCTGTGCACATCGACATGCCCAATGTCTTGCCACTCGTTTGGCCACAAAACACTTTAAAAGTACGCCCTATATCATCAATCAATGGCTCAAGCGTCAGTTTCTGCTGGTAGTATCCCTGCACGTCCGCCTGCAAACGAGTCCGCGATTTTCGTAGCCTACAGAGGCCGCAGAGGGGACTGGACATGGCGTTGCGAATACTGCAGCGAAGTCAGATTCCTCGGCTATCGCGCAGTAACACAAGAAAATTCACGCATCTTGCACCGAATCTCACGAGTCAACGCGTATACGTGGTGCTGCGGCTGCGAGCAAAGGGCGAGCTGGAACCACATTATGAGCGAGATACAAGTCAACAGAGCGCTCAGAGCACCACACCAATTCCTAGACGCGGACGTTGCCGACCGCTTTAGAAAACTTAGAATCCGTGACCGCAGGCACACCCTCCCTGTCTTGGGTCCCACAGATGTTGATAGCCTGCGGACCGCAGCCAGAGAATGGGACGATCACCAAGAGCAGTCTGATACATCCCAGCATGCAAGGTTCAAGGCCGAAGAAACCGCAAAACCGTCTTTTGCGAGAAATTGAGACTATCAATGGGTTTGATTTCGGCCGCGCAAAGTATTGGAGCCACGTCAGGATGCTGGATTAGATATGCAAACTTCCAGACTACAAAGCCGCCTGCTTGCCGCAAGACCCAAGCATGGAGCCCTTTTGCGAAGCCTGGGGTGGCAGAACCGAGCCCAAATATGAGGGAGGGATTTGCCTCGATGACCGTGAGTGGCTTCCATTGCTCCTGGACAGATTCGGCGTTTGCTGACTTGCATTCTTTCCCCACGAAGCCTTCATGTTGCCGTCGTACCATCGCTGTCTACCTTCACGAAGCAATTCGAGCCTTTCGGTTTCGACTATTTCGGTTCCAAGCTCCTCTTTATCAGCCCAAACTTTGCCTGCTGTCATGTTTATGTCGCAAAATGACCGCGCGGCCTTTACAAGCGCTTCAAATTACCCAATACGTCCTGCTAGCATAGGGTAACTGGATCAGAGCCAGCTGATAACACAGTCACTTCAAGGAAAAGCGAAAGTGGAGCGGTTGTTTGTTGGCATCGTGTCTTGACTGCTTAAATTTACGACTACCCAGGTAGCCCCCACAAAGAATGGATATCACAGCAACCTGCATGACTTCATTCACACGAGCCCATCCTTTTCCTGTTGATTTTTAAGGCCTAACATAGCTTCTCGCACATGGATTCCATTTCCTAGCGTACTGCTTCCGCGGCTACGTGGCCTGGAAGCATGTCTGATGACAAAAGATCCAGCTCCGATTGCCTAGTGTGATCCGTACAAACACCCTGAAGGTCTAACATATTTGCGGAACACTTGTGCTGTGCAGGCTTCTATGAAATAATTTCGTCTAGAACTCTCGGTGGCCTTCCCTCATCTGCTCGAGTTATAGTCGCTTGTTCCAATCAGACACCATCTCCGGGTAGTCCAATGAGTTCTTAGCACAGCTGCTGCTCTGTTCGTATTGTGCGTAGCTCCTATATGCCAGCTTCCGTTCCCACCGGTCCCTAAACACGTTGTGCTCGGGTATAGCGATTTCAGGGTCCACACGCCGACGGTTGTTACTGTCTGCCAATATAGGAAGAGGGCATTCGGAGTCTACATCGCGATGATCTGGGTCTCCTGCCTCACGCGTCAAGAAGCGGAGCAGTGTCGCTGTCTGGTCGTCCGTGAGGGCGTATATCCGTCTCGTGACATCTTTTCTGTGCGAATGAAACCATACTCCATCGTGCTGGGATTTTGGCACGCAAATTTCTCATTAGCTGACGTTCGCCTTTTTGTTGTTTTGTGACACCCGAGGGGTGCATGGTGTCAGGCTCATCCCTGTGCCGCTTTCACTTCTTCCAAAAAGGCACCACTCCGCCAAAAATAAGGCTCTCCGCCCAGTAGCCGGCAAGATCAGCAACGCCATCCGGGCACTGCTCTACATCCGTGTATGAAGTGACTGCGAGACTTGTTGGCCAGGGTTGAAAGCGACGGCGAACGTCAGCCTCAGCCTCTGCGTAAGGGTCCTTCACGGGACATGGGGTGTGTGTCCTTCTCGTGGGGACCGTGAGAGTCGAGCTTGAAAACTTCGACCGTTATTTCATGAACAGCAACAGCGACAAGCTCGATCAATACAGGTCTGGATGCTCGGGAGCCGACAAGAACAGCCTCGTAACGCTCCAATACCTATCAATCGGTCAGGGCTCAGTAACTGGTACAGCAGGAGAGGGTTTGATACAACGACATACATCGGTTCGCACCGTCATCAGAGCTGGGTCAAATTCCTCGCGGAAAGCCCTGGTCTTCTCTATCGCATCAGGACATAGCTCGGTATGCTCTGCAACCGGGTCGTCACTTGTGTACCTGTGACCGCGCAGGCTGAAAGCAACGTTCTTGAGGGGAAGCCCATCGACGATCTGAGCTAGTGTGGTCTCTGCCACTTTTGTTCGTAGGATGTTGGACAGTGCTGCGGTGAAGGCTTTCTGATGGTCTTTGTCCAGGACGTTGTCAACACGGGACTTGTCAATATGTTTCGGTGGTGCGACGGTCACATATCTGGGATCTGTCTCCATGCTGTGCTGTGTGCCCTATTGTCGCTAGGGTAATTTTTCTTTGAGCAAAGAGGAGGAAGAAGCAAACGCTGTCTAGGGGCCCGTTACTTGTCACCCTACGCTGGATACCCCTGATCTCTCCAGAAGCACCAAATGCAGAGTCTCGCAGAACATGACGGGGTTTTGACGAGGGCGTTAGTTAGTTTTATGGGTGGGGCGAAGTGCGGCTGCCTGACGAGGAAGTCGCAATGCCTGTGGAAATACCCTTACTCCACAAATCCAGTAAGCCTCAAAACAAATCACGATCAGGTCGAGAGACTGGCCAGGTAGCTGTCTTTTCTAGACCGTAGCTGCTGGGGCACACGTGCAGACACGGAGATTGGCGAAGAGTTAAATACCATATTGTATTCTATTTGCTTGTAACATGTGGCTCATAGTTCGTCTGGGCTTAGAAGAGCGCCCGGGCATCGACAGTCGAGTTCCCAGTGCCGTCACCAGCGAAACCCCGGCCCTTGCTGTTGAACCAGTTCAGGAACTGGAACACAGACGCCTTGGGGGTGCGCTCCAGCGATGTGTAATTGACATACTAAATCACGGTCAGATACCTAATCATCAAGACACGGAAAAGCGACAGAGAGGGATGGACTCACCTGCAGCCCGAAGCGCACACTGCTCCCGGAGAACCACTCATAGTTGTCAAAAATAGCCCAGCCCCACGCGCCGGTGACGTTGACGCCGTCATATACCCTCGCGGCGAGGATATTGTCTAAGTAGCCCTGGTAGTAGTCCGCGCGGCGCAGGTCCCACTGGATGGCGGACAGCGAGTCGAGGTTTCCCTCGCCCGGCTCCGCGAACCCGAACTCGGTAACAACAATCTCGGGGACGCTGGGGAAGAGCTCCTTGGTGATCTTGCTCAGGAACCGGCGCACGCCCTGCGGTACGCTCCACAGCCAGCTGACGCCCGAGTCGGCGGCGGGGCCCACGGCGAACCCGCCCGGCGCGATGGGCTGCGAGCCCGCGCACTCCGGGTAGCTCGGGTGCGAGCTGTTGGAGGTGCAGGCGTCGACGTCGTCGATGGCGGCGGCGTAGTAGGAGGTGTAAGGGTCGATGGCGAAGAAGTCGCACGACCCGGACACCAGTTCGCTCTCCTCCGGGGTGAACTCGGGCAGGAGGTCGCCGAGGGTGTTGCGCAGATTGTCCGGGTACTGGCCGCCGTTCCAGACCGGGTGGTTGAACCAGCCGAGCGAGTAGTCGTACTGGCGCTGCGCGGCGTCGAGGTCGGCGGGCGAGGACGAATTGGCCTCGAAGTAGTTGCCCGAGTTCTTGAACGTCATCTTCTTGGTGCCGCCGAACACGTCCTTGTACCACCTGTAGACCTTGGCGTGCGCGAGCAGGGTGTGGTGGCCGCACAGGAAGCGCGACTGGGCGCCGGACGAGATGTTGTTGTAGATGGGGTAGTACTCGCCCGCCGGGTACGTCGAGAACTGCCAGTTGCAGTACTGCGGCTCGTTGATGGTGAACCACTCCGTCACGTACTCATCATACCGCGCGATGATGAATGTAGCGTAGTTGAAGTAGTCGTCGATGGACTGCCTGTCGTTCCAGGCCCCATACTCATTGAAGAGGGCCAGCGGCGTGTCCCAGTGGAACAGGGTGATGGCGAGTGTCAAGCCGGCCTCGACGGCTGTCTTCACCACGTCGTCGTAGTGAGCCACACCCGCCTCATTGATGGGCCCCTTGCCAAATGGAAAGATGCGCGGCCAGCTAATGCTCGGGCTGAAGGCTGGGATGCCGAGTGCCTTGAGGCGGGCGATGTCCTGCTTGTACAGGTAGTAGTGAGAGGCCACCACGTCGCCTGTGCTGTTGTCTGCAATGAGGTTAGGCACGCGGTGGGACAGCAGGTCCCATATGGATGGCCCCTTCCCTTCAGCATCTGTGGCGCCCTGCAGTGTTCACAGGTCAGTAGGGTGATTCAGGTAAGTCTGTGAGTGACGTGACGTTACCTCGATCTGGTACGACGAAGAAGCTACACCCCACACAAAGTCCCTGGGCAGGGTAAAATTGTTGAAATCAGGCTCATAAGCTGGGACGAGCGGGTGGAATGTGCCCGGTGATGGGTATGCAGTCGGCTCAGGAGTTGGCGTCACCGTCGTGGTGACGGGCCCTGTGGCCACGGGCCCGACCTGATCCCACAGGAAAGCAAGGCGCTCATTGCTGAAGTCGGTCTGGGTCAGGTAGGTGGAGGTGGATAACACGTTGTAGCTGGTGAGCGTATACGTGGTCGACACCCCACTCGGCGGAGGGAACGTGACAGCGCCTCCCGCGGCCGAGGTTGTGGCGTTGGGTGCCTGCGCCCCTACGAGCGACACGGCCGAGAGTGCAGCCAGGGCAGCATATCGCTGCCACGAGGTGTGAAGCATGGCGGGCTGCTGATTTTAACCGACGGCAGGGGCTGGTCCAATCAACGACTTGCCTATGGCCTGGCACACAACATGATGGTGGTGGGACATGGTCTACACAACCTAACGCGAGGACGGAGCCGTCTTTATAGATGGGTTACAGTGCCGCTGCTAGGATCGTTGACGAGTGGTGAGCTCACACCGGGACCGAAGGGGTGGGACTCCATCCAGGCTGTACATGCTGCATACCTAGTATCCTTGGTATTGATCATTTCCAAGCTAGCAGCAAGACGCAATGCAATGTCTGCGGTATTGCGTACCAAGGCTTGACTCCCCGCCGTCGTGACTGTGGGAAAGACACTGGGTTTTTCCTGACGCGATCAGTGGGTTTTGCTGATGAAGAACCATTCCATTTCGGAGCATCTCCCTCCGACCCCCAAGCTTCTCCAAGGCTCCTACTGCTGAGGGGCATCTTGAACTGTTTGCTGGGCATTCTGGAGCGACATCCTCAGGAGACCGACTTGCACCATGGCCATCGGCCCGCTTGACCTAGACAGCATACGCGACGAAGCCAGACTTGAAGTTTGAAGAATGCTTACAGTAGGTTAATTTTGGACAGTCGAGAGGGGCCAATCACAGCGCGATGTGACTCGTCTTGGGTGGGTTTCTGCTATGAGGAAGAACGAATTTCCCTCTTCTTCATCTCCGCTGGCTAGGAAGGCAAGTATATGACATTGCAGTCCTCCAATCTCACGGCTAAGGTTCGATCCTGGAGCTGCTGGCATCCCCCCGGCTGGACGGTCATTAAACTTGGGCGGCATATGCCCACTCTGGGAACGCAGGGCCAGGGACATCGGACGAACTGGGACAGCCCGTCCATACCATGGGCGTCTGGAAATGATACCTTGTCCCAAGGATAGGTTGCATTTTTCTCATGGGTGACATTGAGTCCGTGAGTCGCCCTCAAAGGGCTCGATTCACGACCCGTAGACGGCCTCTCGTAGGAGCGACGAGCTCCCGGAGGTGTCCTGACCAGCCCCGATATGAAGAGACAACTTGTGCTGGCATTCCCGATAAGAATCGACCCCAGAAGCCCGAGGAGAGAACGAACGAGTATCAACTATGAGATCGAGCAGGGTAGAATGGAGGACGGGCACCGAATGACGCATATTTCTGGGCATCTATCTGCGCAACACAACAGACAGTGAGAGGGGAGAGCTGCGCCATGTCGGGTGTTCCGCCGGGCACACGACGTGCGGGGCGCCCCGCATCTGACATCTCATCTCACACGGTGCGGACCGTCGACACTAAAACAATCTGGCAGGAGCCAGCCGTCATAATGGCGGTTCCTGATTTTGGGTCAGATGGATAGATAGACGACCTGGGGGGTCAACTTCTAGCCCACAGCGCCCCTGGAGCAGTGCCTGGAGTCTTGACTCGTGATCTGGCTATTTGGCCATGTAAGCATGTGATTCTCGCTTCTCATGGGAGCAGTCATGGGCATGTTTCCAACAGTTTTCTACGTTTATCCCAGCATCACGGCAGTCAGCTCCTGTTTGTTGTGAGTAACCCAGCATCCAAGGAGACAGACAAGTCAGAGAAATCTGTCACGTGGAAGAAAACCGGGCAGGGAGGCATAGTGGTTCAAGTCACAAGAAGTCGGTTGCAGGACACGGCGTTGGGGAGCAGCGAAAATACTTGTCCTTGTCTTTGTCAAGACCAATTAGGTTCAGCATCTACAGAATCAAAGACATCCTGGAGCAGCCATTCAATCTACACGAGCTACGGTAGCTCGGTTGGCCCTCCCTTCCTCTCCTAGCTCCTAGCCATCCTCTAACCTCCTGAGGATTCCCCATCCTTGCCTTGCACTTCGGTATCATAGAACCAGTGGGAGAAAAATGCACCAACACCATGTCAACAGGCTTGTATGAACACCAAAACCAAAATCAAAAGAACGCCTGCCGCTATGCTGCCATGCCCTTGCCGTCGTGGTATTCCCAAACACCGTTTTACCCCACGCTCCAGGAAAGGGAGATGTATGATCTCGTGGTCTCTACCACCTTTTCTCAAACGCCGTGTTGTGACTTTCCCCAGGGGGAATTGAAGAATGAGACATATGTAAAAGTGAAATTGTTGATTAGCCTGTGTTGGCCATGCAGGTTGAGGCCCACAGGACATAGCCAGGTGTGCAGATAACCTGTCTCCAGGAGTACCGACGCCTGTGTGCAGCGCGAGGCACGCGTTAACGCCCAGCCGCTGCTCTCCTGCGAGCCTCTTTCTCGCGCCGACGTTGTTCCAGGATGGCCTCCTCACGCTGGTCCTCGAGTCGGGCTTGGCGGGCGGCCGCCGCCTCTTCGTCCTCCACGTCAGAGTAGCCGGCCTCCATGTCGGAGTCGTCGTCTTCATCGGCATATCTGTACTGCCTGCCGTAGCCGTCGTCCTCTGGCTCGTCCTCGTCGTCGTCGATGAAGTCGTCCATATCTTCGTCGTACTCGTCATCCTTCTGGCGTGGTCGACTGAACATTCCTAGTGGGTTGGGTGGGCGTGCACGGTCACGGCCATTACCTGACTTCGCGGCGCCCGGTATGGCTTTGCTCGGTGGAGGCCGAGCAGATCCGGCATACCCAGTGGTCGCCAGGGCCGCCTTCTTCGGTTTTCGTTCCTCTAACAAGGCTGCGCCTTTTGCACCAGCCTTTCCCGCCACTCCCTTTTGACCTACCACCTTTACACCACGGTCTGGAAGTCCGTTGCCATTTGAATTTGTCCCATTCTTGGACGGCAGGCCGGCAGCTGGTTTTGAACCAGGCTTACCACCCTTCTTGGCAAGCCTTGCATCCTCTGGGTCTTGCTCTTTCTTGGCCGACTGCTTCTCAACGGCTCTGTGCTGGATCTTTCCGATTGTCTGCAGCTTCTGTGCCTGGGCTGCTGCCCGAGCCTTGATCTCAGCATAGGACCCCTTCTTAGGCGGCTTGGTAGTGGACGACGCGGGAACATCTTGACCTGTGGGTCTGGACGCTGGTGCAGGTCTTGAGAGTGATGAGCTTGTTGGTGTTGCAGTTCGGCTGACGGCCGGAAAGGTGGGGGTGGTGGGTGAGGGTTTTGCGCTTGTCGTCGAGGACGGTTTCTTGGATGCAGCCGATGCTGACTTCTCTGTCAGTGGCCGGGGTTTGTTGTTATTGATAGCGGCGGCAGTAGATGGTCTTGAAGAGCCAGTGTAGCCCGATGAGGATCGTTCAACTGGGCGTGGCGCCTTGGTTGCATCGGCGGTCGGCCTGGTAGACCCGTTTGTATTGGATGCTAGCCGCGGTTGTTTCTGTTCAGAAGTCCTGGCATCTTCGTCGGCCTTCCTCTTGGCTGGAATCCCGTTTCCAGGTCTTGCGGGTGCTTTCGACGAGGGCACGGAGGGCTTCCCCTCAATGGAGGCGAGGAGGTCACCGATCTACAGTGGTCGGCGTGGGTCAGCCGGGCATAGGGACGTTGGGTACTGAGTTGGGCCCTGGGTATACGACACCTGGCAGGTTTGGGGAAGACAAGACCAAATCAGTGACTAACCGGCATGTTGAATGATTTCCTGGGCTCTGGCCCGTTCCCAACGTTGATCCCACCCTCAAAATAGACAATTTGGCTCTATAGCTTCATGCCATCGATCGGTGTTTACTCATCTGCACGAGTGTGCTGGCGGGCTGAGTCGGGGGTTTCGCCGCTGGAGAGTGACAACCAACAGACTTTTTGCGGTCTCGCGACCACCCTTATCGTTTTGTCCGCCTGGGGATTAGGGGACTGACGGCCTGGGGAAACGCCGAGCAGTGCTGACAGCGCAGCAGATGGGAGAAGAGCTGAGTCGACGACTGGTGAGCCAGGAAGGGCGGGAAAGGGCGGGCAGGGCGAGTAGACAAAGAGTGCAGGTTGAGGAGGAGAGCCAGGACGATGGCGAGGTCGACGTCGTGGGTATTTATGGCTTTTGGGTCGATGGGGTCAATGGGGGGGTGGCCTTTTGCCGTTCCCGCCTTGCGCTGCGCTCGAATGACGGGATTGCTCTTTGCCAAGCCAAAAGAGTGCCACTGCGAACTGGGCTCTTGCTGATTGGGCGCAAGCTGAGATGGATCCGGTTCCGGACGCGATCAAGGTTTAAGACAGAGAGTTGCCTGTTGGACAGCTGGTTTGCTGCTGGTGCCAGGTGGCGCAATCTGGAAAGCAGGAGTGGCAGGGACGGCAGAGCCGAGTGAGGTAGGTGCACGGGCCACTGCCCACCAAACTGCCCCTGCCCGCCCAAAATCTGCCTACCTACTTCCTAATCGCCGTGAACTTTTTCTATCTGGACCGAACCAACCCCATCTCGCCGAAAGACTCATCACCACCCACCCGTCTTCTCAGAACTCGACGAGCCAGTCTCCGCCACGCGGTTAAATCGATTGAACTCTCCTGTTCTTCTACGAATACCAACAGTGAGTCCCACTCCGCCTGAGCAGCTCGCGCCAGCAAGACGCCGACGCCGCCATCGCATCGCGCAAATCTCTGACAAGCCCGCATCGACCGCAGAAACAACCATCAAAATGAAGCACCTCGCAGCTTACCTCCTCCTCACCCTCGGTGGCAACGAGAAGCCCTCTGCCGACGATGTCAAGAAGGTCCTCGACTCTGTTGGAATTGAGGCCGACTCTGACCGCCTGAGCAAGCTCCTGTCTGAGCTCGAGGGCAAGGACATCAACGAGGTACGAACGCGACAAGCGCCAGGCCCTGAGCCTATTCCACAGGACAAGTATGCTGACGGACAATGTTACACAGCTCATCTCTGAGGGTAGCGCCAAGCTCGCTTCCGTGCCCTCTGGTGGTGCCGGTGGCGCCGCTCCCGCCGCCGGTGGTGCCGCTGCTGGCGGTGCCGCTGAGGCTCCCAAGGAGGAGGCCAAGGCTGAGGGTAAGTCTGCTCCAACAAGCACGTGGCACGCGACACGCGCTGACAGTTTGCCACAGAGAAGGAGGAGTCCGACGACGACATGGGATTCGGTCTCTTCGACTAAATGCCCTGACGTCTCGCGCCGAATTCAAATCTTCACCTTTGGTCTCAATTTTTCGGAGATGCTTACAAGCATACTATACCGGTTCAACGCATTCCACAGCAAGGGTCCTAGGGATATCATGATACCACGATATTTGATGGGTTTTTAGGTCTCGGGTTGGAATGGTGGCCGGTCGCCCAAAAGTAGATCATGAATGGCAAAATACGGCTTCGTGACCTCTTCGGAATATCTGGACATCAAAATAACGTGTCTGATGAACGGGACATGTCTGGCATTCTCGATACCCACCCACCTTGTCACTGAGCGATGGTCTACGAGCTGGTCTTTGGATCATCGAGACAGCACGCTCGATTGCCGTACGATCAGCTATGTTGCTCAGTGGACTGTTCACGTCGGCTCGTTACGTTGCCTCGATTCTACGTACGTGCGCAAGTCTTTGAGACATCGGCAACCTCAGCATGTCAAGACTGGTACTTACCGGAATGGCCGTCTGCTTTTCAGGTCCGGCAAACTAATGGTAGGCAGCATGACTGAGTTGACACTCGATGTGACATTGTAATTACACCAGTCCATGGTACCACTTGAGCATCGCCATCTAAGTGTAGTCTTGTGCAGTTTCCAGAAACTGCTTTCTTATCGGCATCGTGTTTCCAATAAGCACTGTTAGGCCAGAATTGCCCATCACACTTCCAGCATCTTCAAGGCGTCAAGAATGCGACCATCTGACGCATGTTCTTTCGGCAATCGACGCAGTGCTGGACAAAGAACAAAATTGCACTACGGGAATCTGTATAGTAGGCAGCACATAATTGAAAGGGACGTGGTGTACAGGTGTACTATTGAATATGGACAAGTGCAGGATGCTTGCCAGAGGGCCACAAGACAAAAGGGACTTGTGAGAAGTAACTCATGATCCGGGCAGTTTGAGATAGTCAGTATAAAGTGAATAAAGCTGGGCATTTCAAGTTGACGTTGTTGGTTATGAGTCGAGCAGGACCTGGCTTGGGCTTGGCTTGAGCTTTGAGAATCATGTGTTTTTCGCATAGAAGCCAATCTCGAATTCTGGAATCTCGAGCACTGGATCTAATAAATTGGCTGCAGATTGTGAAGTCACCAGTCAGTTGAACAAGGCAAGGCACGCACGCAGCCTGGCAGACAAGTCTGTGAAAGAACCCGAGAGCTGACAAGGACAAGGGCGCTGATCCCAGCATGCAAACGGAGGTCACTGCCTGAAGTGGACGGGCGTTGCGGGGGTAACGGCCAGCGCCTACCCCAATTGGCCGGGCGCCATTGCCATAACATTGGGGCTCCATCCGCTGGGCCCACCCAAAACTCGACTCGCATGCCAATTCCATCACTCTCCCAAGATGCACTCCGACTCTCGATATTCAACGCACATTGCTTCACCCGGCTGCCAGATCGCTCACGGCATGATCATGGACCTCTGAGACACGTCAAAGTATCCTTTTCTAACCTATACCCAGCCTACAACACGAATCAGCGCGTGCGACAACAAACAAAACAAAACAAAACATCGGCTCACCGGGTTCCACACCGACTTTGCTTGAAGGATCCTGGAGCTGTTTCTGGTCCCGGAGCTTATGACTGACGAGCAGGGGCCGGATTGCATCAGACCAGAACGGCACGCATCAATTGAGTCGCAACAATGTCAGCAGCATCACCAACACCCATGGGCCCTGGGAGCCACTTCACCTCCCTCGGCCGGAGAACATCAGCGCGCCAGGCCTTGCGCAGACCAACTTCCCGCCCAGCATTCAGTCGCAGCGAATCTCAACCCGCTGTCCACAGTGCTCGCGAGGCGCCTCTGAGCGCCAACCGCGCTGAGTCACAACCACAACAGCAGCAGTATGATGCAATGCACGACAGCTCCGACGATGAAATCCCAGTGCCCATGAAGCTCAGTGCTCTGACTAAGGCTCTACTGAACGACGGCGGCGCAACAGATGCCTCGGCAGCCGCAACCGCGCGTCGTACCAATGAGGCACTTAGTCAACAGCCGGAGCCCAGGGTTATGACCAGGAGGCGGAGCTATCTTACCAGGAACTCTTCGTCAGCCGCGGACGATAGGGAATCAGCACCAGCGCCAGCCCCGGAACCGGATCGACCGCTCAGGGAGACCCGGCGCCATACCAGGACCAGCAGTGCGGCAGGAGGGACTGCGCCTTCTAGACAAGCCTCGCCTGCGCGAGCAAGGGATAGCAGCCCGCCACCGCGCAAGCGAGTCGTTCGACTTAGCAACACGCCCAGTATCGCGCCCAATGTCGCGCCTGTGCAGACCAGCCGACTGAGGAGGTCACTGTCCACCTCGACCACAAGAAGACCAGACAGCCGCGCCGGCGATGTGGACGAGAGCATGCACAGCGCCGGGGCTGCCGCACCTGCCGAGGAGGCAGACATCAACACTCCAGCGCAGCCCGTCCGCCGAGTACAAATTGCCATCGGGTCTTCACACAAACGACAGTCAGCTGGCAATTCTTCTGGCTTTGCATCTAGGAGCACCGGCTCCTCCATGCGCAGCGACCAGGAAGGTCCCGAAGACCCCCAAACTGCACCTCGGCCGCAGTCCGCCATTGGCAGCGTCTCGAGACTTGGCGGCAGCGCAAGCGTCAAATCGAGAGAAGAGCAAAATGCTCAGGGATCCATGCGGGTCAAGAGACTTGGCAAGATCCCAGGTAGTTTCCTCAGCGGCCCTGCTCGCCGCGGTAGGAGACGTGAGAGCGAAGAGGACAGGCTGGCTAGGGAGAACGACGAAGGCGAGATGGTGTATGGCCAGGAGCACGACGACTATCCGCCGCCTGAAATTGGCCGCAGTGGCGCTGAACCTCAAGCATCGTCATTTTACGAGTCAGCGTACCGGGATTTCGCGGCGTCTGGCAGTCCCGTTAGCAGCAAGGAGTTGAGAGCAGGGAGCCGCAGACAATCCCATGCAGATCTCAGGGCCGCCTCTCTCAGCGAGGCTCACAAGGTGATTGAGGCAGCCCGGGAGGAAGCCGCCCGAGAACCGCTCGAGATACCGTCAACACACGACCAAGAGAACGAAATGCCTGCCCCGTCGGCCTTTGAGAGACGGAGGCCGTCCGTCAATATCTATCCCGACAAGGACCAGGACAAGAAACTGCTTCGGTCACCTAGTCTTGTTGAGATTGGCTCCAGGGCAATCCCTCGAGCCGTCTCGCCAGAGCGTCCGATACTGGCGTCCCTCAGCCAAAATGTCCAAAAGACACCACACGTTGTGATACCGATGCAGCGACCTGCACCGCCTCCGCCACCAAAGATGAGCGTTCTGGACGCAGCCACGGCTACAGGCGGCGCTGCCACTACCAAAGAAGCTGCCAAGAAGAGGAGCATTATTCTCAAAGTCAATGGTCGATCATACCAAAGGGTAGACTGCATAGGCCGAGGCGGCAGCGCAAAGGTGTACAGGGTGACGGCCGAGAACGGCAAAATGTTTGCCCTGAAGCGAGTCAACATTGAGAACGCCGACGAGACTATGCTCAAGGGCTACAAGGGCGAGATCAACTTGCTGCAAAAGCTAACGAACGTGGAACGTGTCATCCAGCTCTATGATTTCGAGCTCAATGAGGAGAAGCACGTGCTCAGTGTCGTGAGTGACCCCCTCTCCTTCAACGCATCTGGTGAGCATACGCTAACTTGACCTGGTACCCAGCTCATGGAGATTGGTGAACTGGACCTCAACACCCTTCTAAGAGTCCGGCAAAACCAAGAGGGGGCCAAACTCGATCCCGTATTCATCCGATACTACTGGAAAGAAATGCTCGAATGCCTCGCCGCCGTGCATACCCACAACATCGTGCACAGCGACCTCAAGCCCGCAAACTTCGTGATGGTCCAAGGCCGCCTAAAACTGATCGATTTCGGAATCGCCAATGCCATTCAGACCGAAGAAACAGTCAACGTGCACCGCGAGACGCAGGTCGGCACACCCAGCTACATGAGCCCCGAAAGCCTGATGGACTCGAGCCACTATGCATTCACCTCTGCGAACGGTGGCAGGTACTGGCACGGACCCAGAGGCCCCAAGCTCATGAAGCTGGGCAAGCCATCCGATGTGTGGAGTCTGGGGTGCATCCTATACCAGATGGTCTACGGCAACTCGCCGTTCGGGCACATCCAGAACCAGATGGCACGCTGTCAGGCCATCATCAACTGGTCCCACAAGATCGAATTCCCCGAGAAGGGCATCGGCGGCGTCAAGGTGCCGCCGAGCCTGCTGCGCACGATGAAGAAGTGCCTCGACCGGGACCAGCACGCGCGGCCGTCGTGCGCGCAGCTTCTGGGAGAGGACGACGGCTTCCTGTACCCGATCGAGTACGCCAGCGACGTCATGGGCGCCGCGGACAGTCTGCCAATCACGGAGGAGCTGCTAGGGCGCATCATCCAAAGCGTCGTCACGCGCTGCCGCGACAGGTTACCCACCGACGGCGAAGCCATCAAGACGTGGCCATCGGCGTACTGGACCAGCGTGCGCAAGGCCATCGAAGCCAAACAGAGCGAAGGGGAGAGGCGGTAAGGCCAAGCCGCTGTAGCGACTGTGTGCCCGCCCTCAGACGACAGTGTAATGTTGTGCCCGGGAGGGCAAGTGAGGCAGGAAAGCTTGTATCCACGAAGGGTTTTGGGTGTGGTAATTTGTGGCCTCTGTGATTGATGATTGATGATAAAAGAAAGGGAAAGAATAAATTGGACTGAGGAGTTGATTATGGTGGACGAAGACAGTGATGAAGAGTTTGTTAGTCGGGCAGCGGTTGTTTCATGTCTCTTTTTTTTTTCGATTATTCCCCCAAAAAGCAGCAGCGCATATCTCACGAGTGGCTGTCTGACGCGTTTCTTGTCTCCTTTTTTTGATACCACGACTATACAAATTTCCGGTGTTTTTCTTTGTCCCTTCGGAGGGTTCAGGCTCGTCGTCTATTTATAATATACTGCTCAGCGCCTGCTGAATCAGGGGAACTTCTGAGTTCATGGATTTGTGCTCCGTGTGAGCGTGTCCTGAGCGTCGGGCTGTAGGCCCTTGGCTGTCACTGAAGCAATGGACAGGCCTCCACATCAACTTGGTCTCCAGTTGACATGCTCGAGTTGAGATGACTGTTTCGGTATGCCAAACTCGGCACGACGCTTTTGATTGATATGATACATTTTGCGATTGCTGGGATCCTCCTCGCTGAACGATCTCAGTCGGGGCATGGTCTCCCTTGTCTTACACCATGGCTCGTACGCTCAGTCGTAGCTTTTCAGATGCCGGATAGTTGATGTGAGCCATATTGATAAGCTCAATCCGCCTGCTTTCAAAAGTTGACCTAGCACGGGGCATTCATGCCACCAGATCTCACCCACAGGGTATCCCAACGCCTGATCCTCTCCTATCAACCCGTCGCCCGCGAATTTACTCCTCGATCTCCTCAGGCGCCTTGATCCTCAGCTCGCTGATGCGCAGGACCGTATACCGATGCTTGCTCCTCACAGTCTTGACCTTCCTGTTCCGCCGCTTGGTCTTCTCCTTGAGGCGCATCGGCTCGCTGTCCACGCCGACGACCACGGCGCGGCACTCGTACAGCCGCTCGTCGACGTAGGCGACCTCGCCGCTCTGGAGGTTGCGCGACCCGACCTCGCTCGGGAGCAGCGTCAGGTCGCGCGACCCCAGCACCGACGCGCGGTTCAGCCGCAGCACGTCGCCGGGCCGCACGCCCGGCATCAGGAACGGCAGCCGCACCTCGTCGCCCGGCGTCACCAGGTACGGCCGCCCGTGGACGTGCAGCGTGATGTAGTGCCCGCCCGGCTGCGCCCGCAGAAGCGGCAGCATGTCCTTGACCTCCTGCGGGATTGGCCCCGTCGGCTGTGGTGGCGGCTGTGTCGGCGGCGCGCGCGGCTTGGGAGTGTTGGGGTGCAGAGCTTGGCTTTCTGTCGCGGCGGCTGCTGCTGCTGCTGCTGCTGGCGTGGATGCTGGCTGAGGTCTGCTGGGCGCGCGATGTCTCGAGGGGTGCGCCGCTAGGTTGTGGCGTCGTCGCCGTCGTCGAGGCGGTCTCGATGTGCTGCTGTGTCGAGCTGATCCATCGCGCGCGGATGGGCAGCAGGAAGGTCGGTGGGAGGCGCGATGCGGAGTGCCGCAGCTCCAGGGCGGAGCGGAAGAGTGACCTGCTCATTGTGGCGGCGGATTGAGGGGTGCGGCGATCGGGATTGACTGCCTGCTCGTGGCCCTCTCGGCTGGGTTGAGAAGCTTCGCAGGCAAGCTCTCAAAGATCTTTTGACGCGGCTGCTGGCGGAAGCCTATCTTCTTATCGGCGCTTAGAATTGCCGCTGCTCCTAACCCTATCAACGTCGTGCAAACAGCCTCGAGAACTGGTCCTGCTAGCAAGGGCAACTTTTGATAATTGCCCTGGAGTATCAAGAGCATCTCACTGCCAATCGAGCAATGGCCTTGTCACTGTGTGGCTCACAAGTATTGAGTAAGCATATGGTTCCTTGGATCACCGAGAACTCCTGCACACATTTCTTGGGTTGATACCCTGACTGGTTACACAGGCCACACTGATCGAAGGATCGTTAGGCAGCCGTGCACCATGTTCAGCCCTGACCATTTGGGACACAGAACCACCTGCACTGCTGACGGTACTGAGCCAGTCAGCACCGGTTTGCTCCGAATATTTGCCCAAGTCTTCTGGCTCGGGCACTGGTATGGCTGGCGCATCCCCTCTGAAGACACCATAAGCCACCTAGGTACCCAGCTGCTCATGGATCCCCCTCCACCCCCATTGGACATCTTCTGCCCTCAACCCTACCTCCTACACCGAGAGTAGACCCCGCAATCTGCCTTTCTCTTTCTGTAACCCCTCTCTTCCCTTGAATCAATCGATAGCGCCAGGAGTGCATGTATACTTCACCTGTCACATCTTCTTCTCGCTACTCCTAGCTTTTTTGCGTCTCTATAGTGTCAAAATGAGACAGCAAGTACCCCGGGCTCCCAAGAGTAAAGAAGCAAGGAGACCATCGCCTCCTCTCAACATTGGATTGCCACTGCGTCCAAAGCTGCGGAGAGGGACCCCACCGTACAAAGTGTGCCAAAATAAACCGCCAGATTCCGCAAGCTTGGAACCACTGGTAGACCTGAGTCAAGCATCCCAATTATTCAAGTACAAGTCGATGGATTCAAAACAAGCCATCACGGATTCGCTTCCAATTCCAAATCAGAACGCGTGGATCAGGCTCCTCAAGATATTTCCCTCTAAATCGGGCAAGAATCACTACGAACTCATCACATTCCATTTTCATGACCACCCGCCTTACAAGGCCATATCCTATGCGTGGGGCGACCCTGAGTCTAGTCGATATGTATCCATCGTACAGGGTCGACGTCAGGGGTGGTTGAAGGTGCCAGTCAATCTTCATGCTGCCTTAGAGACCTTGAGAGATAAGACAGAGGATGTCTTGGTCTGGGCGGATTCCGTGTGCATCAACCAGCAGGACAACGGCGAGAAAAACCAGCAATTGCCTAGGATACCTGCAATCTATGGCAACGCAGATCAGGTAGTCGTCTGGCTAGGAGTAGAGATGGATGACTCCAAGCGGGCTCAAGAGCTCTTGCTCAAGGCCGAAGAGACTCCACTCGATTCATCACCTCACAGCATAGACTAAGTCCCTTGCAGATTTTAATTTATCATGGCCCCGCAAGCATATCACACATACAACAAGCGAGGGAGTTATACGCTGATGATCCTTTCTTCTACTTTCTCCATGTGTTGCGACTCAGCAGAACAAAACTGGCATTTGATCCCAAAGACAGGGCATACGGTATACTTGGTATTCTTCCTCGGGAGATACGCGACAGGCTCGAAGTGAACTGTCAACTTTCCATCAGGCAAATCTACATCGATGTCGTGCAAATTCTACTGGATTCTGGGCATATGGACGTCATATGCGAATCCATCCATTTCCCCCCTCAAATCAGCAACGCGAACCTTCTTCATTGGTGCCTGACTGGTCATACGACCCAATGGCACGGTCTCTGGCAAGCCTCCCTCTCTCCTTCTCAGCTGGCAGCAGAGAACCTCCATCTTTTCGATTCTACAAGGAAAACCTGGCCCCGCCGACGAGGAGCAAGCTTTTGATCGCCGGGGTGCGTATCGGAACGATCGATATTCACGGCATGGCCGTCAGCACGTACTCTCGAGCGGCGGACTACTGCATGGCTTTCCTACAATGGAGGGTGCTACTCCTGCAGCGCTTTGGTATTGAACATGGGTCGAGAGACGACAGCGAAGACAAGCGCCGTTGCCGCGCGGCCAGTTGCGAGCACAAACGCCGCTTTTGCCTGACACTCAGCCTTGGGCAGCCAGCCAGGACAGACCCCGACGGGTCAGGCGTTGAATTAACGGGCAAAGAAACGGCATGGGTGAGAAAATGCTGCCGCATCTTCGCGGAAACAATCAAGGCCCGGCTACCCCAGCTGCCTATCGATGAGGACTTGATGGAGCCTGAGGTCGCTCGGCAGTTACTGCAGGACAGCTTCGCCAAATACATGATGGGGCGGTGCTTCTTCATCACAGATTCTGGGACACTGGGGCTCGGGTCAGGGGCTATGGCCCGCGGCGATGTTGTGGTCGTGCCATAAGGATGCTCAACCCCCGTCTTGCTCCGCCCAGAAGGGTACAGTTCTGAAAATAGCGACGGACGGCGTACCCAGGAGTACCGTTTTGCTGGGAATGCCTACATCCATGACTGCATGGACGGCGAAGCCATGGAGCAGTGGTCAAGGGAGGAGTTTGTGCTACACTGAGGGATAATCAGAAAAGTTTGTGACTTTCGGGATACACACTACGAATCAATAGCAGGTAATGACGGCGTTTCCTCCATTTGAGTTCCCGGGGGCTTCGTACGGTGTAGCTTTCAAGTTTGGCTGCGATGCCTCTTTGGGCGAAATACTCCCAAATCCCGCCTGGGTAGTCCACCTCGTCGATGGCACACATGTCTCCCCGAACGAATTCGTAGTCCTTCAAGTTCCTGAAACACATCCTGCGCTCCCATCTGTCCCTGTAGATGTTTTATTCTCTGGTATTACGATCTCATTATCCACACGGCGGCGGTTCGTCTTGTACAAATGAGGATGGGTAAAAGGCACGGTTTCTCGTCTCCAGAATTTCCCGACCGCAAGAACTGGGCGAGATTCACAACTGATCTTCAGTGACAGCACAGATGCGGTGCATTGCGCCCTTTCGACTTGGGTGGAGCCAAAGCCCATTGCATTGTTGAATTTCGTTAATATCTTGGTGCGTTGACATGGATATGAATTGAGAACTAATCTCTTGCCCACTCTCTCCTCTGCTAAACAAAACGATGCCTCAAAAGAAGCGATCCTCAGCCCAGTAGCCTGGCAGCTTGGCCTCGTTTGTCTAACTGTCGACTGTCAGAGTTTGTGGATGATGATTGAGCTTGCGGTCATCATGTGGCACAGTATTTCTCATGGCACTCTAGCTTTCGTGACGGCAGTGAAGACCGACCGGAGGTTCAAATGGTCCACATTAGAGATCGTAGGACCTCCATCAACCGCAGATCCCTCCCTCGCTGAAATTTTTCATTCACGAGCCTGCATCAGCACAGAGGTCCATGGAAAGGTGTTTACTACCAACGATGTATTGCCGCGTCGTATGCTGCCCGAGCTACGCTCGCCATCATCCGTGCCATACCAGTATCTCAAGGACTTCTTCTGCGTCTCTGCCTCAGTCCGCCATACCTAAGTAAGGCTCTCCGTCTGCAAAGTGCTCTCACCCGTGCCTGCCCAAGAGTCTTGGAAACATAAAGCAATGATGGCTACGAGACTGTTCAAACTTGACATAGAGATTCCATCAACGTTCCGCTGGATGACACTCTGCACATTCGGTCCAAGAAGGAGATGATTGGATGCTTTCTGGTACTGGCCTTTCAATGAGCTTTGTGTTTGCTACTTCACTCGAGGCTGTGAGAGGATCTTTTCAGGGGCACTCCGACCGAACGATCTCACATCCGATGAGGTTACTTAAGCCTTGTTTCTCCTCATAGACCTGTGTCTAGTATGTGACATCCTTTTTCAAACTTCAAGGACTCAATTTCGTTCAACTCTGCTCTTCTGTGCGTTTGGACGTCCTGAAAACGCCTCGCGGTCTAGCTAGGCCGAAGACAAAGATAGCGAGCCTTTTTACAGCTCAGCATACAGGCAAGCCATCCGACTGTTTGTCCCCACGGGCTTTTCACAAATGGTTCACAGGTTGTTTCAGTGGTTTTTTGTTTGATGTCTAGCCTTAGGTAACATAGACCACTGCTCATCAATGCTGGTGCATAGCCTCGACCAAGTGGCTTTGCTTTGGAATCTGCCGCATGTTTTAGGATACCCATTACACACTGCTCCAATGAATTCCCAGTGTCTGGTTGCTAATTGAGGGTCCCAGACACCACATCTCTAGCCATACTGTAAGGTCTGTCTTCTGTTCCGGCGGTCTTGACCTCCTCAGAGCTGTGACCTACCCTGACCATGACCTGCTCGGGCTGTCACCTGTTAAGATCTAGGCTGGAACCACACATGCCCTGCTGCCTCTTGTGACCTGCTCGGAAGCGACCAGAAGTGACCGTCATCATGTCTGCCTCCTCCATGTATGCACAGTGAGCTTGTGTCCATGGAAACCACGGAACGTAGTGATCCCATCACCGGCCGTCATTTGATTCACTGCCGCATCCCATTACTTGTGTAGCCAGAGTATTGCAGAATCTCGCGATCCCATCGTATACTTTGTGCCCCACATATTCTATTGGTGTTCTCCTTTGACCCGCGATCCCATCGTGAGTTGGGACCGCGGTGTACAGATCCCGGCCAATGGAATCCGCCGGCCTGAACATCCCATCGTGTGCTTCTCTCGAAGCCTAAATATCGTGAAACGATTGGCCGGGAACTCGCGATCCCATGTGTACTGGCGTCGTCTGCAGAATTTGCCCTTTGGCCCCCATGCTCCAAAAATTATTTAAACCCTCTGCCCCCAACTCCCAATTCTTCCTTCTTTCCTTCCTTCCTTCATCATCTCTCAAACTATAAAAACGCAGTCCTTCCAATCATCAACTTCATCTTCTTCCTTTTGACTTCCCAAATCCTCAAACACACTTGCTTGGTCAAGCAACCGTTTCTCCTTCCTTTCCGTCTACTCGTCCCCTCATCCATACACGCCTACCCTGGATGGGCTCCTGACTGGCGGACTCCTTTCTACGGCGCCTTTACGATACGAAGTGTACCTTGAACTTCGCAAAGGCCACTCAAGCCCACGCCGTGGCTACCAAACTGTGCCTCAAACCGTTGTGTGAGTAAGTCATGACCGATCATCCATCATATAAAACCCTAACACCTACCCTTGGAAACATGCACCGGTCACTACCTTGATAGCCGTTACTCTCAAAATTCGCCATGGAGATGGCGTGAACGAGGGTCTTAGTATAATGCTGACCAGACTGCTTTGCAGAGGAAAGCCCATCACTGGAGCAGAGGAACTGCACCTGAACAGACAGACCGCCAAGGAATTCTTTCCCAGAAATATCTCTCGCCAATTGCTTGTCGAGATACGCCCTAGGCAATATGACTTCCACTGCACGGGTCTCGAAACAACCGCCCTTTTCCCGCAAGGCGGCGCCCTCGAGCAATTTCTCAGTGCGACGAGTTTGGCTCCACGATCGACCTCCAGGACTACTTAGTCTTACTGAGCAATTTGCCCCTCCGCAAGGAACCGGCTGAGTTGCATCCGCGCCAGTCAACAGCCGGGCCAACTGGGCTGCAATGACCGATATTCCAAGCTCAGAGGAGCTTGTGATTTCCGGTCTCCTCCCGAACGCTTGAGTCCTGCCGAAGCTCGAGACGTTCACATCTCGACCGGCGACAGCCGACCAGCCAACCAGAGAAACCACCAGACTACGCCCAGGACGGACCATCGAAACGGCTTCCACCATCTTTCTCACCCTGGGAGAGCGGACGGTGATGATCTCCCGTCCATCAACATACCAGGATCTCCTCAGCGAGATCAGAAGACACTTTCCAGGGTCTCGTTGGTTTACAGCCTCGTCGTTCTTTTCCAGCCTGCCAATGTCAATGGAGGCCTCCTCCAAAACTGGGTGGAGGTCGACGCGAGCGCGTACAGCGCCGTTCACGATATGGAATTTGCCCGCATGACTGTCTGGTTCCGTGGGTTGCAGACCGGGTACTGGAGTACCAACTCAGGCTTGGCAAGAAAAGGCGAGGTCGCACAGAAATACTACGAGGATGACGAGTCTTACGACAAACAACACCATCAGTGAAAATGGCCTCCTCTTTTCCCTCTTTCCCCTCTGATTGACGATTGGTCATGTGACCAAAGAAGTGTTGGGCAGCTCACCCGTTTGTCGACCCCGAGGAGTACGAACAAACGAGACTTCCGGTGGCCAGCTCACAAACATGATGTTCCAGGCACAACGGCTCGGCCTGGGCTAGGCCAAGGAACACAGGACGTGTTGGATCACACATCGGAGCAACTCGAGAATACGTCTCGGCCACTCAGTGAGAGCGTCCCGAATTCAACATTGCGGGTCCAAAATGCACCAACTCCCAACAGTACATCCGAAGAGACAAGCACGAATACTCGGGCATCTCTTAAAGAAAGAGGTACCCGGTGTCAGAGACATTCACTTGACCAACTATGAGAATCAAATCGATGCAGCACAGGAAGCCGGGGAGGCCAGGGAGAACCCGGCCCCGATCCATGCCTACTGGCGATTCCGTGCTCCTATCCGAGCGGTGCCAGATAGCCGGGCTGCACGCCTCCAGTGGTCTCTACAGACCAACGGCGGCCCGCCCGCGACGTCGACGATCCCGGCAACATACTCGGCATAGACCCATGAGCAGCCCAGAGACAAAGCAAGGGCAGAAATATTACATAAACCTTCATCATGTCTCACACTATCACAACCTACGACGCCACTATCCTCAACCACCACGCCAAGAGTGGCGACGTCGTGGAGTTTGGCAGAACCCTCGACTACCTGGCCCAGCGAGAGGGTCAGAGGAACCCAACAGTATTGATCGGGCGGATATCCTCTTCCTGGCAAAGGACGAGGCCGGTGACAACATCGTCCACTCGGCGTGCGCCTACGGCTACAAGACTGAGCCGATGTTCGGCGGCTGTCTAATTCGAGCCTTCAACCGCTTTGCGAATTCCGAGGAGGCCCAGAGGGGTCAATGAGGCAGCACACTTTTCCTCACCAAGGGGGAGGCCGGCAACACTGTTGTCCACTGGCCATGTCTGCACTGGCCACACATCATCCCGCGCAGTCTGGCAGGCAGTCTAAGGAGTTCGAGCTGGACGACCTGGAGAGCCAAACCTCGGCTCTTCCAAACCTCGGCTCTTCCAACCTCGACTCTTCACTCGAGCAGGCACTCACTCAGTCTTCCCTTTCTAGTGGTCATCCCCGGCTCAACCCCATTTTTTCCACCACGACCGGCCACCCCATATCCTGGAACAAGCAGGCCCATGCCGAGACACTCGGCGCAGATTTCCAACAGAGCCGTCGCAGTTCAGGCCAGTGCCGCTGGATGTCAACCGGAACGTCCAATTTCACGAGCCACACCCGCGCGGCAAGGTGCCCTTCCCGGCCGCGCCTCGGCTTGGCAGGAGACTCAATAGGGCCTACGAATGGAATGTGGACATTCTCATGTTGAGAGCACCGCATTTCTTGGTGAAGACAAGACATCTTCGCCCGCACGTGAATGGTGCACAGCAGGAGGGCGGAGAGTCTCTTGCTGACCAAGCCCAGAATGTCAATGACAACCAACTGCGGTCGTCTTTTGAGATCACGGGTTGTCTGCCTCCAAACAAGGTTGCGCAACCGATTCGCGGTGTAGCACATGCCCGACCTCGGTTTTGTTGGGCAGATCAATGCACCTCCACAAGCAGTAGCCTACGACCAGCTGGGACTACGACTCGACGGCACACCGTCTTGTGCATTGGCACCGGAGCTCTCACGCGAACTCATTCTCACCTACGGAATTCGCAAAAGTAAATGTAAGTGGTCATATCTCGCACGCGGTTACTAGTTTGTCTCTTTCTTGTGACAACATACTAATGTGTCTCTAGGGAGACTGAAGAGGAATTCTTTATACCGTCAACATCCGCCATGTTCTGTTGAGAAATCAAAGATTACTCATTACTTGAAGTAATCAACGGCACCCTTTTGACCTTTTTTGCCTCGTGCAGTCCGCCCACGCCAACAGTGGCCTTTTCAATTTCGCCGCCGGAATCGCCTTTGGGCCTGAGGGTCTGTGGCACGACCCATCGCGCCTCTGCCCCCGGGGCCGACTGACCACCTCCACCTATTCGTTAGCCAGCCCGTGGTGACTGCATTCTGCGCTGGCGGTGTTGCCGGTGCTGTATCCCGCACCGTTGTCTCACCGCTGGAGCACCTCAAGATCGTGTTCCAGATCCAGTCCGCCGGTCGCGAAGAGTACAAGCTGTCTGTGGGCAAGGCCCTCAAAGAAGATTTAGGGCATGAGCACCTCGACTGCGCAGACGTAACACGGTCAAAAACAACAAGGAGGCCAGAAAGGTCTCAAGCAGCTCCCTGCCCCTCTCACGAACACCACAAGCACGTGTTCTGGAGGTGACAGCTCTGCCGGGCACAGCATGTGTTCCGGAGGTGATGGTCCTGCCGGGCCCGAGCATGTGGTCTGGAGGTGATAGTCCCGCGGGCCGGGAGAGTCGATCATGGCTGTGCCCGTGGCTTCCCCATATCACCGGGTGCTGGCCAAGGCATCTCTCACCTGAACCTCCATATCTTTCGACTCGACGCTACACTCGATATCATCTAATGAGTGGATCGTTATTCTCGGCAGATATGGCTCCAATCTGGTGCAGCAAGACTCTTGTAGTCGTCAACAAACCAGAACATGATAGCGAGGAGGTTTTGTTTTCTCAGTCACTCAGCACCGCCGCTAAGATCACCGGTGAAGCTTCTGTTCGGCGTTGCACTCACGATGGCCACGGCTGGTGCCCAACAGCATCCGAACATAATCTTGGGGTGCGGTTTGGCCGGGTCACCGCCGCGTGGCGTGCTCGCATTGATGCCACGGCGGAAGATCCAGAGGACGAGAGCCGCACTAGAAGGGCTGTCGCAGACTGGGCTGTCGCAGCCACCGCCATCGCGAACAAGTTGACGGACCCTCAGGGTGCTAAACCGCTCTATGTGGTCTAGATGCCCACATAGGCTACATGCTCCTCTCTATTCGAAAAATTCCACTGAAACGCTTTGTGGTTCCGATCATCAGAGTCTGAATCCGACGGCGACAATGACTAAAAGGGACCAGGCTAGGAACAAGCACCAACAGGGCCCGGAGGGAGCCCCATCAGCAGAGCGCGAAGGGAAGAAATTCGAAGTGGCTTCCAGGCCCTATTCACGGCGCAGATTTGTACCGCTGGGATGTCTGCAACTCGGGTATGTTCTCTTCAAGTCTACGGGTCCTACAGACAAGATATACTGACCAAAATCCAGAGATATCCTAGTGTCCAACAGCACCGTTGGCGAGGATGACTCCTCGTCCTCATCATTGACAATTGGTCACGGTACGCAGGACGTGTTGGACCATGGGTCAGAACAACTGGAGAATACGTCTTGGCCACTCAGACAGATCGTACCAAATTTGGCAGCGCGTGTCCAATTTGCACCAACTCCCAACACCTCGGAGGAGACGAGCACCACTGCTCGAACATCTTTTGAAGATGTGCCCTCCGAAGATCTTCAAACCAATCACGATGACGGCGATTTAGTGAGGAGTGGATAACAGGAGGGCAGTGCCAACCTGGCTTCGTTCCTTCATCTTGAATCGCATTCTAATATTGAAATGCTGCCTCACCACCCTGGCGAGAAGCCCAAGGAGCAGCGGGCCGCGGGCCACGACGAGGCCGCACTGTATACATAATCTAGCTGTCCATGTGAAGGAACTAGTATGGTTTGAGCTGGCCGAAGATGAGAGCGTCTTCCTGGAAACTGCCAATGACGCGATGCCACCGTATTGTGGCAATGGTGGTCGGCAGCTGGTGGACACTGTCCAGCACGACAACAACCACACTCTTCCCGACCTTTCGACCCTTGCATCAACGCTCTTCTGGCTACCCTCTACCCCAGAACAAGATGAACCAGAGAGGAATGCTATAGTTCCAGCGCACAAGAATCCTCTGCTCTGAATACTCCATCTTCTTTAAGAGGCTCATCTGCCAAGAGGAAACACAATTCGAGAGGACACGCCTTGAGAACATACGGCTCGAGGGGATTCTTCCGGAAATCTGCACTGAGGTCAGCTCCAGTTGACAGCAGCTGTCGGCAGTCCGATTCTCAAGTTGTTGACTCGGTGGACTTGGATTGTCACATGAATTACATCTGTATCGTGTGGTAGCTGTTGACATCACATACCAACAAGCTCCGATCAAGACAGCGGGTACGCCGACTTCACCAAATGTGGAGCCTCACAGATGCTCATTCTCTTCAATGGGCTGCATGTGTCACCTGGTCACATTTCCGCGCGAAGACTTTTCACACTTTTCCAAGATCCTTGCAGCACAAATGTTTGAGGAATTCTTGGAGCCAACAACACGCCGGGTGAAGACAGCTCGTCACCATGGCAGGCAAATCTGACAACGGCGAGAACGGTTCCGCTCCCGCCACGCCCAAGGCTGCTGCTGGAGACGGCCACAGCTCGCGGACAGAGGGCCGCTGGGTACCCCGCAAACCAGAACACTGCGACGAACAGGCTGGTCGACCACAGCTTGTGAGAGCGGTTCCGCTCCCGCAGCACCCAAGGCCGCTGCTGGTGGCGGCTTCAGCTCCCTCACCACGCGCGAGCAGGAGATCCTGGCCAAGGCCATGGCCTGCCTCAAGGCCGCGCCATCTCTGGTGGAGTTCTGGAGGGTCTATCAGGTAAATAGCCTTGGGCCTGAAGACATCACCAGTGCACCGCCAAGCGCGCTTCATGCTTTCTACACCCTCGAGTAGACCAACGCGCCTTGATCCTCCTACCGGACGAGAGCAGACAATATCTTGACCAATTCCTCATTTTCTTGTATCCTGTATACCAGAAATTCGTTCATCATGTCCAGCAACAACACCACCAATAAAAGCTAGCCCTGCACAGTTCGAAATTGGCACAGGTATGTAAACAATCCTTTCGTTCTACCCTATGGTCATGGCCAAATTCTAAGAGTTTTGGATTGGTGTGGTGCTAATTAGCAATAGACAAAAGTGTCGCCGCAATGGATCTGCGAATTCTTGCCCTCTCTCCCGACCAGCGAATACTGGGCCCGTGGCACTAGCAGTATGAGAAAGAGATTGCGATCCCTGTGCCAGACATCGGCAATTCTCGAGCCACACTCGATAGTTACGACCCTGGGACTCAGATGGGGATAACAGCGCCGATGAAGGTGTCCCTGAACTTGGTGAACGAGAAGTTCTCACATTCGCCCTGAGCGACATACCTCTGGACGAGGCACGGCCCGCTGCTGATGAAGCTCTGAACACTGTCAGGCGTTCAGCGAAGGAGGACTTTGGCGACGGCGAATTGGAACGCGAATCCAACGAGGTGTACGTCACGGCTTACCGCCCCAAGTACCTGACTTGAAGGAGAGAAAACCGCCGGGTGAGATTCCTATTCGAGGCCTCGGTCCAAACTACGCTCTTAGTAGAGCTCGGTCTCATTTCTTTGACTTGGGGTATGTGAGAGTCAGGACGGACGGCACCAGCAAGCCTAGGGAGAGACTCGGCCGGGCAGACTTGGCTCTCTGCGGATGTTCGCCGCCAATCACTGTCCACCAGTTCCCCCGAGAGTACCACCCTGAAGCAGCGAGCCGGACAGAGGTCGAACCCCAGAGGGGGCCTGATTTCTAGGGTGGTCCGCCGCCCAAGAGAAGCCAGAGAGGCTCTTTTGCGCACGAAACGCCAGCATCAAAGCACTGACAGTAATTTTCTCTCGTCCTGAACCATGGATGGTGAGTGAGATTCTCTCTCCTTGTCAGGTTAACTCGAACCGCCAGAACTTGACAAGCTAATCTTTCCTCGGGATTGGCTGTGCAGAGAGATTGAGCGCGTCTACACCGATGCTCCAAACAGAAGATGATACCATCCCAAGTCCTCGAGAAATACTGAAATGCTTGAAATCTTGTCCTTCCAGCTCAAACATGAACAGGGGCGACCTCAAGGACCAGCGTGGTGCCCGACTCGTTTCTCTTAACATCAAAAAATCGATGCGACAAGTGGTGGACAACCTTTGGCTCAAGTTTTCTGACCATTGTTTGGCATCAACGGCGGAGCCGACAACGTCGTGCTCCTCCTCCATCAAGCTGTCGAAGTTCCGGTTTGAAGCGTTCCCGCTGGACCAGATGGACAGCTGGGAGAAACGGTCGAAAACTCGACCCTCCTTTGTTGCTCGGCCGGAGCAGAGCCGTTGAGCGGCCGTAGCTATACAGCTTGTCGTCATCGTCGACAGCGTGGGGCTTTTCTTCTTACCTCGAGGCCCATGTCGGTCTGTTTCACTTATCTTGAGAACAAGGCCACGTCTTCGCTCACATCGCCTTCGCCGGGCCAACCTAGTGACCAGTCTCCTCGAAACTTGCCTCATCTTAAGAAATTCGAGCTGGACGAGCTGGAGAACCAGCCACCACGACCACCTACTCCGTATTCTGGAACAAGCAGGCCCGTGCCCACGTACTCTACGCAAGCCTTCCCACAGGGCTGTCACCAGACCTTGCCTCTTGGTTTCCCTGTGCCGCTTACTACTTCGGTCAGTCGAATGAACAGCGGAGTTAGCCGTATGAGCAACATATCCTTCCGGTCTGATCCTCGCTTGGTGCGAAGGGCGACAAGAAGTCTGCCCAAAGACAGCTATCCTATGAGATATTGGGAACAATTCTCTGAATATCCCCTAGTCAAGCAAGACTGGCTGTAGCAAGTTGGTCAGGTCTGAGGCCGCACCTCAAGTTATTGATAGACCACACCGGTCAGCGTCTCCGAGCGACATCCCGACCACTCCCTCCGATGGCGACCCGCCTCTGCCCCCGAGGCCGACGGACCACCTCAGCCTCTTCATCAGTCAGCCCGTGGTGGCTGCATTCTACGCTGGCGGTGTTGCCGGTGCCGTATCCCATCCTTCTCGGGTGAAATTCGCCGGGGAAATACTAGCACCTCTACAAATCCACGGCGCCGTTCCTCGATCGGTTTTATATGCGCCGCGGCGACAAGACAATCAATTCCCACCACCTCGTGGGCCAACCACGCCGCAGTCTTCAAGGACTCGGGACTCAAGGACCAGAAGTACCGCTACGACAATGAAAAGAAGCGAATCCTCGGGAAGCAGACCTACTATGAGTAGACCCACGGGACGCAGAAACGGTTAGAGAGGACATACAATGCCGGCTGAGGAGCGAGACGGCTTCTGTTCTTCGGAGTCGGCACACTGCAATCAACATATACAAAGTGTATATCTGTGGCCTGCAATTCTTTCAAGGTCCCAAGCAAGACCTTAAAAGGCCCATGGTGGCTTGAGATGCATGATTAGGTACGAGACTCATCTTTCAAGCTTTTCTACCCTCCCCTCGATCCGAGCAATAGACTAATGCGGCTTGGATTCGAACAGCTGAGTAAGGTCAAGATTGGCTCTGAGCTATGGCAACATCAAGATCCGACGCGGCGGGCCCTACCCTCCAGCTACGGCGGTCGTTTGAACGATCACCACGCCATTGTTGTGTCCAGAGAGAAGAAAAATTAGTGCCGTCTGGGCGCTTATCGACCGCCGCCATCAGTTGCGGAAACCCTGCGGGTGAAATTCCTGGACCCGTGTTGCAATTGTCACCTTCAAGCGGTCCGCAGATGCCATGACCTACGCCGACTTCTGCAAAGAGACTCCGATCTGAGGTCTTTGGACCTTCCAGATCTCCCAACCCGGCGTCTCGTTCACGTGGGAGCGCCGCGCGAAGGTCAACCTGTACAAGGCTGCGCCCGGAATGGGGTCCGTCTGGAAGCGTGGAGACATCCCTACCCAGCCCCGAGACGTCGTCGTTGCGGGCTCCCGATGCCTCAAGCACAGCGGCTGTAAGCCCCAGGAAGTCGCTGGTATCTACCGAGCCCTCGGCCTTCAGCACTCACAGCACCAGAGAGATCATGGCTCCCACTTCCATGAAGACCTACATGGAGTTCTTCAAGGAGGACAAGGGTCGAGGAGATGAGAGATCATGGCTCCCACTTCAATGAAGACCTACATGGAGTTCTTCAAGGAGGGCAGCGGTCGAGGGGATGTGGCACTGTCAAAGACCGAGTCAGCTTCCTCGATCTGGTGTGCCCGGCTGCCACAACCAGGGTCCGCTTACTTGCTCCGGAATGCGTCCGTCTCGGCAATCTAATTCTCAGCTTATAGTCGCCTGAAGGAGAATCTGTTTGGCGAGCTACCAAGAAATAAATCTGCTGTTAGTCAGTGTGGATGTCATACCGGAGGACCCGCGGGCGCTTTTGCAGCCATTCCACAGACTTGTGCCAGCGAGAAGGAGCCTGACCGATAAGGATTCTGCCGGTCTGGGGCCTTACTGCCACCAATATCCGATCGAAATCGCACGCGTACCTCTACGCTATGAGATTGCAAGGTCTTGGAATCCGGGTATCACTTCGCCCTGGGCAGTCTGGCTGGCGCCTTCCGCCCGTTCATGGTCTACCAAGGTTGTGCGCGAGCAGGGCATCGACAAACTGATGACTACTCTCCAGAAAGTGAGAGAAGCTGATCCGATCGACCCATACGGCTCGGGCGGCGGAAACAAGAGAGTCTTTGTTGACTTTCGACGCCGTGGCCAGTCGACTGCGAACCAGCGGTCAATGGTGGACGCTGTTACCGCCGGAAAGATTCTCAGACTGATCGATGTTTACGAGAAGAACCATTGAGTGCCACTCAGGGCACTCACTGCCTAGGCTTCCAGCATTCTAACAAGGCCTGGAGGTTTCGGCACGGACTTTCTGATAAGACAGAGGGTCTGAACACCTAGGATCTCGTCAAGACGGGAATTCAGGACCAGAGAAGCGCGGCTGTAGGGCAGCAGTTGTACAACAACACGGTCGGCGGTTCCTGCAAGGTCTTGAAACCCGGAAACATTCTCGATACTGAAAGTTCATTGGCAGTCTGGCTCTCGCATCCGATATCTTCATGGTGTAGCCGATGCTTCGCCAAGGCCTGGACCGATCTCGTGCAGCTCAAAGAACAGAAGAAGCCGCCGGGATCTCTGATCGGGGGAGGTCCCAACCAGAACCAAAATATCCCACGTGAGCCTGCATTCCCACCGCAACGCGGTCGTCTGTTTCCGAAGTTGTTGAAGTACCTAACCACCTTCTTCTCGGCTTCTCGGCAGTCGTCTCGACTCCATTAGTCAGTATTCCTCTTTACAAGGGCAAGCCAGCACGTGAGGAGACAGAGGAGCTTCAGGAGCGACCTGCGAGGTTGCAGCGCTCCGGACAAGGCAGACAGTCCATGCCCGGCGGTGTCATTCTCACCAGCCATGATTCCATTGCGGAATTCACAACCCCCAACCACCGGAGCATGGAGCGATACCTCTGGCCAGAGTTCCAATGCCGACGCCCCGTCTATCTCAATGTGGGCCCAAGGCGTAGGCATCTACGTGGGGGAATCTGGATATCGATTACCAGAGGAAGAGTGGAGCTCCTTGGACCAGCGGAAAATATTCATCACGTTCTCGGCCGCTCAACCGATTTCAGACTATTGATACAAGCATAATGGAGGGAAAGGTGCCTGGCGTATCACTCGCTGCGTTCCTTCACAGCATCATGGCCCCTGGCTAATCGTTTTCTCCTCCTTTAATTGAGACTATTTCGAGGACAGAACGCGAAATCGATAGTCATGGGCTCCCTAAATTAAACACCATTCATCCAATGGACTTGTCCAATCAGCCTACAAAACACCTCTTGACCAGTCCCAACCATGTCGAGTATCCTCAAGAATTCCCTCTCATACTCCTCTGAATCAGGGCAACACTTCTAAGCATGCCAACTGTCTGTTCTCGGTCTTACTTGACAGACATCCGGAGGAGTGAGACAGATTCACGCGACCTATCCTTCAGGCAGTTCATCGCGAAGACCTACTCCGATGCTTAGGAATCATCTGTCACGATTTCTCCGGGCAGGTGTGACCACTGCAAGTCGCTGCTACGCCAAGATCGCGACTTCGACTCGTCATCAAGCAAACAACTCCGCATTTGACCTCAAGACAGTCTGCGCATCGCGAACTTCTCGCGCTGCAGCATTGACACTCAGTGTCGGATCGCGCCTCGGACCTTGGGCCGCGAGCGCCTAGGTACCATCCAAGGGTCAGGAATCCGGCGCTGCCTCAATTTGATGAGCGACCGGGGCCGAGGGCGAGCACTTACGTGCAGGCACGAGCACATACCAGATGCCCATCCACAACCTGGACCGCCGCTCCCTCGTTGGCATGAATCAGGTGTGCGCCTATACGGAGATGCCTACTTTTCCGACAGGAAAGGCCTTCATGCCGGAGCATGGCCCTACAAGACCGACTCATAGTCAGCTAGAAGATTCTCATGTACAAGGATTCGGACAAGGATACAGCCCTACAGTGCTTAATACCATTGAGCTTTGTTCAGAATTTCTGGCGCTATCCATACCAGATGGCGATGGTTTTGCGGCCATCGCGGAGAACCAAGCCGATCCCAATTTCTGGGGCTCCCAGCCTGAACGAAACCAGTAGCTAAGCTTCCAGTCGGACACAAGAATCTAGGAACGCCAAGTTGCTGAACCAACGGATTGCAGTCAGAGACACAGAAGCCGTTGTCCAAACTCACAGACACTGGAGTAGTTAGTTGTACACTCTACCAGCACAGCAGCAACACCGTTCTGACTGCTCGTGTGCCTCGGCGTCATGTCAGGAGGCTCGTGGGCATTGGAAACGATTGTATCTGGTCATTTACCGGTACACTCCAAAGACATCTATGCATTTGCCTCTAAGAGCGCCCACAGCCCCGTTCGAGGCGAACCTCGAAATGGCACCCAGGACGACTTCGCCTTTCCTCCTCGGCAAAAGAGGCACCATGACCAGAACCGGTTGAGTGTAGTCTTCTCTTTCAATCGATACAATACCCACCGGGCTTGTGATACTCCCACCACGCCGTGTGCACAATCAAGTCTGGCTAATCGGAGAAATCTGTACTGCACAACCTTGTACAATATATTCTCTGACTAGGACTGTGAGTAGGTCAATTCTCGGGTAACACGAATTAGCCCCAGATTGTCAAGGAAAAGTCGAGATGGGCATGTTTGGCACAAATAGGCCGTGGGCGATGCGATGGACTACCGGGAACTGACTTCCCTTACCAATGTGATGGTCGATGAGGGCGGCGTTGGGTACATGGAGCCAGGGAACTCAGAAGTGTGAACCTAAATGTAGTTACGGTTATTGATTCATTTCTCCACCAGTCATTCAGAACGGGAAATTGGTCACCGCGCCCGAGAGTCTCGAGCTCATCATCCTCGAGACATTCAGGCATTAAACATAGGCACTGCGAAAAACACCTCATACTCTACATGTTTACAAGTGGCTCAACTTCGTGAAACAAATGCAGGCCTTCAGTTCAGAATAAAACCTGAGAACTCGATGTAATGTAAATACAGCATTCTTGACGTAGCTTGTACAGAATTGTTGCGACTATCCCCATCTTTTAGTGTCTTCGTTGGACGGTTTGAACTCGCTAAATCCGGTGCAGAGACCCTCGAGTAACCTTGACATCTTAATAATTCAGGCTTGATAGGGTTCTTGTCTTGGTAGGATTCTGGCTCAAAACTGCTGTCAGGCACCATGTGAATGTGGACTTTGCAACAGAGTGTCTACGTATCAAGTCATAATTGTATGCCATGTTGGTAGCTGATCGCATATATTCAACAATTGAATAGTTTTGTCCGCATGCTTCCTTGGTGCGCCTAGACGCCTTCCGTCGGCTGTTCATCGGCGGATCAATACACCTCAGGCTAACGTACTTCAGGGTGAAGGAAATACTGATCCATCGTGCACCTCAAAGAATTCAAATGGCGCATAGCTCCCTGCAGCTAGGAACTTCCCGCGCGATTTATCTGTGAGTGACCGATGTGAGCCGCTGCTGTTCCCTCTGGACAAATTGCACGATGTATCAAGGACCAGCTAAGCTATATTTGACCATTCAATGTTTGGTTGGTGGAGGAAAGCCTTGGATTAGGCTGCAATACATGCAGCGCGTCGACGCAGAGCAATATATTTAGCTTGTCCCTAGAGTATGCACGGACTCTGTAGAGAAATGATCACCGTGAGTCTCTCTCGCGAAAACATGGATCGGCCCACATGCCTTGCTTGAACAGGAAAGTGTTTCTGCAGGTTGTCCGCTCTGATTTTCGCAATCTGAATACTAAGCCAATTGTGCTCTGAGAAAAGAAATTGTCGGTTGCGTCTCCCGACGGATCCCAACAGCACACGGAGAAGACAGGCCGGGCGCTGTCCGATTATAAAAAGCAGAAGGACGTCTTTTGGCAAACACTTCTCTCTCCGTTCCCGAACATTTTTCATGAGCTACCAAATCTGGGATATTTTAACCACAAAATGCATCATACACTCGTTCCGCTCTGCTTCCTGGCAGCGAGCCTTCTCCCTGACTGTGCCCTAGCCCACTGGGAATACACCAATCTCATCGTGGAAGGAGAGGTGATCGGCGAGCCCTACCAATACGTCCGCCAAAGTAACATCTCCAACGCGCCCCTACAAATCGTCAATAGCACCAACATGCGCTGCAACTCAGGCGGCTCCTCCGGCACCGCCCTGGGCACGGAGACCCTGACGGTCCAGGCTGGCGCCGAGCTTGGGTTCAAGATCGCCTCGACGTTCGGCCACCCGGGCGTGCAGCAGGTCTACATCTCGCCCGTCCCGGAAGGCGTCGCGGCGGCCGACTACGACGGATCAGGCAGTTGGGCCAAGATCTACTCGGCGAGCTACACGCTCGCCCCCAGCTCCACGGCGGGCTCGCCTGAGCCGGCCATAGACCCCCAAAACGGCATCATCTGGGCCACCCGCAAGACCCACAGCTTCCGCTTCCCCCTGCCCGCCGAGCTGCCGGCGGGCGAGTATCTCATCCGTGCCGAGGGGCTGGCCCTCCACGCTGCGCACAAGCTGAACAACGCACAGTTCTATGTTGGGTGCGCGCAGGTCCTTGTCGAGTCTGAAGGGGGTTCGGGTGTGTTGGGGCCGCTTGTCGAGTTCCCCGGCGCTTATGACAACACGTCGCCTGGGGTGCTGATCCCGGACTTTTGGACCAAGATCAGGAACTACACGATGCCTGGCCCAGCACTGTGGCCAGAGGGGATGGAGGTGCAGCATGTGGTGAAGACGCTTGATGGCGAGCTTCCGTAAGTCGTGGGCAGATGGTCTAGGTCTGTGGAAATTGATCAACTGACCGAGTATTGTCTCGGAGACCTGGGAGCTACACATAAACTAGAGCATGAGGACTGCTAGTCTCATAATCAGTATGAAGCTCTTGAACCATTCGCGCAATATTTTCAAGTGATCTTTCCCATGCTTGTGTCCTCAACTCATCGACAAGTAACCCTGTGAGCCCTGTAGTACTTGTCTTGGGCCAAGCTTCTCTAATACTGGGCTTTTCGCGTGTGGCACCGCCTGACAAGTTTGACAATTACAGAATGCTCAACTAGAGGTACATATTATGATTGACGATGACACTGACCCTTGTTGAAATGGTACTCACAAATGCGATCAATGTTCAGGGCGAAGGAAACATCTTGCTCTGCTGCACACACAAGGTCTCCTTCAGCCAAGACGCTGTACTACCCGCGACCTCCGCGCGTGCGTTACCGATAGGCCGGATCTCATGTTTTGATGGAAAGAGATCTGACCCCACATAGACAGGGTTAGACTTTATCCGTAGAGGTGAAGTCACACAAGTCGGTGTTAGGACCTCGTCACGAACGTCCATGAATGTGCCTACAAAACTACGCACCGAATGTAACAATGGTCTCGGTCTTGATCTCGCCTCAGCTAATCATTAGGATTTGCTCGAAAATATATGATTCAATAGAATGATTATAACAATTCAATTGGCACGTGCATTCTGAGAAAATGTAGCCGTCACTGTGCATATAAATCGATCGATTCGGCTTTAGACAAGGCACTGGTATTCGACGGACCCACCTCGCCAACAAGACGAATACTCTCGGCCTCCACCATCATTCAGCTTGTGGTATACAGTTCGTGAGGTCGGACCTCGGACAACATATACTTCCATAAGTGGGCCTGTAGGCGGACCTGGCTTCCCAAGAAAGCCGGGGTCTCCGCATCCCCTGCGCTCGGAATCGACGGCCGATTGTTCACCAGGAGTGGAGTTCTCACGTTCTCGGCTGTGCAACACATCGCCCGAGATCGATCTGCCATGTTTCGTCCCGATGCGCAGAGGTGGCAGTCACGGTTCCGTCATCGCGGCCCCCCCCCCTTGGTGTGGGTATCTTCTTCCCGGGCGCTGGGCAGGGCTGAGGGCCAAGACAGTAGCTTCGCCGCTGTCACTGTCGAGTTCATCAGCCCAGCTGGAACCTTGACGGGGGTGGAGGTGGAGGCGTTAAGCGAGTGCGATGAATTCTAATGACAGCCATTTTGACCGAGGCCTTCAGGATATAAAGATGCATCTGCGAGGACATCGCCTGGCATATGTGTGGCCTTGACCAAGCAACACTATCTTGATCGACACCGGTACACTGCATTTCTGCTGATCGCTTCATTCGTTCACTCAATATGCATGTCACATCCGTTCTTCACCCTCTTGCCTGGCTGACAGCCGCCGTCGCCGCGTCTCCCCTGCTTTCCCGACAGGGAGTAACGGCCAATGGCACGAATGTCGTTTCAGCTCTTTGGGATGGGTAAGTCTCGCCCCCAGGGCTTGCCCCAGGCCTCATGCCAGCTCGCCCTCCGCCTTGGTTCGGCCCGGCCCCTGTGTGCCACACACACACGCGTGGCCATCGGTCCGGAGCTTGTTAATCCCAAGGTCCATCCACTCACATTCTCCCGTAGCACCTGCGTCTACCCCAAGTCTGTCTCGACTTTCGACCTGCCCTCTTACCTTGGCACGTGGTATCAGGTGGCCGGATATGAGGCTATTTTCACCGCCGGCTGCAAGTGTGTCACAGCGAACTACTCCCTCAACGACGACGGGACAGTTGGTGTGAAGAACCAGTGCGAAGCAGTGGGACTACCCATCACCATCACGGGATCGGCAGCTCCTGTCGACCCTGTCTATGGCGACGCTGGGGCGTTTGAGGTTACCTTCTTCAACTCCACCAATGCCTGCCCGGGGCCCAACTACATTGTGCAAGGTGAGTGCAACCACGGTCGAGATCGAGCGGGATGGAATCTATGATGAGTTCTTGGGCTAACTCATATTCTCAAGAATATGTCGTGGACGACTATGCTATCGTGCAGTCGCCTAACTTTGGGACGCTCTTTATTCTGAGCCGAGAACAGAACGTGACGGAAACTAAGCTCAATGTGAGTACAATAATCTCAACATGTATCGGACTGTTTAAATTGACCTTTTACAGGCTCTAATCACGCGTGCTGTTGAGCTTGGCTCCAAGAGGTCGCTCATCAAGATCAACGACCAGTCAGGCTGCCTGCACACCTAGCTCTACTCCTGGGCTTTGGACACAAGCCAGCATATATAACAGTTTCCCCCGTAGTTAAAACCACCATAGAATAATTTGATACATACTCAAGTTCCTGGAAGCCTACCTCAGCGATGTGCCCCCTCCCCCCCCCTCTTCAAACCCTGACTACAGTCGTTCAAGTGCTAGCTGGTATAACTCGACGCATCATTGCTCAAACACAGCGCCGTCGGAAAGCCGCAGGCAAATTAGGGGGAAGGTCAGGTTCGATCAGCTCGACCATTCCGTGAGTGGTCAGAATACAGCTGTCGGTCGCGTTGGCTGAGACGAGCACAATCAGGGTCTGGATCAGCTGAGGCTCAAATGCCAGGTGACGTCACCCCGCCGGGCCCCAGTCCAACGACCGCCCCTGCCCGACCAACCACCAACGTCGCATCACGGTCGCAGTCGTTCGTCATGGAGCTTGCCAGACAGCCACGGACCATGGGCTGCCAGGGGTGCGATCAAGATTTCCAAGTTTTGTCTTATCTATCAGGCCCCTCGGATGCCACGCAGCAGTCTATTCTCTGAGTAAGGAGGCTTGGCAGATGATACAGTACATACGGCTGGGCGGCCCGCTCCGGTGTTCTGAGCTGGGCGTCTGGGTCTAGAACACGCCGAGCTCTTGTTGGAGCGACTGTGTGGGCATGAGCTTGACCTCTCTCAACTACTCATTCATTGAATGTATTCCCGATCTCATGTCTCAGCTGCCACACGAGAGACATGCACACACACACACACACACACACACACAAATTTGGTCTCTTCTCGAAGACAGTGAGGACTAGGTCAGCTCACCAGTCCCGAAGCCAGGCACGGCCAACAACAGACTTCGACACCAAGTCTATCGAAGGGCTATCTCCGGGTCGACAAGATGCGCATATTCCTCGAGAGAGTCACGCTCACCTTGGTGAACATGTTCTGTAAGCCAACCAACCAACCTGGCTATCAACTCCTCCTCGCCTAGCTCAAGCAGGCTGACCAACCCCCTTTTCCCCCAGTACCGCCCCTCTCGGTGATGCTCGTCGCAGGCGTCGGCATGGACGCCCTGGTGAATACCCTCTGGTTCCTGTGCGGCGTCATCCCGGGCCACGTGCACGGCTTCTACGTGACTTGGACCTACTTCTCGCGCAAGAAGAAGGTCCGGAAGGGCCGCTACCCGGGGGGACCGAAGCCCTTCATCTACAGCCGCCGCGTCATCAACGGTGACGCCAGCGAAGAGCGCGTGCGCCAGCTGTGGAGGGCAGAGCAGAGGGCCAGCAGGGGGGAGGACGATGACGCCTTGCGGAAGCGGGCGTCACGGAGGGCATCGCGGAGGACGTCGAGGAGGTCCGAGGTCTGACTTGTTCGGTTGTTCCACGAGGCGTTGCGGGTAGGGTTGGACCGGGCGGGCCAGCGACTGGTGCTGGACATGATTTGAGGACGTTGGCGGGCTTCTATGCCACTGGTCATGAGATACCCATGAGCTTGTTTCCTTCAAACAAACGGCCTTGCCTGGTTCTAGGAGCGCCTAGCCAAGTGCCCAGGTAGGTGGCCATCTGTGGTTTACAGTAAACGCATGCGACTGTGAGCTCCAGGTACCTTGCAAACGCTCAATTCAGGCCTATGACCCCGGTTCCAACATACTGCCCAGCAAAAGCATCTACGATGGACCTTGACACCAAACCAAGCTCACTTCTTGACCAACTTGTACTTGCCGCCAGCAACCTCCAGCTCCCCAAGCTCCACCTTCTCCGCGAGGAACTCCTGCAGGTCCTGGTCGCTCCAGGAGAACCCATCTGTGATCAGCATCCGCATCATCATCGCCAGCTGCCCCAACTGTGCGTTCGGCATCGAGTTGGTCAGCATACCCACAATGAACTGCCAGTACATGGCCCTTCTCTCGTTCTCTTTGGCGTCCATCGCACTCGTCGTGCCCGCTCGCTTGAGAGCAGTGGGCTTGCCCCCCGGCTGTGCCCCGTGGTCATCTTGCATGACGGCTGGCGCCGAGGCCGCGGGGTGAAGCTCGGGACGACTGAGAGGCTGATCTCTCCGCTCGAGCACGACAAATGTGTTCTGGTCGTGGGGATAACGGGCGAGGACTTGCTTGGACTCCCAGTATTCTAGGCCCTGCAGAACAAGCTCCTCATCCATTTGCAGGTGTTCATGGAGTTCTTGAACGGTCCGGTGAGCCGGACCTCTGTGCTCTTCGTTTCCGTCATCATCTTCGTCTCGAAATGCGTAAATGACAGCCGCCTCAAAGGTTCTGCATTCCACGTTGACGGTGCGGTCTTCAAGCTCCAACTCAACGGTGGCTTGGCCGAGCTGGTGTAACCAGGTGAGTTTGCGTGCTGACTTGAGGCATTCGTAGCCCCTTCCGTACCTCGCCTGTTGTTCTATGACAGGTCGGGGAAGGGTGAAGGTCTCTTGGACGATATTTGGCCAGTACAGACGAGACAGAATGCGGGCTTGGTAGGGTAGCAGGCCTTGTTCCTCTTCCTCCATATCCAGCTGTTGGCCGGCATCCACGTACGGAGTGGTAGGTGCTGGTGTACCGAAGACGCGAGGAGCCAGTGTTGGCTTCCCCAGCTCGACCATCCGGATAATGCTGTCGACTTTGCGGGAGTCGAAAATGTCCTTGATCATGACTTCACAGTTTTGGAGAGCAGATTCGCCGAAGCGTTTCTTCAGAAGATCCAGCACCCTCTGTTCCTGCGTGAAATCCGTCTGTGTGGAGAGCAGGTTGTCCGCGATGATTGTTTGGAACTCCTTAATGAACACATCTTCAGCTCCAAGAGTGCTGATCAGTGTGCCAATGACATCCTCGGATCTAGGACGTTTGTAGTTGACACCCGCGTCAACTGGGTCAGGCACCCAGTTCATATCATCCCAATCCAGGTCTTCATCGTCAATCTCCACCCGTCGTTGTTGATCCGGGTCGTTGAGCAGCATGGCAAGCTCGACCAGCTTGCCGCTGGCACCCGTACCGGATCCCAGCTCCTTGGGGGACGACGTGGCCTTCTGGGCCTCCTCCACTTCCTCTGGACCCGCGAGCATGCCTGTGACCACGATACGGACAGCGTCTTCTCGCTGGATCAGGTAGAGTTGGAGTGAAGAGACCACCCGACTCAGGAGCACCTTGGAATGGTCTAAAGCGTGAAAGGTGCGAATCATGGAGATGTAGACTCGCAGTATGTCTAGTGTGGACCGGGCAGGGTGTAGAAGTCGCTTCTGGAGCGCCGCCGAAAAGGAGTCGGTCAATTGTCGTCGCCGTTCAGGAGTTGTGACACTGACTTTCAGGTCATCCAGCGCTCCCTTGCTGGCCGGCCACTGGAGAACAATGTCAAACAGCTCAGAGATCCGCAATGCAGCAATGTGACCTATGGCTATTTCTTTCCACTGCTGAAGTTCTGCCAGGGGCACAGCAGTCTTCGCTTTCGAGCCATGGCCGTCGGTACGACTGCGTACTTCCAAGGCCAGGCGAGCGAAGTGGTTCTCTACCCAGTGGCAGAGAGATACGATGCACCAAGATGCTTGTGTGAGGTTCATGGACTTGGCTGCAGCTTTGTCTAGTCCATGGAAGCCCCGATTGTTTACTGGAGCCGCCTTCCAGACTTGTGCGTAGGACCGACCGACGTATTCTCGCATATTTCGATCCATGACCTCGGCGAACAAGCCTTGAAAGCCCTCACCCGCAAGTCCAACCTGTGCAAGAGCCCCCACGAGGTGCAAGAGCTGCCCTCGTGCATTATCAACTTGATTGTTATCAACTCTTACATCCTTGAGACTGATGTGCTTCTGCTCGGCCTTGGGGAGCTGGAGTGCCTGCTCTGTGAGAATATCCAGCACTACACGCAGCGATGGCAATATTGGACCAGCTGAGTTGCTAATCAGTGCATGCAGATCCCGGCGGAATCGATTCACAATGGTCTCTGAGCTCCTGGGTGGTGCCCTCGGCCGGTCCCCCCGCTCTATCCCGCGCAGTATCAAGGCCAGGGAGTGAAAGTATTGCTGCAGTGCAGCTTCCAATATGTGTACTGCATTTTCGACGACGATCAGATGATCTGTGTACGAAGCCGTCTCATTCTGGACCCTCAATTTGCCCGTGGCAGATGTCGCGGCCAGTAAAGGGTCGACATGCTGGATAAAGTGCCGTCTAGCTTGATGGCTATGCCAGGCCAGGATGGTGTGGTCATGGCCAGTCTCTGGATGGCGAGCTTGCAGCACCACCTGAAGCGCAGCATTGAATGCGACCTCATCCTCATGGAACTGGAATGGCAACTCCGGAGGCAGAACCCCGGACGATTCTTGGCCCGACGCGGGATGTGGCAACTGCAATGTCGTCGTGACAGTATGCCAAGCACGGTCAAAGGTGGTCTGGTCATCTGCACTCCTGGTGGCATCCCTGCTGGGATTCTGGCCGGAGGGGTGCCTCTGAGACGTCAGAGGAGCCAGGAGGAACGAGGCCGTGACTGGGGAGAGAATCGTGGACGGCTCTGTGTGGTGCCCAGGAACTGGCGCTGATGGGTTGGGCTGCGGTGTCGGCAGCGAGCTTTCAGTAGGAAACACAGACCGGAAGACCTGGTTCCTCTTCGCCCTCCACTGAGAGTGGGCAGATTGTGCGACCTGGGCGGCCATGCTGGTTGCGAGTGTGCTTGTGTGCTTGCAGCGTGACGGAGTGGTGACCCGCAGATGAGACTCGATTGCTGCAGGAAATGAGCCTGAATCCCTATCAGAGACCACTCAGCATGACTGGGATGGGTCTCGCTCCCTCCTCCTTCCTCAGGAGCTTGTCGCTTGTGCAGAAGCAGGTAGCCAGTCTGGTCCAATCCTCTTGGTGGTGGCTGGCAACAACGGGGAACAATCGCCTTCGCGATGCGCAGGTCCTTCCTTCCTCCTCCCCTGAAGCACAGTCGGGCAGAGGTCGCCTGTTTGAGCAGCCCTGATCTGGGAGGTCCCAGTTCATGCCGATATGCAGTGCAGTCGGATGCAGTCTGGTGCAATCCTTGCGAATCCTGTGTCTGTAGACGCTGAGATGTGGCGAGTCATGCAGCACAAGGTCATTTGTCAGTTCTGCAGGGTGTGGTCTAATGTGCTGGGTGGTGGTGCCCACAGTGGTGGTGGTAATGGTGGTGTCGTGTTGGCGGTGATGATGGTCGAGGATAGTGGATGCCGACGTCGACGTCGATGTTGGTGTTGATGTTGATGTTGACTCGTTGCCCCGTGTGGGGCTACTTGCCTGTCGCGACTGTCCCGGTAAGCCTGTGTTGGAGCATGGTTTGTGTAGCAATGCACCTAAGCGCGGGCGCTTAGGGGAGGGTGCGCCTGCGTCTGTTGCGCCAAGCGCCTGCCGTTCAACCCGATTGACTGTCCCAACTGCCTCGTTTGTGTGTGTCCCACTCGACCAACATCCAGCAAGGCTCGCTCCTGCCTTCAACGTCCATCGCCGTCATCACTCACACCGCCGCGCTTTGCCCTCAACTCCCGCATCACAGGCTTGTCCTTCCTACCAATGATGCAACGCCCAGAACCGACGTCGAGACGCGGGATGCAGTCCCTACATTAGCCTCCCCGTCATCGCCAGCCTCTGTGGTCTGGCCCTTCTTCGGCGACCAGCCGTGACGACTTGCACCTCTCGCACTCACGCCCGTACCCTCATCCTCACCCTCAAGTTGTCTAGCCGTCTCCCTGCCTGACATGGTTGGTATCGCTCCCGTAACAAGAACTACACGCATTGGCCATGACAGGGTCTTGCTGACTCCGGACTGCGATGACTGCATTCCCAGTCTCGTCTCTCCGTCGGTCTGATCGCTTCCGCCCCAATGCTCCATGCTCCAATGATGGCCTGCCGGTGATAGCGCCCACGTGTGGCACAATGTCAGAACCTTACGCTGCAGCATCTAGTGTAGATGTTCGACCACTCATTCGCGCTCGAGCCGCCGTCGGGTCATCTTGCAAGCCACGCTGTCTTCCTCTACCCCCTCCATCCCGTAGCCTGCTGTCTGACTGAAGGAGCAATAGTCTCTGAGATCGCCAAGAAATCTCACAACGGCGATACCTCATGGTCCTCGAGTCTTCACAGGAGCCACACTGGGATGATCAGTGAGGCAGCGATCTCGACTAGCCGCCGGGTCAAACGCCCTATCTTCGTTGTGGGAGACTCTCATGTCACATTTGCGGCACTCTACGCCAGTCTCTACGGATCCTAGCCACATGGCCGGCTCAATCAATCACAACAACGTCTTCCACACACACATGGGGGGCTGGGGGCTCAAGATCGACGAAGCGGAACCCTCTTTCGCGAGCACCGATGAAACGCTTCGCTCCTGCCGCCCTCGAGGTTTTTATGCATAGGCTGGCAAGCCAGCCATGGAGCTCGTCAGCAGATGAAGCACTTATCTTTAACCTTCCCTTTCAAGCCTTTGCGCCGCCGAATTCACGTTCAGCGTGCTTCGTCATCCTTATGAGGGTTGTCTTGCTCACCACGTCCTTAGATACGCCGTCACATGTGCCGTGCATCTAGCGAAGTGTTGAGGGATCTTGGAGCATCCGTGGGCGACAGTTTTCAGACCACAACACCTGTCCTGCATGCGAACGCGTCTCATGACCCTATTCTGTTGGAGGAGCGATGGCACGGTACCAGTTAAGCCTCTGACAAGCTGTGTTTTGATTTCTTGTATTTTTGGCACCTGCACCAGTACATGATGGAGAGAAACCATTCGACGACGCTATTACTACCTCTCACGCATAGACGTGTGCACGCACATCATGACAGATTGCTAGCCAAGCCCTTGCGGACGGCCAAGTTACATTGAACCGGTCACGATCGATGTCGCCGTCGGGGGACCCTGGTCTACCTTCGGGGCTCACCCGGGACCGGAGAACGCCCATCGTCTCCGGCTCGGCTCTTTCTGCCAGGGCCCCTGGCACCCACGGATCGAAATCATAGACACTGGAACCACAAGAAGCAATCATATTGCAATCGTGCCTGGACTTCTGGCACAGCAATATGGTTGACGACGATCCCGCACTGTGCAACGGGTATTCAATTAGCGAACGATCATTGGGCTTGCCAAGCAGTCTTTTCTCTTCAGTATATTTTCTCACTGACTCCAATAATAGCAGATTGGCCTGGCTAGCTGGCTGCTTTGGCGTTCACTCGGTGCAGATCGGCTTTCGATTTGGCTTTTGGCCTCTCAAGTTGGCCTCCCAGCCTTGACTGAAACATGCATGTCGACATCGCTCAGCGTGCTGGGATCGCAGATATCTTTAGATGGTAGCCTTCGCCTTCGCTCCTGATCACAACACAAATTGCCCTACATTTGGGGGTCGCTCTCTTGTATATCCCTGGCACCAAATTGCCTTAGACGTGCAGCGCCGGCGACCACGCAGATCCGCAACAGGCGATGCACTACAACGTCTCGCCATGACATGCGGGACTTGAGCTCACGTCACAGTCGCGAAACTATCACATTTCTGCTCCACAGCCAGTGACGCATTTCAGGACGCCAAACTTGCTGCTAGGAAACTGGGTTGTCAGGGGCGTCCTGTGTCTGTTGAAGCACGGAGCAAAGAGCACAGGCCCTGCCAGGTCTGATATCGACACACCCTCACTAGGCCCTTGCTTGGTCCAGGACCAGTCCCTGCTCCGTGCTCGAGGTGTTCCACCGGGCAAACAACCCCAGCAGTCCAATGTAACACCGGTGACTGGTGTTGTCGAGTCTCGTTGCAGGGAATTCTGTTGCCTGGAACTGACGTCCACTCGGCTGGTAATGATGATTAATTTCTAGTGGGCTGCTTTATTTTAGACAACCACGTCGACCAACCTATCTGCCTGTCTCCAGTCCCGCAATAATGTCGGCATACCACCTAAGATCACCCAAATCCTGCTGCACAGCGGCCCGTCGGTTGTGCCTCACCCTCGCTCCGCCAGCCACCGCTTTCTGTCGAAGCGCCCGTCACTCGAAGAAGCCACAACGGCGACAAAAACTACAATGGCATACTGCCACGAGGCACATCGGTAGCCACCATGCCAGGAACCTGCTCACGGTGGGCTTATCGTTCGCCTGATTCACCTGTAATTGACTATGGGATGTAGCGTATGGTTGTCTCTTTTCAAGGCGGTGGCCAACCTGAACTGCATGTCTCCTCGACGGTAGCAGGTGAGATAAGGTGCTGACAATGTATCACTGTTGGCTGTTCTGAGGTGCATCCCCTGAAACCAAAATGGACATCGCAGTACGGGCCTTTCGGGAACCCCACAGTTCGTATGATGGACCAGTGGCATGGCTAGCAGCGTCACTGTCGGCATTGTTATCACTTAATCCGGTGCACTGAGGGAAGAACTCGCTGGAAATCCTCCTATTGCGGTCGCTCGGTGTGATGGAATGCAGTATTTCCAATCCACGCACATAAAGCGATCGTGTTCGGATATTTTAGCTGCAGTTCCACCGGCGCACCCAACTATGCGCTGCAACCGTATCCTGCTTCTGTAGGGCTTCGAACGTCCTGGGCGACTTGGTGGTCCCAAGATGTCGGTTATTCAGCGACCAATGATGGTCGGTTGATCACCGTCCACCGAGCCTCTAGCCCGGTCAACCGAAGCATGGGAGCATCAAGGCTCGCGCACCCCATCCGGTTGGGACGCGATCTGACCGCAAGGTCCACATTCCCCACACCGCGCTGGAGACTCGGGCCCGGGACAATGTGTGCAGCCGCGGTTTGTAGCACTGTGGTCTATCGGCCCAACAAGGCCCTGTGCCACCTAATCCAAGTTGAGAAGCTCGATCAAACCTCGGATCCGCAAGGCATCTAGCCCATTTCTCAACGCAGACAGCGTCGACCTAGAACATCCAGGATATCCCACCTGTTCGATCGCACCTCGTTGGCTTGGGCCAGACCGCAGTGGGCCTGGCTATCACCCTGCACCGGTTGCAGTGGCATGATAAACACATACGTGAACACTAGCTGCGGGTCCGAGACGACGTCGGAGATGCTGGGATTGTCCACCCAAGCAGCCTAGGCTTTGCGACAGTGTCACTATTTGTGTGCGAACTGTCTGTACTCCTTGAAGCAAGCCACACAAAACCGTGGAAGTGGAACCGACGGGTCGAGCAACAGCTGTTGGCGAGCGATCTTCACGCATCTTGCCCGATGATGGCCTGCAGTCTGTCAGCCACAGCATCACATTGGCGGCCGTCTTAGCATCGATTTGCGGTGTCGAAAAGCACTGGCGTGACTGACGATGCCTGATGTGTAGCAGATTGTCTCACCCGGGGGCTGCTTAGATGTCACAACAGATGATCGCACGGCAGCCCGGATTGGTAAAAATGGAAGCTGATAAGGCTGGACGCTGTCCTACCGTCTCGCCGGCCAGGTGATCCGGACTAACATGCCTCGAGGCGGCCAAGTCCGCAACCCCGGAAACAGAGAAAGTGATGAAACAGACATCTGGAGTTGGTCACCACTACATTCTCACGCAGCATTCTCCGTTGCAGACGCCTCGGGTGAAAGGGGTCGCTCGGTGACGAGCTTCATCCAAGATGGCAGGCAGGGCTGGTGAGCTGCGCCCGACTACGGGCACGGGTGTCGATGGCCGAATCCGCGTCCGCGGCAGCCCGGCGAAACGGCTGTCACACCTAGGGCGGCTCACAGACGACGCGGTGGATGCCCGGGAGACGAGACTGCTCTGTGCACCACAGCCTCCTAAGAAACGGTGCAGCGGCGGTGTCAGTTGTACCGAGCACGGGCTGGTTTTGCCTCAACGGCGTCGCATCGGGCCATCGACGCCTCCAGATCCAGACGCCATTGACGACTGCTAAACCGCCTCAGACGGGCGTTGGTCATTTGCTAAGGACGCCCCGACCGTGTGTGTGTGTGTGTGTGTGTACACTGGCAATTGTGTAGATACAAAGGTCCTCGGTACACGCCAGGCGACCTGACCATCAAGGGTCTTCAACCGGCCCTACTCTACTGGGACGACCCTTGCCCGCGGTGCCTTAGGCCGCCGGCTCGTCTGCTCCCTCGCCTAGCTGTTCGGCAACGGTGGCCGTGCTGGCCGGCTTGGTGGCACTAAGGTCGGCGCAAACTCACGATCGTCCTGGGGACCCGCCGCCCCATTTTGGAGTGACAGCTGGGGCTAGCCGTCTTTCCTTAGCCGCGACGGGGCTGGGTGCCATGCAATAGCAGTCGATGGTTATGGTGGGGCCGTGCACAACGGCCATCACTTTTCTTCCTCGGGGCTGCAGCTAGCAGCTAGAAAGTCACCGTTGCAGCCAGCCCTCCAAAAATCTATTTCCGTCTCGGGCTGTACCACCTCAGCTTCTGCCTGTGTTACCTGCCACCGCCGCGGGGGAAACCACACACTCGCGCATCCACATCACTCGTCACCGTCGCAAAGAGCGGAACCCCGGATGACGGAGCGCTCGGTCAGCCAACAGGTCTCCAGGGACACGGCCACGGCCTCCCCTAACAAACCTGCCGTTTCGAAACGACCCGTCATGTTCACCCCCAACATCTCGGTCGGCGACAAGTGCGGTCGGTCTACTGCATCTCATCTACAGTAGGGCTCGACCGAACCCCTCCCCTGTCTGTCTGGCGGTCGATGCCCGCCAGCGAGCCAGACACACAGGACGAATGGGAGGCTACAGTGAATTTTGCCCATTTTCAATGTCGACCGCGTGCCAATGACAGCCACCTGCCCCATCACCTCGTCAATGACACCCCTCCCTCCCCCCTGCATTCACTCTTGCCAAGCGGTGCAGTAGTGTAGTCTCTTCAGCGGTACGACGAGGCCAGCGCCGACTTGTCATCTGTTTCTGTCTGAAGTCTCCGTCCGCATTGCGGGTGTTGTGGGCCCCCTCCCAGTGCCTGCAGTGCCTACTTGGTCTACATGCAGAGTACACAATGTGTTCAAGTGAATGCCTAACAGCCACCCCACCCCTCACCCCTCCCCGGCACAGATCCCCTTGCGTTGATTGGATCCTCCAAGCGACCTTGGTGCAGACGCTACTGAGCCCAAATGCCGCCAATAGGAAGACCGGCGCGGGAAGCCTTGTACGGTGTGTCTGACACCCGGCGGCCGACTCTGGTCTGCCTCCGCTGGTATCCACGCCCACATGGTGGTTGATGGTGATGGTGACGACTGGGAAGGCCCTCGCCGGGTCTCGCTCTCTCTTGTTCCTGTCGCGGTAGGATCAGGGGCCGGTCATCCACTGCCAGCCTCCCCGCTCCACCCCCTTCCGCAGACAAGAGAGAACATAGACGCGATCAAGGCAGTGGTTTCCCTGCTCAGGTGCTGGAATCCAGCCACGAGCTACTCCTTCCCGCGACTTGGCAGATCTCGTCAGACCTCCGGCTGCTGACGGGCGTTCGGCGGTCGGAGCCACGAGCAGATTGTCTATTGTGTGGCAGGCAGGAGCCTGACGTGACTTCCACAGGGCTGACCTAAATTTGGGGCGCCACGTGGTGGGGTGCCGGTGCCGGTTGCCAGCCGGAGCAAGGCAAAGGCAGAGAAGGCAAGGCTACTGTAGCACCCAAACAAGACACACAACAGGGTCGCAGCAAGCGGCCGGCTCAAATCTGCGCGCAACGACCAAGGGCCTGCACCGGGGTGGGGTACGAGGCCCAGAAGGGGCCAGAGTCAAGTACGTACAGATATACACGGGTACATCGTAGCGTGGACAGTTGGACATGACGACGTTGGGCGGTTGGTAGAGCTGGTTAAATTCCGACTGTGGACAGGCCTCTGCTGCACGGGTTGGCCGTGACTTGTTTCTGTTCTACACGAGACGGGACTGCCGCCTGCTGGCGCGCATCTGTGTATCTTCATGCATGCATGTCTGCGGGCGGGTGTGCGGGCGTGCATGGTATACACATGGTGCCGTCGCATTGATGTGACCAAATCGCCTCGTGTGAAAGAGAAAGAGTGTGTGCGTCTGAGTAGGCCTGGTTGGCGGTCTGGTTTGTGGCCGGCCGGCCATTTCCTGGGCTGTGACCTTGCTGGCCTTGCTGGCTGACTTACTGAGCTGGGCTATACCCTCACTGCATACACGCGCGCACACGCACACAAGAGCAACGTGGGATGGAGATGGCCGGGAAATCATGATCCGACCCGACCCAAGTTTTATTAGCCCGAACCAGAGAATCTCTTGTGCACTAGACTAGGCACCGTATGGGCCACGTGCTGCAGCCCAGTCCGGTTCAGTCACGACCACGTGCAGGAGGATGCGAGCGTGCGGATATTACCCCGTCGCTGTTGAGCGGGAGGATTCTCTCGCAAGGGGGGAGGGTGGCAGTGAGTGAGAGAGAGTGTTGTGTCCAGGCGTGTGTGAGATGTGAGATCCAGTGAGAAACGAGGGAGCGATATCCGGCCCCCGTGTTCATAATACCACAGTAAGCCAGGCGTGGTTCCGAGTTGGGAAGGAGGCTGATGTGGGGTGGGGAGAATGGGGGGGTTTTGATACCACAGTAAGAGAACGAGAGTGAGAAAACGTGGAAAACCCTTGGCGTGCTTGCGAGGTGGTGTGTAAGACGACACCAGCAGCAGCAGCAGCAGCAGCAGCAGCGAAGCAACATGCAGCATGGGTCGGTCGGTCAGCCTCGCCCAATCCGGTGAGCGAGGACTGCTTGCTGGCGGCTGAGACCACCCCCGGAACGGCGTGCGCTTACAGATGTTACATTGTCCTGACCACCACATGCCCAGATACACGTTGTCGCCAGCTAGCTGATGTCTTGCCGCTGCGTGGGGTGGATTTATTTTTTGGAAGGGGGAGGGGGCGGGGGAGACGGGGAGGTCGAGGGGGGAGTAAGCCTCGCAAAGCAAGCAAGCTGCGGCGTAGGCGTGCAACAGAGGCATGCGTGCATGCACGTCAGCGGCGAAGCTGGCCCCCCCCCCTTCTCTTTCTTCGTCTCTTCCCAACTGGGCTGCATTCTCTGCTTACTTCCTCGCTTGCGCTGCAGCTGTTGGCGCACGTGGGAAAAAAAGAGAGGTGGGTGTGTCAGGCACAAGGGGGTGTGTTGTAGTTGGTGGTGTTGAGTGGAGTGGAGTGACTGGCTGGTTGTGCCGCACACGTATTCGTCGTGTTGTGTCGCATGCGGCGGCAGAGGAAGGCAGAGGGAATTCCCCGGTGCGGGCGATCCTGTTTCTTTTTCTCTCTCCGAATGGCATGGCATGACCAGACACACACACACACACACACACCTACGCCCCGGGCTTGCTCACGCCAGAACAGGTATCGTAGTGTTCTTTTTTCGGCTTGGGTGTTGGCCTTTCCTCGAGCCCGCGCCGCAGGCCTCGTGGTGCAAGGCCTCTCTCCCCTTGCCCTTTTGGCTGGCGTGGCATGGCGTGCATGGGCTTCGAGAAGCGCCGTGGATTTCCTCGTCTGCGGCGGTGGTGAAGGTGTTGGTGTTGGTGCGGCGTGTCTCTGCTGCGACTACTGCTCCTGCTTGGTAGATGGACACAGCACACGGTACATCCTATGATGTGTGTCTGTCCATACATACTTACGTACATGTCAGTATTATGCGGCTCCCACCTTAAACTGAATGTGTGCTGCTGCCGGCCCTGGCCGCTCGTCCATCTGTCGGCTGACGCCCCGTCCGGCGCTGAACTCCGACGGCTTACACCAGAACGCTTTCCTCCGCGCCGTGCCGGAGCAACACAAGATACAGGACCCCTGGATTCGGACGAGGGGGGGGGGGGAAGGTCAGGCACATTCCCTGGAAACAAGATGCTGCATGGAAGGAAATAAGCGTTGGGGTGTTGGTTGGTAATCCCGGGGTTGGTGTGAAGGGCAGGGGGGCACAGGGCAGAAAAACCCACTTTCTTGCACTCTCTTCTCTGCCCTTTGCTGAGAAATAAGCCTTGGCCTCGCGTGCCCTGTTGGCGCCGTCACGTTTTGTGAGAGGTCACATACAAGGGCCTCTCAGGCCTGCACCCACGAATCTTGTAGTCCGCGTGGGTGCGGGTTGGGTTTGTTCCGGAATCCGGGATGTTGGCGAGGAGGGAGGGGGGGGGGGCAGCACTCCCCACTGCTCGCGTATTGGTGATGACCACCCGGAGTTTGTGTCTCTGCTCCGGTCCGGGATGTCTGTGACCCGGTCTTAGTGAGATGATGGGCGAGGGAAGCCCGGGACATGCGGGAGGACAGGCGGGTGGACGTGCATCTTGCCCTTGCGCGCTTGCGGTCGCGTCAGAGTGGGCAGTATCGCGGCGCCCCGTTTTGGCTTTTGGGGCCAGCCCGTGCCCCGTGGTGGTGGTAGTAGTACTACACAGTATGAGGCTGGCAGGTTGCTGGCTCTGCTGCTCTGCCCGTTGGTGCGGGACGGACGGAGGCTTTGCTGTCGAGTCACGCTTTCCAGTCAGTACTCGCTCGCTAAATTTGCCCCGGGGCAAGGTGGGCTTGCTCTTGCGGCGGACTCGATTTCTTTTTTCGTCTTCTTTCCAACATTGATCGTTAAATTTTGAGCTACTGTGCCGCGCGCCATGCTACTCTGCTAGTTGCAACGACGGTGGGTTGTGGTAAATTTGGACAAGAGTCGTTGGTCATGTGGAGATGACAACAGTTTTGATGTTGTTGGTTGCCAACATGTCGAGGCGTCGACTCAAAATTGTGGCCCCGCCATGGGCCATCTACAGGGTTCTTTTGAATCTGTTGGTTGACCTCCGCATACGTCAAGATCTTGCCAGGCGAAGAGTGGTGCTGGCCGTTGGTTTGTCTTCACGCGTGTCACTGGCAGGGATCAATCTCTGAGGGTTTTGGTCTGATGATGGTGTATTTCACATCTAACTAAGTACATAGTAATCATTTCTATCCCGGCAGTGGGAAAGAAATGCCGTTTGAACGAATTGAAGGCTAAATCATTGAACCGATGGTGTTTTGTTGACCACAGAATACACAATAAATCCGCACAGTAACAGGTGAACTCTTCACTCTGCCATGTATGGAGCAGAAACTCCGTTTTCCTCCTGGTCCGTCTTTGCGCCGCTGATACTCCGTACAAACAATGTGTGTGGGTCTGACAGGTGGTGGTAAAAAAGAATGGTCGGTTGGTAGGTAGTGGAGCTGGTTGGATGGCAAGGTTGGTTGCAAAGCAGATCCGCTCCGTCTATTCATATCCCGTTACTCTCGCGTCGTAGATCCATGTCGCCCAGATGATGTGACGCCCGATTCTGCCCAGATCCTGGAGTGCCATCCAGATGAATTATGTCGTTGGTAGTGGAGCAAAGCGAATGAGCTGCGTAAAGCGCGGCGGAAATGAAGTTTATGGCCCTCGAAATAAGCGTAAAACGATTGGGAAAGTGTCCCTGGTATCATGCAAGCCACCATCTCTGGTCGGGTTGTTGTTTTTGTTTTTTGTTTCTTTTTTTTCTTCGTCTGTCCTTGCTCATGACGAGCTCGTCGAAGGCTGCCTCTTCTGCTTGCATTTTTGGTGCAGCAGGTGGCCGTTACGTGCCGTGGTCCTGGTAAACTCGGCGCCACAGTCCGGGCAGCTCGCCTTGGTGGCCTGGCCAGACTTCTCTCGCTGGTGGCGAAGGAGGTTGCTAAAAGTCGAGAACTGGCGGCCATTGCAACCGTGCTCCCAACATTGGGGCTTGGGCCTGCTCTGGACCACCCGGACGTGCCCCTGGTTGTCGTGCTGGTGGGGAGCACCGCCGGTCTGCATCACTGGAGGGATAGAGTACATCATTGATGGATCGTGGGAGACGGGTCTGTAGATTTGATTAGCTTCCAGAGTCACCAGTGTTAGTCAGGACCGTGATAATCAACTTACCCGTAATGGGAGGAGAGGGGAGCCCCCGTTGATGGAGGGTAAGCGTAGTCCATGTATTGTGGCTGCTGGTATGGGCTAGGGAAACCCATTTGGTTGGAAGACGGGAGCGGTGGAGAGTAAGACGGCAGGACCATTTGCGGAGCCAGGGTGGTGGGCTCGGTGAGGAGGGAGATATCGGTGGGAGCGGTGGTGTAGACTGGCATGCTGGACATGCTGGAGGTGTGTGCGAATTCTCCTTGGTTGGGTGGTGGAGAAGCGACCTCGTAGCCGCTGTGCGATCCTTGACTCCCTGCCCTTTGGATGCGTGCTGAGAGCTTCGAGTCCCGGCGCGCCTGCTCGCGTTGCCTCTTGAGCTCGCGCTGCTCCGCACTCATCCTGGGTGGGCTGCTGGTAGCGGAGCGAGAATGCATGGGAGGGCTCAAGCTGGACTCGGGTGCGTAGTGTCCCATATCCTGGCCGAGAAGGCCACCGTTTGTAGGCTCGAGGACAACGTCTGCTGCGATGTTAGAGGGGTCGTCCTGACGAGGATGAGGGGCAGGCCAGGAGGTGTCTGGTTTGCACATACCAGGCCAGGCAAAAGAAGATCGGCTGCCCATGCTGAAGTGGTTGAAACCAGGGTCGAAGTGGAGAGCAGCAGTACTCATAGTGTCTGATGATGTGGGCTGCGGTGATGGCTGAGGTGCGGGCGAGGAGTGGCAGGAGTATTCCGAGGCGGGATCTACTCGTAGAGTTGGAGTGCCGTCAGGGTGAGGTCGTGATGGTATGTTGAACCAGGCTTGGGGCAAGATGTGTTCAGGTAGAGGTGGAAACGGCGAGGCTTGAAGTTGAGATGTGGGTGAAGGTGGGTAGGAAGGTGAGGTCTGAGACGAGGAGAGGGCGTTGATATATGTCGAGCGTGGTGTTCCAGGCCCAGGGGTCTTGGTAGTCCGAGTGGGTTCCAGGTGGGAGGTGTGAGCAGGGGCAGGGGGGGAGTCGATTATATGTAATCCCTGGAAGAATCCGTGGGTGTTGGTGGTGGTGGTGGTGGAGCCTCCGCTGCCGGTTCTAGCTCTGGATCTGGGGTCTGGTGAGCGAGCGTGTTCCCGGGCCTGATCCACGCATGCACGTTCCATCTCGAACCGTCCTCTTTTCTCTCTCTGAAGGAGCAACAGGGCAAAGGAAATAATAGCAACAGCCAAAAAGGGCAGGAAGACGACGGGTGGATCCAGGGCAGGGCGAGTGATGCAAGAAAGTCGACATGCACGTACGCTTGGAGTTGAGTTGAGATGACTTGACCTGACTTGAACCTGATGTTCCTTTTGCAGTTTCTGAGGTTGCTCTCGTATTTTTTCGTTGAACACGAGTGAGTGAGCTGGAGGATGATGCTGTTGTATGCAGAGACGTCGATGTGTGTGGTATCGTGGTTGTCTCTGGGTGGCTCACACGCAGACGCACTTATAAGCGAGCGATGGCACCGAGGGAGGTGGTGGATGTGGAGATGGAGATGAGGCCGGCGATGGGTATCTCTAGGCTGCAAAATAACGTTACGGAGACGATGAGCTCTAAGATGCTGTAGCGTCTATCTTTGGTAGGAAGGAAGCTCGACGGATATCTCAGCCTCAAAAGAGGTCCCCATCGAGCAGGGCCACTTGAGCTTATAAGCGCACTGCTATGGCGCAGGGGAGGAGGGTACAAGTGTGGGCCGTACCTGGGCCCATGCCGCGAGCCAGGCTAGCAGGGTCTCGCTGAGCAATGTCGGGAAGAGGCTAGGACTGGAGACGAGATGATGGACACTTGAGGGCCATGTACCCACGCCCTGGCAAAGGGCACAGTGCCGCAGGACCACATGGTGGACGACAAGCACCAGAGCAGGAGAGGGAGACCAACCCCCGGTACGAGGGTACCTGACCGGCCCTGGCCTGCCTCTGGCTTCTGCATGCATGCAAGGATGGCACCGGGTGGGCAACGGTAAGGCAGTCAGTTGCTGTTGTGCTGTGTGCTGTGTGCTGTGGTTAATCGGGTGGTGGTGTCAAGTCCGATGTACACAGGGGGCATGGGTTGGAGGTCTCGAGGACAAGGGCATCGAAGGAAAGGGCAGGGCAGGGGCAGGGCAGGGCTGGACTAGACCGGGCTACCTTGGTACTGCGGTACCTCGTAGACAGTGTCCACAGAGAGGAGATGATGAAGGGCAAGGGAGACCAGACTGGGAGTCGACGTCGTTCGTACACAGTGAGAATGCCCGGGGGAGGGGGGAGGGGCGTGAGCCGAGTGAGGCGAGGACTTTTGTGTTGTATCAATGTACCCTCGCCAGGTACTGAAAGTAGACATGGGGCGCATCCGCCACGAGGGGGAGCTCTCAGAATAGGCAAGGCTAGGGAAGAAGCGGCAAAGTGACATTTCCGGAGTCGCAGTGGAATGATGATGATGGATGATGATGATGTCTTGGGTGTCTTTTCCTGTCTGTCTCCTTTTCTCATGTCTCCTCAATGCGTCGTGCGTGGGAGCGTGCGTGATGTGTGTTGTCTGCTGTCTTCTTGTCGGATGTGCGCGGACAGCAACTCCGTCCCCGTCCACATGGGAGGTGGGTCGTGGGGCAGTGTGGATAAGCCCAGAGTCACACACAAAAATCAGGTACAGGCACAGGCACAGGCACAGACACACAGATACACAGACATGACCCATCTCGGTGAGGTACCTATCTATCTAGGGACCGGTGGTGGCTCATCTCAGACTCACTGGTGGACTGGCCCGGCAGGCTCATTCGTATCAGCGGTCGAGGGAGGGCGGAAATGAGTGCGAGGGCCAGTTCCTGAGTGCGTTGGGTGTGCTGAGTGTGCTGTGCTGAGCTGAGCTGAGCTGTTTTCTCGGCTGTCTGCTCTGTGCGACCAGAATACAGACGGAAAGAGTGGGGTTGGTTGTGTCTGTCGGAAGCGCGTAACTCGCCATTGGTGACTGTGTCTGCCTGTGTAGTGTCTGTGTCTCGTCTGCGCCGCCCGCCCTTTCACCACTGTCGTCAGAGGGCAGAGCCTGTCAACCAGCGGAGAAGAGACCGTGCGGGAGAGGAACACAGACCTTGGGAGGGGTGAAGAGGCCTTGGGGTGACGGGGGACGAGACTATGGCGACACAGCCATCAGCCCCATGTTGTGTGCTGTGCGACCGTGTGAGGGGCACAGGCTCCAGATTCCGGGCTGTACGACGTGAGAAAAGCTGGGTTGTGAGTGGTGTGTCGTTGTCTGGTGCTATGTCAGACCCAGCGGCCATGACTGCAAGGCAGATGGGGACATGCACACACACACACACACACACACACACACACACACAACCACCTGGGCACATAGATAGATCAAGATCATGGGGAGCAGGAGCTTCCTGGGCGGAAGCAGAGGGACAACTGAGGCCTGGCTCGCCGAGGTGGGGGCACCTACCCCCTGTCCCTGCTTCCCCTGTCGTTGGTCCTTTCCTGCCTTGTCCCTGCTCTCATCCCGTTGGTTGTCGCTGCTCTGTGTAACGTTGGCGCTAGTGCTGGCCAGCGAAAACGGACGATTCTACTTGGCCCCCCCCCTTCTTGCCTTCACTGTTCTGCTCTGTCCTGTCTGTATTACGGCTAGCACTAACCTGGGCTGGAAGAGGCTGACTGACCGACAGATGGACAGACAGGCAGGCAGGCAGGCACACAGCATAATCAGATGAAGGAAGGCGGCCATGGAGAGAGAGACCGCTGCCATTGCTGCTGCCATGTTGCTGCTGCTGCTGCTGTTTCCGGCCGTTACCCACCCCACTGTTGGGTGCTGGGTTCTGCCCGGTCCAAGATGGCGGGTGGGAGGTGGACCGCAGGTGGGCCGCAGGCTTCAGCATTCTCTCTGATCTTGTTGGTTGAAGATCAGGGCCCTCTCCCAGGGTTGGCAGGCCTGGTGGAGCCGCGCCGCCGCGCCGGGGTGTGTTAGGTAATTGCGGCCTGTGGGCCAGGTACGTACCTGCTGGGTAAAATTGGACATTGCTCTTGCCAGAATTGGGAACCGTGAGTGGGGAGAGAGGATACCTTGGTACGTTGGGTGGTCGGTCCACCCCAAAAGACCACTGCTCACCAGCGCTAGACTGGGTTGCCCTTGCTTCCCCTCGTTCTTCGACCACTGACCGTCGGTACCTGCCGTTTGGTGGCCGGATGCTGGGGAGGTGGGTACCGACCGGGTTGTGCTCTGGAGACCGCATGTAAGGTCCTTTGGTAGGGCTATGGGTGTGTGAGAGCGAGAATGAGTGAGTGTGTGTGCCAGCCATCGACTATTAACCCCGATCGAGCTGGCTCGACTGAGTCTTGTTGCCCATCTGGGCAAGGATGCGGCCCAATGCTGTGTCACCGTGTTGCATTTTATCGTCATGGTCGCACATCGCAGGTACCACTGCACATCCACACGCACAGGCCGACCCGTCGTTCTGGGTCGCCGTCTCGCCCCGTCAGCACTTCCGGCTTCTTGCAGCTTGCCCAGGTGCACGCTGCACGCATCATACAACACAAGACATCACATCGCATCATCGGCCGGCGCTCCAGTACGCCCATGCGTCACAAATAGCATTTCCCGATGTGGGCGCCTTCTCCACGTCGCGGGTGCTGTGCACAGTAAGTAGGGCTCGCACGAGCAGTCGTCTGCGATGACAGGCCACGATGAAGACAACAGATGCAGGCAGTGCTGCAGTAGACTAGTCTTCCGCCTGGAGGGGAGACTGGACAGGGATTCTGCAAAACAACACAACACCCTCAAGTCTGGCATTGCGAATGGAAATGAAGCAACTCGGTCTGCATTGTGTGTTGTGCGCTTCTGGCATCCTCTGGAGTCCGTGGACCGCGACAAGGGCCGCAACGCATTGACCAACGGCTGACGGCAGCATGGAACAGGCCTGTTTGGAGGTCGAGTTCTGAACACTGGTTCGCTGGGGCTGTGACAGCTATCACAGTTGCCATCGCGTCTCAAGTTTTGCCAGTGCATTTGAGAACATGGGCAAAATACTCGACAAGCGCTCTGGCTATCGGCATCACTTGCCCTGATGACAGCACAGGCATAGGCAGGGCATAGGCAGGGCAGGGCAGGGCAGGGCAGGGACGGGGGCTCCTTTGCTGCAGAAGTCCTCAATGCGGTCAACGGCCTGCGGTAGACACCCAGACACCATACATAGACCCATGTACATGATCTGCGGGCAGAGCTGGGAAAGCCCGCATGCACGGACGCGGGACTCGCCACCAAGGCATAGAGCGGAGCAACATCAGCAGGTTGCCTTGGAGATGCGTATCATGGGGTGCGATGTGATGACCCTGAAGAGCACAGCACGCCTGGACCCTGCTCGTCGAGATGAAAAGCAGTGCAGTCTCGAAAAGCGCACGAGCTGAGCTGCCTGGAGGGGCTGGCTGGCTGCTCGTGTGCTCATGGCTGGACTGCCAGGGTTTTTCAGATTCTCGAGCGGACTCGGGGTGTCAATCCGAAGGTCCGCAGTGCTGATTGATCACAGGTACTAAGGCATGGTCTGGGCGTCGGTGTCGCATGCTTTGCTCCGCGCCGCTGGCCCAATTTGACGTACACCTGGGTTTTGACAGGGCCGATGTGACTGAGAGATTGAGGGGGTTCGCTATTTGACAAGAAACCACTTCCCTGTTCCGTGTGGACTGGTCGACCGTGTAAATACTGCTAAAAGTTGGATACGCGATAGATGAAGTGCGGTAGGCTGTCTAGCCGGCACTGCTGTGCATGGAGCGTGGCACCCTCGGCGCTTCTCAGCCCCTCATAGCAACATTGCTGGCGCGGCAAATAACCTTCAGACTGCCTTGGGATAGGTGCATGCACGGTGCCTTTTTGTGACACTAACTTTTAGACTCAAAACAAGCGCTTGTGGAAGTGAGCGAGGCTGATTTGCCAAAGATCATCTGGTATACGTGCTGCCTACTATGGCATGGTGTGCCGTGTATGCCACAGCGATTCAGGGTGTCACAAAAACACACGGGCTGTGAGGACAGACCATCATGTACGCAGCCCCCTCCCTCACTTCAGACAGTACTGCGTACCTACCGTCGTGAGTGCCCGTCACATTTCCTGCCTCTCACCAACCCAGCCATCAATCAATAGGATTGCTTGGAAATCGCCTTGTTGTTCCTTTTTACTTCTATTTAGAGGTACAGCGACGCCTGGTGCCTGGCCTCTCAGGCTCAGCCGCTATGGCTGTCCTGGTGGTCATGCTCGAATGGGCATAGTCTGCACCACACGCATCCACCAGGAGCATCGCGTGCAGGACTGGCGTCCCATTCTCTGGCTGGCGCCCCCTCCCAAACTCAATTGCGAGATGGACGCTGTCCCGAGTCTGTGGGACGCCAAGCTCTGAAAACGTGCGAGCTTATGCTGTAGTCCTTCAAACCGTCCCAACACTCAGCGCACGCACGGCATTCAGCAGCCCACATCTGCTGTGTCAATATTCGAACAATGCCAGAAAGGTATTGATGATTCCTGTCATCTCAACGTCGAATCGACTCGGCGCCGAGTCTCGTACGAAACAAGCTGCCCTGTCCGAGACAGGATCTGAGTGCACAGAGAGGCCCTGGTCGGCCTTTGGATCAGACCGGGACCCCCCTTGAGACCGACCCACTGGGCCCCTCGATCCCAAGGGTCTGGTCTCACCGTCTTATCGCCTCAAATAATGTCCACTAACGAAATCCGAGGCAACAAGGGTGGCTCCAACTCTCCAAACTCGTCAATTGTCCCCCAAGGCATGACCCGTACTGACTGGTCGTCGACACAGGGTGGTATCCAGCAGAGAGAAGAGGAATGAGATGTCACGTCGTCAACGGTCGGTGGGCTTATGCAAACCCCACCCGTCCTCTCCCCGGTAATAATGCTCACGTCGCGCGGGAATACGCTTCGGGGTTTGCTCACAGCCTAGAAGAACCTTCGGGCTTTGAGCAAGTCTTAGCTACCAAGAACCCGTATTGAGCGAATGGCTGGCGATAGCCGAATGTCGAGGTTGCATTCTCAAATTCTAGGGTGACATCCAACAGCGAAGCTTTACTCCCAACCAACGCTGCCTTCCATGCATTCATTACTCGACAGTGGGAATGTCGTCCACGGCAACACAGCAGCAATGCTCCAGGCCGCAAATGCCGTGCCAGTTGAGCGTCTCCCGCAGCACAACATCGATCGGATTTGGGCTCGCGGAAGGAGAACGTGCTGCGACATTGACTGTTCAGCGTTGCCACACTCGTGATCCACCTCCTTATACCTCGACATTTTGTTTTACCATATGCGATGCGAGTCCTTCCGCGTCCTATGGCCTTGCGTCGTGCCGTACACCCTGGTCCTCACTCACGAGCAGCGGCCACCGACCAATGACATGTCACGATCGCTACTAGACCGTTGCGCCAGGCGCTTGATGGGTCGGTCGCCCTTCAATGGGGTGTTGCAGGCAAGCTAGCTCGTCTCCTGCTCACAGCCGACCTTGCCCAAGGGCTGCAGGCGAGATGAAACGTGTCTGCCTTGGAGGGCAAAATGCCCAAAGAAGCAAAGACGCGCTGCGACGCCTATTCTTCATCACGAGGAGCTTGCTGCGTTCGGCGACGAGGGGAAAAAGGGGCGTGTACGCCGGTGTGGAGAGGCGAGATTGGCCTTCCGACCTGATCTCCATGCTGCTCCGTGCTGAGGGACAGCTTGCTCATCCGGGTGGCTGGTTCCGTCCGAACCCTCACGACCCCGGCACCTGAGGGTCAGGTAGCTAGCTGCTGTAGCTGCCTGGCGAGCGCACATGGTGATCTGGGTACCGCGTACTTTAATCTCACTTTCCACGGCTCTGGTCGCCTGGTTCCCGCGGCCGTTGGGAGATGGGAGGAACAATTAGGTCCGCACCCTGCTTCTTCTCCCGCGTGGCGTCTGCCTCTTTCCGCCGCCTGCTGCCCAATTAGCTCCGGCAACAATCAGACGGGCTGGCAGCATTTTGACGGCTCGAGAGGGTGTGGTCTGTTCCCTAGTCGTCGGACAAGACAGTCAATGACTACCACGCTGACAGTCAGAGCATCCCGTGTCTTGGGAACGTCCACCGCATCTGCTGCAGGACGTGGCAGGGGGGGGGCCAGGGGCGCAGACTTGTTCTAGAAGATCATATGACCAAAAGGCATGGCGGTCATTTCTGCTGTTGGTCTCGTCCTGCATGAAAACAGCAGGCCATCGACCCGAACGCATGGGAGAGATTATGTACGGGGCCGCAAACGTGGGGAATTGGATGAGGAGGAGCCATCACACCAAAACCCCCTCCCTGCCCTTGGCAACCCCTTCCGTCACACCCCAAACCCAGTGCCAGCCGGTAAACTCTGCGAAGCACATCACGGCTCAAACGATAGCGCGAGGGCAATCGATAGCATCAGCGATGCAGCGTAATGAGCACCGCCAATCGTGGCAACCCGACGTCACCCCCACAGTTCAGCTCATTTGGCCTCTGCCCAGCATCCCGGATGCTGATGCTGGTGTCCCTGGCCCCTTCGATAAATGGTCGAATGGTCGACATGGATGGGCCCTCCTTCTGCTGTAGGGGACGACTAAAGGTTTCGACCAGCATCCCAGAATACCTCCCTACCTCGTGGTGCATCTGGGCCACCCAGCCGGCCTCCGCGCATCATCGACTACCTACATCGAGCATACGCCGCAGTGCAGCCAGCCAGAGCGGTGAGTTCAGCCAACAGCGCTGTCGTTTTCTAAATTGAGATCCCTGGCAGGCTAAACCAGCCAGCGTGATGTGGTGGTGGCTGGCAGAGCTGGCCGTGGCCATGTGTCAGGGCCGTGGCCATGTGTCAGGGCCGTGGCCTGGCGTTTGCCCTGACCTCAGATCGCAAGACTCAGACCGCAGACCGTAGACGGACCTCAGGCACCGATGTTGCCGGTGCAGCCAGATGCACCGGCAGACGGCGACAGACTTGTGGCAAGGGCGGCATTCCTTTGAGATTTCTTTTCAGTCTGCTGTGCCTCGTCCCGGCTGACGAGATCCCAGGGGGCCACGAGGCTTGAAGCCGCAAGCTCCACCTACATGCTCATCACGGTACACTTCCTGCGAGAAGGTACCTGGGTACCGCCTCTAGATTGGCAGGGGGTCCCCGAGAGAGGCCATTGTTGGGCTTTCACCCCAGCCTTCCCAGCCAGAGTTCGCAAGCTCTGACTGTTCCTGCATGGAGAAATCGGTGCTTCGCCCTGGGGAATGCTCACACCGCTGGCGAGTGCCCTGACTCCTCTGGCATGTCCGATCTGGTAATACCTGAATTTTCCGGCGTGGAAACGGGATTCTTGCCTGCAGACTCCCTATTTCTCGTCGGCTGTGTGTGTGGCAAGAGGGCAAGAACAGCGCTATCAGACGGGCTAGGGCGATTAGGGAAGCACTGCTATCATGTGTGGACGTTGTGTACCAAACAGTAGGCCACCCACTACCAGGTACTTGGCTTAATCCAAGTATCTACAGTAAAGTCGTCTGAAGAAATAAAGTAAGGGCCACACGTTCCTGTTCCTGCCGTCAGGGCACAGGCCAGAGTCTGGCAACTGCAGTAATGACGCTGTGGGCTAGGTGCGGTGCATAGACGGGGAAGGAACCACGGGTAGTACGTACCTCCAATTATCTCCCATCCCCCCGGCCCTTCCCTGTTCGTTGTGTGCGGAGCTCACAAAGGGACATGTTCGAGGGAAGCCCACCAGGGAAGCCCACCCAGCCCACTCCTGTTTCTGTTTCTGTCTCTGTTTTGGCAAGGGAACAAGATCTTTGTCCACGGCGGCGACAGCTCCAGCAGTCTCTCATCTTGATCTTTGCCCAAAAGGCGTCTGCCTAATCCTACACTCGAAAGCTAACATCTCAGCCGGGATTGCCCCGTCATCCGATGCACGCCAGCTCGCATCGGACCCGAAGTTCAATGGGCGCGGCGCAGCGTTGCATTGCCTCAGGTGCAGCCCTGGAGGGTGCATGTGCCCTCATGGGGACGGCGCACACCAGGCAGATTGACCAAGGCCCCAGACGAAAGCGACGAGACCCATCAAGATCCATTTGCCGCCGTCCGCTCCCTAAACCGTTACACCCAATGTAACGCCACCAAAAGGCCCTCCATCTTCCCTTCCACTCCAAGGGTTCGCCAAATCGGGGGTGCCTAGACTTCGCGACGCCTGGATCTGGAGACGAGCCGGCCTCAGGATGAAGCGACCGCAAGCGACTGGCGTCGCACACGAGCACGCGCCATTGGGACACTGAAACGCTTGTGGCGGCAATTCCTTCGCTGGTGGCAGGATTTCACCCAACTTGTTCTGGTCAACTCGCCAGGCCTTGGTATTGATGACTCTCAGCTCCTGCGGCGTGGCAGGTGCTCGATTTTGCTGCTGGCTGGCCTCGTCGACGGGCCGCTCGTTATCGTTTTCTCTCTCATGCCAGGCACCTCAAACCAGACTGTCAGATTCGAGGCCGTCTTTGTGACCGCCCACCGTGTTACCTCCCGTGCTCGACTCGTGACCTCTTCCGACCGTACGGTACCGCCTATTCCCGGGGCCCCTATCAAGATCAAGCAGTCTGGGCGCAAACAACGATCGTCCTTCAGTAGTCCACATCCAGTACCGCCCTGTGATTTGCAAATCTTTCAGGTCACCAGTCTGCAGCAGCAACGATGTCGCAACAGGCCCTGTGTTGGTACTCGTGTGAGAACCCACAGCCAAGCAACGGGAGAAGCCTCGCCTCTGGTGGTACCTCTGCAAGGTCTTCAAGGATGGACACGCCATTTCCATAATCTTTCCGATCCGATTGGGACTGATAATTACTCTCGGTCCTCGCAGGAGGGTCGACTCCGCTTACCACAAGGCTCGGGCGGCGACGGACCCTGTTCGATTTGTTCCCCGGCTTGCGGGGACCGTTGATCCTTACCGTAACTTGGCGACCCTCTTGTGGAACCACTTTCCAGCACTGCGGTAGCAATCTTCGGGTTCTTATCGAAATCGGAGCAGGCCGCACACGCAGGTCTACACGGAACAACCAACTGCATTTCTTCTTGCAGCTTCCTCGCAGACTCGCTACCGGGCGAGAAATCCAGCTGGCACAGCAGACGTGGGCCGCTATGGACGCGCTTATTAGACGCAGGCTTCACCCGTTGTGGCCGTCCCTTTTTCAACATCGCTGCTGGTACCGTTGCAGGCACAATAGCAACCCATCCAGGATGTGCACTAAGTTGCGGCCCGCCCACCCTTGATAAGGTCGCAGTGTCGGGGTTTTTCATTCGTCAAGGTTCAACGTGTTGGGCCTTGCAATTGCACCCGGAAAACGCCCAGACTAACAGAGTGGATCTGGCCTTGGCATTTGGCTGGGTCCAGTTCATCGCAGACAAACTCACAGCGTGTCATGGTCTACAAAAGAACCCTGTTCAATGCAACACAGTGAAAAAAGGGGTGGGCACGTGGCCAACAACCAAAGCAGCGGAAACCCACACCCGCAATTGACAGAAAAGGTCACCGGCAAGTTTTACATGGAACGAATGTGACTTCACAAGTCGAACCTAGTTGTACCATGGAGCTCTGCATGAACCAGCACAGACAAGCGGTAATAAGCAGTTTTACAGCCGGCTTGTTCTCCTTCTCATCCGAGTACCGACTGAAGCTATCTGTCACTGCGCCAGGAACCCTAGGCACGAAGTTGGCACGCCATGCACCATCAAGGAAGAATCAAGTTCCAATCTACTAAGCTGCGCGGTCCGCGGCGCAGGGCCAGCCAGAAATTAACAGCAGCCTCAAGGACAAAGTAGCAGCATGTGAAGATTGGGTACATCTCCATGATACAACTCCGGGGTCGGTAACAGACGGTATCGGCACCGGAAAATGGCCGAGATGGTGGTATTCATTTGGCAATGGCAGAGACTCTGGAGAGAAGTGCGCGCTTGAACCTTTGGTACACTTTGCTGTTGGGGTTACACAGCCCACTTTCAAGGTGGCACAGTGCTTACTGGGGGCCACTTTGTGTTACCACGACAGTCTCCAGTCCTCTCAAATTAGCCGCGCACGCCAGGTCGCACAAGCTGTGCCACACCAAGGCATCCAGAGTTATGCAGGCGACCACCACTTGGAAGCCAGTCTTTGCTGCAAGCGATTGCCCACTGTGACCTACAGGGCCGCCCAACAGTCGGTCAGACTATCAGAGCCGTGCAAATAACAGCTTGCTGGTGCTGCAGGAGATGGGTCAAATGTGGCAGTCGCTGAATACACGCCCCCTACCCCTACAAATCTCACAAGCCCAGCGCAGATGTCACCTGCTGACGTAGATGTACCACGAACGAGTCCTGCAGAAATTGTTAAGGCCACCGACAATTACCCCCATTTGCATGGGTGGGACACACAGCTCAACCGCCTGTTGCGCACATGGGCCCCGAACACCCAATGCGTACACAAAAGTCGGCAGAGCATCGCAACCAAAATGCCCCGCAGCTATACGAACACATGCAGCCCTTCTTGGTGGTGGTCAGTCTTCGAACTGGTCACCGGATCAGCGGGACGACACATGTGATGGCCCGGGCAACACATCAGCCAACGCCAGAGAACGGCAAATCGCACGGTTTGCGCGGGAGGATTGCTTTGTCGTGGGTACTCCCGCAGCCCTACAGGGCTCAGGCACCGCTTTCGGGCTCTTCCTGAGAACACCACTGAAATGGTTACGCAACGTCGTCAGCCAATGGCCTAGTAGCATGCGTCCTACCGACCGTTGAGCTGCCTCACGCCGCCGCGCACAGTCGACGCCTGCCCGCTCCATTACGGCGAGGTGTGATCGGGCTCGTGAAAGACAGTGGTCTCGCCACCACAACTCGTGAAATGGGCAAAATTCACGGTTGCGAAACGGCTATTTGCACGCAACAGTTCTGCGGCGTCTATGTGGGCGCAGACTTGCGCCTCGATTGCCTGGAGCTGTGGCCAGTCATCGGCCTGCAATGCCCTGGCCTCGCAGCTGGTTGTGCAACCCGGGACCGGCCATGATCAAGCGACGACGCACGCGGTCATTGGACAGGGAACGGCACAAACAAAGAAAAACAGTACTGATAACAGAAATCCATGCCTCTATTTGATATCCTGCTATTTGCGTCATTGACCAGTCAAGGCTGTCGCAAGCTTTCCGCGTTGAGGCTCTAGTAGACTACTCGACGAGAATCTCGGGTTCTCTGTCAGCGGCTCCAGGGGCACACCAGGAGACGCTCGGGGACATGCCGGCGACACCAGGTCTTGCTTATGGTTTACTTGCTGCCGAGAAAAGAATCGGTGCATTGGATTTCGCTAGTTTGGGACGCAAAACTCGATGACGCCCAATCAAAGTGTGTCGTGGCCCAGATGTGATGGCTTCCATCATCATCAAATCAATAGGGGCCTTCCACGAATGCAGCCTTCGCTTTGTCTCTGTCGGTCGAGGTGTTTGGCCATCCCAGCCTTCCGGAGGGACTGATGGGCCGTAGTAGACAGAGCCTCTATCGCCTGCCTCGTAAAGAATCTGGTGCAGGACCAACTGGGAACTCCGGCGTTTTCTATTGGCTAGCTCGCCATCATGTGTGATTGGGTTACAATGCTTGTGCCTGCACTGCTGCAGTCCCCTTACCAGGAGTGTGAGCCATGTGGACATCCTTCGTAAAATCGAGCCAACAAAGCTGTTACAACATGCAGTCATCTTCACGACGGGTTGACGAAGCGGTCTACCCGAGCCGTGTCGAAGCGGCATCGAGCAGTTCCATCGAGCTGCCATTCAATCA